AATTGTCACATCAAACATGCTAGTACAAGTCATGCCTAGTCATGCCTAGTCTAGCCTAGTCTTGCCTAGGCTAGCATTCAGAGCCCGTCTCTTTACAGTATCCTGCATATATGTACGTCTTGTATACTTAATAGATAACGAACCGCAGTACTGTCTTGTAAAGATTAACCACAGTAACATCTTCTGAGCATCAACCGCAGTAAAAGGACTTCTCTTATAATTAAATATAGTATAATAGTTTACTGCAGATAATGCGCAGTATTAGTTTAGAAAACTATATAAGACAATTCAATTCCTATCAATAAAAAGCACCTTTTATCCTCTCTTCGATTTTACATATACTCTCCGATCCCCAGTGGGTTTGACCTTTTGACTTTGCTATAGTAAAAGGAAGACCATCCCAGATCAGGAACGACACATTAACCGCAGTATAATGACTATTTCTTTAATTAAATATAAATAATATCTACTGGGGATAATACACAGTATCAGTTTAGAAAACTATATAAGACAATTAAATTCATATCAATAAAAAGTATCTTTTATCATCTCTTTGATTTTATGTATACTTCTTGATCCCCAGTAGGTTTGACCTTTTGACTTTGTTATAGTAAAAGGAAAACCAACCCAGATCGGGAACAACAATTTGTTGTTTTTGATCTGGTTTGTTCTTCCAATGCTATAACACAGCCAAAGTTGGTCAAACCCACTGAGAATTGTAAATGAAGATAAAAAAATAAAAAAGGATAAAAAGATAAATAACTTTTATTGAATGAAACAACACTCTCTTTTATATCTTTTCTAAACCTACTCAGTCATTATAAATGTCTGTTTCAGTTTCTATTCTACTTTTGTTAAGCTATGTGCCTTCTAATTCTTTTGTGAGCAAAAGGAAATCACTTTGATTGTCGTTCTCAAAAGAGAATTCTGTGTAATCGTCATCCTGATTGGTTAACAAGAATTCGGATATGACATCATCCCCTCCCCAAACTCTCGATCGTTCTCAAGCAACTAGAGAATTATCAATAACAGAGTCATCTAATGGAGAAGAGCCAGCAGCAATCAAATCTTGGCGCAATCACACACAGAAAGCAGTAGAGTAGAACCAAGTCTGAGAAATGAAATCAACCTTGGCCAATTTCAAGTGATCTGCATGTACCCAATAAGTATATGAAACACCTTCAGTCATTGTCAGCTTATATACATCAGTATCAGAATTTTTATCAACAACTACATATGGACTCATCCAATTATATTCCAGACCAAACTTATTCTTATGACGCATCAAAACATAAGCACCAACAGCAAAAGAGTGAGGTTTCATGACAGCATCCCAATGTTTTTTACCTTGCAAACTATTAGTGAAAACCCATATCTCAGCATCTTCACGTGCTTTCCAAAGGTTATGCAGGTAAGATAAAGCATCGTCAGCAAAAACTTGGGGATTGTCAGACAGATCAGCACTCATGAAAGGACGAAGGGAGTCACTAGGAAGACGTGGTGTGCGACTGCATATGAGGAAGAAAGGACTGAAACCAGTGGTACTGTGTTTATGAATGCGGCAGGCTAAAAGAGCAGTGTCCAAATACTTGTCTCAGTAGTGTATAGCACCATGAACATATTTGCGCAGCATTTGCTTGAGAATACTGTTTAAACACTCACATTTACTATTGGTTCTAAGGTGAAATGCAGATGTAAACTTGTGATGGACTTTGATCTGATTGGTATAGTGTAGAAAAATCTTGAACATAAAGTTTGCTCCACAATCAGTAAGAATTTTGTCTGGACAATCAAAACGCATAACAATTTTTTCATAGAGGAACGTTGCAATAGCTTCACCAGTGGTATCAGGTACAGCATGAGTGATTGGTCAATTAGTGATATAGTCTACAGCAACAAGGATCTAGCAGTTACCATTGACTGTTGTTGGAAGCTCACCAATAAAATCGAGATGTCAGCATGAGAAAGCAGGGGATACATCTAATGGCTTTATGGGGGCATAGTGGATATTTTGTTCTGCTTTTGATGCCAACTGACATTGGGGATACTTGGAAAGCCAGTCCTGAATATCTGTGCGCATACTAGGCCATCACCAATGTTTCTTTATGAGGTTGTAAACAGTTGTTTCACCAGCATGGCCAAATCCGTTATGAAAATTGTTGACAAGGTTGGCACAGTGAGCAAACAAGGCATATCAAATTTCTCTGAAAGTGTTACCAAACTTGACATGGTGGAACACCTTTTGATCACAAATTACAAAGCAGAAACATTGTTTTGCATTAATTCCTTATAGTCTTCTGGCCATTCTTCTTTGGGGTGCGTATACAATTTGGGCCAATCGGATTCATGTGGTATCTGTGACAAATAAAGGTAATCTGGTTCTATTGATTCAGCAGCAACATCTTTACTCTCCAGACCACCAATGCAAGACAAAACATCAGACACGCCATTATCTTTACCAGGCTTGTACTCAATAATGGGGTCGTATAGTTCAAGCTCAAAAATTCAACAGACAAGACGAGGGGTTGATTTCGCTTGACTACAGAAATACTTCAAGGGTAAGTGATTGGTGAAAACAGTGAAAGGTTTTCTTTCAATTAAACAGTGTCAACTATGAAGTGCATGTAATATCCCAAGGAGTTTGTATTCCTGAGCAGGGTATGATTGTTCAGCATTAGATAATTTCTTGGACTCAAAAGCCAAAGGTCTCCAAGCATCATTATCATTTTGCTGTAACAGAACGGCACCAACACCAAAATCAGATGCATCAGTTTCAACTCGAAAAAGGCTTATCCATATCAGAGGCAAGAATAACTGGGGCACTGGTAAGCTTTTTCTTGAGTAGCTCGAAACTAGCTTAGCATTCGTCTGTCCACACAATAGATCGTTGTTTAGGGCTAACACCACGAGTAAGATCTGTTAGGGGAGTTGCAATACCAGCAAATCCAGAGATAAATTGACAGTAGTGTTGGGCCAAACCTATGAACTGGCGAACTTCTTGTATGTTTGTAGAAGCAGTCCAGTTTTGTACAGCCTTGACTTTTTCAGGGGAAGGAAGAATACCTTGTGCAGATACTTGCAAACCAAAGAAGACTAACTCGTGTCTATTGAATTCATACTTCTTGAGATTGGCCACCAGCTTTGCTTCTCTCAGACAGTTTAGAACATACCTACTTATTTCCTTGCGCGCCAAGTTTAAATTATTTGGAGGATCTACTTTCTTATGTTGCAAGGGGCTTTAAATTATAAGAATGTGTAGAAGCAGTGACAGCTTTTACTTTTGTTGTTTCTTTTGGAATATTAATGTTTTTTTTTACATTTTTTTCTCTTTATCAAAGCATATTATTATAAAACATAAATGTAATTTTTTATTATCAAGATTTCTAAAGCGGGAAGAGTTTGCATTTCTAAGAGTGTCTATACGATTTATTGCTTCCCCAAGTAAACCACTAATCACTTGTAATTCGGCTTTATCAATTCCTGGAACATCCATCAACTGCTCTAAGTCTTCTCTTTGATGATGAAGTATTGTATTCTGTGTCATGATTCTTTGCAACCAAACAGAATAGTTTTTACCACTTACAACAACTGTGTTTGTTTCATTTTCAACTTCCTTATTAACAACCACCACTTCATGCTTGGATGCAAGTGATCTTTGCAGTTGAAGGTGGTTGTTTTCCCTTTGGACTGTATACGCAAAGTCTAGATCAATAAATCTCTTTAGGAGATGTGCGTGTTTACAGGGAATTTGACACGAAGCAAAATTGGGACAAGTACAATTTTGTATCAAATTGTTTGATACATTAACCTGATACTATTGTTTTTCACCTGTAAATGACTTTACTGTTCACTTGCCATTAGAGTCCTCCATGCTATTGCCAATCTCATTAAGAGGATTAATGATCATGAAAGGGAGCATGTCATCTTGTATGGTATTAGCAGAAAAAGAGTGTCAAGCAAGTTCATTGTCAATTGGACCCATTCGTCCATTTTGTATGTGGACTTGTTCCACTTCTTCATTGTAAAAGAACTCCACATCATTTGTCAAAATAAAGACAAGACTGTCTAATCGTCTTATGCGAGTATGGCCAAAATATATTGTTTTCAATTGGTTGTGCCACAATTCAATATAATTGTTTGTCAAATACCTTTGGTAATTATTTGCAACATATGGCCTTCCCCATCTTCTCAACAATTCTTCTGTTCCAATCCATTTACATTCGAAATAAGTCAGGAATTGTTGCTGACTTTTTACACAAAGCCTAAACTCCTGGATTTTTCTCAAAAAATCATTCTCATCTGATTCAATAAGTATATTTTTGAGATTGGCCTTGAATTCATACTTGTATTTGCCAAGTTGTTCTGATGTGTATGAAGCATCAAGCTTTACTTTGCTGTCTAAATTATGCTGCCAGGCACACAAAACACGAAACTTGCAGAAATGGATGATTGTCTGTGGCAATGCTGCTGTAATTGCATTAACTTCAGCAATACTACAATCGATGGTAATATATAAGGGAGTGAAACAGCTTTTCTCGCAAAGATGTACAAGCCATTGATTAATGAGGTCAACACTATGATTGTTTGTAATCAGATATGCAGCAGGAGACCCTTTTTCAGTATCAGAATGATGAGTAACAAGTGAGTATAATATTTCAATGTTGCGTGCAGAGATGTTGTATGTTGTGTTAAAACAAAACGACTGGGAAATTCTCATAAGCATCATTTGAGATGGTGATTGAAATCCAAATGCAAAATGCTATACATTGTTGCTGTATGCAGAAAGATTGCTAGTAAAGATACAGTAATTCTTTGATGGTAACTTCTCATGCATTTAGATATCTAGATACTTATTTTCATCAGGGTAAAACTTATACAGTAAATTTTTTATCTATATTTTTTATTTAACACTTGTTAATAACTTCTCTCTTATAGTATTATTCACATACCTTTCTCATTCTGTTATAGATATTTTCATAATTGGGCTTTCTAATGCCTATGCCCACTCTTCAATTTGTTTCAAAACTGAAATTCTAGTATTTCTACAGATGCTGCCACCTTTTAACTGATCTTCAATAATTTTGATGGCCTCAGAAGATAAAGGCAATGTTTTAATTTCAGAAGCATCGCCAGAAACATGGTTGGTATAATCGTTGGTTGTACAAATTAAAACTACTTCAGGGCTGTTGTCGTATGGCTTGATAAAAATAGTAGCTTTACAATAACAAAGCTTAGTGTCTTTCTGAGCAAGACGAACATTTCTGTCTGATATATAAAGTTCTGCTCGGTGATGTTTTTTTGTCTCTCCATACTTCAATTCTCTTGCACAAAGTTTTCTACTTATATTCTACTTTGTTGAACAAAGTGATTGAATGCAGTCAAGGCATTTCTCCATTCACTTGCTTTTACTTTTACTACAACATCCAAAGGAAGCATTTTTATTTCTTTTGTAGGTGAGTTGACTAAAACATTGTGCACATTTGAAAGATTGAATATAGTGTTGGGCATTGGTGAGCTCTTATTATGATAGTATATGTAATTAAAATAAAGAGGAGGGAAAAAAAAAACATAGGAAAAAAATGTTTTAACAAAAGCCAAATTCTTATAATTTAAAGCCCTTTGCAACATAAAAAAGTAGACCCCCAAGTAATTTAAACTCGGCGCGCAAGAAAATAAGTAGGTACGTTTAGAACATGTCATACATGCTTTACATGATCTTCTGGGGACTTGCTGAAAATCAGAATGTCATCAAGGTATACCAACGCAAAATTATCTAAACAGTTGCTAAGTACATCATTTATCAAATGTTAGAATATAGGTGGAGCATTGGTGAGACCAAATGAGACAACCAGGAACTCATAATAACTATAGCAAGTGTTAAACGCAGTTTTAGAAACATCAGATGGCTGGATACACACTTGGTGGTAACCACTTTTCAAATCCAGACTACTGAAGTGTTTGGAGCCACGAAGTTGTTCCAGGCATTTGTCAATACAAGGCAGAGAGTGGTTGTTGCGAATGGTTACTTTGTTTAAGACTCAATAATCCATACACATTTGCATGGCCCCATCCTTCTTTTTGACAAATAAAATTGGTACACCCCAAGGAGATGAGCTAGAACGGATTAAACCAAGGTCCAGAGGTTTCTTGAGCTGCTTCCTGAGTTCATTGAGTTCACGTGAGCTAATCTTGAAAGGGGGCTTGTTAGTTGGTTCATCATCTCCAGTGTTAGTGACATGCTGTGCATCCTGATCTGGTGGGAGTCCAGGTAAACCTTCCACAAAAACATTGTCAAACTCTTTGACTAATCCATTCCAATCATTGTCCAAGGATTGCTTATCACTGCAAAAAAATGCCCAATTCCCATACGTGATAGGATGTAAAATTCTGTGTGGTTTTTGAAATATATTTGGAATATTATACAACAATTCTCAGAATGATAGGAAAACTAGCTACTAAATATTAAACACCTAGATTCTATAGATTGAATGGGTCTGTGCGTGATCATAGAGTTCTGTTATATCTTATTATATCTGAAACCTTAATTGAATTCTGAGTTTTTTTTTCTGGTAAGACGTTGCATTCATTTTGTGTATTGTCTATTTATTCTTGTTTTGGACTCATTCAAGAAGATATATATTTCAACAATCTTCTGATGATAGCTCAACTATCTTTTGACAAGTATCAATCTTATTGGATGGGTACTCCATTTACCATATGAATTTCATTATTTGATTGATCAAAAAATATACTTCTTGTACTTTTATTTAAAAATAGTTCATGGGAAATAGTTTATAAATAGGTTTTTATTTTATTTTATCAAAAAAATCTCAAAATAGATTCTCTAAAAATGGGCCTTAGATAGTTGGCATTTGGTCTGGACATTTGATCCAGACATTTGACATTGGGTCTTTGTTTTGCATGCTCGGTTTTGGGTTCTTGATTTTAGGTACTGCGATTCTACTTTGGTCATTAATAATATCTCCTACCTTTTACAATAAATAAATAGGAATATTGCAATACCTCTTTGAATATTAAGGGAAGGGGCAGTATCTTGGGATGACCAAAATCGATTTTGTCATTTTCAAAACATGTGTGTACAGACCAGATTTATTCTTTGGAGATAGAAGGTCATATTGCTATGGATAGCATTTATATAATTGCTGATATACTTCAAGTATTCCTAATAGAAAGAAAAAAGATACGATTAGTACGAGAGAATAATAATTATAAAGTCTTGCTTATCAGACAAAGTGATTCTTTGGCATCCTTTTAATACATGCGTGCAAAAGAGAGATAGAGAAAATCTAATAAATTCAAAATGATAATGAAGAAAGTATAACATTAATATAAGTTATTAGAAGATATTCTATTAAAGCTTACCATGTTTATTTCCATCATTAGCTTTTGATGATTGCCATCATCATCATTTTGCATCTAAAGATTAATAAGCTGATGATTAGCATCACGCAATAAAAGTTGTTTGCTTTCTTATTAATTTTTGTAAGCCAGTGTGTTATGTTAACTCATGCAGGAAGCCCTACATACACTGGAAAAATGACCTGACATACGTATGTGTAAAGGCGTAGTTACTCAGGTGTCAAGACGGGGTTTAACATTGAGTCCAGATACATATCACCATGTAACAAGTTCGTCTTAGCACCATATGCCATGACCAGCTATACACATGTGTGGGGTCAAATAAAAATGATGGGGATATAGTTCTTTAGCACTTTCGGTGTGTTGATCTGACTTGGGATATTGAAAAGAGTTTTTTGAAACCAAGGTTTTATTTTTATATGTTTTATATGGAGCTTTAAAGGTGGATAATATATTTATTTTCGATCTTGACACAGTAGTATAGTTCAACATTACACCTCTTCGTTATCTTTTATATCCAATTAAATTCAATACTTGAGCAATTCTTTGGGTTCTGAACCATACTATAGTTCAATCGTTTTTATTTTAATTTCAGAAATTGTTTTATTGGTAAAAATTTATAGTAGTATTTATTTGGAAAGAACAGAATGTTTCTAGAACTATAACAATCTTATAGTATTGATTTATTGGATATCCGTTATTGCTTCTACTGGTCTGCTTGATACTGTTTGAATAGAATAATTATCTACAGAAAAAAAATATCTGAAAATATAAAAAGAAAGCAGACTGTTTGTTGAAATACAACAGTCTTTAAGAAGCATAGACAAATTATTAGCTATGTGTGCTGGGTACTACATGTAATATAGTATGCTTTTACATTTTGTGTACACTTTTATACTTACATTGTAAATATTGGAAAAGAGCGAGCAAAAAATAGATGTTAATATTGATAATCCATGGCGTTCCTTATGATATCTTTCACTATAAAAACAATGAAAAACATTAATTTTTGTGAATCGAATAAAATAATAAATAATTTACATACCAGTAGCAAGAATATATATTAACAGAGATAGATTGTCTTTGTAAACACTTGATAAAACTCTAATGAAAAATAATAATATTTTATGTTAACACATTATAATATTAATATAACTAAAATAAAAAATAAAGTAGTGATCCTTACCATGTAATGTCATTTCCAGCTGTATAATGTAAGGGAAATCAAAGACGGGATCAACAGTGTTCATCTATAATAAGACTTCATTTTAGTAAGATACATGTCAAAATAATATATATATACACTACCTTGTTGTTTTTAACCAAATTCATTTGTAGCAGTTATTCTTGATGATCAAGTCTGTAATAAAAAAAAACAAGTCAGAAGGATTTTTATAGATGTCAATTTCGCAAAATATAATATTGACCTTTGTTAATCTGGACAGCGATTGTGAAATGAATGCATTTAAATAAGAGCAAACGAGTATCTATTATGATAATAAAAGAATGTATTAATTTTTATTATTTATAAAAAAGTATTTAATAAAGAAGTATGTTACCAAAAAAAAGCCACCAATATAATAATGACAAACGTTGGAAAAGAGGAAAGAAGCAGAAAAGAAGAAAGAAAAAGACGTAAATTTTTTTTCCGCATTTGAAACAAAATACCAAAAAGCTTATCCAATAAACGATAGCAAAAAAAAACTGAAAAGGTGTGATCAATTGAGACCAAAAAATGTATCAAGGCCGATTTGCATCTCAGTGTTTCAAGAAGTTGTCTTTGAAGTGTTCCTGAAGCATCACTACCGTCTATAAATACTTAATATTTCTACTTGCAATTCAATATCACTCACTCTTGATTATATCATCTCAACAAATCTACGTTGCGAATTTACTGTAATTTACATAACAAAATAGATGGATTGTCTCTTACAAAAGAGAATAAAAAAGAAAAAGAACTAATATTAACAATTAAAAATATTATAATATATTGCAGATAATACCTACCCCCAACCGCAGACTCACTCCTTCTCTTGCTAGCACTGATGTCCAGTTGCTACAAGCTTTGAATGCGATGAAAGAAGAGATAAAGGCCATGAAGTATAAGATCACATTGATGGATACAAGAATCGGTGTAGTGATCACCAGTAACGCAACCGCCATTAATGACATTGATGCCTTGTCTGCCCTCCCAGCACCTGTGGATGTGCCCACTAGTGTTGCATCCACTTCTGCTGCCCTTCCCACCACCGAATCAAGTGATACTAACGCTGTATTTGTAAGTATAAAGATACAAAAGACACTTGCCAATCTTGTTGCTAATTAAAATATAATAGGGATACATTCATGGTTATATGTGGAACCCAAAGCTAAAATCAAGAGACCAGGCAGAAATCCAAGCGAACGCCATAAAACCAAAGTGGGCAGTTGATATTCGTTTTGATTGCTCTCCAAATAGAGAGTTAGTCAAACAACTCTTGTATTACTTGGAAAAGAAGTTTGCTGGCACTGATATGAGGACACGTGACCCTCGTAAGTATATATACACAAACTTCTGTAGTAGACATTGCCAGTAAAGGGAACTTCTGGAAACAAGACAAGCCTTGAATACTAATTCAAGAAGATCTGACCTTGAAACTGATGTAAACTATATTTTCAATTTATGCTAAATAATAACAATTAGAATATTAACTGTATTGTCTTTTTTCTTTAGAACTACACTCACCGTCGCCTTGCTTATGATGCTTACAAGGCTGATATTGATCTCAAGATAGGTCAAAACTGCTCTGGACTGATCCAAAAGTCGGTCATGTCTGAAGGCGAATCAGACGATGATATGTCCCTCTTTCAGCCAAGAAATGAGATTTGTGTTGCTCACCCAAGTTGGAGAAGTGATGAGGTAAAACCTAACAGTTTTCTTTTTTGAATGATGCCAGGCTGAATGTTAATATATGTTTATTACTTAGCTTAACAAATTCATTACGGAGGTTGACTCATTTGTTGTTAAGTAATTGGGTGCAAATTCCCGCCAACTGCTTAAGAGAGTTTATGGTAGAACAGTGGAATCAACAGTCCCAATTGATTTAGATCCTGCTCTACCTCAATGGGCTCTTAAATATGGGTCATAAATAAAACTCATTTTTTGTTGTTTTTTTTTCTTTTACTCTCAAATTTTCTTAAAACATATGTATTGTTCGCAACATATATAATAAGACTACATTAGCTTATGTATTGAAATTTTTTATTAAAAAAGAAATGTATTAAATATTAATTGTATTGTTTGTGTGGTAAAGCGTTGACAAGTATTTTCTTATTATTTGTGCTGGTTTTATAATTACATGTTGCAACAACTGATGATATTCGATGTACTGGCAAGATGCATTCAAAATCACACGCAATAAAATCTGCACTGCAGATGTCAACACTTTCCAACTCTCTTGAACAGTCATGCTCAATCTGAAACCACTTAACAAACGCAAACACGTGTTTATCTTGATAAACGACACGTGTTTGAAGCTCTGTGTTGTTTACTGGTGGAGTGAAAGAGTGCAAGAACAGATACTGAATTTGGCCAGTGTATGCCAACCGATTATTGCCTTGACTTCCAAGGAACAGAGATTGAACAAATGAGCTGCAACCAGAAGCATATTTGCAGCCTTTGTAAACCTGACCAAGCAAATTGATTGATTTCAACTTTATGATTTGGTTGTCAACAAAGGAGAATGGAGAGGAGGGATGCTGGTAACCTTCAAGATTTGGCATGCAGTATGCGACTTTATAGTAATCAAGCAAATGAGGATAGTCGACATCACTTATTGCTGATGGGGGTTCGATATGGAGAGGAAATGCGGATGGAGGAAGAGATTCATTGCCAAGGACTGGAAGAGAAGGGTTTGAGTATGCTTGGATGAAGGCTGATAGTCTGAACGGGCGCTGGGGAAAAGTTATTGCATTTTTTGAAGTGGAGGGTTGAGCTGTGGCAGTAAGCTTGGCAAGAAGAGAAAGAAATGGTACTTGGCTTGGGAACGTGAGAGCAGCATAACAAAATCACCTTTGAATGTATCTTGGACGAAACTATTCATGTATGTAACCTCAAAGGAATCTTTTCTGTTCGTATTCACGTTCTTTAGCAGACCATTATATTGCTCAAACCCAAAGAGCCAATATCTATATACTGGTCCAAAATCACAGATGGTCTTGCAAAGATGGAGATGTAAATGCATGTTACAGGTGAGAATAGTTGGAGTGTAAATATGCTGGCACTCAGTACAGAATTCTTGAAGAAATTTATGACCATCGTCAATGTCAGAGAACGTGATGCTTGGCTTTACTAATTGGTGGCAGGCATCAACAAAACTGATCCAATTTCTGAACATTTCAATTGGCAGGATGGCCTTCAACATGATAGGCGAATACACTAGCACCCAGGACTTCCATTCATCAGATTTCATATATGGAAAGCCCTTTTCAATCTTCAATTTCAACACCACATAATCCATTGGCACCACCATTGTCTCTGCCATTGTTTGCATCGTAGCTAGCTTTCTATCGTCTATCAGTCCTTCTTTTATTCACCACTCCATCATTCTCTTTGGTGTCCCCAAGAATAAATTATGCATGGGATCGATGATTGTTCCACATACTAGATCCAAGTATCCAAGGCGATGCAGCTGTGACCATCGAACACCATTTTCAATTTCCAACTGATGCCTTTCTGAGGGCGTACTGGCACTCTTCCACTCCTCAGCATGCAACCTACTTTCCAGACCGCTATGGATTTTCCACGTTGAATAGTCGAACCCACTGAAGTCGACCTGATTGGTGCTTGGTAACCTGGTAAACTGTCTCACACATCTGGGGCATGCACAAGTACTGTTGTGGGCGGTGAATCCACTGGTCTTCCTGGCAGCGGGGATGTCACAGGCAACCATATGTAATGCAGCATGTACATTAACACCAGCTGGGCACTCAAAGGTTGGGATGGTTATCCTTGTAAACAACTGCAGCAATTCATCGACTATTGACTTTAAATAGTGGTTGATCTCTTCGGTCTTTGGCTCCTTAGAACCAGGCATCAAACCAACAAGGATGACATTTTCAGGCTTAAACCTTTCCTCACGAGGCAAGTTATTTATTGCAAGTTAGATAGCTCCAATTGAATATGTAACGCCATCAAATGGCTGAAACTAGTTGATGTTCATTGTTAGCATCAATGAACGAGATTCATCCACAAACGATACGCCACTTTGGTCCTTTAGCTCCTTCCACATAGTACTATCATAGACATTGCATAGTGTATCTATGACCTTAAGCTCTTTGTTCCATTGTCTGATTTTTTGCTCAAACCCAGAACAAAGAAAGAAAACTTGTAATGATCTCTGGATAGAGTTGTAGATGTTGTAAATGAGTATTGACTACTGCTGTAATTGAGAATAAGTCTGAAGGAAATAATATAAGGCCTCAGCTATTCCAGTCAAAGGTGTCTACCGATTACTTTATTATTTAACACACAGGTTTAGCATGCATGATAGTGATTATATTTCATATGATGATATCACCATAATATGGGATACATCAGTGGATTATTATAAGCATAATTATAACTCATAAACACATTTACTTTCGATGTTAATACTTCATTGGGACCACACACATTTATATAATTAATCATACATTAATTATCCCAAGATCACGTTGCTCTGATTAAGGCTCAGATAGGATCGATTACCTGACCCCAGTCATATAATTTTCCCAATCCAAAACAATATAAATAGCAGTAGTAGTTCAGTGTAGGAACCTCGTCAAACTTTGATACAAAATCTTCTCAATAAACAAAACCTACACAAGTTCTCACGAATCTTCGTTCCTAATTTCAAATCTTCAATTCTTCCTCTTAAAAACTTCTTCAACTTCAACCACCACAACAGTAGACATATGATCACTTGGCTACCATGGCACCAGAAGATAAAACCTTCATCAATTCACAATTGCATGCTGATCAAGAACCATGCTTTTTGAAGTTGTAATGAGTAGGGAGAGGCACATCTTGTTTGTAAACCTTGTGGCAGTCTTCACATACAACAGACTTTTTGATATCATTGGTGTAATTGGAAAAACCAGTCATTCTTTGCAGACCAATAAGACTTGTTGGTAATTGGAAATCTTTGCCATAGATCTTGAGTAATTGATTGATAAATTCAATTAATACAGTGGCATCTTTGTTAACAACATAACGCGAAATAAAAAGAACAGCAAAGGTAGCAATGAACCAATGGACAGGGTTTTCAGGCATGTTAGGAGCATCAAATGGGTCTATTTAAAATTAACAAAAATAAATTAGAACAAATTTTCTTTAGGTCTGTTTTTAAGAAAACAAAATCATTTATGACTGACCTTCATTAACAAACTCTTCAACGTCTGTCTCAACACCTTCTTCTTCACTACTGCTAGAGTCAGAGTTCATATCTCTTTCAATGTCAGAGTTATTGCCATTGACCTCGCTGAACTCATTGTCTACCGAGACATTGTCAGCCATTGTAGCGGCATTCGAATCAGGTGAGTCGGTCTGATCATCTATTTTTTTGATGGATTCAGATTGACAGGTCTGGATATATACAAATATAGATTAGTTTAGCTTATTGTCTCTACTGGTTTTCAAATTTTTTTTTCTTTTCTCACATTGGGTATCAACGTTCATCATTTGTTCTTCTTGCACAGCTGTGTTTCATTAAAATTAAAAAAATAAAAAAGTTATTACTCAATAATCAAAAAATAAACCCTGAATATAACATACTATTTGCCAATCTTTCAGCCGTATTCAGTCTCTCAATTCTCTCAAGCTCATCTTTTCTAATATGGCACTCAGCGGTTCTGCTTGTTACCAGTGAGTATCCCTGTGAATTTCTGCTACATTGAGCACAACAGCAGACAACATTACAGCGGTGGGAGATAGAAGGCATTTTATGTGTTTTGTTTGATGTGATTTATTGAGAATAAAAAGAGAAACAAGCATAAAATATACTTTATTTGCACCAACTTTATAATAAAACAAAGCATTATATTTTATGATTATTTAATTGAATTCTTCTAACAAGTTCTTTTCTATATCATTAAATATAGAAAGAGACATGACAGTTATGACATTATTAATTAATAGTCTTTATTCAAATGTTTTCAAGAATGCCTGTTATGTGTAAAAGACATATATTTTTCTACTATGAGTTTATAAATAGATTATTGTGAGAGTAAATCCAGAAAATAGTAGGAATAAAAAAAAGGGGTGGTAGAATGAGAATTATAATAGGTCTCTGTATGTGAATTTAGCCTTCCATACCAGACTGATATTCCAAAATTCTGTTAGCCAATGAAACCAATTAAAGCTACATCTTTGACCTGAACTTCAAAAAACACACTGAGTCAAAAAAAATCACTATTTCTACATATGTGTTTACCAACCTGGCTACATTGTTAATCAGGGCGGTTTTTCCAGTGTAAATGGCTTTATTAGATTGAGTGTTGTTGATTGACATATTTGGTAAGAGTGTGTATTTTAATAAAATGTGTAATTTAATAGATATAGAATATCTGTTTCAAATAAACAATTCAAAATAAAGAAAACGATTGGCAGTCACCATTTTGGTTAATATTTTATCATCTATCAGAAAATATAGACTTTCTTTAACAACACATGGAAAAAAAAGAAGGAAATGTAACTGCTGGGGATGCTCTTACAGCATTGGAAGAAAAACCCAAATCGAAAACAACACCAGATTGAGAACAACAAATTTGCACATGATATAGACACAATGGTGTTGTGATTAATTTTTGTGATACAAGTTCTAGTGACTTGTTATTACAAAAGAAGCAGGAATTAGAATGATTATTCATCAGTTTGTAATTTTAGAAATTTGTAATCAGTTTATAATAATTTGTAATATTACTAAACACTACTTGAGTGTAGTCAAAGATTAATAATCATTTCAAAAAGTATATAAGATAACCCAAATTAAATAATAAAAATCATCTTTTTATTCTCTCTCTTATTTGCTTACTTCTGTGTTATTAAAGCTTGACCAATTCGGCTACGTTTACAGTGAATTGGAAGATGGACTAGATCAGGAATGACAATGGCTTAAAAAATTATAAACCAACAATTTTTAAAACCATAAAAGATAATCAATGAATATATGCCTTCTGCCAGAATTGAACTGGCGACCTTCTGCTTACTAGGCAGACGCTCTGCCAACTGAGCCAAGAAGGCACTGCTCTTTCGCTTAAGCATTTTATTTGCCTGGTTCCAAAATTTTATTTTTGACGAATCCACATATAAAGTGTATCCATCCATCAACATCTTTACGCAAAACGATCCATCCATCACGAAAAACGTACCTCCCATTGCCAAAAGTAGTGCAGTCCTTGTCCTTGGTATCCCAGCTGTCAGCAAAAAAAAATTTCAGCTCAATCAGACAACATCACGCCATCTGCATTCTCAATCCCAATGGCCAATTTGCAAATCGGCAACATGCAGGGATTGCCAACCGAGCTTACCTCATTCCTGACAACATTGCAGGCACAAATCATGAATGTGCAAAACAGAACCGACCAGTTGGAGCGACTTGCAGCAGAGAATGCAAGACTAACTACTGAATTAGACCATGCTAGAACAACAATTGCTAATCTGCAGAAGCAATTAGGATCTCAGAGTGCATCTGAAAAAAACTTTTCAGAAATTTCACTTTCGAACCCAGCCGGCGCAGTAGGTGCTCCTGACAAAAACAAAGAACCAGGTCTGGAAGCCTCCACTTGGGCTACTAAAGCCAGTGTTTCTCTTCCTGTAACTGCCCCAAAAATGTCTACTGTTCCCTCTGCTCACCGTATTGCAGCTTCTGTTCGTATGTTTGCTCTTCCCTCTGGTCCTTCAGGTTATGAATATGTTTATATTCCAAGATCAAGACGCCTTAAGCACAAAGAAGTCCGTTCCTCTCTCCGCACTCTTGGTGTGGATTCTTCTCGACTTTTGGACATTAACTTCCCAGCCAGAGGTGTCATTGGCATCCTTGTTCATGTCCAGTATGCTGATACATTTAAGGCCAAACTGACAACTGCTTCTGTTGAGATTTTGGACGCATTTGATCCACTTGATCCTGATAATGTTGCTGATCCCAAGTATGCATCTCTGTCCACTCATGAACTTGCCAACACTGCTGCCATGCTTCACCATGATAGATGTCTCCAAGCCCTACAGTTCTTGCGCCCACACGTTGCTATCCCAGTTGGTCACTTCTTTTGTGAGGAAGGGTGGATCAGTGAAGATGAAATACCAACACGTACTACTCTTACCAATGCTACTGGCGGGTCTTTGTTCAAACGTCAGCGCAGCTCATCAGTCACTATGTCTGAATGAGTAATCTCAATATCGGATTATGGAATGCCAATGGCCTGCAACCCAGAGCCATTCAAGATACCCTTCAACACTGTCAGTCCTTACATATGCTCTTCATTACAGAAACATGGCTTCTCTCTCCCTCACATCTTCCCACATCATGGTCACAAATTCACTTGTATGGGTCTCCTGTAGCTGGCACCTATAGGGGCTCTATGGGTGTTTCTGTTCTCATATCACCTCACTGTCCTTATGCCGTCACTCAAATACCTATGCCCTCCAAATATGCTCTGGCTGTCAAAATTGGCTCACTCAGAATTGTATGCTTATATCTTCCACCAAATATGCCCACTCATGATGTCCTACATGTACTCTCTTCCATTCCTTTAACACATGATACCATTCTTTGTGGAGACTTCAATGCAAGACTTGGCTCTGTTACTGGTGACTATGCATCAAATTCTCGTGGACTGGCACTATGTTCTTGGATAGAAGAGAGATCTCTATCAGTTGTAAATGCAGATCTTGCACCTTGCATGCCAACATATATTTCTTTCCGCAACAACTATGAAATCAGCAGTATTATTGACCTCTTTATAACTAATATGCCACTCATCAATCCTTCTCTTCATATTGCTACTGACTTGTCTCTTAGATCAGATCATCGCCTTTTATCACTTTCCTTTACCTATGATCTACAGCACTCTACCAATATGCCACCACCATTACGCAAGACATGGAACCTCTCACGCCTCAATGAACCTGATGTCCATGCTCTTTATGCTCATACCTTCAATCAAAACTCGACCTCCCTCCTTTCCACCTTGCAAGACATTGTACAGAATCCACCACTCACTAGACCCAACATTGATGCTATCACTGATGAGTTCAATTTACTCATTTATGACTCATTAAATAGCTCAATTGGACATCGACCCTCTCGCCCAAATCATTGGAAATCCTTCTGGAATGTAGCTTTGCAAACAGCAGCAGATCGTCGTAACCAATGTTACAAAAAATGGCGCCTAGCAATAGGTATTGACAAAGTTGTTTGGTGGACTAAACACAAGCATGCACAGGCCGAATTCCGATCTCAGGTTCAGCAAGCAAAACGTCAGTCTTGGCATGACTTTTGTCAGTCTATGGAATGTGACTTCAGCAAAGCAACATCAAAGATAAAGCAGTTAAAACGCCGTAGACAGCCGCAACATACTTTCCAGCACGATGATAGACCAGCCGTAGCAGCAGCAACAATGTGTGACTATTTGGCAACAGTATATAGTGGACATATACTTCCAGCAACCCGACCACCAGCACCAATGACCACTTGTAACAGTGTGCCTTTTGCCTCTGATGACTCTCCCTTTACCTCACCAATTGTAGAGGAATTCATGCAATTTATGCCTAACCGCAAGGCACCAGGACCAGACCATATCAGAGCTGAAATGCTAAAACCTGTAAAAACACATGTCTCACCCATTCTTACTTTATTATTTACAGTTTGCTGGCAATGGTCATATGTTCCAAGTTTGTGGCGCCAAGCCCAGGTCTTCCCAATCTTCAAGAAGGGTAGTCCAACTGACCCGGCAAACTACCGACCAATCTCCTTGACCTCTGTACTGCGTAAGCTTTTTGAGATGTGTATAGCCCCCCAGTTGCACAAGTACTCTCCTCCTTTGGATGTGGCTCAAGGTGGTTTTCGTCCTCGCCGTGGTGCTTTGGATCAAGCTCTCTGTCTCCATGATCTGATGAAAGCCTATTATCACCGTCATAAGCACTACCCTGTTGTTGCATTTCTGGATATCAAGGCTGCCTATGATACAGTGGATTGACGAATCATCTGGCATGCTTTACAAAAACGTTGCACTCCACCGGCACTTTTGGGTCTCTTGGTTAACATGTTTGACAATGTCTCTATCTGTGTCCTTTTGGGTAACTTTTCTTCACACTCGTTCTCACCTGCCACTGGGGTTCTCCAAGGTTCTGTCCTCAGTCCACATCTGTATTCAATATATATCAACTCCCTGCCCCCATTGCTCCGCACAGTTGCTCACTCACAAACTACAACCCATGTTCCATCACCCTCTCCTACCTCATTGGATGCATATAATGCTCTTCTTGCTCCTTCAGGTGTAGATGGCTTTGGACATATTCATTTCTCAACACCCATCAATTCTCTGCTCTTTGCCGACGATGTAGCTATTTTTGGTTCTCTTTCAGACGTTCAGGCCATGCTAGACCTTGCTGCAGACCACTCTCTTACTCTTGGATATCGATGGAGCCCCACCAAATGTGAAGTTATATATCCCAAAACACGTGCAAGCTCGCCAGTTTCTCTTCTTTTATATGGTCAAGTTCTCCCTGCCACTGACCTGTTTATTTATCTGGGTGTTCCTTTTGCCAATAAGGGTATTTCTTCCAAGTCCATTGCCACTCATAGACGTTCTGGTACACTCGCTACAATGGCAACCCTAAACTCTGTTGGTGCTTGTCGTTCTGGTTTTTCTCTGCTGCTCAGTTCATGGCTGTATAAAACTTTTGTTCGCCCAAAGTTTGAATATGGTTTGGCTATTTCCACTCTGCTGAAGCAAGATATTAAAGTTCTGGAGTCCATTCAAGATAAGTGTCTTCGCATGATTGTTGGGGGGCATGCCACGTCCTCTACAATTGTGTTGAAGCATATCTGCAATCTGCCAAATATGAAGTTTCGTGCAGATGTTCTTATAGCCAAATTTTGTATCAGATCACGCTTTCTGCCTGCCCAGTGCCTTTTGTCTCTTTTACACCGTCATCATACCATCTATTCTTCACTTGTCTCCCTGGGAAAAACCCATCTTCTGTCACATCTCCCTCCAACACTCAAACTCCAAAGCCCTAGTGCAGTAAAAAACCATTTTGAAAGCATTAGAGAAGCTGGATTTACAACCTTTCTCCAGTCCAATACACAAGTTCTCATTCAAGCATGCCGCCCAGTTCTTGGAGTTGATCCAATTTTGTTTCTGCCAGCCTCACATGTGGAACGTGGCCGTTTGATTCGTTGGAGAATGGGGTGGTTACCAGGCAAACCAAAGGAATGTCCTTGTGGATCAGATCACACCTCACGCCGCCATTTATTGAATTGCCCACTTGTTCCTGTGGCACTATTTGAACAGTTGCCTTAACCTGACCAAGATCAGATACACAGAATTGATTTTGCCATCACATCCTTGCCTTTGTCATCTCAAGAACCACGACCTGCTTACTGGATACCACTGCTGACTATTCTTTGGCACATAGATATTATATGTAATCCTGATGGTGACTATTCACATGAGACTGAACATGGTACTCTTTGGATATAATTTAAACCTTTTTCTTTTCTTTTCTAGTTCTCTACTTTTCTTTTCTTTTTTCTTGCTTTGCATCTCTTCTTTCTCTTTTGTTCCCCTCTGTATGAAAAGTTCTTTGTTCTGCAATTCTGTCTCCTCCCTTTCACTGTTACAACTATTTTCATAGCTGCAAAGCAGAGAGCAGGTTCAGCCATTGAAGCTAGTATGATTTGATCTTCTCTTTTCCCTCTCTTTTTTTTGTCTTTTGTGATCCCTTGGGACTTTTTTATATCTTCTTTTTGTACTTTGGAGGCTATATGATCTATAGATCGCCAGCAATATCTCCTTTAATAAAATATAATCTTTAACCTGAGCCAAGAAGGCGACTGCTCTTTCGCTTAAGCATTTTATTTACCTGGTTCCAAAATTTTATTTTTGACGAATCCACATATAAAGTGTATCTATCCATCAACATCTTTACGCAAAACGATCCATCCGTCACGAAAAACGTACCTCGCATTGCCAAAAGTAGTGCAGTCCTTGTCCTTGGTATCCCAGCTGTCAGCAAAAAAAAATTCAGCTCAATCAGACAATATCACGCCATCTGCATTCTCAATCCCAATGGCCAATTTGCAAATCGGCAATATACAGGGATTACCAACTGAGCTTACCTCATTCCACTGGGGAATTAGATTTCTACACATATGCGATAGTATGGGAAATTCTGAGTGACAGAATAATTAAATTCTGGAATTTGGCATTTATAGATTCCGTTTGCAATATGTTATGTTACCTGTGAGTTGTCCATGTAACTTCTGAACTTATAATGATTCATATAGAGATGTAAGGTTCTTTTAAACTATTTAATTGCAGAGAGAATAATCAAATTATGGCATCTTTTTTTTTGGATGTTACATTAAATTAAACTTGATTTGAAACAGAGATTCCAATAAAAAATCTATTTTTGATAGAAAACTGTCTACTGAAATAATGATATTCTATTGGATCATTTAACAGAAGAAACAGGATTTATGTATACTGTCTTCCGAATCTAAACACTTTTATTAGACAATTATGCACGGCTAAACTATAGGATTCACACATGCCATACTACTGCAATACTTCTTGCACTTCATTTCAAATATTTGTATAGGGATTGTTTTGGAAAAATTGTTTTTATTAAAAAAAAAGCTTCTTGCTTATAATATGTACGGCTTGACAATATATAGTCTAATCTAATATATAGGCTACTACATAATTAATATAATAACAAACCCTTTCATATATTATAATATATAAATACTTCCAATACAATAGAATCCTAAAAAGAAACGCGTGTTTACGGTATTTCACTAGTAAGAGAAGGCTAAAAAATTATTTAATTATATTAGATTATATAAATATTTATTTTTCTTTAATTTAAATAATATAGTTACTTACCAGTAATTTCGTCAGAACCAGGTATAGTGCACATTGACTGTTGTTCTGAAAGGTTTAATAAAACCCATTAGTAAAGATCATGAAATAAAGTTTGGCTTTATTACTTACCAAAGAAAACCGGTTTTCAAAGACAAGCCATTCAATCAGGTACATAGAAATGTTGGCAGTACTAACAGAGATAGAAAATAAACAAAATTAGATATAAGAATAAAATAAATAAATACATTATTCAGACTTACCAGATAAATTTCTGCTGTTGATATGTCTTTATGATGAGCTGAGGAGTTAATGAGCTGAGGAGCTAATGAGCTGAGGAGAGAAAAAGAAAATAATTAATAAAGAAACACATACACAATAACCGCGTTTTACCTTTTTGTTCTTGTCCATTAATCAACACGGCAAAGACTTGTAATACTATCAGCAACCACAATAATAATAAAAGAAAAAATATTAAGAATAAATATAACAGTAGAATAATAAAAACAAATTGCTTACCAGGGTGTGAACTCAAATACATCAACCAGAATAAAAGTAAATAAAGCGGAAAAGAAACAAGAAAAAAAGAAGAAAAAAGTGGGCTTTCAAACAGAAGGCAGTTTAGATGAGAATTGACTCTAGTAAAATACAATAGTAATAAAATAAATAGTCCAAAATTATATTGTAACACTAAGTTCTATGTTGAATATTAAAGAAGTTGTTCAAGGTTATAAAGGATTTTATAGAAAATAATATATAATCTCTTCCTTTTCTCAGCTATTTCATAAATCTATTTTATATTAACTTATTTTGTATGTATATCTTTGATTAAACAAAAATAAATATATTTCAACCCATATATTTATTTTATTTTAATAATTTATTAATGTATAAAACTTTAATAAAAATACAATAAAGAAAAAATGCCTTCCAATAGCTGCAGAAAAACAGACCATAAAGGAAAAGGAAAAGCATCTGCAAGTATATCTACCTCTGCAAACCGTGTTTTGGCTGGCTGTGTTGGACCTTGAGAAATTGCCCCCAGTTTCTCATCCGCAACTATCCAAGATCAGCAATACGCGGAAATTGTTGAAATGTTTAACAAAGTAAACAACAGTATCAACGGTGTCAAGGATGACATTGCTGCTGTCAATAGCAACATGACAGCCTTTAAAAACAGGATGGGTGTTGTTGTTGACACGTCTGGAAAGACACATACGGCATTTGCAGACTTTGCAACTGCTTATGCCAACGATCAGACTCGTATGGCTAGTCTAGGACCATCTCTGATGCCATCCTATGTCCCCCAGACCTCCCTCAGTGATGCCGAGGTTTCTGTCATTATCTCGGTAATTAGTATTAATATATGTTAGTATCAACAACTTATTAAACAACCTGTATTTAGGAAATCTTCGCAGAAAAGTTGTGGGACTGGAAGTTCGAGTCTTACAACCCTGCTCTTGTTGCTGAGAACGAGAGTAAGAAGAAGTGGAACTTGAACGAGAAGATTAACCACCACAATAACGTAGCTGTTATCAACTACTTGAAGAGCTACATTAGCGCCCAGACTCGTCTAGCTGGTACTCACCCACGGGTGATAAGTGATAAAATAAAGAACAGGTACAAGCACAGTCATCGTACTTTTCACGAGTCTCCTGAGCAGAAGGCCAAGAAAAACAGCAAGGGGAGAGCAAACAGTCGTACTCTTCAGGTTTGTATATACTATATAAAAAATTAATTGGTATATTACTATTTTCTCAAGCTACAATCTATATAATCAGATGTCTATCTGACGCAAGTCGACATACATGGACAACTGGGTAGCCATTGATGCTGCAATGAGATATAAGACTGGAAACTCTGTTGAGAAGGCCTATCTCAAACTCTTTCAGAAGGATGCCATGTCTGATGGTGAGTCAGATATTGAGATTGTGGACAATCTTCCACGACGGTGTTTGCATGTGGCTTGCCCCACTTGGAGAAGTGAAGAAGTAAATAATATTTAGAATAAATAAATAAGTTTTATAACAAGAAAAATAAAGAACTAATAAAAATAAATACAGTTCAACAGATTGTTGACAATGGTTGATGGCATTGATCGTACCCATCACGTGTCAAATGCAGGCATGGGAACAAAGCCAAGAATGAACAGATATCCAGCAACATTGTTGCCTTGCTCTGTTCCTGCCACCCTGTCCCAGTCATTGCCTCGTTAGGCAATCAACGATGAATAAACATTTTCTTTTTTACTATGTTCTGTTGTAGGGCCAAATAGTAATAATTGAAATTGAATTGATTAAAGGAAATAATAATAATAGAGGATAAATATATAAGTAAGTGTGTGTATGAGAATTAATAGTAAATTTTTTTTGGTAAAGGAATCGCAAGTTTTTTGTTGACGTTTTTTGTAGTTTTATAATCTACTATTGCAACTGTTAGGAGAATCCGATGTACTGGCAGGATGCTTTGAAAATCTTGCTTGTAGAATTCATCCTGTAACAACTCAACTCCTTCTAATTCTCTTGTTTTGTCCGAAGTGGATTTGAACCATTTGACAAATGCAAATACATGCTGACTACTATGGGGATTTCTGTATGTTAGAGAAGAAACAGTTGGCCTAAAATTGTGAACAAAAAGATACTGAATATCTCCAATATACGCATGTTCCAACCCAGTTCGTTCAGTGAAATATGCTTGTATATATGATCCATGGTCATTCGTGCCAATGCACCCTTTGTAGCTTTGCCCAATAAGATCAACAGACTTCACCATTTCGATCCAGTCATTGACGAAAGGTGGGTCATCAATTACATCTTTGCAACCTGAGATCTGTGGATTCTTGTACGCAGCTTGATAGTATCCTACAAGACAATCATATTCATGTTTTGGCATAAATGATAATGATCTTGTTTTCAATGGCAAGGCGGATGGTGGCAGGGGCTCGTTTCCACAAATTGTCATTGAAAGATTCTGTGAAGCTTCAAGATATTTGGAAATTGAGAAAGAGTGAGAGAGGTAGGTGTTGGTGTTGGTGTTGGTGTTGGTGTTGGTGTTGTTGTTGTTGGTGGTGAACTTATCAAAAATTTCAAAACATGCAAGTGCATGCATAGGTTTCAGAAGTCGACAAACAAAATCTCTCTTCCACGACTCTTCAATGAACTGTCTCATAAATGTCAATTCGAACCTGTTTCTTCGATTGGTTTGGATATTTTTCAGGACACTATTGTACCTTTCAAAGCTGAAAAGCCAATAGTCATAGACGGGCCCAAAGTCAATCATTGTTTGGCATAAGTGCAGATACAGATGCATGTTGGGAGAGAGAAGGTCCAGGTTGTACAATGTCTCACACCCTTTACAGAATTCTTCTAAGCATTTGTGTCCTTTCTCAATGTCTTCTTCAGAAACACTAGGCTTGGTGAAGTATCTGCATGCGTTAACAAACTCTATCCAGTTCTTGAACTCTGGCAACGGCAACACATCCCTTAGAACCACAGGAGACTACACAAGGCACTAAGACTTCCACTCATCAGCCTTCATATAGGGAATGCCCTTGGCAATCTTTGTCCCAAGTGACATGTAATTGGGCAGCAACACTACCTTCTCAACAGTCTTTTGCATGGCAACGAGTTTTTTATCGTCGATTAATCCATCCGCAACCCATCTCTCCAGCATTCTTTTGGCAGTGCCTAAGAAAGGATTGTGCATGGGATTGATGATCGTACAGTGGACAATGTCAAAGTACTGAAGACGATGCAGTTCGGACCAGCGAACACCATGTGCAACTTCAAGACACTGTCTCTCAGTTGGTTTGGTTGCATTTCTCCAGATCTCTGCATCCTTACGATTGTCATTCTTAGTGCGAAGGAGCCACTTTGAGAAATCGAATCCAGAATAATCAATGGAACTCGTTCCAGCCAACCTCAAAAATTGACGCTTACACTTGTGGCATGCATTTGTACTTGTATGGGATGTGAACCCACATACTTTCCTTGCAGCAAGTATATCACAGGCAACCATGAGAAGGGCTGCTCAGATAGAAGTACCATTTGGACATTGGTGAGTCTTAATCTTAATATCTTTGTACAGCTCCATCAACTCATCCACAAGCGGTTTCAGATAGTTATTTATGTCAGAAGTGCTCACTTCTTTAGGCCCTGGCATTAACCCAACAAGAATTACGTTCTCCTTGAACTGCTCACTGCGTGGAAGATTATTGATTGCAAGATATATGGCACCACAGGAGTAGATAACACCATTGAATGGCTGAAACCAGTCAATGTTCAGTGTGAGCATGAGTGATCGCTTGGTATCAACAAACGTAAATCTTAGGGGACAGGGGGTTTTTGGATGATGGGGACAGTGGGTTACACAAGCTTATAGTGAGTAGTCTGGCAGATAATTAGAGGCGTGACTACTTTTAACTTGTCCGGCAGACATCCATCATTTCTGTGTATAACACCCTGTCCCCCAAAAAACAGTCACCCCCTGTCCCCATCCAGTATAATCACTTGTCTTTATTCACTAAGAAAAATCATGCAAAAGTGGAAGAACATTTGTCAGTAACTTTTCATTTTCATTTTTATTTATTTTTAAAAAATTCATAACTCGTTCAAAAAAATAGATAGAAATATGAGAGTAAGATGGTTGGTTTCATTGATTTTCTTTGCATAAAGTGAGTATTTGTTTGTTTTGTAATATTTTTTGAATCACGTTTAATGAGTGAATTACAAAAGTTCTGTACATTTCATTTGTGAAAGATTGAACAAAAAAACAACAATTTGAAAATATTAGTAAAAATCACTTGCAAATGCTTTATATCAATAGAAAATAGTAAAAAAACGTTTCAGTAAAAGTTTTAGACCATATTATTATGTAGAAAAGATATTTATTAGCAAAAACAATATGTTTCAAATGTTTAAAAACGTGAAAAAAGTGTATATTTTGCTTGTTTATTCAACCAAAACATAATAAATTAACTTCAAATTTTGGATATAGAGATGTACGTATTTTTTTAGCAATACGGCAAAATATCCAAGCTTTAGCATTCGAATGAAGACAGATATCTATCAAAAGCTATGCATCATTTCTGTTTTACATCTTTTATAGTGAAATTCACGTCTGTGATTGGATGAAGATCTTAATCAGATTGCTTATAAATGCACAGACTTTGTACTCCAAAAAATAAAAGCCAATTATATAGTCTTCTAATTAGTTGGATGCCAATAATATTCGTATCTGGGTTTTATATGTAACATTAAAATTAAAGACAGACTGGGTGCAATTGTGTTTGTTAAAAAATTAAAGAAAAAAATAGGAGTAAAGTATATTAAAAGATAGAAAGATGGATAAGTTATATATGTGTGAGGTCAATAATATCGTAAGAATTTATGGGAGAATTTATAGGAGAGTCAGTGGCAGTAGTAATAATTGTAGTAGTTGTAGTAGTGGAGGGTAAAAGATAAGACTTGTTCTTTAGGAACTGACCCCAATGATTCCAACTTGTGGAAAAGCAGTCAATGATACTCCCTCTATGGATAGCATCAAAATACAGCGCATTTACCTCAGGCCAGGACCGATGTACATGAGGCTTCACTTTAATTGTTGTCCAGTGGCACCCATGTACATGGTGCAAGACCATCGGCAATGACTTTCTTTTGAGAGGCTTCTGATCATGGAGGGGAAGGAAAGTTACAGACAAGACGCTCCAATCGTCAGAGTACACACAAACAGGCTTGTTATAGGTGTCAGCTATTATCTGAGCACAGTCTGGTGCAGAGAACCACATAGAGGAAGGGCAAGATGGGATATTTTCCCCAAGAGCAGGGTCAATCTCGGAGCCAAAGGCAATGATCTCTGTCACTTTGGCAACATCCATGCCAAAGTTGTGCTCATAAAGTTTACCATGGGTTGCCATCGTGGCCAACATCTTCTTCTTCACCAAAGGAAACTGATCCTCTCCACCCTCTTTCAGGTGTGCAAATACACGGAAACCGCACCAACCATTGTACTTGGGGTTAAACGTCAACAAAATGGCAGCTTGTTCGATTTGAGCAGGCAGAGCAAAGTCATACACATTTTTGTTTTGTTTTTTTGGACTAGGCAAATCGTACCAGTAGTCGTCTTGGAGATGTTTAGGTCTTTTAATTCCAGAGAAATATTTTTCAGCTAAGAAGAAACAAAAAACAATGTAACATTTAGCATTTAATTTTAGTAAAATATCTTATCAGTTACCTTCTTCAAGAGACTCTTGCTTTTTAGCGAAATTGGTTGTTTTAGCTATAGAGAAAACATGCAATGTGTGAGCAAACCATACAAAATATTTTGTGATTCATTTATAAGTTATCAAAAATTACCTTCTTCAAGAGGCTCTTGTTTTTCAGCGAATTGGGTTTCTTTTTTTATTTCTTTTATGACTAGAAATAGTAAGCATTAGATATTACATTATAATTTCACAAAAAAACCAATTATGAATTACTTTTTTTGAGAGGCTCCCCCTCTAAGAACTCCTTCATCACTTCTTTAAGTCCTTCTTTCAAAATACTTCTGATATCATTCTAAAGAAATAAAGAATAAATATGTATTAGATTGTGAAATCATGTTTGTGTATGTTGCATGCTTACTTTGTTCTTTTGCACGAGGAGATATCTGTGCTTGTGATGGACAAAGTCCTTTGGGAGAGCAGTTTTTCTTTTGACGTACTTAGGTCTTCCAGGAGCTTTGACCTCACTTGCCAAAGGAAATACAATATTTGGATGGTCAATTATTTCACCAGCATTGTCAACAAGTTCATTAACCATTGTTATAAGATTCTGGACTTGTTGATTCCCTTCACACTGACGAAACAATTGTTCAAGCTTTGTTATACATTTCACCCATGGGGCAGGCTTTTCAACATCAATTTTCTGTAGAGAAACGTCACATTCCAGTTGCTTCAAACGTTCACCCAAAGAAGAAGACAGAATCCATCTTTCAGGAATGTCTGATAACAGCAACATATGATCTCTTGGCAGATCATGGCAACAAGGAAGACCAAACACCACTTTTACTCTGCAATTGCAAAGCTCACCAGGTACAACCTCTTCTAGAAGCTTAGCACAGATGGTGATCAAACCAATTCTGGAGACGTGGTGAATCAATCCATGGAGGTGAGGTTCATGGTATATTCTGGCATCTGTGATAGTTGCCTTATTCAACTCAAGGTCCTGATAGTCGCCCTCGAACTGGAGAAGATAAGAGCAAATTTGCTCAAATGAAGAGTTCAATGACTGAAGAGCTGAGATTTTTCTTTTCAGAGCATTATGGCCACTCTCAACACGTTGTGTTTGTTGTAAATGAGTATTGACTACTGCTGTAATTGAGAATAAGTCTGAAGGAAATAATATAAGGCCTCAGCTATTTCAGTCAAAGGTGTCTACTGATTACTATTATTTAACACGCAGGTTTAGCATGCATGATAGTGATTATATTTCATATGATGATATCACCATAATATGGGATACATCAGTGGATTATTATAAGCATAATTATAACTCATAAACACATTTACTTTCGATGTTAATACTTCATTGGGACTACACACATTTATATAATTAATCATACATTAATTATTCCAAGATCACGTTGCTCTGATTAAGGCTCAGATAGGATCGATTACCTGACCCCAGTCATATAATTTTCCTAATCCAAAACAATATAAATAGCAGTAGTAGTTCAGTGTAGGAACCTGGTCAAACTTTGATACAAAATCCTTTCTCAATAAACAAAACCTACACAAGTTCTCACGAATCTTCGTTCCTAATCTCAAATCTTCAATTCTTTCTCTTAAAAACTTCTTCAACTTCAACCACCACAACAGTGTTATCACATAGTCAAAATGTTTTAATTGACTAGTGAGGTAGCCAGCCCACTTTTTCTTGCATGGCATTCACTCATCTTCAAAGTACTTTTCCAGAGTTCTTTTTTCTACAACCTTTGTAGAATCATCATTATTGTCTTCCAGCTGCTCTTTACTTTGGAAATCTTTCCAAGATGACAGCAATTTGAAAAGCTCAAGATTTTCATCAAAGACATCACGTTTATCTCCGAAGATCATTTTGTTGACTAAATGTGTGCACAACTCTTTTTCTTTTCCTGGCTTCATTGTTTTTTTTTGCCATTTTGGCAATGTTGTTGATCATATGCCAACCACACAGAAGCTTCTTGGCCAAGGGGAACTCGGAATCAAGCGCATTCATCAATGCTTTACATTTGTCTATAACAAATATAGGGGCTTTATCAACCCCCACCAAAACAATTGCTTTCAGAGACTTCACAAACCAAACATAGCTCTTCTCTGTCTCATCAGTTACCCATGCAAAGGCCACAGGAAAGCTCTTCAACCTTTCTCCACCTAGGTTACTGACACCCTCTATGCAAACCAATGGCATCTTCGCGCAGTTTGTCTTGTATGTAGCATCCACAATAAAGACATTGGGGAAACGTCGAGCTCTCTTAATCATTATATTGTTCGTAAAAAATATATGAGTGAGTCTATTTCTCTCATTAAACTCATAGAGAACGGAAAATCCCTTTGCTTTCATTGTTCTGATGAGCTCAGTAGTGCCATGGGCAGACTCCTCATCACCACGAGTAGCACTGTACTTGAGATTGTTGATATCACTGATCCTAAGCTTTGTCATTCCTGTCACCTTGTCACTTGTTGCCTTCTGAACATCACGGGACTTGGCATGATTCTCCAACATTATCTTTGCAATAGTGGCATCTTCAGCAGTCAAAAGAGACATTCTTCCTTGGTGAGAAGAAGCCAAATTCTCAGGGGTGACAGGGTGGTTGTGGCAATGTTCGTTTTCCCCATAGGCGGGCAAAGGAAGATATCTTTTGCTCTTCTTCTTATAAGAAAATCTTAAGAGATAGGGGCATCCAGTAAGAGAAGAGTTGGGCGTCTTCTTTCTTTTCTCATCACTTATATTGCGCTTGTCACGATAAACACCAGCGTTTGAACAAGCAATGTAAAGAATAGGAAATTTTCCATCCTTAATCTTAACAGTGAAGTTATTAGAAAGGGCGTAATTGTTTACAGCTTGAAGAACACTCTGCTTGTCAGGATAACCATTCTCGGGGAATGAGAGAGTTGTTTTAAGCGAGTACATCTTCTCAATAGGGGTATTGAAGCTGGTGTTCATATTTAATAAAAGAGCACTGTAGTTATATAAGTATTTTTATTGATTTATGTGCGCAATGTATGCAATGTATGCAATGTACATAATGTAAAAAAGGCATCATATCTTGTTATTTGGAAATATTATTTTTTATTCTTACAACTAAATATTAATGACTTTAAGAAAGGGGGTTTTTTATTTTTCCCGGGAAATTGGAATGATCTAAAGATGGGGACAGGGGTGTGCTTATAATGATGGAGCAAGATGTGCTTATAAATGATGGGGACAAGGGTGTGCTTATAAAGAATAGGGACAGGGGGTTCTTCAAGACACTTTATAGGCAGGCCTCAGACTCGCAGTCACCTTAAATTGTGCGGTGCCATTACCCCCCATCCCCTAAGATCACTGATCAACTAAAGGTATACCATCTACGTCTACTATCTCATTCCACATTGCACTATCGTACACGTCAAACAAAGTGCTATCCATTTTTGGGCCGCGGTTCCATGAGTTGATCTTGTTTTCAAAATCCGGGCATTGAAAAAACGTCTTTAGGGCTTTCTTGACAGAGTGGAATACATATGTCTTTTTGGGTGTTTTTGACCTGGGACCAGACTTAAACAAGCTGTTGCCACACAAGAAGGTTTTATCAAAATTGGGTGATGTACAACACAAAGGGGCGGCTTCATTATCATATATGACATGGCATTCACTACATACAACATATTTCTTGACACCACTTATCAATGCTTCAAATCCGGCCAAAAGTTTGAGGCCAGCAACACTCACGGGAAGGCGGAATGGGTCAAACAAAAACTGCAGGATCTTGCTGATTATGGCAATCAGGATTACAGCTCCTTCATCCACGACGTATAGTGAGACAAAAAGAGCAACCGAAATAATAATGAATCGGTGAATCAAATTCAATTCCGAGATTGATTCCAATGAAGAATCTTTAATTTGATTTTTTTTAAAGAACGTTGATTAACTCTCTATTTTCTAGGATATAATATTATCTAAAGCTGTGTACCTACCTTCATCATTGTCCATCTCAACATCGGATTCATCTTCATATTCTTCTTCTTCTTCGTAAGTGTCACTTGTATACTAGACATTATCTTCAGGGCCAAACACACAATGCGTTTCAGAGAAAGGTTGGTTTCTTGTCCATATATCCAAAATGTTATTTGTGTCATTTAGGTCTACAAAAGCGAAATGTTAGACCCAAATAAATCAATGTAATAAAATAAGTTTTCTTACTTCTAAGCTCAGAATTTATTTCAACATCTTCCTGTTCAAATTCAAAACTATCTTCCTCTTGATTTACAGGCTCAGAAACAGCACTACTAATTGTATCGCATGTGTCTTCATAGGCTACACATTTATTATTATTAGTGTTAGTATTATTATTATTATTATTATTATTATTTGTGGTGATCCAGACACTCAGATGTTGGATTTATCACATATAAGAACATATTCATATTGGGATAGCATAGTAGCTATCATCTTGTCAGTATAAAATATATATAAACGATTAAGTAATCAGCCCAATAATTATTACAGTTAGTACTGTAGATAATATCTTAAAGATTGTTAAGATAATTATATCATACTGCTGAGTAAACTGTGTCAGATCGATATGGAGCTAATTTAGTAGGAAGTCCTAAAGCTCTAGTATAAAAGAGAAAAGAATAACTAAGAGCTAAAGAAGTACGATTTATGACTTGATATCATAATTGTAACACCGACACTAGTTAAGCAGTAAATACACTCTAATAACCAAATATAATAAAGGAAGAAAGCCTTAAGAAACTAAGACGTAATGACAAGAGCAGATTGTGTTTTCTTATAAAAAGGGACACTTTTTATTTATGAATAAAGACAACTTATATACAGTCTAAAGTATTTCTATATGTCTCTATTATCAAATATTTTATTTTTCTATTGTTTTGTACCTGAAATACCACATTTTTTACTTTGAATTCTCGAAATGTCTCAACAATCCGCTGTCAACTCTACTATTGTTTCTGGTGAAGAAACCGCCCATGTCAACTCTGGTGTCATTCCTCCTCCTTCTGCTGCTGGTTCTGCCAACCACGATGGTGATACCGTGATGACTCCCTTGGGTTCTGAGGACGGTGCCTTTGATTCTGAAGAAGGTTCTTCTGGTTCTGATGCTGGCCGTTCTGGTTATGAGGGTGCCAATTCTTCTCGCATCTATTTGGGTAACTCTGGAGTCAGAGTTAACAACAACCTTGTGGCCACCATGGAGATGTTGCTAGCTTCTGCTGAGGAGGACCTCAACACTAAGAAGGGCAACTACTACGCCGCTCTAGGCCACTACTTGGGTGTTTCCAAGAGGGATCCCACCTCTACTGCTGCCAAGTATGCTTCCAAGGGTGCCAAGGAAGCACAAGAACTGTTTGCTGAGGCTGAGCAAATCCTCAAGGACCTCAAGACTTCCACTGCTCCTGCGTCTAAGCCTCATGACAAGAGAAGCACTCTGGTTCCCAGTAACCTACCTTTTCTCCAGCTTCGTTCTGAGGGTCCTCTGGTGAAGGCCAACTGCGATGTGTTCGATTCGGTGTATGACTTCTGCCAGGAGTTTATCACAGTCCTGGAAGCACACTCTCTGTCCTTGGATTCCTGCTGGGAACGTCTGTTGCCCACTTGTTTGAACAAGGAAGAACGTTCTTGGTTTGAGGACAAGCTCAAAGGCAAGGCCTACAACTGGAAGAAGGCCAAAAGTATTCTTCTGGATCACTATGACACACCGTTCCATAAGTTCCTGAACATGGGTCGTGTCTGGTGCATGAAACAAGGCAAAGGAGAATCCGCTCGTTCTTTTGGTGCCAAGTTCCAAAAGTTCTGCCGCCAGGCCTTGTTGGACGATGGTGTTCAATTGGTTCTCTGCTTCTGGTGGAATCTGCGTCCGGAAGTCCAGGAAGCTTGTGTCATTCCTTTGTCAGCCAGCTATAGCACCAAGATGCCCTCAAAGATTGAGGACATCATCTCGTTGGTGAGTGTGTCAACAAGTGACTCCACTGCTTTGTTACATAATCCTGCCAATGGTATTGCTGCGTCCTCCTGGAGTTCGTTTGCTGCTCACAATGGTGCGTCCTCTCTCTCTGCTGGTTCCCACAAGGGAAAGAAAAGGACTTTCTCTCGTGAGCATGGTTCTCAGTCTCCCAAGAATTCATGGGACTTCAAGAAGACGATGAAGGATAGCATCTGTTTCTCGTGCAAGGCTCCCTGGGTTAAGGGACACTCCTGTCCGGAACGGGAGAAGTATTTGACAAAGATGTCAAGGATGACAGTCCGCTCCTCTGCTGGTAGACCAGCAAGAGCTTCCACTGTGGTTGAGGGGAGTCCCTCGTTGTCTTGGTCAGAGTACCAAGACAACACTAGTGCTCTGGCCAAGATGGCATTAGATTGTAAGTACAATCTTAAAGACATAGTTATTAAAAGAGATTTTAAGAACATGAGCACTAATATTACCTTTCCTATTTTGGCAAACAATTCTATTAGAACCATCTCCTTGTTGGACTGTGGGGCCACGTTCAGTTTGGTGGACAAGAATTTTTGCTTGAAGAATGGAATAGCCATTAGTTATATCAATCACATTAATAAAGATTTGTTGAACAAAAACAATGTTTATAAGTATTTTATTCGTTTGGCTGATAGCAATACCCAGATTAAAAGAATCGGTACTTGTGTGATAAGTGTAACTTGCAATAGTAAGACTATTCAACGCGAGTTTGAAGTGATGAATTTAACTAATAGTCATGAGTATGATTTCAGTATTGGTACTGATTATATGTCTTCTCTTGGTATTGGTATTTATGGTTTACATTTATCATATGATGATGCTGATTCAAGTGAGGAATGTAGAGAAGCCGATAGATGCTTCAATAATAAGAGTGATCTTCTTGAATCCATTGAGAGAGAAAATGAAGAAAAGGAAAATAATCTGGCTGTAGGTCCCAAACAGTTTGAGGATGCTATGGATTATATTCGACCGTTCATTAAAGACAATCAAGATATTCCTAAGGGTTCGTTTTGTACTATACCTGAAAGTGTTGTATGTTTGGACACTCCAGAAAATGCTACAGCGTTCAGAAGCCCTTATCCCATTCCTTACAAGATGCAAGGTGTAGTGGATGAACAGGTGAAAGAATGGCTGGACAATAGTATAATTGAAAGAGCGTCTGCAAACACACAATGAAATACGCCTTTGACTGTTGTCAAGAAGACGAATGGTAAAGGAGAAATTGCTGGATATTGCGTTTGTCATGATCCCAGATTAATTAATTGCCTGTTGAAGTTAATTGATCGCATACCTTTACCATTGATCAGTGAATTGTTTGAAGATTTAAAGGGTGCGAATATTTATTCCACTCTGGATTTGAAATCTGTGTTTAATTCTTTGAGGTTGAACCCAAAGGATGCACACAAACTTAGTTTCACATGGCGTGGTGTACAGTACAAACCTATTGGTACAGTGTTTGGTATAAAACATGTCAGTTCACAATTTCAAAGAACTATGAGTATAGCTTTGGAAGGACTATCTTTTGTACGGTTTTTTGTGAATGACATTGTTTGCACAAGCAAAACGTTTGAGAAACACAAGGAACACTTGAAGCAAGTGATTGAGAGATTAACAAGAGTCAATTTGAAGTTGAATCCAAAAAAATGTCATTTCTTTCAGAAAGAGATTTATTTGCTTGGTTTTCATATTTCACCTGAAGGAATTACAATGGACTGCAGAAAACTTGTTAATGTTTTTGAATTTCCTCAACCAAAGATGGGTAAAGATATCCAAAGTTATTGTGGTTTGATCAACTATTTTAGAATGTTGATTCTGAATGTATCTTCTATTATGTCGCCACTAGATTCATTGAGAAATGAAAAGTTGATTACTCATTTATGGACAGATAAGCATCAAACTGCATTTAATAACTTGAAAAAAACACTTTTGAGTGATCTGGTGTTGTTGTACCCAGATATGAACTCTCCTTTTAGTATTAGCTGTGATGCATCTCTTACTGGTATTGGTGCAGTGTTGTATCAAGTCAAGGATGGCAAGAAAAAATATATTTCTTTTGTGGCTAAGAGCTTATCCCAAAGTGAAAGAAAGTATTCTGCGACCAAAAGAGAATTACTAGCGTTAGTATTTGCACTCAAGCGTTTTCACAAGTATGTCTATGGTTCTCACTTTACCTTGCACATGGATCACAAGGCATTGACATATCTTCACACCCAACGTGTTGCGAATCTGATGATGATCGCATGGATGGACACGATTTTACAGTATGACTTTAAGATCATTCATTTGCCTGGTGTTTCGAATGTGCTTCCTGATGCGTTGTCACGTTTATCTGAAGAGACTGAAACATTATCAAATGAACTGGGTAGGGATAGTGTGGTTAGATCCATCATGAGAAATAGTGCTGTCACTATGGAACCGCTACCAGACATCTTTAGTGGTGAGTACTTTACTCCTCCCACAGAAAATGAAAGGAATAAGTTATTAGTTGAAGAACATTTGAAAGGTCATTTTGGTGTAGAAGCTATACTACATGCCTTAAAGAGAAAAGATATCTATTGGACCAGCTTGAAGAGTCAAGCAAATGATTTTATACAATTGTGTATACAGTGTTAACATCATAATATCACAAGAAAAGATTATAATCCTTTAAGACCTGTAACTGCAACACTTCCTGGTGACAGTTGGGGAATAGATCTGACTGGGCCATTTACAACGTCGACTAGAGAAAATGAGTACTTGTTAGTGATGATAGACATCGCAAGCAAATTTTATGTATTGTGTGCCATACCTGATAAAAGGGCAGCTACGATTGCGTTACAAGTACTGGACGTCATTAGTATCACTAGAAAAACATACGGGAATTACCATGTACAAAGTTAAATTATAACAATAGAAAATCTGGGGTATTTTTTCATCTCAGCTTTTTTTGTGTGTTCAAGATGAAAACACTGTTTTCCGGTTTTCTATTGGCTTGGATACAACAGGCGAAAATATTATTTATTATTATTATTATAAAGACATAACATTTCATTATAAAGACATAGCAAATTTAGTAAACGTTGTACTTGTTTCCTTTTTCTCTTAACACTTCAAAGTAAAAATAAATAAACATTATGTCCACAATTCCTGAACTCTATAACGAAAAGTGCCATTGTGCTGGATGTAGTCAGAACGATCTCGGCTATAGTTTTGTTGCCAGAAGAACTGCTCAACGTCATAACAAAAGGGCAAGACTAAATGCCATAAGATGTGAAAGGGGTACAATATTTGAATTTATTTAATTGTATTGTAATCCATGAAATAACGTGTTGTAATAGACATGTCTACCCAAAGAAATATGATGGAGGTCGATGATGAACGTAAGGTTTATTTAATTCAGATACTGTTAGGTATTAACCAAGTGTTATATTCTAAATGTAGCTATCTTAACCCATCAACCCGGAACCCTGAAAGAATTGTACACTCAGACAAACTCACCTGTTTGGGAAGGAGCTTCAATGTCTGACACTGAAGACGTTTCCGTTACTAATGACGCAATCAGCAATGGCGACAATGATGACAGTGGAAGCAACAGCAATTAAATCAGTGAAGACGAAAGCGAAGACAATGTTATTGAGCTCGACGACAATGAATTGAATAGTGAAGGTCAGTTAGTGTTAAAAAATTTTTAAAAAAAAAGCGTTAATTTTTTTTTATAATAGACCCTTTTGCCACCCCCGATATGCCCCAGAACCCAGTGCACAGGTTCATTGCTACTTTTGTGGTGATGTTCGCTTCCCACTATGTGGTTGACAAGGGCGCCGTTGTCTTGATCGAGTTCATCAACAAGCTTTTGACAATTTACCAGCAGGATTTCCAACTGCCCTTGAGCCTTCCTGGTCTTCAGCGCATGACAGGTTTCTCAGCCATGACCAAAGGCATAAAGAAATTTGTTGTGTGTCAGGATTGTCACAAGGTGTACGAAGAAAGTGCATCTGTCCCGTCTCATTGCGATTTTGTAAAGCTTGGTGCACGCTCGTCTTGCAACTGCCAATTGACAAAAACATCAGCATCGGGTGCTTTGGTGGCCAAGCGTTCATACTTGTACCAGTCCGTCGTTAATACTTTACGAATGTTTTTTCTTCGTCCAGGATTCGAGGATAAAATTAGACATTGGAATCACGAGCTGAAGATGGTGGATATGATGTGTGACATATACGACGGTGCCATGTGGAAGGAGCTCAAAGACAAAGATGGTGTGCAATTCACAAAGGATTCGCGTTCATTAATGTTGACTCTCAACATCGACTGGTTTCAACCTTTCAATAACATCACGCACTCAACTGGTGCCATATACCTGGTAGTAAACAATCTGCCTCGCAATGAAAGATACAAGCCAGAGAACACACTTCTCATAGGATTGATGCCTGGCCCAAAGGAACCCAAATCCGAAGAGATAAACCATTATCTCCGGCCTATGGTAGATGATCTGATAAGATTGTATGAGGGACTGGCAATCCCAACTTTCGAGTGTCCTAGTGGTGTCCGCGTCCGTGCCGCATTGATGATGGTGGCCTGTGACATCCCGGTAGCAAGAAAGACAAGTGGTTTCACCTCGCACAACAGTACATGCGCATGTTACAAGTGCAACAGACATTTCCCTCGCTTGGAAAACGGTGTCAATGTTGACTTTCGCGGGTTTGACTTCTCTTGGTGGGTGCTTCGTGACGGTGTAGAGAACAGGTTGCATGCTGAGGAGTGAGAAAGTGCTAGTACCCCCTCAGAAAGGCATCAGCTGGAGGTCGAAAATGGTGTTCGATGGTCGCAGTTGCATCGCCTTGGATACCTTGATCTAGTACGTGGAACGATCATCGATCCCATGCATAATTTATTCCTGGGAACGCCTAAAAGATTGATGGATCGTTGGATCAAAGACGAAGACATTCAAGATGGCGATTTTGCGGCAATGCAGAAGACTGCAGAAACGATGATTGTGCCTGGTGGATACACCTCTTTGAACTCGAAAATAGGAAAGCAGTTTTCGTATATGAAGGCAGACGAGTGGAAGTCATGGGTGCTCATATACTCGCCAGTTCTGTTGAAAGATGTTCTTGCAAAAGACAGATTCGAAAACTGGATTAACTTTGTTGATGCATGCCGCCTGTTGATCAAGCCAACGATCACGTTCGATGAAGTTAACACTGCCCATCAGTTTCTTCAAACTTTTTGCACCAGATGTGACGAGCTGTACAATGCCGAAATCCTCACCTGTAATATGCACCTACACCTCCATCTTCGAGATACAATTCGTGATTTTGGACCAGTGTACGGTTATTGGCTATTCGGGTTCGAGCGGTTTAACGGGTTGTTAAAAAATTTGAAGACAAACAGGAAGATTGGGTTTGAAGAAACATTTATGAAGAAATTTATTGAAGATGTGCACAAAGACGATCTTGTCAACAGTTTCCTTCAGAGTACCTGCCAGACATCTGCATTTCCTCTCCTTACCAAACTCACTTCTTCCTTTACACCTGCCACCATTCCATCTATCCGTCAACGTACCTTCCGCATACAGTCATTTGTCGAGGCTTCTGAAGATCCAAATGTACTTGTAAAAGGCAACGAACCTCTCCCTCCTTCCGCATTCCCTCTATCATTAAAATCCGCTACCACAATGAGTGACATTCACTATGTTCATCTCTTACAATACTACAAAGTTGCGTACAACAATGAACAATTAGTTCACTTTCAACAAGCGTCAGAATCATCATACTTTGTCGACAATACAATCACCCTGTTGAAATACATCAACATCTTTGGGCAGGTCTACAAGGGTAAAGGTGAATCTGGAAGTCGTGGCTCTCTTGTACAAGCAAAGTTCATTGGAAGTACTGGTGAGCATATCATCGCATACACGGGTCAAATACAGTACATTTTCACCCATTCTTTCACTCCTCCACCTACCTCTTCATCCCTTACTCCCTTGCTCCGCACCCATCGCCGCCCAACACAACTTCTTCACAATTCTCAACATACTTTTGCATTTATCAAATGGTACACACCCGAAAATGATAAATCGCGAGAGTACGAACACGTTGAAACCTGCTTTCCAACATTTTCTCCTGACGATTTCCAATGTGTATTGCCAGTGCATAGAATTATGTTAGAAGTAGCAACTGCTGAGCACACAACACGCAGAAAAGTAAAAAAGATGCTGGTCATTCCTTTGCCAAAAAAACAATACATTTAAAAAATAATAAAATTATAACTCCCTTTTTTAAAGGCACACAGAAAAGAATAATCATAGTGTTTGTATTTGTTGGTACATTTATCATTGTCAGATGGAGGATGCGGAGGATGTAGAGGATAAGAAAACAAAATTTATTGAAACTCATCTCTAAAAGCCCAGTGAGGGAGAAGGGACGTCAATCTAGGCGGGACTGCTAAAACAGCATCTCTACCGAAGGACCTCTTCAACATCTGACGCGAATTGAAGTCCATGCGATTACGCATAAAATCATCAACAACTGCAAGAAAGTGATTGTACTAAATACAAATAAGTGATTAATCAAAGTTCTGTTTCATTTAAATCCATAAAAAAACAAAAAAAAAGCTATATACAATAATGTAAACAAAAGAAATTACCTCATCGCTTCTCCAACTTGGACGCACTGTACGAATCGCACGGTTGCTCGAGACTCCAGGCATATCGTCTTCAGATTCGCCCTCAGACATTGCTTCTTTCTGTAAGAGTCCGTCGCAGCTCTTACCCACCTTCATATCAATTTCAGCCTTGAATGTATGGTAGGTCAGCTTGCGACGGTCAAAATGCTAGTTTATAAATGTATTAATATGAATACATTTAATTTGCAATCAAAATATACTTCTAACATACATCGGTCTCTTGACCTGCTTTTCTTGACCAAGAATTTGTCTTTTTGCGCGCTTCATAGGATTCCTTGACTCGGCGTCTCGTTCCACAAAAGTTTGTGTAGATACAATCGCTAATATCGGCCTGTCGAACACTAGTCCCAACAACCTTTGGAGCCAGGTATGCATGAAGGTCATGCATCAGCTGTCTGTTGGGTGGAAGTCTGTAATCAACATTAAAATCCCAACTGCGCTTGCTGCCGTTAGCTGCAACTAGTTCTGGCTTATTTGATTTGAAGTTGTGTTTCTTCAACTCTCCTCGGATAAGAGCCTATACTTAGTGTGAGATATTATGTTGATGAGCTACTGTACATCTCAACACTTACTAAAACTCTAGTGCGATCCTGTTTACTAAGTTCACCAGCGTTTGCACCAGTAAGAACCACTGGACCAACAGAAGGAGCGACAGAAGGAGCAACAGAAGGAGCAACAGAAGGAGCAGCAGAAGAGATACCAAAAAAAGCCTCAGAAGGTGTTGTATACCAATCCAGAGTAGAACCAACAGAAGAAGCTGCGAAAGGGACAGAAGCAGAAGCAGGTATAGTGGTAGGAGCAATAACTGCAAGAAGTTCTCCAGAGGCATTGGCAACGCTATCAAGTATTTCCAATGAATCTTTGTTCCCCTTGATGACAGTGCCAATGTTTGAATCCATGGTCTTGAGACTTTCCTCCATAGCGGTGAGCCTTCTTAAAAGCTCAGTATATTCCGGGAATGGAGCCGGGGCAATTGACTGATGATTGTTAACCATGGTCTGAAAGCTATCTAATAAAATGTTATACATGAGTTGATTGTTAATTATATTTGTTTTATATATCTATTCATTGTATATATAGAGTGTTATTAACATACAAAAGAAGTTAAGTGTTAAGCGAAAGAATAAAGTGTAGTTAATGGAAAGATGGTAAAAGTAAAAGCAAGAACCCATTTATTATATTACACTTGTTGCTGTAAATACTCAGGATTTCTTTAATACGCATATCTCTATTAATACTTCCTGGAATTAACGGGGTGCAAATCGGCTTTGAACATGCTTTTTTCAACTCAATCCAATATATGATTTCTGTCTTTTGGCCTTTTGGCCCTTTGGTCTTTTGTTCTTTTTGTTTTTTTTTTTCATTTACAAGTTTTCTCTCTTTTCTCTCTTTCCAACATTTATTATATTCACAGATTTTCTTGGTAAGATATCTTATTCTTTAATATTATATATATATATATAACTAAAATGATAATAATTGTTTTCTATTACTACAGACACTCGCGTTTTGTTACCTTCTGATGCATCCCCTTCACAATGTCCATCCGGATTAGCTAAGGTTAGTAAATATACTTTATGCCGTCATCCTATAAAATTATCCTGACTTTTTCCTTTCTTTTGTATAGGCCATATCGCCGAAATTACTCTCTACTATTAAACACGGTTATGAACACGGTAATATTTTATTTTATTTCAATCTATCTCTTTTTAATAAGCACATGGCTTAACATAATTTCTATTATAGATGAACCTCCCTCTCATGAGCACATCGCGAATCAAGAACTTTCATTTCATACGAGTGTCATTGACATGGTAATTTTTTTTTGTACATGTAACAATATTATTTATTTTGTATATTAATGTATATCATTTACTGAAGACAATATTAGCATCTTCTATGTACTCTCTTGGTCTGCAAATAAATCCTTTTGCTTCGGGTAGGTAAATGAAATATTCTACCACACAGTTCACAAAAAATAATTTTTTTTCAGCATTTTTATAGCCAAATAAAGTGTATTGAGTACTATGGTTCGCATTCATGACGCCTTTTCTTTTTGTCTCTGGTAAGCTATTATATTGCAAGCATAATTACATATATATATTCTTAATATCCACGATTTCTTGTTCAAACAGCTAACACTTTTCTAATTTCATAGAACAACCATTTACAAGCAAGCAACACACAACTGGGCTTTTCTCTGGGAGATATTGTTTGGAGAATACTTGTTTTATCAGAACATTGGCCATTTCAAATTGTATGAAGGATAGAACACTAGCCAGAATGTTCCTGAATATTAAATATAACCACTGTACTATAAACCTAAGAATATTCTTTTCTTTCTAATAAAAACAAAATAAACCAATAATTATTATAAATAAATTAAAGATCGGAGAAGTGTATGGAAGCAAACAGTATAAGAAGAAGTCTCTAAGATTGGATAAAATAAATTCAAATACAACAAAACCCTGTAAAAACTGGCATATCCATAAATTAAACAATGTAAAAACTGGCATATCCGTATAATCGATCTTTCATTTATCGTTCTTTTAATCAGAAAGCGGTAGGATATATTACAACAAAACGTAATTCTGAGTTGCCGTTTTAGTGCATGTGGTAAAAACCCATATACAGAAAATGCAAACACATCCTACTATCCTGCTGTTCTGACCTTTTCCTATGTTCGAAAGTTGGTCTTACCACCTATGAGTAAGTCAGCTTCATACACTTGTAAAAACTATCTGATCACATTGTAAAACCTGGTCTTTTCACATAATTAATTACAGTTTTACACATAAAAAAACCGCACCTCTTTTCCAGTGTATATGGGGTCCGATGAGAAAGTTGCAGAGTGATTGTGGATGGGAGTTTGTGAACTCGCTGATGACATGTATAAAAGAGAATGTTGGTTTTAAACATGCGTTGATTTTGCAGTACCATCCTAGAGCTAATGGTGCAAGTGAAAGAGCTGTCCAGTCGGCAGTGAACACCATTAAAAAACAAATAGTTGGTAATGTCACTGATTGGGATCAGAAGGTGCCATCTGCGCAGTTGTTTTTGAATAGCAAGTATAACGCTAGGACTAAGAGTACGCCATTCTCGTTAATGTTTGGAAGGAATCCAAATGACTTTGTCGATTTTAGTAAAGAAAAGGATAGTGCAACTGCTGAACAGATTCAGAAAGAGTTGCAAGAAAAAATTAAAAGAATGACTGAGATAGTCTACCCTGCCATATTTGAACATGTAAAGCATGTCACAGAAAAGCAAAAGGAATGCTTTGATGGAAGTCACAAAATGATAGATCTGGTTCCAGAAACCACGGTAATGATTTTAGTGACAGAAAAACAGAATAAATTAGATCCGAAGTATAAGGGATTCTACACTGTTGTTAGAAAGACTGCTGCCAATACTTATGTATTGAAAAATGAAAAGGGATTTTTAGAACCAAGGAATTATCCTCCTTCTTTATTGAAAAAAGTTTCTGACAAGGTATTAGAGCAAAAGAATAACTTTTTTGAAGTCGAAGCAATTATTGGGCACATGAAAGATGACAAGAACAATTATTTGTATAGATGCAAATGGTTGGATTATGATGAGTCTCACAATACCTGGGAGCCAGAGAATCATTTTACCGATCCTAAGTTCATAAAGGAATACTGGCAAAGAATTGGTGAAGCTCCAGAAGGTATCAAAGACATCAATAAGGCCAATAAGAAATTATTAAAGGATATGAAAGTTGCATATTCCGCACCTAAAGAAAATTCAGGTACTAAAAGAAAGAATTATGCAAAGACAGCTTATCAAAAGAAGAAACGCAGTAAGGTCTAAATAAAGAGTTATTTGAGCACCACAGTACTCGTTTAAAATAAAAAAAAAGAACAAGCTGATCAGAAGAATTGCATAGAGTACTTGAACGGTATTTAGTTAATACCTGGGTGGGGATAATGTGGTGATCCAGATACTCAGATGTTGGATTTATCACATATAAGAACATATTCATATTGGGATAGCGTAGTAGCTATCATCTTGTCAGTATAAAATATATATAAACGATTAAGTAATCAGCCCAATAATTATTACAGTTAATACTGTAGATAATATCTTAAAGATTGTTAAGATAATTATATCATACTGCTGAGTAAACTGTGTCAGATCGATATGGAGCTAATTTAGTAGGAAGTCCTAAAGCTCTAATATAAAAGAGAAAAGAATAACTAAGAGCTAAAGAAGTACGATTTATGACTTGATGTCATAATTGTAACACCGACACTAGTTAAGCAGTAAATACACTCTAATAACTAAATATAGTAAAGGAAGAAAGCCTTAAGAAACTAAGACGTAATGACAAGAGCAGATTGTGTTTTCTTATAAAAAGGGACACTTTTTATTTATGAATAAAGACAACTTATATACAGTCTCAAAGTATTTCTATACGTCTCTATTATCAAATATTTTATTTTTCTATTGTTTTGTACCTGAAATATCACATTATTATTATTATTATATAAAATAATAAAAAAGGAAATGATATAAAATAAAATAAAATAAAATATAGTAAAGTAAAGCAAATGTATTAACCGTACGCGTTTGAACATGTGTAATATCATGATTATATTTTTCTTGATGACATTTAAATGTTTTAACAGATACACAATCGAATCCTAGTGTCTTGCTTTTACAGATAGAGCATTGACACTCTTTTCTAACAGTTGGTTTGCGAATAGGAGCCATTTTCAAATGAAAAGAAAGATTTACAATAGTATTTAATAGTAAAGAAAGAGACTTCAAAGAAAACACACTTTTATTTTATTTGAGTTTGATGTTGAATTCTAATGCTACACAGCTGCCAGTAGCCAATAGAGTAGCTTAAAATACTATTCAAATACTTTACTCACAAAAGTGAGCTGAATTACAATTTTACCTATTCTGTCTATCAGAACTTAGGTATACTTTACATATGCGAAATTGATCTGTTTTTGCAGTGAGTTATGCTTGGTGTTTCTTCAGAAACTATAAAACATCTCATTGCTAGTATTCACCAATTGATTCAAATGGATTTAACAAACAATGATATGAGAATTGGTAAGTTTATAAGAGTTAATTATATATAGATATATTAAATATTTTTATAGGAGGTATTGATGCCAATAGTCAATCCATTATTGTTGAAATTGATGAAAGCAAATTTGGAAAGAGGAAATATTACCGAGGACATTGAGTAGAAGGTGTTTGGGTTCTGGGGGGTTATTGAGAAAACAGCAGAACAAAAAATATTTTTTGTGACAGTTCCTCAGAGAGATGCTGCAACTCTCCTTCAAGTGATAAAGAAGTATGTAAAGCCCAATAGCATTATTCACACAGATTGCTGAGCTGCATATGGGGGATTGACATCAGTGGTTGATATGAACTATACTCATAGAACAGTCAATCACAATGTTGAGTATGTTACATCTGATGGTATTCATACCAATACTATAGAAGGTAAAATACTATATAAGATAAAATTATTTTATTAACTTTTATTAAATAGGTCTGTGGAATGGAATAAAATGAACTGCAAGGCCAGATTGCGAACAAAACAAATAGTGCCATAGATGTTGATGGAATTCATATGGAGAAAAAAATATGAGAACAGATTGTGGCAAGGAATACTAAAGACGTTAGCTGAGATTTCTTTTGGAAGCATTGTTGGCAACCCAATATTTACAAATTATGAATATTTAGAAGATGATAAAGATGAAGAATATACTGATTCTACAATTGTTCAATAAAAAATATAAGAAATTTGGATTTAAATTAATTTGTTTTAATAATATTAAAACAATAATATAAAAACAAAACATAAATACATTTTAATTCAAATATATCAAAAGAATAATGTCATTTTACATCTAATAATATGTATAACATATGCTTTATATCTTAAAAAAATCAACTAAAAAAATATAAAAAGTGCAAAATGCATCCAGCCAAAATTGGAATAGAGTCTCAGTATTAGCAAGCCATAACTGTAACAAGTGAATCACGACTATATATAATTGAAAAAAGTTTATTATGTCAAGTGTAAAACCCCTTATTTAAAAGCATATTTGTTATCTTTTTTAAATAAACTTTGAAACTGCATTATCTTCACAACAAAAAACAGTACAAAAATGTGATGACTATTAATTAATATCTACAAAACTCAGGCTATTCAAATCTGGTTTTGCCGTTATTATAGGACAAATATTTGCAGAGTAATTTTAAAAAAAGATATTAAAACACAGATATATAGAACACAATAAATGATTGGTTGTTAGCTTAAGAACATTGATCTGATTTTAAAAAATCATAGAGATATTATATATATTGGTAGTTTAAATCTGGCTTTAAAATCCCTATAAACCTTCATTCAACCCCCAGACATATTAACAAACTTTTAAAAGATGACAGATATCCTTTACCTCTTATAAGAGACGTATTTCACACACTTAAAGATGCGGTTGTTTTCACTACCATAGATCTTACAAGTGCTTTCTATCGATTTGAGGTATACAAGCCAGACAGACCTAAAACAACATTCACCTTCAAAGGAAGGCAGTACATGTTCCGCGGCTGCCCTTTTGGACTTAAACCTATCTCATCTAAATTCCAGCAGGTTATGAACATTGCTTTCAAAGATATGCCTTTTGTAACCACATTTGTAGACGATATTGTGGTATTCTCTTGTAACATGAAGGAACACACAAAACATGTTAAAACAGCAATAGAACATCTTACTAGTGTTAATCTCATCTTAAATCCAAAGAAATATCATTTCGCACAAAGAGCAGTCTTCTTACTAGGCTTTTGTGTGTCAGATAAAGGCATCTCACTGGATAAAAGAAAAGTTAATAATATCTAAGCATGGCCTACGCCTAACACCAGAAAAGATATACAACGGTTTCTTGACATTATAAATTACTTCAGGAAACATATACCTAATGTCTTCCAGCTCACTGCACCTCTTGATCGACTTTGTAACAAGGGTGATCTTACACCTCTCTGGACCAACAAGCATTATAACAGCTTCACAAACCTAAAAGACATCCTACTCAAACTGCCTATGCTGTGCTACCCAAACCTAAAGTACCCTTTTAGTGTGACCACAGACGTATCAAACGTAGAAATAGGTGCTGTTCTATATCAAGTCATCAATGGAGAAACGCGACACATTGGTTTTATGGCTCGCACATTGTCTAAAAGCAAACGAAACTATTCCACTACAAAACGTGAGCTACTCGTGGTAATATATGCATTGAATAAGTTCTACAAATATCTTTGGGGAAATCTGTTCACTCTATACACCGATCACAAAGCCCTCACATATATACATACACAAAAGATTGCCAACACTATGATGATAAACTGGCTGTATACCATACTCAAATATTCATTTGAGGTACTCCACCTACCCAGTCTAAGCAACATCTTACCTGACCAGCTATCACGTCTTTTCCCTACAGAAAAAGAGCTTGAAGGAGGTAATGACTCTGTAGTTAATTTCACAGGCCAAAAAATGGTCATTAATAGACAACAAACTGTAGTCAACACCAATTACAACGAGATGCTAACATCACCAGACAGTGACAGAGAAGAACTTCTTGCCAAAGCTCACGCTTTTAGACACTTTGGAGCAGATGTCATGACAAACGCACTTCATAACGAAGGGATACACTGGATAAACATATATAGAGACGCTGTCAAGGTTGTACAAGACTGTATAGAATGCCAAAAGTATAACATAGCAAAGAAAGGTTATCACCCTCTATGACCAATTTACGCATATTTATCATGCGATCATTAGGCTATTGATTTAGCAGGTCCTTTCACAATCTCACATAGCAGTAATAACTACTTACTAGTAATGGTAGACATTTGCACAAGATTTTGTATACTACGTGCAATATCTGATAAAACACAGGACACTGTTGTCAACATTGTAATCAACGTCTTCTGTAATTTCGGATTCTCTAGATACTTACAATCAGATAATGGCAAAGAGTTCATTAACTCACTTATGAAAAAACTAGCTGAAACATCTGGTTTTGATCACAGATTAGCTACGCCCTATCACCCAAGAGCTAACAGTGTAGCCAAATGCTGGGTTCAAACCCCAACTAATGCGATTAAGAAATGTATAAAAGGAGCAACCCAAGATTGGGACCTCTATGTATTTAGCATACAGCTAGCAATGAATGCCAAAGTAACAAAACGTAATGGAACGGCTCCTTACAACCTTATGTTTGCCAGAACAATGAACGGGTTTAAAAGCTACGCCGATGATCCAGCAGTACCATCACTCACAGAGGATGAGCTACAAAAGGGTATAAAAACAATGGCAGACGTTGTGTTTCCCGCAATTGCTGAAAGAGCAAAAGCAGTAACAAATGCACAAAAGGGCAAGTTTCATAACAGATACAGGATGATACAATTCACTCCTAATAGCCAAGTCATGATTAAAGAACTGCAACAAGGTAAACTAGAACCTGCATACCAAGGTCCTTACACCGTAGTCAGAGAGAAACAGGGAGGTTCTTACGTCCTCATGGATGAACAAGGACTACTGATGCCCAGAGAATATCCACCCTCACAACTCAAGCTGATCTCACAGGACAAACTCGTCTCACTATATGAAGTCCAGAAAATTGGCAAAGAATACTTTACAGTCAGAGCAGTAGTAACTCATAGAGAACTGGCTAAAGAAAAATACGAGTACAGAGTAAGATGGGAAGGCTACAAAGAAAAAGACAATACATGGCAAACGCCTGAGTTCTTTAGCAGCCATAAACCTATTGTGGATTATTGGGATCGACTTGGTACAACACCAATTGACAAGACACAAAACCCACATCAGACACGCACCATTACTGCAAAGTACATTAGCAAACGCCACACTATGCAGCCCACACCTATATGCTGAAGCAAACACTCAAGATGCTAATGCTCAATACGCTTATGTACAACACGATAATGTTCATGATGTTAACGCCCAATGCTATGCCTAAGAAGCTAACATGGTCCCTTCAGTCTAAAGTAACTCAACTCTCAACACGGTTATTCAACCTGGAAGGGGATAATGTGGTATACACACCACAATTAAGTGAAGAACAGACCCCACAACCAAACACTGGTTCCTTCTTGCTAATGAACCTGGCAAGTTAACAATCTCTGGAACTGTTACACACCAGGCACACGTACACTACACACTTATACAGTGTAAACCAACCATTACACAACAGGAATTTGAATTACAGGGATTTTAATAGTAACAGATATAAACAATATTTTTTTGTCTCTTTAATAAATAATACTCTCACAGTATCTACTTTTCTCATTATTGAGATACTAACTCATAAACAATCTCAAATACCTCAATGAGGGAGATGGGCCCACTGAGGGCATACAGTTGTTGTCCTATTGAACGTATTATTGGTGCGTATTGAGCTGCAATAGGGTCCCAGAAAGAAACAGAAAAAACATGGAGAATATCCTGTTTTGCAAGGCTGAGATAAGTCATTCTCTTGGTAGTGAGATTGTAACCAGAGAGCCAATAGACAGGAGGGCCAGCAACTTTGAGGCTGCAAGTAACAATGTTGCTGGTCCTCAGCTTTGGTCAAATCCAACCAGAAAAACTCTTGTTGCTGTGGCGAGCAAAACAGATATGAGCTACCATAATTTGGTCTGTTCTTTAGCAGATCTTTGGGGCCAAAATGCTGTGTCAATGGTTGAAGAAACCAACTGGGTCGTCTGTACCAGTAAGATGTGGAAGGACCAAGTAGTGTACAGAGCCTGGTCATCCTTTGGCAGCAGACATGTTTGAGCCAATGACCTTGTTGTGCTCAAACATCCATGAGGGTAAGTTGTATAAGCTATTTTTTATTTTGTTATAATATCAATCTTGTTCCAAATTTGTTTTTAAAAGGTATGGATTTGTTTGCAAGTTTTTCTCCTACTCTGTCTTAGGAGAAACCAGACTCTTCGCCATTGTTGACTATCTGTGTGGCATCCAGCCCAATAATGAGGGAATGTTCCTAGTATAAAAAAGTACTACAATCGGTGACAAGAAGGTGGTGGATGTGAAGTCCATCAAGGGGATGGCTAGTTTCATTCATGATGTAAATGACGAGATCATTTGACATGTAGTGAAGATTTCTCAAAGTCATTATCAGTAATTTTTTTCTCATATATTGTTTTTCTTTTCTTTTTTTCTTTTTTCTTTTCTTTCACATTACAAATATAACCTCTTTAATTTTTAAATATATCTTTATTTAAACTTATCAAGAAGTGTGTTGGTATTGTTATTAAAGTACAATATTAGGGGGTTTCACCAGCTTTGAATGTTGACTGTTGGATATAGTGATAGTTTAATTTGGAAAATGATTGGCTGTAACAAATCTTCAAAAAATTAAAAACGAGTATCCAAGCATCTAAAAAACTAGTTTGATACTCTAGATGTCATGACTTAGCCAAAATTTTGTAAATTTTGTACTTTATGTATGATTGATAGCGAAGTTCATATACACTACAGGAAAAAAAGTGGTCTTTTTGGTGGTCTTTTAGGTGGTATTTTAGGTGGTCTTTTGGGTGGCAGTTTTGGTAAAACCAGCAAAAAAACCATCCCTATTTTTGGAAATATAATTAGATCTCCGTTGACTGATAGATGTTAGGTTTTATTCATATCCCAATATTTAAATTTATGTATTATTCTTCTCGTTCTATTGGTAGAAAGAAAATAAAAAAGAGCTTTATTATTGGTATAGATGGAAAAAAAGAATCTTTGTATTGTCACTCATAAAATACTTTCGTTATACTGCTACTTTTAATTGGATAATATAAACTTTATTGCAGTATGCACATTGATAGTATTGGTCATTTAAACAAAAGCATTCTCTCAATTGGCTCTCATATATATATTCTGATTCATTCACAGTTTTAATTGGGCAAAAAAGTTTTATTTCATAGAAGATCATTATTTAAAAATGTTTTTATTGGTTGTTATAATAGAAATAATATTTTATTCATGAATCGTACTGGCTAAAATTCCTTCAGATTATTACATATTCTCACATTAATTACACAATTTATTGTACCTACCAGATATGAACTTACCAGAGTATTCTCGCTTCTTACGCCCTCTCCAGAGCTGGCTAACCCTTGCAATTGATGCCCAGTTTCTGTGGCATCTGGTAAAATCGATTCCATTGTCTCTGAGTATGATGGGATGATTGATACACAGCCTGTTTTTATCCTCTTGAGGAAGCAATGACCAGCCAGGGTTTGTTCCAAGATCCTGAACAGATGGAAGAGCTGCCAGTTGATCACATATGACCTTGGTACATGTGTTAACAATTCTCTTGGTTTCCTCGGTCAATTCTATTCTAAGATCGTCTGTTATCATCTTGTATATATGCTTTAAAGTTATATCGTTGATTTTTGATACGGGTCTTGGAATGATGCCAGTAAGAGTCTATTATGTTTGACATTAATTGAAAGGACTTTAGTTGTTATAGTATTTGCTTACACTGGTAGAGGTTACAATAGTTCTATCTGGAAATTCCCGATCTTTAAATTCATTGTAAAAACTTGTCATTTGAAGTTGCATCGCATCTTGTTTTTTTTCTAATGCTTCTTGACGGCCTAGCAATGCTTCTTGACCACTCTTTAGGGAAATAAGTGCAGCTTGTATTCCTTGAAGCAACTGAATCACTGTATTGTCTGTATTGTTCATAATTGTAAGAAAAAATCAGTTACGTGTTTGTTATAGAAAAAGAAAGAAAGAGAAATTTTTTTACCAGAAACTATTATTAGTTTCAAATCTTTAGCTTCCAATTTTTTAGCTTCAAATTATTAGTTTCAAATTATTTGTACAAATCTATTGGTTACTCCTGAAGAAACATTGATCTAGTAACTTCACTGATGACATACAGATACTTCTTTAAGATCCTGAGCATATATTCAGAATGCATATAACATCATTGTCTTTATATAATTAAGTATAAAGCTATACATTCAGAAAGTAATTAATTCTATTCTTACTTATATAACAAAGTTTTTTTTTTACCTACCTCAAACATGTCCAAAATTACAAAAGCCCCTTGTTACCAATGCCGTACTTGCAAGTCGACCTTTAATAACAGTCAAACATATAAAAGATGTCTCGAACGATGCATGACAAATAGGGCAGAATTACTTGCCAATGGCGAAGTTTCCCAAACTGTCTCTCTTCCTGATCAAAGCCAGTTTACATCAGCAATGGTTCCTAACTTGGCTTTTGGGTAAGCTTATCAAAAGCAAAAACACAAAACGATAGACAGTATATTAATTAGCTGTATACTTTGATAAACAAACAGAGAAAACATCAACACAAGCAGTAGTGAGGATATGGATATCATTGACAGTACTGAAGATGATGAGTCCATGGTGAGATACATGAATACATCTATATATCTAAAATCAATCAAAATTAGCAGCATCACGTGATATACGAATTTGCCTGTAAAACATTTATGAAATATGAAGATAAAGATAATGTTTATTTGTGATAATATTTATGATATTTATATTAATTTATAAGATGCCGCAGTATCCTAGATTCTAGTTAAGTCCTTTTGCTGCAGTATCTTGCTGAGCAATGGTTGTCTTCTTCTTCTTGGCCTTGCTCACCCAACTACTGCGGTTGGAGTAGTTGTTTCTGATTGGGTAGGATTGGAACTGAGTGCCAATTCCAATCCGCTCCTGACATTACTATGTCACATGGTATACCGAGATATTAACCCCTTGAATTTATTTTACAAACTATTGTCAAAAAACTTATATAACTATCAAACCAAACTCTAACTTTGAAAAAAAAAAACTGAAAAATAAAATGTCATCTACTCAACGTCGTTGTGCTGCTTGCCATATGCTTGGACATAGCAGAAGTACTTATAAGCAATGTCTCATGAACCCAAAGAACATTTCTCTTCACATTCCTCAAAAGAGAACTAATGTAGATGAATATCCTGCAGAAAGTAGCCAAAGTAACTATTTATTTATACACTTATGCGTATTACTGCAAGTATTATATATATTTTTTAATAATAAATGTGTTTATAAAAAAATAGCTGCTGCCTTGAGAATAAGAAGTGAGCCTGTCCAAGACCAAAATTTGGACATAGAAACATCGACTTTTATTTCAGTTTCTGAGTTGACTGAATTTCCACTCGCAAATGAGACTATTACTGAAGTTCTTGAAGCAGTCATGGAAGAAGAGATTGAGGAGACTTCATCCGATGAAGAAGTGACTGGAAGAGAAGAAGAAGTCGAGGAGATTTCAACTGTGAATAGAGGATCAATTTTACCCCATTGTCCTCACTGTAACGGAACTGATCATCGCCGAATTACAAGCAGATTTTGTCCAAACAATAACAGTAGCAGAGCAAGAGGATCTAGAAATCGAGGCAGAGGCTTGAATAATATTGCCCGACCCAGCTATTTCAGAACCAGCAGTTGATAACAGGGGAGATATGGATATTGAGTGTCAATTTTGTGGGGCAATGATGTGGGCACATGAAAAAAACAGTCGTTCTTCTTTAAGAAGCCCCATGTTCTCTATGTGTTGTAACAAAGGAAAGCATGTTCTCCCCCAAATTGAGCCAACACCTACAGGAATTGCTGAGCTTTTGAACTATAGAACACGTGATGGAAAGAAGTTTCTTGAAAACATTCGAAGCTATAATAGTACAATGAGCTTTACTTCTTTGGGAGCTAAAATTGATACCTCTGTTGGCAACAATATCAATAGGGCATACAACTTCCGGATTCACGGAACAATTTGTCATAGAATTGGATCTATTTTGCCAGTGACAGAATCTGATATCGCTCACCCAAAATTCGCTCAGATCTATATTTATGATAGTGCTGCTCAGATAGATCAAAGACAGTACCATTCCCCACAATTGGAGAGAAGTGTTTTGGAGAAGATTCAGTCCATTCTTATGGAAACAAATCCATTCGTACATCTCTTCAGAACAATGGATCAAATTTCTCGGGAAAAGGGACAATCTATAGATCTCACTTTGCGTTTAGTAGCTGAGGGGCCTCGGGATCAAAGACGGTACAATGCTCCAACTGCAAGTGAAATAGCAGTTCTTATTATGAATAATGAAGAGGGTACTTCAAGAGACATTGTGCTGCACACCAGAGCCAACTTCCAACAGAACATCAATGAGTACCACCAATCTTATGATGCTTTACACTATGTGCTACTCTTTCCACATGGTGAAGATGGTTGGACCATTGATGCCAGCTCATTGTCAGGAGAGCATGTCACAGTAATGCAATAGTACTCAAACCGTTTGATGTATCGACGCAACACACAGCACCTCCTCCATCTTTTTGGCCGTCTCTTTCAACAATATATTGTTGATATGTATGCCAAAGTTGAGCACGATCGGCTGCACTTCATCACCAGCAATCAAAATCGTCTCCGTGTAGATCTTTATAGTGGAATTCAGGATGCTGTTATCCATAACAATTGTAATCTTACAAATCTTGGAAAGAGAGTTATTCTTCCATCTTCTTTTATTGGTAGCCCCCGGTATATGACTCAACTTTATCAAGATTCAATGAGTATTGTGCGTCGTTTTAGCAAGCCTGATTTGTTCATAACTTTCACTTGCAATTCAAAGTGGCCAGAAATCACAAATTCCCTGTTGGCTGGGCAAAAAGCTAATGACAGACCAGATCTTTGTTCTCGGGTTTTCAATATGAAGCTCAAAGAGCTCATGATTGACCTTACAAAAAAAAATATTCTGGGGAAAGTTTTGGCCTTTATATATGTCATTGAATTCCAAAAGCGCGGACTTCCTCATGCCCACATTCTTTTGATTTTGCGACCACAAGATAAACCAAAAACAATAGAAGATTTTGACAGAATAGTTTCGGCTGAAATCCCAGATCCTGAAACTGAGCCATTGGCATATGAAACAGTAAAAAAATGCATGATGCATGGCTCATGCAGAAAGAAATATCCAAAAGCACCATGCATGAAGAATGTGATCTGTTCAAAGAATTATCCTAAAAAGCTTTGCAATGAGACTAGCGATGGTGGAAACGGATATCCTATTTATCAACGCAGTCGAAATGGAAGAGTTATTAGAAGAGGGCCAAAGATCATGGATAATGGATGGGTTGTTCCACACAATAGATACATATGTGCAAAATACAATGCTCATATAAATGTTGAGATTAGCACCTCTGTTTCTGCCGTAAAATACCTCTACAAATATGTATATAAAGGACATGACCGTGCAATGGCCCATGTGCAGCCTACACCCACCAATTCCGCTCCACAACAACAACAAGAGCATGTAAACAAAGTTAATGAGTTTCTTGATGCTCGGTATGTCTCCGCTTCTGAAGCATGCTGGAGAATATTTTCTTTCAAGCTTCATCAAGAGTATCCCAGCCATCAACGACTTTCAATCCATCTGGAAAATGCCCAACCCGTATATTATAATCCATCTTCTAACCCAGAGGATGTTGCAAATTCCAGAAAAAACACTACTTTAATGGGATATTTCGACTATAATGCTACACACCCATCATCTGAAAAACTTCTTTACGTCGACTTTCCTTCTCTTTATGTATGGAATACAAAAGAACGAAAATGGACAGCACGTAAGAGGTTTGATAAAGGAACGATTGGCAGAGTTTACACAGTGTCTCCGAGAGATATTGAAAAATATTCGTTACGATTACTGCTGCATAATGTTAAAGGGGCCAAAAGCTTTGAAGACATACGTACAGTAGAAGGATGTGTGTATGAAACAAACCAAGCTGCATGTCGTGCTCTGGGATTACTTTTGAATGATGATGAGTGGAGTAACTGTATGGAAGAGGCAGCAGCTCATCAGATCCCATTTTCTTTACGAAGACTCTTTGCTATTCTTTTGATTTTCTGTGCAGTATCAGATCCTTTCTCTTTGTGGCTTGCTCATCGCGATTCTATGATTGAAGATTATCTTCATTTGGCAAGAGAAAGTAGTGGAATTCCTGCGTTAGCCCCCACACAAGATATGTTTGACAGATGTTTATGGGATATCGAAAGTCATCTATCTGCCAACTCTATGTCTCTCATGTTGTTCACTGGATTTGTTCTTCCACCAATGCCTGACATCCAGCACTTTAGCCCAAATGGGCAAGATGTTCAAGCCATCATACAAGAACAAGAAGATTTATGCGATCAAGCCCAGCTTTTTCCAGATCCAGATACATTGACATTCAATAATTCACAAAGACGTGTCTATACAACAGTATTAAGTGCAATTGAAGAAAACGTGGGAGCCTCAAGATTGTACTTTGTCGATGGTCCAGGTGGGACGGGAAAGACATTTGTCTTTAATGCCTTGCTTCAAAAAACTTGCCAACAAGGAAAAATTGCTCTTGCAGTAGCAACAAGTGGAATTGCTGCATTGCTGCTAGACGGTGGGCGTACAGCACATTCCAGGTTTAAGATTCCAGTGCAAGTTGATCTTAACTCCTTATGCTCCATCAACGCAAACTCGCAAACGGCACAACTTATTAGAAGAACGGAATTGGTTATCTGGGACGAAGCTTCTATGATTAGTAAAGATGTTTTTAATACTGTAAGCAGATCCATGCAAGATATAATGAAGGCTGTTGATCCATTGCTTGAAAACGTTCCATTTGGAGGGAAGTTGTTTGTCTTTGGAGGCGATTTTTGGCAGGTCCTTCCTGTTATACCCAAGGCAACAAGAGCTCAGGTTGTAAGCCAATGTATCAAGAAAGCATCTGCATGGAGAAATGTAAAAACCTTGCGGCTTACAACAAACATGCGAATTGCCCAAGCAAATAATGAACAAGAAACATTAGAGCTTAGGGAATTTGGAGCATTTCTCTTGCAAGTTGGTAGTGGTTCTGCCCACACAACAGGCGGTGATGACACCATCCCAATTCCGCCCCATATGTTACTTTCTGGATGTAATCCTGCTGATCTGGCCAAAGCAGTTTTCCATGATCTCTCCTCTAATGCAGCCAACCCTCATTTCCTCATGGGCCGTGCTTTGCTTACTCCTAAGAATAAAGATGTCAAGAAACTCAATGATATTCTTCTGAGCCAGTTTCCTGGAGAGGCACGAGAGTTTAAGAGCGTCGACCAGGGAATTGATGAAGATGGTCAGTTGACATATCCAGTTGAGCTACTAAATACCATTGATCCTGGATCCCTACCACCTCACTCACTGTCCTTAAAAAAAGGATGTCCTATCATGCTTCTTCGCAATCTTGACCCAAAAAACGGCCTCTGTAATGGTACACACCTGATTTGCAACTCTTTTGGAACATCTGTCATCAGAGCAACAATTGTGACTGGATCAAATGCCGGGCAAGTATCTCTTATTCCAAGAATAAAGCTTAATCCATCTGGACCAAATGGTGAAATTGAATTCCAGCGGTTCCAATTTCCAGTTCGTCTTGCATTCGCAATGACAATAAACAAGTCACAAGGTCAAACTCTTGAGAGTGTTGGATTATATCTCCCTGCCCCAGTATTCTCCCATGGCCAGCTGTATGTTGCTCTATCCCGGGTCAGAAAACCTTCTACAATCAAGATAATGCTTGATACACCAGCAAATTCCAACGAAACAGCAAATACTGTATTTACAGACAATGTTGTATTTAAGGAAGTCTTTGACATTTAGTAAAAAATTATATATAACATACACTATAAACTCATCTAACCAATTTTTTTTGAATAATAAAACATCTATACATATCCTTTCTTTTCATATAATTCACTCAAATAAAATGTTTCTATTAATTGTGCTATACGGTACTTAGACTTCCAATAGGGAAGGGTTTTATATTAACTTCCGGTAGGCTCTGGGGCCCCCCCGAAGGGAGGGGGGAGGGGGGGGACCCCCCAAAGGGGGGGGGGGAGCACCGCTCCCCTAGTATATTATGATAATCATACTTATTGTTGTTTATCTTACTATAGTACGATTTTGGAGAAGAATGCGAGAATGTCATTGACGAAATTGAAGGCACCACACCCTCGCTAGTCTTTGATTTTAGCCAGCCTCTTCCTGTTCCCAGCAACGATGATAAAAAGAATCTCGCGTTCATGCAGTTGATCCAAGAGTTCGGAATTTCTCGTCGAGCCCACGAAAAGATTGTAGAACACTTCAACCAGATCCTTGATTTTTCTATCAATATTACATACCGAGCATGCAGCCCACACCTTGGAAACAAGCTTCTTGAGCGCTTCTCGGGTATCAAAGCAGACGGATACAACATTTGCATCAGAGGTTGTATGCAGTTCAACAATGAGAATGATATCGCATGCGTAAAATGCAGTGAAGCAAGATACAAAAATGGTCAAACTAGCAAAAGTGACACCAGGGTTCCTGTGAGATCGATTGTACAGCTTCCTTTGGTCAGACAGCTTGCTTTGTGCTTGGCTGATGACAAGACCAGGGCTGAAATGCTCTATTGTCATAACCACCAATCCAGCCAAGACGGGCAGAAAGCAGATGTTTTCGATGGTCATGTATACCAATCCATGAAGCATCTGTTTTCTGGTGAAAACGATATTGCGATTTCGTTGTCCATGGATGGGTTCAACCCACACAATGTACCTGGATCAGTAACCATTGTTCATGCAACTGTCTTGAACTTGAATCCGACGATCCGTTATGAGAAAAACAGGATGATCCAAATAGCAATGCTTCCTGGTTGCACTGGTCCCAGTGACATCTGGTCTTTTCTTGAGCCAACGCTGAGAGATCTCCGTTTGCTCCAGACAGAAGGCATGGAAGTAAAGACACCGACGACAACGATCAGGGCAAAGGTACATGTCCTCATGGCCACTGGCAATATTCCGGCTCTGGCAAAGCTGACATGCCATGTTGGCCACACGAGTAAGAATGGCTGTCATATTTGTCACGTAGTGGGCCAAACTCCTAAACATGGCCAGTACTTCCGCATGTTGCCTGGAACCCAGACGCGCTCACTGGAGAGTTTCAGAAACTACAATCTGGCAAGCAGTGAAGACAGAAAGGGGCTCAATGGTCAGTCACCGTTAGCCTCAATGGAAACATTCTCTGGCCCGTTTTTTTTTCGCGTTAGACGAGATGCATGGTCTGTGCCACGGAATCGGTAAACAGGTATGGGGACTTGTACGCGGAAAGTATGGAATCAAGCATCCTCTATGTCTTTCTCTTGCCACTCAAAGGGAGATTGGTGCTGCAATGGTAGCCGCAAAATCCACAATCCCTACATCGTTGCATGGTGCCTGGAGAGACGTGACAAAGAATGCCGGTTTCTTTAGAGCTGTGGATTGGGCAGACTTTTTACTCTTTGTTGTCCCCACGTTGGTTGCAGAGCGTGTCCAGGACTTGGTTGCCCGAAATACATTACTTGGCCTGGTTCAAACATGCAATTTACTCATGAGCTGGGAGTTATCAGCAGAGGATCAAACCTCGATAAGAAGGTATGTTTAATGCCATATTTTATTTCATTTTTCATAGTAATTTACTTTTACCTTTTTTCTTAGTAATCTTGTAGAATGGAACTTATTCCTAGAGAGTCTTCTTTCTACAGCAGATATTGACATTGGCGTGTTCACAATTAACCAGCACATTATTCAGCATTATCCTCAGATGATTGATCTATATGGCCCACCAAGAGCATATAGCACACGATCCGTGGAAAGAGACATTGGTGAGTACTCCAGGTCCATCAAGAGTAACTCCCAAGTCAGTGTCAATGCTGGAAATATCATGATCAGACTGGCGCAATCCCGGTGTGTAGCGGAACTGACAACCGTTGCAAACACAAAAACTCCACCAGCTAACCTTCTAGTTTACAGTGCATATACCAATGGGTGGCCTGTTACAGAAGGAGGTGATCCTGCCAATGCTGAGTGTGAGATTGAGTTCTGGGGGCCTTTGAAGAATTTAACAATTTTCGATAGCTTTGAAGATAGATCTCATCTTTCATTGCTTCTTAAAACGTTTTATGATTTGAAGGGGGAAGAATGTAGTATGCTTGAGCCTTCCATAAATACAAGCCGCAAGGCCTATCTTAATGGTTGTGTTATTGATGCTGCATTCAACCAAAGTTCTACAAGAGAGGCATGTCATGTTCATGTGCAGCTACAAGTAGACATGAACTCCAGAAGATCCCGCTCTTACCGTTCAGGATATAAGCATTTCTTCGGAAAGGTGGTTATATTCTTCCAACATGTACACAACTCGAAGAGATGGTCACTAGCTCTCATAACCATATATAGTGTGCATTTGAAAAATGGATTGCCTATTACATCTGTAGTAAAGCCAAAGACTATAGTGATTCATGCCAGTGACATTGTAGAGTTGGTTGGCTTGGTGCCATCAAATGTCAATGGTAGCCATTACATCATTTGGCCTAGCCTTAAATGTGGCCCAAAATTGACACTTGGTGCCTTAAGTGATATATAATTTGTTTTTTTTTTTTGTAATAAATTTTTCTTTTTTTTCAAATTGTCTTAACAAATTTTATCCAAGCAGCAGAAAGTTTAGATATTTTCTTTTTTTTTATTTCTGACATTCAATATTTCTCAATTCCAATATATATTTCCCAAAAATGTAAGATGTTTAATTAGAATGGACATTTGTCCCTCCTGAGATTTAATTTTAAGTGATTCATTTACTTTTTATCAACCATTTCAAAGAACAAAGATTTTCTTGTTTCAACTTGGATTTTTGGTGATTTTTTGATTATTATAGGCCAAAAATGAAGTCACAAATTCAAAAAAGACCACCTTTTTCCCATAGTGATAGAAGCAAAGTCAAAAATAAAACGTAATTAATCTACATAAAAGTAGTTGTCTTGATATCAAATTATAGAAGTCTAACTTACTTGTGAGAAATTTGGGCATAGGCACTATATTTATGGGCTCTCTAATCAAGCATATTGTATATATGAGCTTTGACATATATGAGAGAAAACATATCAACCAAGGGTCATTAGGGGGTTTCACCAGTCTTTTTTTGATACTTATTATTATTGGCTGGTGCTTAAACTACCACTATATTCAACAGTCAACATCCAAAGCTGGTGAAACCCCCTATTATATAAAAATAGATACGTGTCCATATTCAAGATATGAATAATCTATAGGATGTATTTGTCATTTATCCAATTTTGTAAACTGATGCATGTCCAAATTTAAGATGTGAGTAGTTTATTGGATGTGTTTGTCACTTTATCCAATTTTGTAAACTGATAAGCAGTTTTGTAATGACTATAAATAATGGGTTTGAATTAGAGGCTAGTTTAGGCAACTTGTCAATAAGACCGAAGTTTAAGCTTAAGAAAGATGATCTTTTATTGAGAAGAGGTGATGGGTATTTATATGAGTAGAAGATGGGCAGAGATACAGACAGAAGATAATAGAGAAGAATGTTATGCAATTATATGTACCTACTTGCAGTAGTCCTTTACTACTGCAAGCAGTACATTCTATCAGAGGTACAATATCTTGACCTTCACACAACAGTTTTACATACTATATTTATCTAAAATGACCTTCTAGCTTAAAAGTAAAACAATCATATTTGAATATCAGCTTCCATGTACTAAAATAGGTTTAGTACATACTAAACTTAGTAAGTGCGTGTTGGACTTTTATGAGTTATGATTTTTGGACAGAAAGTTACGAGTATAAAAAAATACTCGTTATTCATTTTCTACAGTGAGTGTTATAGCATTGGAAAAATAACTCATGTCAAGTCTCGATCTGGTATTTCTTTTCTGGCGCTTATAACTAAGTCGCAGAATCAATACCACTGGGGATTGTTAAGTTTTTAAGAATAGTTTTTAGATAAGAATAAAGATGATTTTTATTAAATGTAATTCTTGACTATTTATACAAAACAATTGTTGTTTTCTGGCTAAAAGAATAGCTACGATAATATGTCTTACATAGTAGTTATCTAGTAATATCTCTACAAGTATATTCCTCAACTCCAACATCTAAAACAAAGACAAAAGACCAATCGGCGAAGTCAAGATCTTTTATCCTAAAAAGTCAACTGTTACTGGTTGTTTGTAACTTCTGATTTTGGTCACCAATGTCAACTATGACACAACAACATTACCAAAATGGTTAAAAATTTGATTTCTGCCAGACTTGAACTGGCGACCGTCTGTGTGTTAGACAGACGTGATAACCAACTACACCAAGAAACCACACTCTCTTCCACAACCAAATTATTTTTTGAATTCAAACCCAGCACAGTTTTACTTTTACCTCTTTTTCTCTATAACTACTATATCAAACCTATCTGTTTTTTGCAGCAGGATTGATTGTCATAGTTGTTTTTATATATCTACCAATTTTCATTTTTTTTAATTGACTTTTTTTCAAATTGTTGGAATCATCATTGCAATCATCTTCACATCTGCGCCGAAATCACTCAAGATTGTCAGCATCTCCAACTACATCTCAATTGCCTGTACCTCTGTTATCGTCTCCAGCTCTTTTCTCCTTCTCTGAAGGTGGTTCTGGTGTTTTACCATCAACTTCGCACTTTTTTGTCCCAGTTTCAGACCTTTCTTTTTCTGCTTTGCCTGCTCCTGGTTCCCACGAAATTTTTTTTCAAGCTCCTCCAACAATGATTGGTTCCCAAAAACAGGTGATTAATTCCACTGGCTGCCCTACTCCCACTGCTCTCATTTTGTCTGGCCTCAAGGCAGACTTTAAAAAATTGCACAATGTTTTGTCCTGTTCACGTTGCCAGACTACAGGCAAAATTGTTTCCAATGGGTCTACTTCTCGTACTGGTAGCCCACAGTTTAAATGCAAATGTGATGCAACATTTACTGCTTCATCCATGCAATCTTTGATCAATGCAGTCCAACACAAAATTCCTGAAGTTCGTTCTGCAAGTGAGCCTGTTGTGTCCCCTTCTGTTTCCATCTTGGGTCATAGTATTTCCATGGCAGATATCTATGAAATTGAATCTGACGTTGCACCTGTTTTTCCAACTGTAATGCCCACTCTTCAGGATATTTGGGACCGTTTCCAGGTTTATGATGAACGTCTTTCTGCATTGGAGGCTGTTCAAAAAGAGAATATTGAGTTGCATAAGGCTCTTGCTACTGCAAACGCCACTATTGCACGTTTGACAAAGGAGAATGTTGATTTTTCTGTTGGTGCTGCAGCATCCAAATATGCTACTATTGCTGCCTCTGTTCCAGTTGTTTCTCAGGCTGATTTTCCATCACTTCCTGCATCCCCGACCCATCATTCCACTGAACCCACCAAGACTTTCGTTTCTAAAACACCACGTAAAAGGGCTCCAACTGCTAGGGCCATTGCTGCTGTTGTTCGTGGCATGACAATTAAAGAAAATGCTGATCAGGGGTTTCAAATTGTTTATGTACCTAATGCTATCCGTCTCCCCATTAGTACTCAATGTCAACGTCTTAGGAAATTAAAGATAGACAATGCATGTGTGCTGGATCTCCACTATCCTGATCGTAAGGTGATGGGAATGCTTGTACATAATGAGTATGCTCCTGAGCTCAAGACTATCTTGGCGAGTTATGGTGTTACTACTTTGGATAACTTTGATCCTCTGGACCCTGTTCACCTCCATGACCCAGCTCTGGCCTCTCTTTCACTTGATGATAGGGCAACAAAAGCTATACATGTTCACAATGATCGTATGCTACGTGCCATTGAATTCATTAGGGCTCCTGTCAAGTTTGCTGTTGCACGTTCCTTTTGCTCTCAGGGATGGATTAGTGATGACCAACTAGCTGAGATGGTTCCCCCACGACCCACCAAAAAAGACTTGGACATCTCTATACATACTGCCAGCATCACCATCCCTTCATTCTCTGATCTATGAATCCAGTAACAATTACATTATGGAATGCAAATGGTCTTGCAAAACAGACCATACCTACGATCCTTTCATACGCTCCACTTACTTCCCTTCTTTTTATCACTGAAACATGGCTTTTGTCCCCCCATCGTTATCCTACTTCTTGGCAGCAGTACCATACCTATGGTCAGTCTGTCCCCAATGCTAGCCGTGGCTGCATGGGTATTTCTCTTCTTGTAAATCCTTCTTTCCCTTACCCCATTTCTATTGTTCCTTCTTCTTCTCCTTATGTTCTTTCTTGTATTGTATTTGATTGTCTTATTCATTGCATTTATCTTCCCCCTTCTCTTTCTGATGATGATGCAATTTCTATTCTTTATGACCTCCCCCTCTCTTCTTCTTCTATTCCTTCTTCTAACACTATTTTTTGTGGTGATTTTAATTCACGTATGGGATCCTTTCTTGGTGACCATGCTATCACTTCGCAAGGAACTTCTTTTCTTCAGTGGATCCAGGCAACTGGTCTCACTTGTTGGAATGAATTACTTGCATTTGGTATTCCTATCTTTCTTTCTGGTAGCTCTGGTACCTCACGTTCCAGTGTCATTGATTTATTTCTTTCTACGTCCCCCCTTCTCAATCCTTCTATGCAAATTTGTTTTGATCTTTCTTTAGGCTCTGATCACAAAATGGTCAACCTCACTTTCACTCCCTATGTTTTACCTCCCCCTCCCCCTACTAACCATCCGCGCCTACTTTGGAATCTTTCCAAGCTTGCTCAGCCTGACACTCTCAAGATCTACATTGATACAGCTTCTGGGTCATTGGACAATCTGACAGAGCAGTTCAGTGCTTTCCTTTCTTCTTCTCCTCCTCCTGTAGATTCTCTGTGCTCTGCTTTTGCTCAAGCTATCTATGATGCTCTGGACACTGCTGTTGGTCGTCGTACACCACGTATCATGCAAAAGTACTGGTTCTGGTCAGTGGATCTTCAAGAAGCAATGGATCTGAGAGAACGCAGCTACCAACACTGGCGTCATTCTAGTGGTTTGCAGAAGGCTATATGCTGGATGCGCCATCAGGATGCATGTCATGCTGTTAGGTTATCAGTCCAGCATCGTCGATGTGAAACATGGAAAGAATTCTGCAACAAATTGGCAACACAAGACTTTGCAAAGACCACAGCAACAATGAAACGTATTAAAAGCCATCATCAAACCAGTCCTGTCTTTGTGGATCCGGGTGGACCTCAAGTAGCTGCTAACAAAATGGCTGATCATCTTCAACAGATTTTCTCAGGTCAATTTCTTCCTGTACGCCGCCCTCCAGACCAGACAGTGATGATTTCATCACCAATTGCAATTGATGAATCGTGTCCTTTTACTCATCTTTCTGTAGAGAGTGCAATTCTCAAGCTTCCTACACGCAAGGCTCCTGATGTTGACCATCTTCATGCTGAAATGCTTCACCCAATTGTTAAGCAAGTCTCTCCTGTTCTTTGTCTTTTGTTCCAGCTTTGTTGGCAATGGGGTTCTGCACCTCTTGCATGGCGTACTGCACAAATTGTCCCCATCTTTAAAAAGGGTGATACTCATGACCCTGCTAACTATCGTCCCATTAGCTTAACGTCTATCCTGAGAAAAGCCATGGAATATTGTCTACAGTTTCCTCTTGAAGATGTGTCTCCAACAATTGATATTGCACAGGGTGGATTCCAACGTCAACATAGCTCCCTTGATCAAGTTCTTTGTCTCCATGAGATGGTCCATCGTCACACAGCTCTATTCAAAGCACCACCAGTCTTGGCTTTTCTTGATATCAAGTCTGCATATGACACTGTTGATCGTTCTGTAGTATAGACATTGTTACGTCCTCTTGCCTCTGATGCTATGTTAGCTTTGTTACAAAGTCTTTTTCACAATGTTCAAGTTGAGGTGTTGCTTTCTGGTGCAACATCCAGATCATTCCAACCATTGACTGGCGTTATGCAAGGATCTGTGCTTTCTCCCCACCTTTATTCTGTGTACATAAATTCTCTACCAGTTGCTCTTCGTGCTGCAGGGGAACTTTGTCACACAGTATTTAATCAGACTGCTGCCACAAGACTCAATGATCAATTAGTCAATTCACTACTTTTTGCTGACGATGTTGCCATCATTGCTATACCAGAAGCTATGCCTGTCATTCTGAATTCTGCTGAACAACATTCTCAAGAGCTAGGATATCGTTGGAGTCCCACCAAGTGCATGATCCTTCACCATTCTTGTTCTCTTTCTCCTTTGTCATTCTCTCTCTACAATGTGCCTATTCCTCATGCTCATTCGTTTCCTTACCTTGGTGTTCCCTTCTCAGCAAAGGGGACTATTGATCCATCTCTTCTCATCTCTCGTAATTGTGTCTCTGCTATCAACAGCATGCGTGCTCTCCAATCACTTGGTGTCAATCACACTGGGTTGTCACGTCTACTCTCAATTCGTTTGTATCACCAGTTTATTCGTCCACAATTTGAGTATGGCCTGGCAATATCCTGCTTCAACATCAAACAAGTTGCTGTGCTTGAAAAGGCCCAGAACACATGCTTACGCATGATTTTTGGAGGTCACTCCACATCTTCTACATCTGTTTTCCGTCACCTTGGGAATCTTTCTAGCATGAGGGAGAGGATCTTGACTCTTGGTTTCAAGTTTGTATATCGTGCTTTCTGGTTGCCTGATGAGGCTCTGTTTACTCTTCTTCGACCTGTTCTTACAAACCCAGCACACCAATGGTTTAAGCTTTTAGCTAATCCCATTTGGTTGTCTCTCTCCAATCGTCAGAATGCTGATTCTAAAGCTTGCAAGCATGCCATTCGTTCATTTTTGAACCAGGGCCTCTTCTTGCAACGCTCTCAACAAATACTTCTCTCTGCTTGCCGTCCTTCTCCTGGTGTTGACCCTATTCTCTGGCTTCCCATGACTAACTATGAACGTAGTAGATTCATACGCTGGCGTATGGGATGGCTTCCTGGACGTCCTCAACCTTGTTTCTGTGGATTGCATACCACCAGCCGTCATCATATCATTGAGTGCACTGGAGCTGCAATTCGTCTCCATCTCTATTCTACAGTACAACCCAATCCAATTGATTATGTACTCAATATGCTGCCTATGAAGAAACTTAAAAACAACAAGAACAATGCCTTCTGGATCTTTACTTGGCCAATTCTTTGTAGAATAATGTTGGACATAGAACAGATCTGTCTCCCTGGGGTTGATCTTGCTGATCATGCTGCAACAGACAGAGGACAACTCTTCTTAAACTGGCTACCCAAATGAGACTGGCCATCTCCTTTTATTTTTAGTTTAGATCTGTATTAGTCTTAGTTTCTATTTATTGCATGAATTTCATGCATGCTTCATATTTTATCCTTATCTCCCTTTTTTTGTATCCCCTAGCTTAGTTTCCCTTTCTAGTTTTTCCCATTTTCCCCCTTGGGTTTTTTTCCTATCTTTTATTTTTACTTGTACTCTTAAAGATGGGCAATAGCTCTACAGTGCGTGTGCCCACTAGTCTTTCAATAAAAAGCTTTTATCTATACCAAGAAACTAATACTTTCTTTGATATTTGTGGTACTTTGTTGTGTGTATGATGTGTACAAGAAAAGCAAAGTAAGGGTAATAATAGAAATTGAAATCTGTCATGAGATAGGGTTTTTTATATAGGAAAACAGTTTTATAAAAATATAAAATAAATAAAAGAAATAATTTCTACAAGGGAAAAATAGAAGAAATTTCAGAAGAAAAAGAATATTTTAAACTAGCAAAAGGAAACAAATAACACTTATATAAAATAGATTAAGTTAAGGGAAATATTTAGAAAATAAAAAATTGAAAATTAACTAAGGCAATTTCTAAGGTAATTTTAAGTTGAAAATAAAGGGAAAAATTCAACAAAGCAAAAATCATAAAATTTGATGGGAAGAAAAATAATAGAAAATAGTCAATCTTCTATAAAAATTTGACAAAGAAAAACAGTAAACAGAAGAAAAATTTACAAGAGAGATCAGAGAAAATAGGTGGCATCTTTAAAGAAAACTTTTGTATCAGAAAAATTTAACAATTGTAATAAAAAATAGATAAAATAATTGTAATCAAGATTTGTCATGAAAACAAAATAAATGAAGTTATAATATATAACTACAGAGAATGAAAAAGATTGGGAAGACGTATGTTATAAAGAAATAGAAAAGCTACAGTTAACAATTTTGGTAAAGTAGTACTGAGAAGAAAACATCATATTTAGTGCATAAGAAAGATAAAAAAATTAAAAGGAGAGAGAAAATAATTTCAGAAAAGAATAAAGGGAAAGGAAATTGGTTTTCAGAAAAGAGGAAGAAGAATAAAAATAAAAATAACAAGAAGTCAAATATTTAGAATGAGAAATAAAAATAATATAAATAAAATTAAAATATAAAATGTAAAATTAGAATTGGGGGTTTGAGACTTTGGGACTAATTAAAAGATTGAAATCAATTGAAAAAGAGGCTGATACCACAGCCAATAAAAGTCATAATGCACTGTGTCTTTACTGATGCGTGATGTGTTAGGTTTGTTATAGATTGTAACAGATTACTTGGCAAATAAATACAATAATAATAGAATAGAATAGAAGACATATACAGTAAAAGACGACAAACAGTGATAGTTGACAGATAAGAAAAGAGAGAACAACCAATAGAATCATTGTTAAAGGTGAGAGACAGAGAAAGATGTATGAAAAGAGAATGACCAAACAGAAAAAGTAATAACTGACAAGGAGACCAAAACCAACAAACAGCCTTTCTAAAACCAAGGAACCGATACATTATGTTACAGGATGGTATAAATCACAAAGAGAAAAAAACAAGAAAAAGATAATGAATTGGATAATAGAAGTTTGGAAAAATAAAGATAGTAAAAATAGAATGATGAATAATCAATATGGCAGAGATAAAATATATGAATAAAGATATGGTAGAAATATAATAATAAAAGTACTGATGTTGCACGGAGATGTTGGCAAGATGAATTGTGTGCATTGTAGAAAAGGAATATTATTAGTATGGGAGACCATGATTTCGAATGAGTACAATGTGGATGAATATATTAACAAGGGAAAAGGAAAAAGTATTGTGTGTAGAAGGAACAGAGAATGGAAATGAGATTTTTCCTGTGTACAGAAAAATTCTCCTCTTACCACCAAGGGCACAGCACCACATCAACAAATCATTGACGTCAGTCTCTCATAACTGGGACAACATGTCGCAACAAACTGCTGGACAAACCCACTGAGCAGACTGACCTTCCAGTATCAGACACCACGACATGGCTAAAAGCTGGACCTGCCCACAACACATGTGACATTATGATGTGTAATGTGTTTGTTTGTTGTGAATTGCAACAATATCACTTGGCAAATAAATGTAATGTGAATTATGAAATACAAGAAGAAGAATACAGAAAGAATTGGAAAGAATAGGTAATTTGACAGATAAGAATTGGTGACAGACAGATAAAAAAAAATAGAAAGAAGATAAAAATGGGAATTGTGACAACAACAAAATTTGAGAAAGATAGAAAAGATAAAACAGAGAAACAAAATATACCAATATCAATAGAAAACACTCCAAAGAACAAGAACACTATATATGAATGAAGAATAATGATAATAATGGACAAAATAAAATAAGATTCAGGATAGAATGATGATTTTATTGATTGAACAGGTTGTTTCTTTTATAAACAGAAATGTTTAGTTAAAATAATTTTTTGAGGGAAAGAAAAGAAAGTCAAGTAAAAAAATTTCACTACATATAACTGGTGTTGATAGTAGAGATGGAATAGATAAATATAATAAAAATATAAAGACAATGAATAAAAGTATAGTAAAAATATAATAATTTAATAAAGATAAAGTAAAAATATAATGAGATAGAATAGAAGTAATAAAATAATAACAATATAGTGAAGTAAAGTAAAAAATATAGTAATAGTATAATAATGAAGTCTAATAAAAATATAATAAAAATATTATAAATAAATATCGGTGATAAAGAAGTATATAGAATTAGGAGAAAGAAGTGTAACTTTTAGTGGGTGATAGGCATTTTGGAGGTGACGATGTAGATGGGTATTCTAATTATTTAAGAGGTGGAATATAATTGGGGGTTTGCATATAAGGCGTATCAGAAACAAGATTTCCCAAGAAACCTGGGGGGACCACTCCTGTTCCTTGAGACACATCACTTGGTCGACTCACTGTCAACGTCAACACCCACAAGTCCAGCATCACCTGTCACAGCTTATCACCAGACCAAACCACCAAAGAGACCCACCATATGGTGCCTTTTACCAGACACAGGCCAAAACTGGACTTGTTTTTAACACACGTGACAATTACCGTCGCATGTGATATGTAGTTGTGTGTAGAAGATGTACAAGAAAAGATAATTGTATATAAGAAAAGGAATTGAAAAGAGGAATTGAGGGTTTGGGTTCGATATCGGATAAATTGAGGTGATAAAATAGTCTCTTTGTTATCAAATAGACTAGTTAAAGAAATTAAAAGGGAAACTAACACTAAGGTAAGAGTGTAAATAATTTAAATGATTAGAGAAATAGTTAAACTAAAAGAAGTGAAGTAAATAATACTAATTCTAAAGAGTTAACTATGAGAAAGAAATATTTAATAGAGTAAAAGATTTAGCTAAAGAGAAATTTACTATGGTAAATTTACTAAGAGATAAGTAAAAGGGAAAACCGGGACAAAATAATAAAATGAAAGAAATTTCACAAAAGAGAGCAGAGATAATAGACAGCATCTTGAAGAAAACTTGTATCAGAAAAATTCGACAGTTGTTTATTGATTGATTTTAGAGAGATATTTATACTAATTTATGGATAAAATATATGGCAAACATAGGCTAGATAAAACTCAATGAGATAATCATAAATAAAAATATAAAGAAAAATAACTATATAAATATTTTGTCATGAAAGAAGAAAATAGATAAAGTTATAATATATAACTACAAGAAAAGAAAAATATCAGAAAGAAGTATGTTATAAATAAAGGAAAAAACTATTCAGTTAACAATTTTGATAAAGTAGTGTTTCAGAGGAAGCATCACATTTAGTGTGCAGGAATAAAATAAAAAGAAAAGGGAGAAAACAATTTCATGAAAAATAAAGGGGAAAAGATTTTAATTTTCAGAAAATTGCACTGCAAAAATGATCCTCTTTCACACAGGGAAATTAAACTAATTATGTGTGAAAGAATAGGGTAAAATTCCATCTCAGTCAGTTTTTGTGAATAAAGTATTCAAAAAGAAGTTTATACAATATAATTGGATAGAGAAGCTTGTGTATCATTTGAAAATACACGAAACCTAAATAAATCATAGAATAAACTACTTTACATTCCTTTTCTTTACTGTTAAACACATATATATATATTTTTAAAAATGGCTCCCAACTGCAACGCAGACAACAAATACAAATGCTACTGCTCAGTATGCAGAGTTCGATATGGAGGATATAACACTGTATCTGCCCAGACATTAAAGCGTCATGAAAAAGCCGAGAAAATTGTAGAGCTTATGCAGAATAATATCCGTATGCAATATAATTATATTTTTTATTTATTTCAGTATAGCAAAAATTAATAGAATAAATTTATTTAACTATAGAGAACGAGATAATCGAAGAGACATTTGAGGTCGAGAGCAATGAAGATACTATGGATTATATCTTTGATAAAGAAAACTACTTTTTTTTGTTTTCTTGCTATTTTGGCCTAATATTAATATTTTGGCAAAATCGAATGACAATGAAGAAGTAGAAACACCTACTTTGACCAGGGACCTACCTCTTTCTGAGTCTAATGCTGTTTTTGGTATTGAAGGCAATGAATACACTGGAAGAAACGATTTTGACAATGAAGAATACGAAACTGATGGTGAAATGAGTGACGATGAAGGTGCGTACAGTGTTGTAAAGAATATGGGTATCTTAGAAGTTAAAAAAAATACCAATTAATTCCCCTTTTTTTTATTATAGATTTTTCTTTTGAATGTGTTTCCAAATTAGGTTTTTTCCACCATTTCATTGTGGTTGCAATTATCTTATTTGTCTCATTGTATGTCGTTGATGAAGGCGCAGTGATATTGATTTTGATTGTCAACAAGGTGTTAGAATTGTTTAATGATTCATTCCGTCTTCCATTGAGTGTTTCTGGACTAAAGCAACTGGCTGGATTTGGTGATTTAACAAAAAGAATCACGAAGTATACTGCATGTGGTAAATGTCATACGATTTATGATAATGATAAATCCGTTCCATTATGTTGTATATCACCTAAGTTTGGTGGTAGCTCTCTGTGTTCCACAACGTTGTTCAAAGCTAGATCCGAGTCAAGGATTCCAAAAAAGGCATATATTTACTATTCAGTCATATCATCTTTGAAAATATTTTTCTGTCGCCCTAATTTTGAAAACAACATCGATTCTTGGAACTGTGGCCCCAAGGTGGATGGGATGATGTTTGATGTATACAATGGAAAAATGTGGAAAAGTATGTTGGATGTTCGTGGAATCTCTTTCATATATGGTGAGCGCTCTATCATGTTCACACTGAATATCAACTGGTTTCAGCCATTTGACGGGGTGACACACTCATGTGGAGCCATATACCTTGCTGTCAACAACCTTCCGTGCAACATTCGGTTTAAAAAAGAAAACGTCATCCTTGTCGGATTGATGCCAGGGTCCAAGGAAGCAAGCACATCTGACATTAACAACTATTTAAAGCCTTTGGTTGATGAGTTGACAGAGCTGTATACAGGTATTAAGATCAAAACTCATCAATGTCCAAATGGTACTACTATCCAAGCAGCCCTTCTCATGGTTGCCTGTGATATACCTGCTGCAAGGAAAGTATGTGAATTCACATCTCATACTAGTACAAATGCATGCCACAAGTGTAAGCGTCAATTTTTGAGGTTGGCTGAAACGAGTTCTGTTGATTATTCTGGATTCGATTTCTCAAAGTGGCTTCTTCGCACTAAGAATGAGAATTGTAAGGATGCAGAGGTCTGGAGAAATGCAACCACACATGCTGAGAGTCATTGTCTCGAAGTTGCAAATGGTGTTTGCTGGTCCGAACTGTATCATTTCCAGTACTTTGATGTTGTCTGCTGCACAATCGTCAATCCAATGCACAATCTTTTCTTAGGCACTGCCAAGAGAATGATGGAGAGATGGGTTGCAGATGGAATAATTGACAATAAAAAACTCGTTGCCATGCAAAAGGCAGTTGAGAAGATAGTGTTGCCGCCTGATTACATATCACTTGGAACAAAGATCGCAAAGGGGTTTCCCTATATGAAAGCTGATAAGTGGAAGTCTTGGTGTCTTGTATACTCTCTTGTTGTGCTTAAAGATGTTTTGCCATTAAACAAGTTTAGGAATTGAATGCTTTTTGGTAAGGCATGTCGAATTCTGGTCATGCCAAGCATATGTGAAAGTGATATCGCAACAGCCCATAAGTATCTAGAGGATTTCTGCAAAAAGTGTGAGACATTATACAGCCTAGATCTTCTCTCGCCAAACATTCACCTACACCTACACCTCCAAGATACAACTCGCGACTTTGGACCTGTTTATGGTTATTGGTTGTTCAGTTTTGAATGATACAACAGTATCCTAAAAAATATAAAAACCAACAGGAAAACTGGATTCGAGTTGACATATGTAAGACAGTTTGTAGAAGACGTTCATAAGCAAGATATCATCAGCCGTATAATGTAATCCACTAATACACACGCATACATAGATATCCTTCAAAAATTTACAAAACACCAAAAAAAATCATCTTCATCAATTACCTCATACTCTCAATTCTTATTCTCACTCGTTGACTTCATCACTGCCACGCTGGACGTATCAATATTGATAAAAGGCAACAAACCACTCTCACCAACTACATTCCTGTTAACAAAGAAACCAATGTCACCAATGTCAACAACAGAGTACAATTTCCTCGTCGAGTACTACCAGGTTGCGTACAATGACAGGAGGATCTCTAGTTGCAAGATTGGCATGACAAGTTCAGCATTTGTAAACGACCAGATTGAAGTCATAAAGTCCATTGACATTTTAGGGCAAGTCTATAAGAGATGTAATGGCAATGGACGTGGTTCCTACATCCAGGCTTTGTTTGAAGAAAATCGCACAAATGCTCACTATGGTTACGTTGGTGAAATTCAGTATATTTTTGTTCATTTATTCACACCCACAAACTCTCCCACAACACTCTACAACCACAATCACCAGCATATCTTTGCTTTTGTCAAATGGTACAAAACAACATCTGACATCCGTAGGCAACCTGAAGGCATTGAAATATACCAAAATGACTTCTACTCTTGGACTTTCAATCTATTCTCCCAGTCCATTATATCCTTCTGCCAGTCGCAATTGTTGACTACAAGACAACAAGATATGTCAATAAGAAGATGGCAATTCCTTTGCCGCAAAAAATATATGCTTAATTCCTTTTATTTTTATTTATTATTTATTTCTATATTTTATTATTTTATTTATTTATTCTTTATCTTATTCTATTTTACTTTGTTTATTAATATATTTCTCTATTTTTTTATATCTATTTAATATCATTTTTGCTTTTAGTCTGGTTATATATCAATCAAGTGCAAAAACCACGTGTGTTTATGAAGCAAAAAAAAATTATTGTTTAATTGCCCATGGGGGGGATTGACGAAATTAGGTGACAAGGGACAACAACATTCTTTTCCCTGATTGAAGTCTAGGCATTTTTGCCCTTGACTTCAACATTGACTTGTCTGAACAAGTTTGTACTGCTACAAAGTCAACAATCTCCAAGAAATTGTTCAGCTATATTTATTTCATTAGATCTTTATTTTATCATCAGTGCATAACCAAAAATAGTTTATCTCATCGCTTCTCCAGCTGGGACGCTTAACCCGAAGCACACATACAGTTGCAACGTTCATGTCTTCCATGTCAGACTCACCATCTAACATCACATCTTTCTGCAAGAGATGGAGGAACAACATCTCAGAAAGAAGTCCAACTTCAAGGCCCATCTCATTGTCAATCAACCTCCAGTTCGTCAGGTATGTATGCGTACAATGGGCAAGAATCTAAAAAAATGTAAGGTAAATATAATATATTTTTAATAAAACACTTTTTTTTATAATAACCTCTCTAATGCGATTGTTAACGCATGCATTGCGCCGTCTTGTTGCATTTTGTTGCATTGTGGAGTGAGAAGAGCAATAGCATTGCTTGTAGTTATTTCAGATTTTTGATACCACCATTCTGGACCAGAAATTTCCCGCACACGGTTGTGCAAGAACGTAATGATGGAGATAATCAACAAGCGCAGCATTTTTGGGATGGTCGATGTGCTCATTGACGTTCCATCTTCTTCTTGCCTCATTCTCAGCAATGACAGTAGAGTCTCTGGACTTCAGGTTCCTTTTCCAGACCTTTCCATTAATCAATGTCTAAATACTATTTGTTAGATCATTATTCACTGTATTGAATCAAATATATTTATCAAGATCACAGAGCCTATTTCCTGCTCAGACATGGCTGGCACAGGGAGAGGAGACGAAGGGGCAAGGGCTAGCAAGCTTGCTGGCATACTCTCCTGCCGAGCAGCAGCACCAATGTTTCTTCTCTGGCTATCCATCAGCTGGCCTACCTTGCAGTCCATTGATGCAAGCTGCATCATAATGTTCTTTAGGTCTATGGACATCTGATCCAGGCACTCATCACTGCTGGAAACAGATACTAGTTGAGAAGCAATTGCACGTTGTTCAATACTGCCAGCTATAACCTGGGAAAGAGAGGTACTCACTCCACTGGAGATAGATCTACGTCTAGTGTTTCTTGGTGTGCATGGGGCCATTTTCGATATGAAATATTTTAAAGTCATAATAAATATATTTTCTACATTATTACTATTGTTATTTTCCGGTGGGTTAAATATACTTATACATACAAAGTAAGATAAAAGTGTTGCAAAAGTAAGAAAGGGATTGCTATAAAATATTAAGTGAGAAATGTCTTTTCTTTTATCATGGACAGACTTCTTGCAACTATGAAAATAATCACTGGAAAAAAGGGGGGAAATTCCAATGTGCACAGTTACCTGATAACAATGGAAAATGTGGAGCCAATTTTCATCTCAGCAGGGTTTTCTTATGTTCATATTGAAAACGCAGCTTTGTTGTATTCTATTGGTTTGGATATAACTAGCACAAAGATTAATTTTTATTATTATTATAAAGGCCATAGTAAATAAAGTATATGTAGTACTTGTTTCCTTTTTCTCTTAACATTCAAAAACAAAACAAAACAAAAGACACCATGTTCTCAATCCCCCAACTTTACAATGAAAAGTGCTATTGTGCTGGATGTAGTCAGAACGAACTAGGCTATAGTTTTGTTGCCAGAAGAACTGCTCAGCGCCATAACAAAAGAGCAAGATTAGATGCTATAAGATGTGAAAGTGGTACGCAGTTTTTAGTATTATTGTATTAGATTTTATTTGGGTTTTTTGCAGTTTAAACAAAATAGCATTCTTTAATAGAATCTTCTCCCCAAAGAAATGCGATGGAGGTTGATGTTGAACGTAGAAAATATTAATTTGAATAAAAATAATGGAGCTTAACTAAGAAACATATTCTATATATAGCTATTCCAACCCGGCAATATGGAACCACAGAAGAGGCGTATGGTCAGACCAGCTCACCTGTTTGGAAAAGAGTCCTAATGTCTGACGATGATAATGTTTTGGTTGGGAATGAAGAGATTCACAACAGTGAAAGCAATAGTGATGAGAGTGGTAATTATGAGGAGAACAGTGGTGATGATGAAAGCAGTAATGGTGAAGAAAGCAAAGATGATGATGAAGATGTTGTTGAGATTGAAGTCAAAGAATTTGTTGATGAAGGTTGGTGCTGTGCTACTAAGAAATTGAAAAATGAAAATCTGAAAAAAAGGGGGGTGTTAATTTTTTTTGCAATTTTTACACTAGATTCTTTTGCCACCCCCAATATGCCAGAGAACCCAGTGCACAGGTTCATTGCTACATTTGTGGTAATGTTTGCTTCCCGCTATGTGGTCAACAAGGGTGCTGTTGTCTTGATCAAGTTCATCAAAAAACTCTTGACGATTTACGAGCAGGATTTCCAACTGCCCTTGAGCCTTCCTGGTCTACAGTGCATGACAGGTTTCCTAGCCAGGACCAAAGGCGTAAAGAAATTTGTTGTGTGTCAGGATTGCCACAAGGTGTACAAGGAAGGTGTATCTGCTCCTTCTCATTGTGATTTTGTGAAGCTTGGTGCGCACTCATCTTGTGGTTATCAATTGATGAAATTATTGTCATTGGGTGCTTTGATAGCTAAGCGGTCATATGTGTACCAGTCTATCAAACAGACATTAAAGATGTTTTTCCTTTGCCCAGAGTTCGAAAAAAAATCAGACATTGGAACCATGAGTTGAAGATGATGAATACCATATGCGATATCTACAACGGAGCTATGTGGAAGGAGTTAAAAGACAAAGATGGCGTGCAATTCACCCAAGATTTACGTTCATTAATGTTAACTATTAACATCGACTGATTCCAGCCATTCAATAATGTATCTCACTCGTCTGGTGCAATTTATATTGCTATCAACAATCTTTCCTGGGACGAACGGTTTAAGCCAGAGAACGTCATTCTGGTTGGACTTATGCCAGATCCTAAGGAACCAAAGTCTGAAGAGATAAATCACTATCTCAAACCTTTGGTAGATGAGTTGGAGACGTTGTACGTGGGAATGAAGATCCCAACCATTGAATGTCCCAGTAGAGTCAATGTTTGTGCAGCACTGCTGATGGTGGCCTGCGATATTCCAGCTGCTTGGAAAACAAGTGAGTTCACTTCTCCCAACAGTATGTGCGCCTGCTACAAGTGCAACCACCAGTTCCCCCGTCTGCCAAATAGAATCAACGTCGATTTTAGCGGATTTGTCTTTTCTCAATGGAATCTTCATAATGGTATAGAAAGCAGGTTGCATGTTGAGGAGTGGGAAAGTGCTAGTACCCCCTCAGAAAGACATCAGCTGGGGGTCAAAAATGGTGTTCGATGGTCACAGTTGTATCGTCTTGGATACTTTGATCTAGTATGTGGAACGATCATTGATCCCATGCATAATCTTTTTCTGGGAACTCCAAAGAGGATGCTGGATTGGTGGATTGAGGAGAAGAAGATTTCAAAAGACGATCTAGTTACAATGCAGAAGACAGCAGAGACAATGGTGATTCCTGGTGAGTACACTGCTTTGACAAAGAAAATCAGCAAAGGGTTTCTGTACATGAAAGCAGACGAGTGGAAGTCGTGGGTGCTTGTTTACTCTCCTGTTTTGTTGAAGGGCGTTCTTCCGAATAATATGTTCAACAACTGGATCGCCTATGTTGATGCATGTTGCCTCTTGATAAAACCAACCATCACTTTCCTTGAACTAAGCAATGCCCACACATTCCTTGAAAGATTCTGTCAGAAATGCGAAACCACATATCCAACCAAAATCCTCACCTGTAACATGCACCTGCACCTCCATCTTCATGATATCATTTGTGATTTTGGACCAGTGTATGATTATTGGCTCTTCGGGTTCAAGAGATTTAATGGTTTGTTAAAAAATATGAAAATAAACAGAAAAATTGGGTTTGAAGAAACCTATATGCGAAAATGTGTTAAAGCTGTACATAAGGAAGACTATGTCAATGCTGTTCTTCGAGGTCCAAGCCAAGTCTCCTTCTGCCAATTCATTTTTAAACTTATGTCAACACCTATGCCAACCTCTATACCAATTACCACCCCTACCATCCGTCAACATACCTTCCGTCTACAATCCTTTATTGATTATTCCGAAAATCCAGATCTTGTCATCAAAGGCAATGAGCCTCTCCCTCCTTCCGCCTTCCCACTCCTTACAGCAGCATTAACACCAATGAGTAATATTCACTATCTTCATCTCTTGGAATATTATAAGACTGCATACCAAAATCAAGCATTGGTCCATTACAAAGAAGCTTCATCATCACTGTACTTTGTTGACAATCTGATAAATAAGCTTAAATCAGTAAACATTCTTGGCCAGACTTATAAAGGCTAGAATGAATCAGAATATCATGGTTTTCTCATTCAAGCCAAATTTTATAGAAGTATAGCCCAGCATATACTCACATACACAGGTCAAATTCAGTACCTATTCACACATTCCTTTACCCCACCACCTACCAACAACAACAATTGCCAATTCTGGCTTATGCATTATGATCAACATGTTTTTGCTTTCGTCAAATGGTTTATGCCAGCTGACAATCATTCTTGTTCACTTGAACATGTTGATATTTGTTATCCTACGTTCTCTCATGACAGCCATCAAAGCATATTGTCAGTGCATAGAATTTTGTTGCAAGTTGCTACAGCTGAGCATACAACGCATCAAAATGTTAAAAAAAAATACTAGTCATTCCTTTACCACAAAAACACTATGCATAGAAATTAATAAAATTTAACTCTTCTTTTTAAAGAATCTAAAAGAAAAAGACAATTGTAGCATTCATGTTTCGCAATAAGTTTGTGTTTGTTGAAATTATAATGCAAAGGATGAGAGAGAAAAAAGTTTTATTAGAGCTCATCTCTGAAAGCCCACTGAGGAAGAGAGCGCTTCAGTTGACTCGGGACTGCTAAATCAGCATCTCCGCCAAAGGTCTTCTTTGCCATCTGGTGCACATTTAGGTTCAAGCATTTGAGCACGGCTACGTTAACATGCCTCAGAAACTGATTGTATTAGATTACAATAAAAATATTATGTTTATTTTACTAAAAGACAATGGATTGCATTTAACATTATTTATAAAAGTATTTACCTCATTGCTTCTCCAGGTTGGATGCACTGTATGGATCACACGATTGCCTGGAACTCCAGGTATCTCATCCTCCAACTCACCCTCAGACATTGCTGTCTTGTTGATGAGCCCTTTGCAATCCTTTCCCAGCAACATATCAATGTCAGCCTTGCATATGCTGTAGGCCAGCTCACAGCAGTCAAAGTTCTAATAACACATATTTATTAATATTACTCAATATTATTATTTTTATCAAAATACAACACAACATACAGTGGTTGCTTGACTTGCTCTTCTTGACCTTGATCTTCCTGCATCAAGGGCTGATGGCGACTTTCGTTCAGCAGAACATCTTCCACAAAAGTTAGTATAAATACTACTGCGGATTTCGGATGGTTTAAGCCCATCTGCAGCAAACTTTGGCTTCAGATAAGCCATAAGTGCAAGTGTCAGTTCTTTATTAGGGGAGCGATTGAAATGAATTTCAGTATTCCAACTGGACTTGCTGTCATTTGCTGCAATCAAAGCTGCATCATTTGATCTGAATTTTGGATCCCTCAATTGGCTTTGGATAAGAAACTATATATTGTGTGAGATAGTATATTGATAAATTATTTGATGATGCTTTACTCACAAAAAGTCGATTGTAAACTTCTTGATTAACATCAGTAGAAGTGGCAGTGGGAGCAGAGGATGGAGCAGAGGATGGAGCAGAGGCAGAAGCAGAGGCAGAAGCAGAGGTAGGAGCAGAGGTAGGAGCAGAGGTAGGAGCAAAGGCGGGAGCAATCTCAAGAACATTATCAGAAGTTCCAATAAGAGTATCCAGAACTTCCAAAGCATCAGCATTGCCTATGACAATGCAGCCAATTTTGGAATTCATATCCTTCAGACTTTGCTGCATTGCGTCTAATCTAGTGATCAGATCCGCATGTTCTTTTTATGGATGGGGAGCAAGTGTACGATTGACTTTAGGTATTTTCTATAAATTAACAAAACAAATAAGTATGAACTATCTGTATTATGATTTAACATTATATATATACAACATAGTGTTCTTTGTATATAAGAGTACTTGTAAAATATGGTTTTTTGTATATATGTAAATGTGATTATATGTTTACATTTGAGTGTGAGTGTGAGTGTAAGTGTAAGTATTTGTAAAAGTGCGAGTATAGCAAAGTAGCTAATTAATATTTTGAAAGAAAATATATTTATTGACAATAGAGATTGTTTCAAGAATAAATCTAAATTGCTCTCTTACACAAGCTCTGTGTAAGATACAATGGAAATATTGCTTTTGATTTTATTTCATTATACTCTTTCAGTTTCTTTTGAGGGCAAGCATTTGTTTTGATTTCTTTGTTACTTTTGTAATTTTTATTTTTATTTTTTTCCTCTTTGTCTCATTCTGGCTTGTCTTTTTCTTTTCTTTCTATTTTCTCTCTCTTTTCAAGTTTTATTATTTTTATATATTTTAGTAGGTTATATTCTTTTTAAAAAGAGCTTCATCACAGATAACAAATAAAAATATTTATATATTTGGCTGCCATAGTCACTTGCTTCATCATTCTATTCATTGTTTATTATATGTCAGGGTTTCTATGGTAAGGTGGCGTCTCTTTTTTCATAAACAACTAAAAAAAACACTGATACATTCTGTTGCCATAGATACTATCAGTCTTTTTATTTCTGATGCATCCTCTTCACAATGTCCATCCCGATTAGTAAACGTTAGTAAGCATTGTCATCTTCTTCTAAAACTTTGCTGACTTTTTTATAGGTCGTGTCACCAAAAACATATACTACAACTAAACATGACAACCAACACGGTAATATTTTATAGTTCTTTTTATTTATTACATTTTGCTTTCATATTTATCTAACAAAATATAACCTTTATTATAGATGAATGACCCTCTCTCAAACATTTTCTGCATCTAGAACTTCTATCTCATGCTACTGTCATTGACATGGTAAGACTTGTTTTTTCTTTATTCTCTTTATATGTACCGTAATATTATTACACTGTATATTAATATAATACAATATTCTGCAAGAGACTATATTGGCTCTTGACAAGAACTATCAAGGTTTACAAATACAACTGTTTGCTTTGGGTGTGTAAATTAATTACTATATTACTCAATTTACCCAAACTAATTTTTCCAATCATTTTCATAGTCAAAGTAGTCATACTGGGTGTCATGTCCAACATTCCTGATATCCTCTTGATTTTCCCACTTGTATCTGATGTTTTTAATGTAAGTATATTTTATACAATATATTTTTTAGAATATTTAATATTCTACGTATATAATTAACACCCTTATAATTTTAGAGAACAGGTATCTTCAAGCAAGCTACACATCACTGGGTTTTTTGAGAGAAATAATATCTGCATTGCATTGCTCAATTCAAATAGTATGAAAGATGATGAGAAAAGTGGTCCAAAATATATAATTGTATCACTAGACTGTAAACCTAGAAATATTCTTTTCTCCTAATAAACACAAAATAAACCAATTAGAATTGCAATGCATATATGGGGGGAGAAGTATTTTGCAATTAATTGTACAAGAAGGAGTGTCTAGGATTGGCTCAAATTTTTGTTTTGGAGATTATAACCATGGAAAAGTTGGCTTTTCAATGAAATAAACCATAGAAAAGTTGGCTATTCTATTAAATTTCATGCTTGTTCATTGTTCTTTTAATCTAAAACAAATATAAAGTATTACAAGAAATATAGTTTTGGATAAAATGCTTTGGTGTAATAGGGAAACTCTATATACAGAGAATGCTAATGAACTCTGCTTCTTAGCTGCCCAAGCTTTTTCTATGTTCAAAAGTTGATCTTTCTACTTAGTAGAAAGGTGGCTTCATACCTTTGTGTAATTTTTCTGATCATATGAAAAACCTGGTCTTTACACATATATTTTGACAGTTTTTAACAGAAGAATACCCTATTATTTTTTCAGTGAATATGTGTTACTATTAGCTTTAGATATCTTGATTTGGCTCTTGGTGTATTTCTATTAGATTAAACAATACTTGGGTCTTCTGTTTTAATTCTCTATTTTCTTTTTTGGTTTTTTCTTCTTTGTTTTCATTTTTTTCAGTTTTTTTCTTTTGTTTCTTTTGTTTCTTTATTTTTTTTCCTCCTTTTTTCTTCCTTTTTCTTTCCATTATTATTTTCGTTTTTATCAAAGGACTTGGGTAAGCAGTTAATATGTGATTGAATATGTTCATTATACTTACTCTCTGTTTATATGTTTATATGCATTTCTAGTCCTGCTAATAATCTAATATTCTTAAGCATACTTCTTTAATTTTTGATAATGTTATTCACGCGGCTTGGTATATCCCTGCCTTAAATAAAAGATAAAAAAAATTGAAAAGGTTTTGACTCTTTGTTAATTTGCTATTTATTTTTTAAAAGGTACATGTCTTGCATGCGATTGCAAATGACTACTACAGTAATGTGTCTGGTAAGCATAAAAAAGATTATAATATTTGTTTTTATACTAACTTCATTTTTTGTCAATATTATTAATTTGAATATATTAAAATATTAGCCTGGTTTTTCATTTTGTTTTCAAAATACTATCAATGCTGTTTATCTTGATAAGTTTATTTTTAATACTAATGTTTATTTTTATTATTTGAGACATTCTTTACAGCTATCTTTTATAAAACAAATACAACAAGCACAATGCTATTGCACTTGTTTGTAAGAATGCATATTTTCTTGAAATAATAAAATACGTCTTCTTTGATATTTTAATTAATTTTTTTTCTGTTTAGTCAATGATACAAGTCATGTTTCCAGCAGTCTGTTCAGCATTATATCTAAAATACATTCTTATTCTTTATATCATTAGACAATAGCTTCTAGTATATATTTTATGTCTTTATTAAGGATAGCCTAACTAATCTTGTGATAATCAAGAGTTAGCTATAAAGTGTATTATTAAGCAATATAATCCAAGTTTTTTTTTACAAAAATAAAAGTCCTATTTGTAAACTATTCTCCTAAAACTATTTATAAAGAAGTGTGAGAAGATTATTTTCAGTCAATCAAATGAATGTATTGTACTTTGTCCAAAATATAAGATCCAATAAATTGCTTAAATTTGGAGTAAAAACATATTTCCCCCATCATGAAAAAATGTTTCTATCTGTCTTCTCTATTCCTAAAGAAGAAGAAAATATAATGTTATACATAAAAAACTTTGTATTTTTTTTGCTTTAAGTTTCTGAGCTGGTATTATAAGGTAGAACTATATGACTTTATGAGTGAAATTCTTTCTACAGAACTATTGTATTCATTATTTAGGATAAAGAATAAATGTGCACTAGACTCAAAATTGTTTAAATTACAGGGGAATTTAATTCTTTATATCAGTATTCTGCCTTCTTTCACATAGAGTAAGCCAAGCAATTTTTCTAGTGTTGGTTTTTGGAAAAAGGCAATTTTGTGAAAATGAAAGAAAGAAATTAAAATTTTGAAAAAAAATTAAAAAGGGATTTTCAAAAGAATATCTGAACTTGGTAGAATATGGTTTTTGGACTAAGAGTAGGAACATTATTATATCACGTATCATTACTGATGTGTGTGGTATTTATATTTGTGGTAAATATTGACAGGTGATATTATCATAGTTTTTAAAGTTTGAATGCATTCGTAGATGTGAAATAACCTCTCTTTTCCACAAGAGAGAAAAAGACAAACTCAAAAGAGAATGTAGAATTAAAGATAATTAAATCAATAAGAGAAAAATAAGAGAAAAACAGTATTATTGATCAATCTCAATATACTTGACTCAATATACTCAAGTAAGCAAACAAGTAAATTATCAATAGTATTAAATATTAAAAGAACTTGTTGTCAGAAAATAAGACAAAAAAATTCATGTTTATTAAAGCAGGTATTATGATATTTATAGTTTTGCAATTGACTTGTTGAATAATTAAATAAATAAAATTATAAAAAAAATATAATAAAAGTTGTATAATTGACAATCTATTAAATGTGATTTGTTCTTTACTATCATTAAGTACAAATAAAATAATATAATTATTAAGTCATAATCATGAAGATAATTATGCTTGTAAGAATATATAATAAAAATAATATTAATTCCAAGTTGATTTGTTTAGTTAAATATAGTGAGAAAATAAGATACAATGTGTGGTTGCCTGAAGTTATTGTTGACAGAATAATGCTTTTTCATTGTAATTATTGGTGTTTTGCTCTACAAATAAAAAAATTGCTTTCTATTCAGCCTCGGCCACCGTTGGAAAATCAAAAAATAATAATAATAGAATATAATTTTCTAGAATTACAAAGAATTCTGCAATGTCATCGCACTGCCAGACAACCGAAATTTTGGTACACATTGATCATTATTACAACATTTCTTGTCATTACAAGAAAGCGCGGATGGTTAAGTGGTATAATCTTCGCCTGCCACGCGAAGGGCCCGGGTTCGATTCCCGGTCCGCGCAATACATATTGATTTTTTTGCGTCGATCCCGACTTTTGTTGGCCTTCCTTTTGTCATGCTTAATTTTAGTGATACACACTGAAAAAAAGTAGAAAAATACTGACATGTATATATGGGCAAACGGTACTAGAATAACGTGATATATCATAGTTGATATTTTTTTCCACTAGGTTTTAAGTTCATCTAACACTGTATGTATGAGACTTACAAACACTACAGTATATGTAGATGAGGGTTTCCGCAAGTAAGGTTTGGTAGCACTTTTGATATACTTGTTATGCTTAATAAATAAATAAAAATATTTAAAACTATGGATTTATCTCAGTATTCTTGACACAGAACAGGAAAGGTCAAAGATGGATTACATCATATATATTGCTCCAATGGTTTATCTGTACTACACCTCACCTTTACTGACCACCTATACTGACAGTTCTTTAAAACCTCCAATCATCAACAGCAAAAAAACACGTCTTTAAAATTATGGACCAGTAATATGTTCTTTATTTATTTGGTTTCCCATTTTTATTAGGTTGATAATGGTTTATGCTTTTATTTTTATTGGAAAGAATAGAATGTTTCTAGGTTTCAAATCTAATAAAGCTATTCTATATTGTCAGCTACTTCTTGCTTGGTAATCTTGTTATATTTGGGATGAAAATTTTTCTACAAAAAACAAATACCTGAAGAAAATGAGATGCTCGTTACCTTTTTTTAGGGGTAAGAGCAGTACTCTTTGAGAATAGATAAAACATTAGTGATGGGAGTGCGTGTGTGTTTTATACTGAAAATTTTATGCACTAATTAATACTTACATTGGAAGTACCCAGTACAAATGGACAAAGAAATAAAACATTTACAGTAAAGCACGGGATTATGATTTCTTTGACTATAAAATGATAGGAAAGAATTAATTTTTGTGAATTGTGTGATAGAATAATTGATTTACATACCAAAGGCAAATGATTTCTTTGCAGACCAAGATATTATCTGTAAAGCGGTAATATCGTCTCTAGTAGAGAATATATATTAATATACAGTATAAATAATATTATTGTATGTATAGAAGTAAATAAAAGGCTTACCATGGCAATGACTGTAGCATGGGATGGAAGTTCTTGAGGAATGGCACGTTTGTAAGAGGGATGTTCATCTATAATAGAAATTATATTCAGTTAGATAAATATTAAAAAGAAATAGATTAAAATAAAATAGAATATTACTGTGTCAATATCCGTGTTTGATTGTAGAGAGTATTTTTAGCGATGTGGCCTATATTAAAGAAAGAAAAAAGTCAGAATGATTGTATGGAATGATGGCATAAAGTATATTTACTAACCCTGGCTAATCTGGATAACTGTTGTGAAGATGGCGCATCAGAATGAGACAAAGAGTGAGTTTCTATGACATTAAAATATATTGTTATTTTTTAGTTATACATAAAGAAGTATATATTTCTTTTAAAATAAAGAAAGTGCCTTATCATAAAACCTTGTGAGTGTAAAGAGTGAAGAGAGAGAAACAGAGAGAATACCTATGATAAACAAAAAAATCAATTCTTTTGTTCTTTGTAAAGAAGTATTTTGAACCAAAAACAATCTTACCAGAAAAATTTGCAAATATAACAAGAATTGAAAAGAGAGAGAAAAGAGGGAAATAACAAAAAACGAATAAAAAAAGTAAAAAAAAATCTTAAAAAAAAAGAAAAAAGTGTGTTTAAAACAAAAGACTAAAATGATTTCATCAAGTCCCAAAGCAATATGAAAACCGATTCACATCCCAGTCATTACAAGAAGTATTAATAGAGATTCGTATATCAAATATATTTTGAATATATATAATAATCATACCTTTCATATAATACACTTTCCCTTGCTCTTACTCTCTTGCTACTTATTACACTTATACTCCCAAATCAATACACTTGTTCTAACAATTCAAGTATGTAAACTTGATACGATTTATTTTTAATTAAATTTACATAAATTTAATTGTAGAATGACAGCAATAATAATAATATAATCTGAAACTAATTATTATAACCTTTCATTTTATTATATTCTGTAGACAATGACTAACACAAGACGTGAACGCGCAATTGCCCTTCGTCCTGTTGAGATTACCAATCAGCAGCTTATGGAAATACTTTCTACTGTGAGAGCTGATATGCCTACCATAAAAGGACAGATTGGCAATGTTGAGCAAACTCTGACCAACATGAATGACAGAATTGGCGTTCTTGCCACCACCAGCACCAACACCATCAGTGCCATAGATAGTTTGGCCAGAACTCCCCTTGCTGCTCCTGTGAGAGCCGAACTCACTGTTGCTGCACCTGTTGTCATCTCCAACCATGAGTCTACCCGTGAAGAATCTAATGCAGTTTATGTGAGTAACATATTATAAAATATTTTATCAATTCATTTTCTCATGATTTATTTATCAGGCTCATATTTACAACCTTATGTGGAAACCCAAGCTTAGCTTGAGAACGCCAGAAAATATCCTGGCCAACAACCTCAAGCCCAGATGGGATACAAATGTTGCTTTCAACAAATCTCCCAACAGGGAGATAGCTGAGAGACTTCTTTCTAACCTTGAGCGCAGGTTTGGTTCCTCTAGTATGAGACAGAGTGACCTCTGAAAGAGGTTGCACACTAACTTCACTAGTAAAACCCGTCGTGAGAGAATGTCTGATGATGAGATAGTGGAAACAAATGCTCTTACACGAAGAGCAGCCCGTGCAGATGATGTGAGTATTATGCTAATATATATAGTTTATAGTTGAAAATTAAAAATAAAAATAACAAATTAACAAAACTTATTACTAGAATGAGTGTCGCCGTGTACTGGCATACAAAGACAATAAGGAGGCAATTGATCTTGTAATGCTCAGAGACTGTGCCAACACTCTCCAAAAAGCAGTAATGTCAGATGGAGAGTCTGCCAATGAAATGGACGAGGATGGCATAAAACATGTCATTCATATTGTACAACCAGGCTGGAGAAGTGATGAGATAGATTAATTTGGAGTAATACTTTTGTATTGGTGTATTATTATATTGAGTAAATTATTAATGAATGTATTTCAGTGCAACCGTTTCATTGCACTTGTTGACACTTATGCTGTCCAGGCCATGGAGTCAAGTGCTAATCAAAGGATCCAGAGGATCACTACTAGTGTGTCCAACTCAGCAGTCCCAGATAACATTAGCCCCAATTTTTCTCGGTGAGCTCTTAGAGACAGGCTCTAAATAAAAAAAATGTTTTTTTCTTTTTATCTACGTATTACTTTTTACATACACAATACTATCAATATATATAGGGAATTTGTACTGTTTTTTTTTGTATAAGAAAAGGAAATTCAAGTGGAGGTTTTTTTTATTTTAAGCATAAAGCTTTTTTAGCAAATCAATTACTAATATCTTACTAACATTTCTACTTGTAGTAATCCTAGCTGTAGCAATCTCTAAAAAGATGCGGTGCACAGATACAATGCAATGGCGACTATTGGGGGAGAAGGTGGGGAGACAAAACTTAAGACCGTCATCCTCACGCGATCTATCAGAGGAAGTATTAAACCACTTGATATATGCGAATACATGTCAATGATCATGAACCATGCGAGTCAGGTAGAGATTGCTGTAAGAAGGGTGTGTAAAGGAGTGTGTGAAGAGATACTGTATTTGTTCAGCATAGGCTAGGGTATTTGTACTGTCACTACCAACAAACATTACGTGGACAAGAGAACCACAACTAGCCGAACCGTTTTTACCACAGTACTGTTGACCAAGTAAGTCAATGAATTTCAACTTTGTGATTTCATTGTCAACAAAGGAGTTTGTGAGCGTGGCATATTGGTAACTGACAAGGTTGGGAAGATCATAGGATGTTTTGTAGTGCTGAAGCAGATGGGCACAGTCGGTTTCATCCATCAGTAATGATTTTTTTAGCTGAAGAGGGAAAGTCGAAGGAGGGAGAGGTTCGTTACCCTTTGGAGGAAAATGTGGGTTGGACGATGCTAGTAAGAATGATTGCAATCAGAATGGATGGGAGGAGAGAGTAATGACTGTGGTGGTAGGTGTGAATTTTGGAGAAAGCTTTGAGAGAATGTTGAAAAAGGGGACGTGGCTAGAACTTTTCAGAACAGCATTGGCATAGTCACCCTTGAATGCGTTTTGAAGAAAACTTCTCATATATGTTGCCTCAAAACTATCTTTTCCGTTTGTCTTTATATGCTTCAACAGGCCATTGTATCTCTCAAACCCAAAGAGCCAGCAACCGTACATGGGTCCAAAAACACGAATGGTCTCGCGAAGGTGGAGGTGCAGGTGCATGTTGCAGGTGAGGATGGTGGGAGTGTAGAGTTTGGTAGCCTTTTTGCAAAACATTTCCAGATAGTCGTGGGTGCTGTTCACTTCATCAAATGTGATTCTTGGCTTGATAAGATAGCGGCATGCACAGACGAAATTCATTCAGTTGTTGTACATTTCAAATGGTAGAACACCATGCAGCAGAACAGGAGAATACACCAGTACCCAGGATTTCCAGTCATCGGCTTTCATATAAGGAAAGCCTTTTCCAGTCTTCGATGTCAGTTTTGTATAATCCCTCAGAAGGACCATTGTCTCTGCGATTTTTTCCATGGCAGCAAACTCTTTGGCTCCAATCGTTTTCTTATCGACCCACCAGTCCATCATTCTCTTTGGCGTCTCCAGGAATAAATTATGCATGAGATCAATGATTGTTCCACGTACTAGATCGAAGTATCCAAGGCGTTGCAACTGCGACCATCGAACACCATATTCGACCTCCAGCTGGTGCCTTTCTGAGGGTGTACTCGCACTCTTCCACTCCTCAGCATGCAACCTGTTCTCTACACTGCTACAAATATTCCAAAGCAAATAATCGAATCCACTGAAGTCCACCTGATTTGTGTTGGGCAATCTGGGGAACTGGGTTATACACTTGTAGCACGCACATGTACTATTGTGGGCTGTAAATCCACTTGTTTTCCTGGCAGCAGGGATGACACACGCAACCATCAGCAAGGCAGCACAGACATTAGCACCAGAAGGGCACTTGTAGGTCGGGACTCACATTCCAACATACAACTGTTTCATCTTGTCTACCATGAGCTTGAGATAGTTATTTATCTCCTCGCATCTTGGCTCCTTGGGACCAGGCATCAAACCAACCAGAATTGTGTTCTCAGGCTTGAACCGTACCTCTCAAGGCAGATTATTTACAACTAAGTAAATTGCACCAGAAGAGTAACTAACTCCATCGAATGGCTGGAACCAGTCTATATTGAGTGTCAACATCAATGAGCGAGGACAAGCAACAAACGAGACACCACTTGCATCCTTCAGCTCTTTCCACATTGCTCCATCGTATATGTCGCACATAGTATCAACAATCTTAAGCTCTGTGTTCCAGTGACGGATTTGCTCTTCAAAACCAGGACGAAGGAAAAGAACAGACAAAGCTTGCTTGAGGGACTGGTACAAGTATGCTTGCTTTGATACCAGTGCACCTGAAGTTGACTCTTTCATCAACTTACAATCACAAGGAGAGCGTGCACCAACATTTGTGAAAACACAATGGGGAGGTACAGACATGTTTTCTTCATAGATGCAATGGCAGTTTGGACATGACACAAATCGCTTGATGTCTTTGGTGATAGATGAAAAGCCAGTCATTTTATATATTCCAGCCAGACTTTTGGGAAGTTGGAAATCTTGTCCATAAATCTTCAAGAGCTCGTTGATGAACTCAATCAAGACAACAGAACCCTTATTGACCACGTAACAAGATGCAAACAGTACTGTAAAAGTAGCAATAAATCTGTGCACTGGATTCTCGGGCATACCAGAAGCAGTAAAAGGGTCTTTTTTTTAAAAAAAAAATTAACACACATTTTTTTTTTAGTTTTTTTTTATTTATTTAAAACTGACCCTCATTGTTAAACTCTTCAACATAAATCTCGGCAGTGTCTTCTTCGCCATTTTCATTACTGTCATTGTCATCAGTCGTGTCAGACTCATCACCATTGTAGTCATTACCAACAAAGACGTCATTGTCAAACGTTGAGACGGCATCCAAAATAGGTGAGTTAGTCTGACCGTCCATTGCTTCCACAGAATCGGATTGATACATTGGGATTACTACAAATATGGAATATAATAGTTTATTATTAGTTTTTCTTCTGCGTTTCAAATAAAAAATATCTTACTTTCAGTATCTACTTCCATGCTTCTCTTTTCAGCTATGTTTTTTAAAATAATAAAAAATAAAAATAAAAGCGATTATTACTCGGTAGACAGATAACAGCACTGAATAAATTATACAACTCTTGAATATCTCAGTACCTTCAAATCTAGCTCTTTTATTATGATGCTGAGCAGTACATCTCGATACTCGGGAAACTCCTTGATCATTATTATTGCACCTGATGCAGTGGCAATCAGTGTTGTGCATTTGAATGGAAGGAAACATAGTGTATGTATTTTGAATTATAAAATAAAAAAGGAAACAAGAGTGCTACAAATATTTCATTTGATACGGTTTTATAGTAAACCAAAACGTATTTTTTATTTTATTTTTATTTTATTTTTATTTAAGTTAATAGAATACATCAAAACTACACTCCCAACTTGATAAAAAAAAACTGCTGAGATGAAAAAAAATCCTGACATATCTACTATGATCCGACTACCTGGACAATATGTTAATTGTCCTTATTTTTCCAGTGACAGTGTCAGAGTAAACGTTTATATTTCCAGGTATGTCATAAATATTTAACCGAAAATGAGGCCTACATACCAGAAAATAAGAACTTTCATAATTTACTAAGTCACTTTGAAAATTGTTTCAATTTACAGAAGGGTTTTTTTAAAAAAAAGAGATATAATTATATTTTTATTGATTATTTGATCGACGAAAATGTACTTCATATTTATCTTTTAAGGATTAAATGGAACGAAGTAATTGCTGCTGTATGTCATATATATGCTTTGCTTCGTTGTCTGTTATGTACTGTGCTAATGTGGCGAGGTCTTGATGTGATTGATGCAGTATTTGATTTGTTTGAATGCACTGATCGAAGAAAAGGGAGGAGCAATTGTTTGTGGTGATGGGTTGAGGGATTGGGATGGCATTGTGTTCATAGGTAGGGTTTAAAGGAGTGGTTGAGAAGTGCAAAGAAAAGGCAGTGTGCATTTTTAACAAATACATATGCTCGCATGGTTTTTGCCTTCTTTCAAAATCGAAACAGATACATTTCATAATCAGCCTATCTGTAACCTCAACTACATATGCTGTGTTCTCATCAACAAATGACTGCACTTGCCAGCTACTGTCTTCTGCTGATACTGAAGCAACAATCATTGTCTCTCTTGCATCATCATCAACTTCTTCTGCTTCTATCTCTCTGATTCTTTGCTGTCTAGTAAAAGAGCTCATTGTTCTATTGTTTGACATAACTCTTTCATACTCTTGTGTTAGATAGTACTCAACATCATGTACCAAGATAAAGACAAGTTTGTCTAATCTCTTATTTCTTGACCTCTTCATGAACACGGTTTTAAGCTGATTATGCCACAATTCAATATAGTTGTTTGTGAGCATATGAGAAAATTGACATTCATGATAAGCATGGCTCCAGATCTTAAACTTTTTTTCAGTGCACCAATTTTTTTCAAAGTAGTCTAAGAATAATTCTTGGTCACTGAATTCACTTTTGAATTCCACAAGTTTTTGACGGAACTGGTCCAGATCGTCTTCATATACAATATCTTGAAGATATCTCATCATTTCACTACAAAGAAGATGAGCCTCAGAAGGCAAAGCACCTGGAATCTTAACAAAGTCAGACAGCTTTCTGTTCCATGCTTGAGTGACGTGAAGGATGCAGAATTGAATCTGTGTGGAAGGGAAAGTGGTCTGGATTGCATGTACTTCTGCAGAGCAGCAATCAATAGTAATTTGCTGAGGATTGATCAGCAAAAGGGAAGACTTCAAAAACTGTAGCCACTGTACAATAGGGCCAACACCCCGGTCGTTTGTTACCATGAAAGCAACAGGCCATCCTCTACCAATTTCTTTATCACAAACAAGAAGGGTATATAAAATCTCATCAATTTTGCCAGAGATAGCATGTGTAGCATCCAAACAAAAGGAAACAGCATTTCTCATTTTAATTTGCTGTGTTGGTGACATAAAACTGTAAGCAAATGCATTTGTGTTGGGAGAATAACTCATATTGCCCTTAAAAATCAAAAAATTCATTGCAGGAAGCTTCTCATTTATTCATATCAAGAAAGAAATCATTTGATATTTGTCAAAACGATACAATCTCTTGTGTATCTATAAACAATTGGTTAAATAAAATATTATTTGAAATAAATGGGGTTTATTTACCTTGTTCATCAAGTTCCAAATGTTATAATAGTTGAACTTACGATCAGAACTTCTTCTATATCTATCAATAGCTCTCAACATATCGATACATATCTGGCTGGCAGATTTGGATGATTGCTCTAATTGCTGGGACAGTTCATGCAGATACTTTTTGGCAAGAGGAAGAGTATGAATATTCTCATGGATATCACCAGGAGTATGATTAGTGTGATCTTTGGTCAAGGTTATCTCATACCACTCAGGTGACTTAAAGAATCTTCTGATGTAAAGAAGAGCAGAACACTTATTTTTCTTAGTTCTCTTTTGAACTACTTGGATCTCTGCCTTATATTCATAAGTTTCTGAACAATGACACAAGTATTCCTGTGAGAAGCACATCTTAATGCCACTGTTTTTGGCTTCTTCAGCAGTGATATCAGTACGTCATTTGTTGGAGTTACAAATAGTCCATTTGACCACACAGGATTCACTGAGTTCTACAAGGCATTCTTTCTACTCAGATGTTCTTACTCTAATAGCACTGTTGAGTCTAAGTATCATTACTCCTGGAATAGATGAGCACTCCAATGCCTCTGAAATTCTTGCAAGAGTGTAAATGTTTTCATTCATTGGTGTAATATTGACAGTAGACATGCTTAATAGCAATATGTGTAAATAAAAAAATGTGCTTTTAGGGGATATAAAATCTTTGTTTCAAACAAACAATTCAAAAACAAGAAAAAGTATTGGCAGTCAATATTTTAGTTAAATATTTATGACATACCAGGAAATATAGACTTTCTTACATGTGTCGGACATTATTTTGATGAATCCGTAAAATCTGAAGATAGTTAACCACAGTACTTCTTTATGCGCAGTAATATCTTCCTGAGCATTAACCGCAGTATAATGACTATTTCTTTAATTAAATATAAATAATAACTACTGCGGATAATGCGCAGTATTAGTTTAGAAAACTATATAAGACAATTCAATTCATATCAATAAAAAGTACCTTTTATCCTCTCTTCGATTTTATATATACTCTCCGATCCCCAGTGGGTTTGACCTTTTGACTTTGCTATAGTAAAAGGAAGACCATCCCAGATCAGGAATGACAATTGGTAGCTGAAGCTATTTTTCCTCCTAAAGACCTTTGATGAATCCTGGTGAAAGACACCAAGAAAATTTTGACAAAAAGACACTTAGCCAGTTTGAGATTGAAGAATGAGTCCAGGACTTGTTACCCAAAGAACTAGTAAACGACTACAAGAAGAACCAGCGTGTACCACATATACCTGAAGAACAGAGACTCAAGAACACTCCTGCACGAGAACAAAAGTGGTCCGAACTTGCAAAAAAACTTGCCGCAACATTAACAGGAAAAAATAAAGAACTAGAAGATATGGCCCCACAAACTGCCACCGTAACCGCTGAAGCAATCGCAGCCGCTGTTGCAGAAGCAATGAAAGCAATCACAGCACAAAAGGAGTCCCGTGCCGAACGAATCAAGCAGCCTGATTGTTTCCGAGGTGAACGCTCCGCCGCAGTAGTAGATGGCTGGCTGCGCGCAGTCGAGTGTTACACCAAGTACTACAATTTCGCCCCAACCAAAGCCTGCGACTTTGCAGTAAATCTTTTGCGCGATAGAGCTGACACATGGTGGAGACGCACGGAACTCAAAACAGACCATCCCACTACTTGGGTCAAATTTAAAGCAGCCCTCACCAGAGAATTCCGCCCAGTTTATTCCCTCCAGACCTCTAGAGATCGACTAGCACGATTACACCAGACTGGGACTGTTGCTGAATATATCGATGCCTTCCAAGACATTCAATTGGAATTGCCTGGAATGAACAATGAAGAGGCACTCGATAAATTTGTCTGTGGACTACACCCGTCCATCCGTGGAAATGTCCTTGCTGCCCGCCCTGTTGATGTTGATGATGCTTGTAACATCGCCTTGGCATATGCCAGTGGTCTCCAACTCGGATACCAGAACAATTATGCGTCTGTACCACCTCCGCAACAATACCAGCAGCAGTACCAGCCACAGTACCAACAACAGCAATATCAGTACAGTGGACCCGAGCCCATGGACCTGGACGCAATCAACAACCATTGCAGCAACTACCAGTCTCGCCTGCCTCTAAGACGCACTAATGCTACTTGCCATTGGTGTGGTGACTCCGGTCATTTCAAGAGAAATTGTAGAGACCATCTGGCTGCAATCAAGAAGTTGGACGAGGAGCGTCTTAAGAAGCAGGGTTTTCGCGAAGCACAACCGTAATGGGAGGTTGGTTATGTACAATGGAAGAAAAATCCTCCCCACAGGCCAGTATTAGTAATGAGCCTACAGAACATTTAAGTAATAAAGAAACTTTTGACCAGTACAAAATTGTTACCAATGAAGAGAAAAAAGCTATTTCCAAAGAAAATTGTGACCCTTGTCTCACCACCAATCAACGTTTTTTGGAAGACCTTCACTCTGCTGTAGACACAGATTTACCATTATATGCGGCAACACTTCACAGACAACAAATCTTGATTCTCATCGACAGTGGAGCCAGTGCAAACTATGTGTCACCCCAAATCAAACACCTTGCCACAAAAGTCTCGAATATTCCTGGGCGATCAGTTGAAACTGCTGGAGGGCATAGCATCAAAATTAACCAGAAAGCCACACTTACACTTTCTCTTAATGGTTATACTGATAGTGTTGATGCTTTTATCTTCCCCACTAAATTCGATTTGATTCTCGGTCGCACATGGTTACAGACTGCTAAACCTGTTCCTGATTGGCATCGAGATAACTGGTCTTTATATCGTGATGGCCAAGAGTTTGTCCTGCGTCCCCATGGCAACTGCCCCATGAAACCTCAACTTAATTACCTCATTTCTGCAAAGCAAGTCCAGAAACTCTCTCGGAGGGAGGAGGCAGAGTGTTTTTTGCTGCACATCAAGACCGAGAAAGAAGTAACCAACGATGAACAATGGATGAAACTAGTGAAAGAGTTTGACGATGTGTTCCAAGACGGTTTGCCAGGGTTACCACCGAGTCAAGATGTACAACATGTAATAAACACTGAAGATGCACACCCTGTAAACAAACCGCCTTTTAAGATGAGCCCCCAAGAACTTGACGAACTCAAAAAGCAACTCAAAGAACTCCTTGACCTTGGTCTCATTCGCCCTAGCTCATCTCCATGGGGTGCTCCTATATTATTTGTAAAGAAAAAGAATGGCGAAATGCGCATGTGTGTAGACTATCGTGCTCTCAACAAAGTCACAATCCGCAATAACCATCCTTTACCAAGAATTGACGAATGCCTAGAACGATTGCATGGAGCCAACCATTTCACCAGCCTAGATCTCAAGAGTGGCTACCATCAAGTACGCATTCAAGATTCAGATGTGCCAAAAACAGCATTTAACACCCGTTATGGTCAATACGAGTTCCTGGTCCTTCCTTTTGGTCTTACCAACGCCCCGCCAACTTTCCAACATTTGATGAACAAAGTTCTGGGAGAATGTTTAGACAACTTTGCTTTGGTCTATTTGGACGATATTCTCATATTCAGTAAAACCTCAGCAGAACACGAAGAACATGTACGACATGTCTTGAACCGTCTCCGCGAAGCCAAGCTGATTGCCAACTTTAAAAAATGTGAATTTAACAAAAAGGAACTGACATTTCTTGTTTTCAATGTGTCTGCTCAAGGTATCCTCCCGTCTCCAGATAAAGTCAAGACCATACAAGAATGGGTTCCACCCTCTAATGTTCAAGAAGTGCGCCAATTTATTGGTTTGGCACAGTATTATCGCCATTTTATCCCAGGTTTTGCTGGAATTGCTGCTCCATTAACTGATCTTACCAAAGGAACAGGACCTAAACAACGACCAATTGTATGGACTGACACTTGCCAAGACAGCTTCGATATCCTTAAGGAAAAACTCAGCACTGCACCTGTACTACTTGCACCAGATATGGACAAACCTTTCCGAATTGAGACAGATGCTTCCGATTTTGGTGTCGGTGCTGTATTGATGCAAGAAGATGAAGAAGGAGTCTGGAAACCACTGGCATTTGAATCCAAGAAACTTTCCAGTGCTGAACGTTCCTACCCAGCCCAAGAACGTGAACTTTTAGGAATACTGCACACACTACGTACCTGGCGCTGTATGATTGAAGGGAAACCATTTACTGTTTTTACTGACCACCTGCCCCTCAAGTACTTCCATAGCCAAGTTAAACCAACCCCTCGATTAATAAGATGGATTTCCGAATTCGAGTTGTACGACCCCATTATTCAATACAAACCTGGTAAAGACAACGGTGTCCCAGATGTACTTTCTCGAATGGACGGTCCCGAATTTGATCCATCTACAATTGAGTCTATGGAGCCAGAGTATCTGTACACCATGCCCGAATCACAGACTTCAGATTGGCCCAAATACTATGCTCGCACGGAAGATGAGTGGCCAGATGACATAAAAGAGTTGCTACACAGACAACGCAAGAAATTCGTGGTTCATGATCAGAAGGTTTTCTGCTTGGTTAAGATTGGTGACACATTTCAAGAAATCCGTTTTGCTCTGTTTACCAAGCGTGCCAATCTGGTAAACAATTTCCACAATGGGTTTGGACATGCTGGTAAGACAACAGTTTATGACTTGATGAAGAAACATTGGTGGTGGCCAGGAATGCGACACTGCAAAAGACAACCAATTTAAGTAGCTTAATTTTTGTTTAAATCCTTCAAAAATCGGTGGTTTATGTTCAATTATAGTTTGGTATTTGTTACAAAAATTGGTTCATTTAGTTAACCAAATGATGAGATTATAGATACTAAAATCAATAGATAAATTGAGAGTTATAATTCCCCCTTTTCTTGAAATGTTATAATTGTCTGTAATTCTGGTTATATATTCACCCATAACTTGAAACCGTACCTAAACCCTACTTGTTATGGAATTGGCTTTGAACTCTCTACCTCTTAAAAAATTTTATTTGCTTTAATTACATGATATTATTGGATAGATCTCACTAAAATCAACCTAGAATCAGTCTGAAATCTGACAGGAACCAGCATTCAAATGAATGATTGTAAAAAAAAACTTAAATAGATCTTGTTGACATCATCAAGAGATGACGCATTTGAAATAGAATCTCATGGAAAAAATGGTTTTTATTGATTTTTGAATGGTTGGAAAATATATTTAGCTATTTAATATGGACTACTAATACTTCTTTAAAAGTGTGTATCCGAATAGTACGACTTGTATACATGTTATACTTTCATTTATTGGACGGCTTGAATACATTGGATGACCTAACTTATACTATACTTCCCTACCTTATCGGTTTCATGTATTTGGCGCGTTTTTTGGTTTTACACTTCTTTAACTGAAAATGAAATCCTTGGTATTTTCTTGGAGAATACGTTTGTTTGGAACTACATTAGCTTAGAGCAAAAAAAGATACAGAAGTATTAATACAGGTTTCTTTATGAAATAAAATGAAATAACATACTTACTAGATCATTTATGGGGGTTCATAACAAATCTCGCGATAGAATAAAAATCCGTTTGATTGATATTTTGTTTTAAATAAAAAGCAAGAAATAAAATAAACAGCTTTATTAATATGTATGCTTTGATTGTAAAGACACTTGAATTACTTACATATTATAGACACGCGTTTGCAAAAGGGGGCAAACCAGTATGACTTGAAAAAAAGGTGTGACATATTTATCTGAGAAGAAGAATTGATAAGTTACATTATTTAAGTTGAGTTATATATATATTACCTTTTCATAGACTGAAAATACCAGAAAGTATATAGTGTCAAGAGCAAAACATCTTTTATTACAAAATGGGTAGAAGCCCTATCATTTTAAAAATAAAAGATATTTAGTCAGCAAGGTGTTTCATTTTGGTTAGGAGATTGGTTATTACCTGTACTGTTTTGAATGCTTGTTGAGTGTATTGTTTATCTAATATATATTAAGATGATTCTAAAAGCCAAAAGTATTAATAAAAGTTGAGATCTTAAGAGTAAGCTTACCAAGACATATAAAAAGAGACAAAATGAGAAGAGCAGGTTAAAGAAAGAGAAAATAGAAAAGAGGGGCACGGTTATTCTATTAAATACAAATTCGGGGTTTTTTTTTAAAAATAAATAAATCAAAAAATAATTTTTGTCTGTAACTTAGAATTGAAAGAAAACGCAGTTGCACTATGCCAGCAGCTAATACATATGAAAAACAGAGTATAGTATAAAATCATATTATTCAAATACTAATACATAATATAAGAATAAAACATGGATTGAAAAATAAATTAAAGAAACACATAAAATACTCACAACAAGAGTGGAAACATTCAAAGCTGTTCTTGTTACGTAATAGATCATGGTGTTCTCTGAGAAAGAATAAAACTTAAAGCCCAAATTAAACATAATATAAATAGACCCTTTGGATTTAAAAAAAACCAAGCTATTCTTATTATTCACAATGTCAAAAAATCTCAATAACAATTCAGTTAACAATGCTTTTGGTGAAGAACCTTCTGTGGGAAGGTAGATTAAAACCAGGCAGTCTTCAATTTTCTTATATTAATTTTATTTTTGGTTTTTATAAAAATCAAAAAAAGCCCACCAAGAAATACCAACGATATAAGGACGATAATGTTGCAACACTCACAGGGAATAGTGAGCAATCAAAGACCACTAGCACCAAAGAGAGCTCGATTGAATCTTGAAGGTGATTTGTCGGGTAGAACTCGTAACATCCATGATGTGTACGAGAAACTTGATACCATGAATGGTGTCTTAAACACTGTTTTGAAGAACACATCTTCTGAGAAAGCCAAAGCCACTGCTAGTAATGCAGTTGAGCAAGACATGTCGCCTGGACGTCAACCAACATTGGATGTAAGTAATCATAATATGTTTTTATGTAGATAGAATTTAATATACATTTATATTATAGCAATTGTTGCGCGATTATTTGAGTGAAGAGAAATTGTATGACCAATACAATACCAATGAAAATAAAAACAGTGAGGGAAACAGACTCGTTCTGAAGTCTGTTACCAATTACCTTCGTTGTCAAGAAGAGGGGAAAAAGGTGGACTTGCCAACTCTTCGAACTAAGATTGTGCGGCACATTGGCAACAGAAAGTTGCAAGAAAAAAAAACAGGAGTGTTGTAAATGAGTATTGACTACTGCTGTAATTGAGAATAAGTCTGAAGGAAATAATATAAGGTCTCAGCTATTCCAGTCAAAGGTGTCTACCAATTACTTTATTATTTAACATACAGGTTTAGCATGCATGATAGTGATTATATTTCATATGATGATATCACCATAATATGGGATACATCAGTGGATTATTATAAGCATAATTATAACTCATAAACACATTTACTTTCGATGTTAATACTTCATTGGGACTACACACATTTATATAATTAATCATACATTAATTATCCCAAGATCACGTTGCTCTGATTAAGGCTCAGATAGGATCGATTACCTGACCCCAGTCATATAATTTTCCCAATCCAAAACAATATAAATAGCAGTAGTAGTTCAGTGTAGGAACCTGGTCAAACTTTGATATAAAATCTTTCTCAATAAACAAAACCTACACAAGTTCTCACGAATCTTCGTTCCTAATTTCAAATCTTCAATTCTTCCTCTTAAAAACTTCTTCAACTTCAACCACCACAACAATAACCAATGAAGCTCTGACCACCGAGTGCTGTTTTCTTTTTCTAGGTGTGTTCGCTCAGTATTGTTCAATGTATTTGCCCAGCTGACAGCATGTTCCAGATTCATTGTCTTCGTGCACCTCACCCAATTGCTATACTTGAATCCAGAGTAGTCAAGCTTACTGGTCTTCTTTATAGTCGTGAATTGTCGTTGACATTTGTGACAGGCGCATGTGCTCATGTGGCCAGTAAATCCAGAGGTTTTGCGAGCGGCAGAGATATCACAGGCAACACACATCAATGCAGCACGAACAACAATCTTTCTATTTTGTGAGTCTGTCATTTCTACACCAATGTACATCTCCAAAAATTCGTCAACGAGCGGCTTCAAGTAATGATTCATGCTGTCAGTGCTTGCTTCCTTCGGCCCAGGCATCATACCAACAAGAATGACATTTTCAGACTTAATGCATTCACTCCGTGGGAGATTGTTGATAGAGAGATATATCGCACCACTGGAATGTGTTCGTCCATCAAATGGCTGAAACCAATCGATATTCAGAGTCAACATTAAGGATTGGCTATCATCAACAAACCGTCTGCCATTGATGTCTTTAATATCACTCCAAACTGCACCATCGAAAATGTCAAGTTTGGTGTTTTCAATTATTTGACGACTTCTCCACAAATTGATCTTGGACACGAAATCTGGCTTGGAGAATTTTTGTTGCAAGGCGTACTTCAGAGAGTTGAATGGATATACCATTGCTGGAAGAGAACAATTTCCGGTTGACACTTTAAAGAGATTGTTGTTGCAAATGGCAGATTGAGAGAATTTCTTAAATGTACAGACTCTTTGACTTGTTTCCGGAGGATAAATCGAATGACATTGTGAGCATGCAATGTATACTGTCATTCCATCTGTTGCCATGTTAAATCCTGTCTTATGCTTCAAGCTATTGATCGTCAGTAGAAGGGCACCAGACATATCACAGAGAGACAGTAGAGTATTACAAAATTCAATGAGAATCGATCCACCGCTTTCCACCAAAAAAATCAAGTGAAATATGACAATGAATACTGCAACAAAGGGGATATACAAGGGCATTTTATCAAAAGACGAAGGACGAACTATGAAGACAAAGGTTAAGTTAGTTTAAATTAATATATTGATTAATTGTCTATACCGTATTAATTCATACCTGATTCTACTATCGAGGTCCCACTGGTCTCATCAAAGTTTTCTTCTTGTTCAAAATCAAAACCAGTATCGCCTTCTTCAATCTCATCGCCATCAACCACAAATGCTCCTGTAATTGTATCTTCGGCAGTAAAGATGGACTCTTCTTGGGACAAAGGTAAGTCAACTGGAAAGGAATAATTGCTGTAAAGATGTAGAAATAAAAATATAATTACAATTATAATCATATAAAAAATAAAAAATAAAAAAATATATATCAGTTTCAATTATTATTTTGTTCATTTATTTTATTTTATTTTCTAACCTTCTTGATCAAATTCAATGTTTTGTTCTTCATTTTCGTCTTCATATTCGCCTTTGCCTTCGTTCTCGTAATCATAATCATTGTCATTGTCACTGTCAATACTATCTACTTCCATGTCGTCAAAATGTTCTTCAGGAACATCTATTTTATGAATTAATTTATATTAATTTTACATGTACAGCTCGAGTTATTCTTGTTATTTACCCATTGCATCGTTTTTGGCAACAGGCACTATATGTTTCTCATAGTGTCGTTGTGCATTTTGTCTTTTCTGTTTCTTTCCACAGCTATTCAACTTTGTACAGTCTGGACATTTGCAGATAACATAACTGTCTTTCTTTTGATTATTGGACATGTCGATTGTTTTAAATTATAAAAAAAATTATATAGATTTTAAGAGATCTTGATCAAGGTCTTTATATACCAAAAAAAAATTATAAATAGATAAAATACTGCTCCATGCCATGACTATAGTATGTCAAGTAATTCTTTGATACATCTACTGCACATATCATCATAATTATACTCATATATCGTTATGTCATTAACCAAGTCAAATACTGCGTACATTACTAAAAGTGTATGCAATTTTTTTTAAAAGTCTTTTTTTAGAATTATAATATTTGATATGACAATGATTCGACCATGATAAAAAATAATACAAAAATGGAACATTCGCCTCTCACAACATGTGAAATAAAAAAATCTGATATTTTAATTCCATATATCAAAGGGAAAAATCACGCAAAAATATTGCCACAGTAAAAATGAAATCACAACCTTTTGTCTCGTTCCCTTGAAATATATGGATTAAATATTTGTTCTTATATTCACATTTATAATACATAAAAAATATTTAAATGATTTATTTTGAAATAGAAAAAGTGAAACCTTAAGAATATATATAATTTTTATTAAATATTATATTAACTTTTATATAAGTGTTTTTTCAATGTAATTTAGAATTATATCAAAGAAGTGTGTAATATAAAAAAAAACCCAATTTTGTAATTTTATGGCCGAAAAAATGATGGTAGTGTGATTTTACAGCTAAAAAAGAGCGATCTGAAATCACAACAGAAAAAAATAGAAATTATTTGAAAAAATTAAAAATCGAAAATTGTAGTAAAATTTTTGCAGGTTTTCAGAAACTAAAATCAGCAGTCTTTTGCAGTGCGAACACAGATCCAAGAATGGCTTGCAAAATGCCCCCAGTGTCAATTAGCGTCCAATGCCGAGCGAAATATCTACCATGCACCCATGGAACCCCTAGATATTCCCCCTCCATTTTCCCGCTGGCATCTAGATTTCATTGGAGAGCTCCCAACAACTGTAAATGGTAACCAATGGATTCTCGTTGCAGTAGATTATGCCACCAATTGGCCAATAGCACGTGCTGTACCTGCTGCTACTGGTGAAGCAATAGCCAATTTCCTGTATGAAGAAATTGTAATGCGTTTTAGTTGTCCCAATGAGATCCTCACTGACCGCGGCGCCAATTTCATGTCACACATCCTCAGCTTTTACATTAAAAAGATTAAATTACACCACAAGTTAACATCAGCATTTCACCCTCAAACCAACGGAAAATGTGAACGTTTAAATGGTATTTTAAAACAGATGCTATGAAAATATGTACATGGCACTATTCATTGCTGGGACGAATATTTGGAAACTGCACTCTGGGCCTGCCGAATTAGGAAACACCGAACAACTGGTTTCAGTCCGTTCTTCCTGACCTATGGCCGTGAACCTCATATTCCGGGTGATCCTCTACGCCCATTCATGGATACCGCTATTCCTGATGATTCTTCTCTTGTCTCTGATGGTGCTATCCCTTTTCTCCGCAATCTGCAACAAGCCTGCATTAATGCTGATGCTCGAGTAGCCACCAATAGCCAACAAGACAAGGAACGATGGGATTTTATTATGAAATCGCACCAATTTGTAATCGGTGAACATTTATTGCTCCGACATGAAAACAAATTTGGCTTAGAATATAACTGGATGGGACCATACATAGTTATAGACAAGAATGCAGATAAAAATATATACAAGCTCACAACTATGGAAGGTGTCCCTTATACTTCCTGGGTTCACGCTGATCGTTTAAAAATTGCAAAATCCGATGATTTTGACTGTACCTGGTATCACCCAACCCCTGCCCGTGCCCAAATGCACTGCGATTTAGCCTTGGACTCTTCTTCTGCCCTACCGTTTTCCCTTGTGGATTCTTCTGGGGTTGATCGAGGACTATCAACAGTTTCGGGAGGGGGTGATGTCAGACATTATTTTGATGAATCCGTAAAATCTGAAGATAGTTAACCGCAGTACTTCTTTATGCGCAGTAATATCTTCCTGAGAATTAACCGCAGTATAATGACTATTTCTTTAATTAAATATAAATAATAACTACTGCGGATAATGCGCAGTATTAGTTTAGAAAACTATATAAGACAATTCAATTCATATCAATAAAAAGTACCTTTTATCCTCTCTTCGATTTTACATATACTCTCCGATCCCCAGTGGGTTTGACCTTTTGACTTTGCTATAGTAAAAGGAAGACCATCCCAGATCAGGAACGACACATGCCAGAAAAGAAATATCAGATCAGAAATGACAAAAATATTATCAATGTCAAAGTATAAAACGTCGCCTGCAGGATTCGAACCTGCGCGTCCAAAGGACAATGCCTTAGCAGGGCACCGCGTTAACCACTCCGCCAAAGCGACACACATGACTATCATGTGTGTTGTAAACAAATCTCGCTTTAACCAGTTTCTGGTGAGGGATACCATACGGTGGATTCCTTTGGTGGTTTGGTCCGGCGGTGAGCCATGATGGGCGGTAGACTCGTGGGCGTTGACATCAACGGTGAGTCGACCGAGTGACGTGTCTCGAGGGACAAGAGTGATCCTCCCAGGTTTCTTGGGAAATCTTGCTCCCAATACCCTGATACCCAAACCTCCCAATATAATCCCGTTCCTTAAAATTAAAATACCCATCTACATCGTCACCTCAGAAACACCTGTCACCCACTAAAAACATTATACCTCTTTCCCCTAATTTTATACACTTCTTTATTGCTGTCATTTATTTTACACTATTTTTTATTACATTTTATTAGATTTCATTATTATACTATTATTATATTTTTTTACTTTACTTTACTACATTGTTATTATATTATTGCTTTACTTCTATTCTATCTTACTATATTTTTATTTTATCTTTATTCAATTATTATATTTTTACTATACTTTTATTTTACTCTCTCTATAATTTTCTATTCTACTTCTACTATCAACACCAGTTACATATAGTAAAAATTTTCACTTGACTTTCTTTTCTTTTTCTCAAAAAATTATTTTAACCAAACATTTTTATTTATAAAAGAAACAACCTTTTCAATCAATAAAATCATTATTCTATCTTTGATCTTGTTTATTTTTGCCCATTATTATCATTATTCTTCATTCATACACAGTATCCTTGTTCTTTGGAGTGTTGTCTATCAATTTTGATATATTTTATTTCTCTGTTTTCTCTTTTCTGTTTTTCTCAGACTTTGTCATTGTCACAATTTCCATTTTAATCTTCTCCCTATTTTTTACCTGTCTGTCACCAATTCTTACCTGTCAAATTACCCATTCCTTTCTATTCTTATTGTATTCTTCTTCTTGTATTTTGTAATTCACATTACATTTATTTGCCAAGTGATACTGTTACAATCAACAACAAACAAACACATCACATGTCAACTATCATATGTGTTGTAAACAAACATGCTTTTGGCCATATCGTAGTCTCTGATACTAGAATATCAGTCTGCTTAGTAGGTTTGTTTAGTGGTTTGTAATGACTTGTCGTCCTGGTTATGAGAGACTGATGTCAACGGTTTGTTGATATAGTGCTGTGCCCTTGGTAGTAAGACAAGAATTTTTCCATGTACAGGAAAAATCTTGTTTCTATTCCTTGTTCCTTCTATACATAATACTTTTTCCTTTTCCCTTGTTAGTATATCTATTCACATTGTACTCATTCGAAATCATGGTTACCTATGTTAGTAACATTCTCCTTCTAAAATGTATACAATTCATCTTGCTGACATCTTTGCCCAACATCAGTACTTTTATTATTATATTTTTATTATATTTTTATTCATATATTTTATTCTTGCTGTATTGATTACTCATCATTCTATTTTTACTATCTTTATTTTTTCAAACTTCTATTATCAATTCTAAATCTTGTCAACTATAAAAAGAGAAGCAAAGTCAACTCAATAAAATTATCCATAATCTTTTGATCCAATTCAATATCTTTTTCTTGTTTTCCCTTTATAGTTTATATCATCTTGTAATATAATATATCAGTTTCTTGGTCTTAGAAAGGTTGTTTGTTGGTTTTGGTCTTCTTGTCAGTTATTACTTTTCTGTTTTATCATTCTCTTTTTATACATCTTTCTTTCTCTCTTGCTTTTAACAACAATTCTATCTATTATTCTCTCTTTTCTTACCTGTCAACTATTACTGCTTGCCATCTTTTACTGTATCTGTCTTTTGCTCTATTCTATTATCATTGTATTTTATTTGCCAAGTGATCCGTTACAATCTATAACAAACCTAACACATCACATGTCACAAAAATATAGCTTTATTATAATATTTGAGCTACATGTACAAATTGTATATATTAATTACAAATATTACTATTCCCAAATAATGCAATATCTTTATATTGGCTATAGCAACATAATCTCATAAAAAAATTATCTCATTTTTAAAATTCTGGCTACAATATATTAAAATTTCAGAATTTTAGAAAAATATTTTTTTTAAAAAAATGCGTGTTGGTCTATTTTACTATTCAGCCACTTTGTTCACTATGAGCACACAACTGAATGAATTCCATTCACTTCTGGAGAAGGTCTACCACAACATGGGAGCAACTAAAGACCAGAATAGTAACTCAAACTATAGTCCCATCAGTCAGGCTCTTACTACAGAAGAATATATAAAGTACCATCTTGCAATGGTTTTGGTAGAATATATACTAGTAATAGAATATTGCTAAGTTACTTACATTATACTTTGTAGAGATTGATCTGTTCTCAAACACGAGCAGTTCTGGCAACAATGCTATTGATGGTCAATGAGAATGCCTTCTTGTCATCCAACCATCTCATTGCTGATATAGTGCAAAGCTATACATATCAGCAAGCTTATGTAAAGTCTGTTTTGTCTACAGTTATAGAAGAGAAAGCCCAAAGACATGTTTTGTATATGCTTCAAAGGGCAAAAGCTTTGCCAGAAAAGATAGCTCAACTGTTGTGGTGGTTGAAGTTGAAGAAGTTTTTAAGAGAAAGAATTGAAGATTTGAGATTAGGAACAAAGATTTGTGAGAACTTGTGTAGGTTTTATTTATTGAGAAAAGATTTGATATCAAAGTTTGACCAGGTTCCTACACTGAACTACTACTGCTATTTATATTATTTTGGATCGGGAAAATTATATGACTGGGGTCAGGTAATCGATTCTATCTGAGCCTTAATCAGAGCAACGTGATCTTGGGATAATTAATGTATGATTAATTATATAAATGTGTGTAGTCCCAATGAAGTATTAACATCGAAAGTAAATGTGTTTATGAGTTATAATTATGCTTATAATAATCCACTGATGTATCCCATATTATAGTGATGTCATCATATGAAATATAATCACTATCATGCATGCTAAATCTGTGTGTTAAATAATAAAGTAATCAGTAGACACCTTTGACTGGAATAGCTGAGGCCTTATATTATTTCCTTCAGACTTATTCTCAATTACAGCAGTAGTCAATACTCATTTACAACATCAACAAAATTGGATTTCTTGATGCCAGTCCAGAAAGACAAAAGTAAGTATAGTCAGCAGTTTTTGTGTAAACTATTTTAACTTTTTTTCAGATTCTTGCAGACTACAAGGCAATTCACTTGGCTGACAAGACAAAACTTGAGTCTAAGTTTGATGAGACTGTCATTGACCTTCTGGACTATGACATGTTGTCTGATATTGAGTCAAATGAGAAGAAGAATAGAACTAGATATACTTCTAGAAATAGACATCCCTTGGTAAGGGACTCATAATAAAAGTTATTTTTTTAATATGTCTAACTCAAAATTATTTATATTATAATACAGATAGATGAATAATTTACTGTTTTGAAGAAATAGAGACTTGCTAACAAGGGACCAGATGTCATTGGCAATTCTGTCTATCTAATCATTTTGAGAAACACTGAGTTGTCAAAAGAAAAAAATGCGCGTGTTGCTGCTTGCATTCACACACACTAATATTAAATTATTATTTGTTTACAAAGCACAAAGTACTTCTATAATTTTTATTGATTATGTTGAATGATGTGGGTTAAAGTAATACAATGTAATAAGGCAGTATTGTCAAGATGAGAAACAATTAATATATAAATAAAAGAAAAAAAAAATTAAAAATCAAAATAATAAATAAATCATTATTTTATTTTAAATCCGATTAATAAAAAAAATATACCAAACAATTATTTAATTATATGACTCTGATTGTTTTATCCTCATTTTTTTATTAGAAATTATAATACCAATATTAGTGAGAATATGTAATAAAGGCTAAGAAACGCTAATATTAGGGGGACAACATTTTCAGGATAGGGCACTACCTTTTTGATGGGAAACATTGTTTTGATTTTACCGGACCACAAATTGTGACTTGCTGTCCAGTATCAAATAATTATATCTGGTCTTTAAGGATTCATACTTATCATAATAAAGATACTTTTATACAAGGCAGGATAATAGCTTTTTCTACGCTTCTTTCCTCTATGTAATTATGTCTTTTCCTTCTCCACTCATGCGTATTAGCTCACTAAATTGCTCCAAAACTTTGTGCATTCATCAAACTGTCTCCAGGCATATATCTCTCCTTCTTTAGAAGACACGACCTGTTTTTGGGCAAAATGATAATAAAAAATCTTCTCATACAAAAAATAGCTTTGATTAAATATAAAAGCGTTATTTTATATATATATAATTCTATACTTAAAGTTTTATACTATATGTAATAAATTAACTGATATATATATAGAATAATAAAAAACTATCTAACATGTTACTTCAAGACATTATATCCTAATAGAAAATAACGTGCCCTACCTTGGAAACGTTGTGCCCCTCCCTTATATGCCTGAGTTCATATTTTAATCAAAACGTTGTCCCCCATCTAGAAACGTCATTCTCCAAAAGTCACAACCTTTCATATCTTGCCTATTGAAAAAATATTTTATAAAATTTGAAATTTCTTTACTAAATACTTTATTAGGCTTATAATATTATTTAATGTAATAAACATTACCTTTTGTTAATACTTATTTAAGATAAACACTAATAAAAACTGCTAAATCTTCTTCAGAAAAGAAAAACAAAGTCACAAAAATGTCTGAGAATACATATAGTATTAATTAATTTCGCATATATTAAAAAGTATATCTAATAATTGTAGAATAAATGTAGTTTACATTAAAAAAAATATATTAGATAAAGTGACAGCTACTTAGAGTCATAATTAATAGTTAAACACTAATAAGTCTACTTCTTACTATAATTATGATATAATATTATAAGGCAAAGAAGCAAAAATAGAATAAACTTATTATACAAAAATAATAACTAAAATTGAGTATTTGTAAGATATAAAATTTATTTGGCTCCCGTCAATTAATCACATATCTGTGTCTGCTAATGAGTCATATTTTCACGATTTAACTTGAGACATAAATCATATGTTTTCATTTTGTGTGATTTAAGTGGAAAAGATTATAATCCATATAATTTGCATTTTTTTTAAAAACTTTCATAATGGATATAAAGGTAATGAAGCCTTTTATGCCTAAGAAAGTTTGCATAGAAGTTAAGAGAATATATATTTACAAAATTCATGTTTTTATTTTTTATTTTTTATTTTTATTTCTTCTATAAAAACTCTTTCTATCATTTCCTTACAACATGTACATGAGATATTTTATCAAAAATACAAAACAATGAAAAATATTTATAAAGGACCAAAAAAAGTTTTTAATTACATATATTCAGATAATATATGAATTCAGTAAAAGTTTCATAGAAAACAAATGAGGAGAAAGTAATTCTACAAGCAAATACAATATTTTATTTTATTGAAAAAATGCAAATTTTTGAGATATTACATTAGTTTTCTCATGATCGACCCTTTCAATTCAACTAAAAGTCCTAGAACCCATACATATATCTATACACTACTTGGATCCAAAGTTATAGAGAGCCAAGACTTGAATTGATGAAATAAATAGATGCAAATGCATAATATAACATATTTGAAGATAGTTTGGCTCTATCTGTGTAACACCGCCCAACATTTATGCTTTTTAATTTGCTGGATATATGTGTAACTCGTAGGGTAAAGTACTTCCCACGAATAATTTCTATGAAAAAACAGAGCAGAGAGTTATTTAACCCACAAGTGATAGATAGCTTATGTTGACACAAAAAAACAGATTGATAAGATTTATAAAGATAAAAAAAAAGATTGTCTAGCTAATAAAATATAAGAGTAAATGAGTATATAAATAATAAGTTGTCTAGCTAATGAAATATAATGAAAAATATAATAAAAATTAAAGAAAAAAGAAGAAAAAAAGATTATGTTATAGTGAGATCAACATGTTCCTCTTGATTGGAAAGAAAAGAGAACATCGCATTTCTACAATCATACTTATTGAACTCTTTAAACTTGTTCCAGTAAGTATCAAAGTTGTTGGGAATCTGGTTTCTGACACAACCCAAAAAGAATAACTCAGGAATGGTTGGCCATTTTCTCGAGACATTGTGGGAGAGGTGTACTGTTGTCCAGTGGTTATTGTTAACATGATTGAAAATCAGAGGTTGTTGATGTTTTGATACGTTTTTGGGAAGGGCAAAGGGAAGGAATGATATGGAAGGGGTGTTGGGGTTATCTGAGTAGATGCAGACTGGTCGCTTATAGGTGTCTGCAGCTAGTTGAGCATAGTCGGGTATGCTAAACCACATGCTGGCATCTAAACACACTGGGTTGATGTTGGAGTTGGAGTTGGAGTTGGTGATGCAGAGATCAGAACCATGCTTTATAATGTCTTCTAATTGCTTAACATCGGTTCCAAATGTGCTGGTGTAAATGCTGCTGTATTTTGGAAGGGTAGCAAGCATATCTCTTTTCACAAGAGGGAACTTTTCTTGATCTTTATAGATCAAATAGGCAAGGACCCGAAAACCACACCATCCATCAGCAGTAGGGTTAAACCCACCCTTAACGTCATCGACTATCTCATGAGAGACAGGAAAACTAAACTGGAATTTAACTCTCTTGCCAACAGAGATGCGATAGTCATATTAGTAATCTTCTTGAGCTGTAGCAGGTCTTTTAAGCCCTATTTCTTTTGTGGCATCGACTAAAGAGCATATAAGTATACAACGATATTTCTCTTTATGGATTCAATTACACTGAAAAATGAGAAAGAATATTATCTGGGTTGAGAGGCTCTTGTTTTTTTTTTGTTTTTGGTGGCATTGACTAAAAAGCATATTAGTATAAGATTAGATTCCTTTTCATGAATTCAATTACACTATAAAATAAAAGCACATATTACACTGGGAAATTAGATTTCTACACATATGCGATAGTATGGGAAATTCTGAGTGACAGAATAATTAAATTCTGGAATTTGGTATTTATAGATTCCGTTCGCAATATGTTATGTTACCTGTGAGTTGTCCATGTAACTTCTGAACTTATAATGATCCATATAGAGATATAAGGTTCTTTTAAACTATTTAATCGCAGAGAGAATAATCAAATTATGACATCTTTTTTTTTGAATGTTACATTAAATTAAACTTGATTTGAAACAGAGATTCCAATAAAAAATGTACCTACTTATTTCCTTGCGCGCCGAGTTTAAATTACTTGGGGGGTCTACTTTTTTATGTTGCAAGGGGCTTTAAATTATAAGGATGTGGCTTTTCCATATAGAGATTTTGCAAGGTGGCTTTTGTTAAAACATTTTTTTTGCTATGTTTTTTTTCTTCTCTCCTCTTTATTTTAATTACATATACAATCATAATACGAGCTCACCAATGTCCAACACTATATTCAACCTTTCAAATGTGCAGAATGCTTTAGTCAACTCACCTACAGAAGGAATAAGAATGCTTCCTTTGGATGTTGTAGTAAAAGTAAAAGCAAGTGAATGGGAGCAATGCCTTGACCGCATTCAATCACTTTGTTCAACAAAGTGGAATAAATGTAGAAAACTTTGTGCAAGAGAATTGATGTATGGAGAGATAAAAAAAATGTCACCAAGCAGAATTTTATATATCAGACAGAAATGTTTGTCTTGCTCAGAAAGACACTAAGCTTTGTTATTGCGAAGCCACTATTTTCATCAAGCAATACATCAAAAACCCTGAAGTAGCTTTAATTTGTATGACCAACGATCATACCAACCATGTTCCTGGCAACGCTTCTGAAATTAGAACATTACCTTTACCTTCTGAGGCCATCAAAATTATTGAAGATCAGTTAAAAGGGGGCAGCACTTGTAGAAATACTAGAATTTCAGTTTTGCAACAAATTAAAGAGTGGGGCGTAGGCATTAGAAAGCCCAATTATGAAGACATCTATAACAGAATAAGAAAGGTGTGTGAATAATACTATAAGAGAGAAGTTATTTAAAAAGTGTTAAATAAAAAATATAGATAAAGAATTTACTGTATAGGTTTCACCCTGATGAAAATAAGTCTCTGGATATTTGAATGCATGAGAAGTTACTATCACAGAACTACTGTATCTTTACTGGCAATCTTTCTGTATACAGCAACAATGCATAGCATTTTGCGTTTGGATTTCAATCACCATCTCAAATGATGCTTATGAGAATTTCCCAGTCGTTTTGTTTTGATGCAACACACAACATCTCTGCACACAACATTGAAATATTATACTCGCTTGTTACTCAACATCCTGATACTGGAAAAGGGTCTCCTGTTGCATACATGATTACAAACGATCATAGTGTTGGCCCCATTAATCAATAGCTTGTACATCTTTGTGAGAAAAGCTGTTTCACTCCCTTATATATTACCATCGATTGTAGTATTGCTGAAAATAATGCAATTACAGCAGCATTGCCACAGACCATCATCCATTTCTGCAAGTTTCATGTTTTGCGTGCCTGGCAGCATAATTTAGACAGCAAAGTAAAGCTTGATGCTTCATACACATCAGAACAACTTGGCAAATACAAGTATGAGCTCAAGACCAATCTCAAAAATATACTTATTGAATCAGATGAGGATGAATTTTTGAGAAAAATCCAGGAGTTTAGGCTTCGTGTACAAAGTCAGCAACAGTTTCTGGCTTATTTCGAACGTAAATGGATTGGCACAGAAGAATTGTTGAGAAGATGGGGAAGGCCATATGTTGCAAATGACCACCAAAGATATTTGACAAACAATTACATCGAATCGTGGCACAACCAATTGAAAACAATATACTTTGGCCATACTCGCATAAGACGATTGGACCGTCTTGTCTTTATTTTGACAAACAATGTGGAGTTCTTTTACGATAAAGAAGTGGAGCAAATCCACATACAAAATGGACGAATGGGTCCAATTGAAAATGAACTTGCTTGACACTCTTTTTCTGCCAATACCATACAAGATGACATGCTCCCTTTCATGATCATTAATCCTCTTAATGAGATTGGCAATAGCATGGAAGACTCTAATAGCAAGTAGACAGTAAAGTCATTTACAGGTGAAGCACAATGATATCAGGTTAATGTATCAAACAATTTGATACGAAATTGCACTTGTCCCAATTTTGCTTCACGTCAAATTCCCTGTAAACATGCACATCTCCTAAAGAGATTTATTGGTCTAGACTTTGCGTATACAGTTCAAAGAGAAAACAACCACCTCCAACTACAAAGATCACTTGCATCTGAGCATGAAGTGGCAGTTATTAATGAAGAAGTTGAAAATAAAATAAACGCAGTTGTTGTAAGTGGTAGAAATAATTCTGTTTGGTTGCAAAGAATCATGGCCCAGAATACAACACTTCATCATCAAAGAGAAGACTTAGAGCAGTTGATAAATGTTTCAGGAATTGATGAAGCCGAATTACAAGTGATTAGTGGTTTACTTGGGGAAGCAATGAATCATAGACACTCTTAGAAATGCAAACTCTTCCCACTTTAGAAATCTTAATACACAAAGATAATAAAAAATTACAATTATGTTCTATAATAATATGCTTTGATAAAGAGAAAAAATGTAAAAAAAAAAACATTAAGATTCCAAAAGAAACAACAAAAGTAAAAGCTGTCACTGCTTCTACACATCCTTATAATTTAAAGCCCCTTGCAACATAAAAAAGTAGACCCCCCAAGTAATTTAAACTCGGCGCGCAAGGAAATAAGTAGGTACATAAAAAATCTATTTTTGATAGAAAACTGTCTACTGAAATAATGATATTCTATTGGATCATTTAACAGAAGAAACAGGATTTATATATACTGTCTTCCAAATCTAAACACTTTTATTGGACAATTATGCATGGCTAAACTATAGGATTCACATATGCCATACTACTTTAATACTTCTTGCACTTCATTTCAAATATTTTTATAGGGATTGTTTTGGAAAAATTGTTTTTATTTAAAAAAAAAGCTTCTTGCTTATAATATATACGGCTTGACAATATATAGTCTAATCTAATATATAGGCTACTACATAATTAATATAATAACAAACCCTTTCATATATTATAATATATAAATACTTCCAATACAATAGAATCCTAAAAAGAAACGCGTGTTTACGGTATTTCACTAGTAAGAGAAGGCTAAAAAATTATTTAATTATATTAGATTATATAAATATTTATTTTTCTTTAATTTAAATAATATAGTTACTTACCAGTAATTTCGTCAGAACCAGGTATAGTGCATATTGACTGTTGTTCTGAAAGGTTTAATAAAACCCATTAGTAAAGATCATGAAATAAAGTTTGGCTTTATTACTTACCAAAGAAAACCGGTTTTCAAAGACAAGCCATTCAATCAGGTATATAGAAATGTTGGCAGTACTAACAGAGATAGAAAATAAACAAAATTAGATATAAGAATAAAATAAATAAATACATTATTCAGACTTACCAGATAAATTTCTGCTGTTTATATGTCTTTATGATGAGCTGAGGAGTTAATGAGCTGAGGAGCTAATGAGCTGAGGAGAGAAAAAGAAAATAATTAATAAAGAAACACATACACAATAACCGCGTTTTACCTTTTTGTTCTTGTCCATTAATCAACACGGCAAAAACTTGTAATACTATCAGCAACCACAATAATAATAAAAGAAAAAACATTAAGAATAAATATAACAGTAGAATAATAAAAACAAATTGCTTACCAGGGTGTGAACTCAAATACATCAACCAGAATAAAAGTAAATAAAGCAGAAAAGAAACAGAAAAAAAAGAAATAAGAAAAAAATAAAGAAAAAGAAGAAAAAAGTGGGCTTTCAAACAGAAGGCAGTTTAGATAAGAATTGACTCTAGTAAAATACAATAGTAATAAAATAAATAGTCCGAAATTATATTGTAACACTAAGTTCTATGTTGAATATTAAAGAAGTTGTTCAAGGTTATAAAGGATTTTATAGAAAATAATATATAATCCCTTCCTTTTCTCAGCTATTTCATAAATCTATTTTATATTAACTTATTTTGTATGTAAATCTTTGATTAAACAAAAATAAATATATTTCAACCCATACATTTATTTTATTTTAATAATTTATTAATGTATAAAACTTTAATAAAAATACAATAAAGAAAAAATGCCTTCCAATAGCTGCAGAAAAACAGACCATAAAGGAAAAGGAAAAGCATCTGCAAGTATATCTGCCTCTGCAAACCGTGTTTTGGCTGGCTGTGTTGGACCTCAAGAAATTGCCCCCAGTTTCTCATCCACAACTATCCAAGATCAGCAATACATGGAAATTGTTGAAATGTTTAACAAAGTAAACAACAGTAGCAATGGTGTCAAGGATGACATTGCTGCTGTCAATAGCAACATGACAGCCTTTAAAAACAGGATGGGTGTTGTTGTTGACACGTCTGGAAAGACACATACGGCATTTGCAGACTTTGCAACTGCTTATGCCAACGATCAGACTCGTATGGCTAGTCTAGGACCATCTCTGATGCCATCCTATGTCCCCCAGACCTCCCTCAGTGATGCCGAGGTTTCTGTCATTATCTCGGTAATTAGTATTAATATATGTTAGTATCAACAACTTATTAAACAACCTGTATTTAGGAAATCTTCGCAGAAAAGTTGTGGGACTAGAAGTTCGAGTCTTACAACCCTGCTCTTGTTGCTGAGAACGAGAGTAAGAAGAAGTGGAACTTGAACGAGAAGATTAACCACCGCAATAACGTAGCTGTTATCAACTACTTGAAGAGCTACATTAGCACCCAAACTCGTCTAGCTGGTACTCACCCATGGGTGATAAGTGATAAAATAAAGAACAGGTACAAGCACAGTCATCGTACTTTTCACGAGTCTCCTGAGCAGAAGGCCAAGAAAAACAGCAAGGGGAGAGCAAACAGTCGTACTCTTCAGATTTGTATATACTATATAAAAAATTAATTGGTATATTACTATTTTCTCAAGCTACAATCTATATAATCAGATGTCTATCTGATGCAAGTCGACATACATGGACAACTGGGTAGCCATTGATGCTGCAATGAGATATAAGACTGGAAACTCTGTTGAGAAGGCCTATCTCAAACTCTTTCAGAAGGATGCCATGTCTGATGGTGAGTCAGATATTGAGATTGTGGACAATCTTCCACAATGGTGTTTGCATGTGGCTTGCCCCACTTGGAGAAGTGAAGAAGTAAATAATATTTAGAATAAATAAATAAGTTTTATAACAAGAAAAATAAAGAACTAATAAAAATAAATACAGTTCAACAGATTGTTGACAATGGTTGACAACATTGATCATACCCATCATGTGTCAAATGCGGATGTGGGAACAAAGCCAAGAATGAACAGATATCCAGCAACATTGTTGCCTTGTGTGAAGTTTTATAGAATAAAATCAACAGTAAAAAGATTGAGACGTATATAAGAATACTTTGAGACTGTATATGGGTTGTCTTTATTAAAGAATACAAAGTTGTTCTTTTTATATCAAAACACGATCTGCTTTGTCAGTCACATCTTAATTTCTTAAGTCTGAGTTCATTTAAATATTAGAGAGCTGGTACTGCTATGTTTATAATTTAATCTAATTGCAGTGTCCTCATATTAACTCAGTGCTTACTGAGCTGTCATAATTACAGTACTTACTGTAATTAATTATTGGTCTTATTGATTTACTATAAGTAAAATAAATAAATTATTCATTTGTTCTTGTAATGATAGCTGTTTTACTATAATAATAGGAATATGTTCTTAGATGTAATAAATCCAACAACCAAGTGTCTGGATCACCACACCTTGCTCTGTTCCTGCCACCCTGTCCCAGTCATTGCCTTGTTAGGCAATCAATGATGAATAAACATTTTCTTTTTTACTATGTTCTGTTGTAGGGCCAAATAGTAATAATCGAAATTGAATTGATTAAAGGAAATAATAATAATAGAGGATAAATATATAAGTAAGTGTGTGTATGAGAATTAATAGTAAATTTGTTTTGGTAAAGGAATCGCGAGTTTCTTGTTGACGTTTTTTGTAGTTTTGTAATCTACTATTGCAACTGTTAGGTGAATCTGATGTACTGGCAGAATGCTTTGAAAATCTTGCTTGTAGAATTCATTCTGTAACAACTCAACTCCTTCTAATTCTCTTGTTTTGTCCAAAGTGGATTTGAACCATTTGACAAATGCAAATACATGCTGACTACTATGGGGATTTCTGTATGTTAGAGAAGAAACAGTTGGCCTAAAATTATAAACAAAAAGTTACTGAATCTCTCCAACATACGCATGTTCCAACTCAGTTCGTTCAGTGAAATATGCTTGTATGTATGATCCGTGGCCATTTGTGCCAATGCACCCTTTGTAGCTTTGCCCAAGAAGATCAACGGACTTCACCATTTCGATCCAGTCATTGATGAAAGGTGAGTCATCAATTACATCTTTGCAACCTGAGATCTGTAGATTCTTGTACGCAGCTTGATAGTATCCTACAAGACAATCATATTCATGTTTTGGCATAAATGGTAATGGTCTTGTTTTCAATGGCAAGGCAGATGGTGGCAGGGGCTCGTTTCCACGAATTGTCATTGAAAGATTCTGTGAAGCTTCAAGATATTTGGAAATTGAGAAAGAGTGAGAGAGGTAGGTGTTGGTGTTGTTGTTGTTAGTGGTGAACTTATCAAAAATTTCAAAACATGCAAGTGCATGCATAGGTTTCAGAAGTCGATGAACAAAATCTCCCTTCCGCAACTCTTCAATGAACTGTCTCATAAATGTCAATTCGAACCCGTTTCTTCAATTGGTTTTGATATTTTTCAGGATACTATTGTACCTTTCAAAGCTGAAAAGCCAATAGCCATAGACGGGCCCAAAGTCAATCATTGTTTGGCGTAAGTGCAGATGCAGGTGCATGTTGGGAGAGAGAAGGTCCAGGTTGTACAATGTCTCACACCCTTTACAGAATTCTTCTAAGCATTTGTGTTCTTTCTCAATGTCTTCTTCAGAAAAACTAGGCTTGGTGAAGTATCTGCATACGTTAACAAACTCTATCCAGTTCTTGAACTCTGACAATGGCAACACATCCCTTAGAACCACAGGAGAGTACACAAGGCACCAAGACTTCCACTCATCAGCCTTCATATAGGGAAATCCCTTGGCAATCTTTGTCCCAAGTGACATGTAATCGGGCGGCAACACTACCTTCTCAACAGCCTTTTGCATGGCAACAAATTTTTTATTGTCAATTAATCCATCCGCAACCCATCTCTCCAGCATTCTTTTGGCAGTGCCTAAGAGATGATTGTGCATGGGATCAATGATCATGCAGCGGACAATGTCAAAGTACTGAAGACAATGCAGTTCAGACTAGCAAACACCATGTGCAACTTCAAGACGCTGTCTCTCAGTTGGTTTGGTTGCATTTCTCCAGATCTCTGCATCCTTACAATTGTCATTCTTAGTGCAAAGGAGCCACTTTGAGAAATCGAATCCAGAATAATCAACAGAACTCGTTCCAGCCAACCTCAAAAATTAATGCTTACACTTGTGGTATGCATTTGTACTTGTATGGGATATGAACCCACATACTTTCCTTGCAGCAGGTATATCACAGGCAACCATGAGAAGGGCTGCTCGGATAGAAGTATCATTTGGACATTGGTGAGTCTTAATCTTAATATCTTTGTACAGCTCCATCAACTCATCCACAAGCGGTTTCAGATAGTTATTTATGTCAGAAGTGCTCGCTTCTTTAGGCTCTGACATTAACCCAACAAGAATCATGTTCTTCTTCTTGAATTGCTCACTGCGTGGAAGATTATTGATTGCAAGATATATGGCACCACAGGAGTAGATAACACTATCGAATGGCTGAAACCAGTCAATGTTTAGCATGAGCATGAGTGATCGCTCAGTATCAACAAAAGGTATACCATCTACGTCTACTATCTCATTCCATATCACACCATCGTACACGTCAAACAAAGTGCTATCCATTTTCGGGCCGCGGTTCCATAAGTTGATCTTGTTTTCAAAATCCGGGTGTTGAAAAAACGTCTTTAGGGCTTTCTTGATGGAGTGGAATACATATGTCTTTTTGGGTGCTTTTGACCCAGGACCAGACTTAAACAAGATGTTGCCACACAAAGACGTTTTACCAAAATTGGGTGATGTACAACACAAAGGGGCGGCTTCATTATCATATATGGCATGGCATTCATTACATGCAACATACTTCTTGACACCACTTGTCAACGCTTCAAATTCAGCCAAACGTTTGAGACCAGCAACACTTACAGGAAGGCGGAATGGGTCAAACAAAAACTGCAGGATCTTGTTGATTATGACAATCAGGATTACAGCTCCTTCATCCACGACGTATAGTGAGACAAAAAGAGCAACCGAAATAACAATGAATTGGTGAATCAAATTCAATTCCAAGATTGATTCCAATGAAGAATCTTTAATTTGATTTTTTTAAAGAACGTTGATTAACTCTCTATTTTCTAGGATATAATATTATCTAAAGCTGTGTACCTACCTTCATCATTGTCCATCTCAACATCGGATTCATCTTCATATTCTTCTTCTTCTTTGTAAGTGTCACTTGTATACTGGACATTATCTTTAGGGCCAAACACACAATCCGTTTCAGAGATAGGTTGGTTTCTTGTCCATATATACAAAATGTCATTTGTGTCATTTAGGTCTACAAAAGCAGAATGTTAGACCCAAATAAATCAATGTAATAAAATAAGTTTTCTTACTTCTAAGCTCAGAATTCATTTCAACATCTTCCTGTTCAAATTCAAAACTATCTTCCTCTTGATTTACAGGCTCAGAAACAGTACTACTAATTGTATCGCATGTGTCTTCATGGGCTACACATCTATTATTATTAGTGTTAGTATTATTATTATTATTATATAAAATAATAAAAAAGGAAATGATATAAAATAAAATAAAATAAAATATAGTAAAGTAAAGCAAATGTATTAGCCATACGCATTTGAACATGTGTAATATCATGATTATCTTTTTCTTGATGATGTTTAAATGTTTTAACAGATACACAATCGAATCTTAGTGTCTTGCTTTTATAGATAGAGCATCGACACTCTTTTCTAACAGTTGGTTTGCGAATAGGAGCCATTTTAAAATGAAAAGAAAGGTTTACAATAGTATTTAATAGTAAAGAAAGAGACCAAAGAAAACACACTTTTATTTTATTTGAGTTTGATATTGCATTCTAATGTTACACAGCTGCCAGTAGGCAATAGAGTAGCTTAAAATACTATTCAAATACTTTACTCACAAAAGTGAGCTGAACTATAATTTTATCTATTCTGTCTATCAGAACTTAGTTATACTTTACATATGCAAAATTGATCTGTTTTTGCAGTGGTACGTCCAAGAGTACAAGGCAGAGGAGACTTAGTGATGGTCTGGGGGTGCATTTGGGCTGGTGGAGTGGGAAAACTTGTAATTGTCAATGGTATGCTAAATCAGACAAAGTATATAAGACTCTTACAACTTCATTTTATGCTCTGGTTTTGATGCCTTAAGCAAAGAAAAGATGGCAAGTTCATTTTCCAAGAAGATAATACACCCTGCCATAAAGGTATTTTGACAAAAGAATACAAAGAAGAGGTGAATCTGCCAGTGATGACATGACCAGCAAACAGCCCTGATCTGAGCCCAATAGAAAATATTTGGGCATACTTGAAATGCCAGCTGAGAGCTAGAAGGATAAAGCCAACAAATTCACACTCGTTGGTCAGAGCTCTTCAAGAAGAATGGAAAAAAATACCAAAGAAAGTATTGAAAGCACATTGCATGTCAATACCAAATCGAATCAAAGAACTTAGAAAAATAATGGATTCCATACTCACTATTAAACTTTCTAATAAATTACATATACCTATTCACATAGCTAATATATATTACTCATAATTATTTCAGAGCTCTAGCTATACGTTAAAATGATAAAAAGATGTAAAGAAGTTGTATGTTTTCATTGAAAAAAATCGGGATTTTAAAAAATACTTAAATTAAATATGGGTCAGTGTAAGAGGCAGCAACTACAAGAGCATTCTTGTCTAATATATTGACTGCTTTACAGAGAAAGTCTATACTCTTAAGCTAAGTGATAGGCTTTTTGCTCTGCTTGTTAATATAAAATGGCTCCAGATTTGCAATGAACTTGATAAGACTGATTTGATTCTTTTTGTCTTCAGGCATTGATGAAAAAATAAAATAAATGATACGACACACTAATAGAGATACAATAAATTGTTCAAATCTCATTCTTTTTACTAATTTGATATATGTGGTACTCGTATTTGTAGTATATGTTGACAGGTGATGTTATCACAGTTTTCAAGATTTGAATAAGTTTGTAGATGTGAAATAACCTCTCTTTTCCACAAGAGAGAAAAAGACAAACTCAAAAGAGAATGTAGAATTAAATATAATAAAATCAATGAGAAAAATAAGAGAAAAACAGTACTATTGATCAATCTTGATAGACTTGACTCAATATACTCGGATAATCAAACAAGTAAAATATCAACAGAATTAAATATTAAGAGAACTTGTTGTCAGAAAATAAGACGAAAAAAAATCCATGTTTATTAAATACAAGTATTCCGATATTTATAGTTTTGCAATTGACTTATTGAATAATTAAATAAATAAAATTATAAAAAAAAATAATAAAGGTTATATAATTGATGATCTATTAAATGTAATTTGTTCTTTACTATCATTAAGTACAAATAAAATTATATAATTATTAAGTCATAATCATGAAGATAGTTATGCTTGTAAGAATATATAATAATAATAATAATAGAATATAATTTTTCTAGAATTACAAAGAATTCTGCAACATCACCGCACTGCCGGACAACCGAAATTTTTGTTTTTAGCTTATTATTTTTACAACACCCCGTGTTAAATTAATTATGGGACTATGGCCCAATGGACAAGGCGTCTGACTACGAATCAGGAGATTCCAGGTTCGACCCCTGGTAGTCTCATATCATTCCGTGATGAATGTATCACCCTATATAAAGGGTGGATAATAGGAATTTTTTGTCAAGTCTCGATCTGGTATTTCTCTTCTGGCACTTGTAACTAATGTCGTTTCTGATCTGGAATGGTCTTCCTTTTACTATAGCAAAGTCAAAAGGTCAAACCCACTGGGGATTAGAGAGTATATATAAAATCGAAGAGAGGATAAAAGGTGCTTTTTATTGATAGGAATTGAATTGTCTTATATAGTTTTCTAAACTAATACTGCGCATTATCCGCAGTAAACTATTATACTATATTTAATTACAAGAGAAGTCCTTTTACTGCGGTTGATGCTCAGAAGATGTTACTGTGGTTAATCTTTACAAGACATTACTGCAGTTCGTTATCTATGAGGTATCTTTGACATACAGAACTGCTGCGGTCAATTATCCCGATTTCTCAGATTCATCAAAATAATGTCTGACACTAAGTCACAGGGTTAATACCACTGGGGATCGTTAAGTTTATGAATAGTTTTTAGATAGTGAAATAAAGATACTTTTTTGGCATTCTATATGTCAGAGTTGACATTGGTGACCAAAATGAGATGTTACAAGCAACCAGTGATAGTTGTCTTTTTAGGATAAAAGATCTTGACTTTGCCGATTGGTCTTTTGTCTATGTTTTAGATGTTGGAGATGAGGAATATACTTGTAGAGATATTACTGGATAACCACCATCTAAGACATATTATTGTAGCTATTCTTTTAGCCAGAAAACAACAATCGTTTTATATAAATAGTCAAGAATTACATTTAATAAAAATCATCTTTATTCTTATCTAAAAACTATTCTTAAAAACTTAACAATCCCCAGTGGTATTGATTCTGTGACTTAGTTACAAGTGCCAGAAAAGAAATACCAGATCGAGACTTGACATATATGGAGTTTACAGAGTTAGAAAGCCTAAGTAAAAGATAAGATCATAGAAATTTTGAAAGTCTATATTTCCTAGTAGATGGAAAATTATTAACCAAAATAGTGACTGTTAATACTTTCTCTTGTTTTTGAATTGTTTATTTGAAACAAAGGTTCTGTATCCCTTAAATCACGCATTTTTATTTTCAAATAATTATTCACTAAATATGTCAACAAACAACATTCAATCCAACAAAAACATTTATACTTTGGCAACAATCTCTGAAGCATTGGAGTGTACATCTGTTCCTGGAGTGATGACTCTTAGACTTGATACTACTATAAAAGTTAGAGCATCTGAGTGGAGAGATTGCTTGCTAGAAATTAGTGAATCCTGTGCAGTCAAATGGATTATCCATAATTCTAATAAGCAACCTACTGATATTACTGCTGAAGAAGCCAAAGACAGTGGTATTAAGATGTGATTTTCCCAGGAGTATTTATGTCATCATGCTGGCACTTATGAATCCAAGGCAGCCATGAGAGTAGTTCAGAAAAGAACTAAGAAAAATAAGTGTTCTGCTCTTCTTCATGTCAGAGGATTCTTTAAGATGCCAGAGTGGTATGAGATAACTTTGACAAAAGATCATACTGAGCATACTCCTGGTGATGTTCATAAAGATATCCATACTCTTCCTCTTGCAAAGAAATACCTCCATGAGCTGTCCCAACAATTAGAACAGTCGTCTAAATCTGCTAGCCAGATACGTATTGATATGCTGAGAGCTATTGATAGATATAGAAGAAATTCTGAATGCAAGGTCAACTATTATGACATTTGGAACTTGATGAATAAGGTAAACATATGAATTTATGTTAAATAAAGTTTTATTTAACCAATTGTTTATAGATAAATAAGACTTTGTATCATTTTGACAAGGATGAAATGATTTCTTTCATGATTTGGATAAATGAGAAACTTCCTGCAATGAACTTCTCAATTTTTAAGGCCAATACCAGCTACTCACCAAGTCTAAACGTATTTGCTTGTGGTTTTATGTCGCCAATACAGCAAAATAAAATGAAAAATGCTGCTTCTTTTTGCTTGCATGCCACTTATGGTATCTCTGAAAAAATCGATAAGATTCTTTACACTCTTCTTATCCGTGATGAAGAAATTGGTAGAGGCTGGCCTGTAGCATATATGATTACCAATGATAGAGATGTAGGCCCCATTGTGCAGTGACTGCAATTCTTAAAGTCTTCTCTTTTGCTTGTTAGTCCAAAACAAATAACTATCGATTGCTGCTCGGCCAAAGTCCATGCAATTCAAATCGCCTTTCCTACCACACAAATCCAATTCTGCATATTTCACGTAACTCAAGCATGAAACAGAAAGCTCTCTGACTCCATTAAGATTTCTGGCTCTTTGCCATCTGAGGCTCGTCTTCTTCGCGGTGAAATGATGAAATCTCTTCAAGAAATTGTGTACAAAGAAGATTTAGATCAGTTTCATCACAAACTTGTACAGTTCAAAGAAGATTTTAACGACCAATGCATCTTTTTGGACTAATTCGAAAAAAACTAGTGTACTGAAGACAAATTTAAGATTTGGAGTAGAGCATATCATGAACGCCAATTTTCACATATGCTTACCAATAATTATATTGAGTCTTGACATAACCAACTGAAAACTGTCTTCATGAAGAGATTGCAGAACAAACGTCTGAATAAACTTGTATTCATTCTTGTTTACGATGTTGAATACTATCTTTCTCAAGAGTACAATAGAGTAATATCCAACAATGGGGCAATGAGTGCATTTACAAGAAAACAAAGAATACGCAAGATAGAAGCAGAAGAAGTTGATGATGATGAAAGAGAAGCAAGAATTGTTGCTCCCAATTCAGTAGATAGTAGACAATGGCAAGTTCAGTCATTTGTTGACCAAAATACTGCTTATGTAGTTGAGGTTTCAGATACAAACACAATTATCTCATGCACTTGCTTTGATTTTAAAAGAAGATACAGACCTTGCAAACATATGTATCTATTGAAGATGCACACATCGAACTCTATTTTCTTCTCTACCACTTCTGCCATTACTACCAATCAAATACACACACCACAAACTCCACAAAACACTGAAAATCCCAGCAATCGATCTAGACTTTTTTTGACCAGTGTATAAAAACAAATCAAACAATATACCAATCTCATCAAGATCTTACAAAACTATCCCAGTATACAACAGATGATAAAGCCAAGCATGTCTATGATATGCAACAGCTTTATCTTCAGTCAATTCAAGCTTTAAAAGACAAATACGAAGTGAACTTTTGCAGATCAAACACACAACAATAAAAATATATTTATCTTTCTTTTTTTTTCAAAAAAATTATGCTATTAATTGAAACGATTATCAAAGTGACTTAGTAAATTATGAACTTTTTTATTTTCTGGTAGGTGAATTTTTTTGTCTGATTTTCTGGTAGATAAGCCTCTTTTTTGGCTAATACTTTACCATCTACCAGGAAATATAGACATTCGAAATTTTTATATGTGGAGTTTGTTATACTTTTCACTGCTTAAAGGTGTTATAATTTTGCTAGTAAAAGTGTAAAGGATTTCACTGTAGGAAATGGCAGGATTTATATCTCCAATCTTGTACCGAGTTACATACTCATAACTTTTGCTATTTAAAAGTCAGTTTTTAAAATACCAAACTCGTAACAAGTTACGAACTTGTAACTTTTATAGTCAATAGCATATCTGTTTTAGCCTATTAGTTTTACTTTTTTATCAGATATGATTTATGGGATTTACAATAAAGTGAAATATGATTTACAGGATTTTAGATTATATCAAATACAATTTATGAGGTTTTACATCAAAGTCAAATACGATTTATAGGATTTCAGATTATTCTTGCATTTAATCTAATCAAAAGTGTCAAATATAGCAGATATATATCATTTTTAATGCCTCTGCTTTTTCTTATAATTAGTTCAACAAATGTATGATGTGGTGATCCAGACACTTAGATGTTGGATTTATTACATATAAGAACATATTCATATTGTGATAGTGTAGTAGCTATCATCTTGTCAGTATAAAATATATATAAACGATTAAGTAATCAGCCCAATAATTATTACAGTTAGTACTGTAGATAATATCTTAAAGATTGTTAAGATAATTATATCATACTGCTGGGTAAACTGTGTTAGATCGATATAGAGCTAATTTTAGTAGGAAGTTCTAAAGCTCTAGTATAAAAGAGAAAAGAATAATTAAGAGCTAAAGAAGTACGATTTATGACTTGATATCATAATTGTAACACCAACACTAGTTAAGCAGTAAATAAACTCTAATAACCAAATATAGTAAAGGAAGAAAGTCTTAAGAAACTAAGACGTAATGACAAGAGCAGATTGTGTTTTCTTATAAAAAGGGACACTTTTTATTTATGAATAAAGACAACTGATATACAGTCTCAAAGTATTTCTATATGTCTCTATTATCAAATATTTTATTTTTCTATTGTTTTGTACCTGAAATACCGCATATGATATTTTATATTAGAATTTTATAGTTTTTATTTTTATTGTTTTTATGAATCAAAATGATCAAAAGTAAATATAAAAAGAAGTAGGTAAAGAGAGCACTCATTCATATGTTATTAAGTAACAGTTTAAGCTACAGAATTTCTATAGTATATATTTATGTATATCTTTGTGTATACATTTTTATCTTTTGTACTTAAGAATGACGAGTTATCTTCAAAGAATTACACTACTTGAGAGTTAGAATAAAATAATTAAATAATACATGTTTTCTTCAAAGAATATATATTTTAGTTTCTTTGTAATTGAAGTCTGGCAGATCTCCACTTTTGAGAAACCATATACTTGGCTCCCCATGATTCTACAAACCTATTGAGATAAATATTTCTAAAAGAAGCATGTAGCTCAAGGTTTTTAATCAAATCCTTTTTTTGCGACTTTGTAAGATCACTTCACAACAGAACACTCTCTTCTCAATCATGAAAAAGTTTAAAAGCAGCCCTGAGGAGACTACGAACAATTCCTGATTTGGTATACACATTACAATTGAGTGAAGAACAGACCCCACAACTAAACACTGGTTCCTTCTTGATAATGAATCTGGCAAGTTAACAATCTCTGAAACTGTTACACACCAGGCACATATACACTACACACTAATACAGTGCAAACCAACCATTACACAACAGGGAGTCAAATTACAGGGATTTGAATAGTAGCAGATATAAACAATATTATTTTGTCTCTTTAAAAAATATCACTCTTACAGTATCTACTTTTTTCATTATTGAGATAATAACCCATAAACAATCACAAATACCTCATTTTTTACTGTGAATTGTATTTTCTTCAAGAAAATAACCAATACATCGACCAACACACCTATCACACATGGTTCCAGCTCAAAAGCTTCCCTCGTTAATACCACTCTGATGAAAATCATCATCTCTGCTACTTCCAACTACAAAGATTCAATTGTCAAAGCCGACATCGCAAAGGCATTCGCCTACACTTCTATCACCAATGTTTCTATCAACAACATTTCCATGAGCCACACTCGCATTAAAAACGTTTCTATTGAAAACACCTGTGAGACTGAATATACCATTGTCAACATCTCCATCATCAGGGAATCGCTCATCAAAACTCCCACAGACGACACCCACTTTGATAACTCAGAAGTCTCCCTCAAGAACATGGGCACTGCCCAGGACAACAAAATTCTAGAGAAACATGTTATGTATAAGTTGTGTGATGACAAAAACGGCACCAAATCTATCCACAATTCGTTTAGTTCCAGCAACAAAACAGACTTGCTTCTCAAAAACATTCATAGTAACTCCTGTGCACCTCACCACAAGGAACACACCAACTCAGAATATCAGTCTACAAAGGCTAAAAAGTTGGTATTTGCAAACCGCAGCACAAGAATAGTCACCAGTAAGGAGGTATGGAACAGTGGGAATACAGGTAACAGTGAGATTGAGGTGGAATGCACACACCTCAATATACAGGAACAGGGTAGTCACCCTCACCTACACCACTATAATACACAGGCACAAGGTAAACACCTTCCCCTACGCAACCTCACTGCAACATTACATGCAAAGGTCATCACCTTCCCCTGCTCAATCTCACTGCACCGCCACATAACAACGGCTCACTTTATGTTTCTATAATTGTTCAGAGTAGCTGGGTGTGGGCACTGGTGGACTCCGGAGCAAACGCTTCTTTCATTTCTCCAGATCTTGTCTCCTCTCTCTACCTATCACTAAATGTAGTTCAAAAAAGCAGCACATTTATTTAGCATCAGAGAATAGCTTAGTGGAACATTTAGGCACTGTTGAAAATCTTTCATTATCTTATATGAGTTGTAAACTGAATCACAACTTCGTAGTAATGAGTTTAGCCTTAGGCACACAGATGAGCATTGGCACAGACTTAATGCCCAGACTGGACATGGCAATTACAAACTTAGCAACTACTTGGGACGATCAAAAAAGCGATTCATTGAGAGAAAATACTCCAGATGATGTGCCAGAACCTAATAAATCTCCTGCTGGCACATCTGAGGAGAAAAAACAGTTTACGGAAGCTATAAAACAATCTGTCAGATCCAACAAACTTATTCCTAAAACATCATTTTGCACTATACCAGAATCTATCATTCATATTGACACACCAGAAGGCGTAACTTCCTGCAGAAGACAATACCCTTTACCGGTAGTATATGAGTCTAGAATCCAAGAGACTGTAAACATTTGGCTAGCAGATGGTACGATAGAGGTGACATTCAATGATATGGAATGGAATAGTCCTATTATACTAGCACCGAAAAAAGACATGTTTGGTAATTACACAGACAGAAGACTCTGTCTAGATCTCAGACATATCAACAAACTTTTAAAAGATGACAGATATCCTTTACCTCTTATAAGAGACGTATTTCACACACTTAAAGATGCGGTTGTTTTCACTACCATAGACCCTACAAGTACTATCCATCGATTTGAGGTATACAAGCCAGACAGACCTAAAACAACATTCACCTTCAAAGGAAGGCAGTACATGTTCCGCGGCTGCCCTTTTGGACTTAAACCTATCTCATCTAAATTCCAGCAGGTTATGAACATTGCTTTCAAAGATATGCCTTTTGTAACCACATTTGTAGACGATATTGTGGTATTCTCTTGTAACATGAAGGAACACACAAAACATGTTAAAACAGCAATAGAACATCTTACTAGTATTAATCTCATCTTAAATCCAAAGAAATATTATTTTGCACAAAGAGCAGTCTTCTTACTAGGCTTTTGTGTGTCAGATAAAGGCATCTCACTGGATAAAAGAAAAGTTAATAATATCTAAGCATGGCCTACGCCTAACACCGGAAAAGATATACAATGGTTTCTTGACATTATAAATTACTTCAGGAAACATATACCTAATGTCTTCCAGCTCACTGCACCTCTTGATCGACTTCGTAACAAGGGTGATCTTACACCTCTCTGGACCAACAAGCATTATAACAGCTTCACAAACCTAAAAGACATCCTACTCAAACTGCCTATGCTGTGCTACCCAAACCTAAAGTACCCTTTTAGTGTGACCACAGACGTATCAAACGTAGGAATAGGTGCTGTTCTATATCAAGTCATCAATGGAGAAACGCGACACATTGGTTTTATGGCTCGCACATTGTCTAAAAGCAAACGAAACTATTCCACTACAAAACGTGAGCTACTCGCGGTAATATATGCATTGAATAAGTTCTACAAATATCTTTGGGGAAATCTGTTCACTCTATATACCAATCACAAAGCCCTCACATATATACATACACAAAAGATTGCCAACGCTATGATGATAAACTGGCTGTATACCATACTCGAATATTCATTTGAGGTACACCACCTGCCCGGTCTAAGCAACATCTTACCTGACCAGCTATCACGCCTTTTCCCTACGGAAAAAAAGCTGGAAGGGGGTAATGACTCCGCAGTTAATTTCACAGGCCAAAAAACAGTCATTAATAGACAGCAAACTGTCGTCAACACCAATTACGATGAGATGCTAACACCACCAGACAGTGACAGAGAAGAACTTCTCACCAAAGCTCATGCTTTCGGACACTTTGGAGCAGATGCCATGACAAAGGCACTTCATAACGAAGGGATACACTGGACAAACATACATAGAGACGCTGTCAAGGTTGTACAAGACTGTATAGAATGCCAAAAGTATAACATAGCAAAGAAAGATTATCACCCTCTACGACCAATTCATGCATATTTACCATGCGATCATTGGGCTATTGATTTAGCAGGTCCTTTCACAACCTCACATAACAGTAATAACTACTTACTAGTAATGGTAGACATTTGCACAAGATTTTGTGTACTACGTGCAATACCTGATAAAACACAAGACAATGTTGTCAACACTGTAATAGACGTCTTCTGTAATTTCGGATTCCCTAGATACTTACAATCAGATAATGACAAAGAGTTTGTCAACTCACTTATGAAAAAACTAGCTGAAGCATCTGGATTTGATCACAGATTAGCTACACCCTATCACCCAAGAGCTAACGGTGTAGCTGAACGCTGGGTTCAAATCTCAACCAACGCAATTAAGAAATGTATAAAAGGAGCGACCTGAGATTGGGACCTCTATGTACCTAGCATACAGCTAGCAATGAATGCCAAAGTAACAAAACGTAATGGAACGGCTCCTTACAACCTTATGTTTGCCAGAACAATGAATGGGTTTAAAAGCTACGCCAATGATCCAGCAGTACCATCACTCACAGAGGATGAGCTACAAAAGGGTATAAAAACAATGGCAGATGTTGTGTTTCCCGCAATTGCTGAAAGAGCAAAAGCAGTAACAAATGCACAAAAGGGCAAGTTTCATAACAAATACAGGATGATACAATTCACTCCTAATAGCCAAGTCATGATTAAAGAACTGCAACAAGGTAAACTAGAACCTGCATACCAAGGTCCTTACACCATAGTCAGAGAGAAACAGGGAGGCTCCTATATTCTCATGGATGAACAAGGACTACTGATGCCCAGAGAATATCCACCCTCACAACTCAAGCTGATCCCACAGGACAAACTCGTCTCACTAGATGAAGTCTAGAAAATTGGCAAAGAATACTTTACAGTCAGAGCAGTAGTAGCTCATAGAGAACTGGCTAAAGGAAAATACGAGTACAGAGTAAGATGGGAAGGCTACGAAGAAAAAGACAATACATGGCAAACGCCTGAGTCCTTTAGCAGCCCTAAACCTATTGCGGATTATTGGGATCAACTTGATACAACACCAATTGACAAGACACAAACCCCACATCAGACACGCACCGTCACTGCAGCATACATTAGCAAACGCCGCACTACGCAGCCCACACCTATACGCCAAAGCAAACGCTCAAGATGCTAATGCTCAATACGCTTACATATAACATGATAACGTTCACAATGCTAACGCCCAATGCTATGCCCAAGAAGCTAACATGGTCCCTTCAGTCTAAAGTAACTCAACTCTTAACATGGTTATTCAACCTGGAAGGGGGTAATGTGGTATACACACCACAATCGAGTGAAGAACAGACCCCACAACCAAACACTGGTTCCTTCTTGCTAATGAACCTGGCAAGTTAACAATCTCCGGAACTGTTACACACCAGGCACACGTACACTACACACTCATACAGTGCAAACCAACCATTACACAACAGGGATTCAAATTACAGGGATTCGAATAGTAGCAGATATAAACAATATTATTTTGTCTCTTTAATAAATAACACTCTCACAGTATCTACTTTTTCTATTATTGAGATACTAACCCATAAACAATCCCGGACACCTCAGACCACATTATCTCAGAATATGGAAAACAATAGTCCCCATTTCAACCCTTAATAAACAATACAAAAAAACACAAAACTATAGTGAGACTACACAATGCCTGTTAGGGAAATCCTCGCTTGATTTTCACAATAAAACAAGTTTGACGTCACTCTGAAATCTCTTTTTCTTCTTGGGCAATGATATGGACATGCAAGAAAAATTAGGGTTGGACATGCAAAAAAAGACCAAAAGGGAGAATTAAACGTGACGTCACTTGTAATTGGCCTTTGGGAGTGTTACTGACAAATTGAGCACTGATAAGACATGCAAAAGCAACTAAATTGAAGAATTAAACGTGACGTCACCTATAATTGACTTTTGGGAGTGTTACCAACAAATTGAGCACTGATAAGACATGCAAAAGCGAGCAAATTGAAGAATTAGACGTGACGTCACATATAATTAGTTTTGCATGTTACACGCATTTTTTTTTGGGGGGATCAGATAAATTACTCTCCAGATTGCCAATTAAATCACTGCCCTTTTTTACTACAACATCAGCGCATAATTTTTTTTGACATTTAACATGAGCAACATTAACAACATCAACAACACCAACGACTTTGTCATTGTTAGCGAGACGTCGAAGAAGTACAATGCTGCCTTGACTGAGTTCAACTCAATTTTTCTTGTTGGAAGAGAATTCTCTTCAGTCGTAGCTGTTCAAGAAGCTGCCAAAGCATATGGTGTCAAGCATAACATTGCTCTCACTACTGAATATGCATCAAGCTCTCGCATCAAATTGATTTGCAAGCACTCTGGCGAATATAGAGATACCAGAAAAGCCAAGAAGGTTGCTTCCAAAACATCAGTTATGGGTGAAACTCTTCCTGGATGGGAGAGAAAGCGCAAAAAAGACACGCAGAAGCATGACTGCCCTTGCTTCATGTATGCCAACACCAAGAAGGGCAGAAAGCTCACTGTGCGCTCCCGTGAGGCAGAGCATAATCACCCCATCGAAGAAGACCGCAGAGCATATGCTATGCACCACAAGCTTTTGCCTGAGGCAATGGCGCTTGTGGTTAAGCATCTGGAGAACAATGACGATGTATCCACCATCTTCAACAGTTTGAAGATAAATGGATATACAAACATTGTTCACCATGACATTGCTAATATAAAGCAACATTTCGGAAAATTGGAAAAAGGAAAGGAGATGTTTGACTTTATTACTACTCTGCAAGATCTTGACTTCCATGTCAGGTATTCTGTCGGTAATACAGAAGACAATCAAGTGAATATGGTCTTCTTTGTGTATCAGGATGCGATCAATGAGGCATGAAGAATGCCTGAGACTGTCATTATTGATGCCACATATAAGACAAATAGTCATCGAATGACTTATATCAACATTGTTGGTACTAGCAATGTGAGTGGAAACCCTCGTACCACTTTAAAGACATATCCAATTGCCGGTGCTTGGGTAGAGCATGAGACAGAAGAAAATTATCTCTGGGTGCTTAGCTGTCTCCGCGATGCAGTCTGGCCCGATGACAACAACAACAACAACAACAACAACAACAACAACAACAACAACAGCAACAGCAGCAACGACAAACAAACAACACTTCTCCCAGATGTTTTCATCACGGACAATGAAAAAGCATTGAGAAATGCTATTACTCGAGTCTTTCCTGAGTCAAAGCAGTTGTTGTGCTATAAGCATATCAAAGACAACTTTAAAAAGCAATTGCTTCCGATGATGAAGGGAGACAAGAGTAGCGAAAAGAGAGACCTGTTGGATAAGCTGTCAGAATTCCTTGACCGAATTGCTTTAAAATGCATTACACATCAAGAAGTAAAAAACGAAACAAATGGATACCTTGAATTTGCAAAGGAAAATTGCAAAGACCAAGGAAAAGCTGCTAGTGCTTTTCTTGAGAAGTACGTATAAATTTTTTAAATTTGATGTAAACAGTATTTAACTATAAAAAATCGTGTTTTTTTTAATATACTTTATCAGAAAAATGAAAGACAAGGAAAACTGGGTGAACATGTATGTTTACAAACATGCCCATTTCGGCAATCGCACGTCGAACCGTGCAGAAAGTGCCCATTCTTCTCTCAAGCATTCTCTTGATACTTCCTCGGGTAAACTGAAGACAGTTACCCTTAAAGTAAAAAAGTGGTATGACAAGTTGGTAAGTTTATTCTATACTATTTTATGCATTTATTGGTTATAATATATTTATAAATTGTACAGTTTGCAGATCGCAAGCATCGGCTAATGGTGGAAAGCCTTGGAGAAGGAACAAAAATTGTGTTTGATAAAGTCAATGCCGCCAGACTAAATGACATCCGTCTTAAAGTCTGTAGATTTGCAATGGATCAAATCAAATTAGAATTATCCAAATCCATTATACCCAAAAAACTAGCCAAAGAGTGCAAATGCCTCATATAATACAACTACCTGCTTCCTTGTTACCACACACTCGCCAAATTCGATACCATCCCAATCTCCTGCATCCCAAGACGCTGGAGAAAAAACTATCTAGAAGGAGAAAGTAATATATATAATAATAGCAATAATTACGTGACGATTTTCTCATATAACATTTTATTATGTAGACCATTTAACTATCCAAAATGCAACCCCAGTACCCCCAAACATCAACAATATCAAACCAATAACCCCAGAATTCAACTATGCTCTTGAGCTTATTTGCGAACATTTTGCCAATGCTCAGAGCGAACAAGAACAAATCAATATATACCAATTGATAGAAAAAACTTTGAAACAAATCGACGCACAGAAACTCAAAAACCTTAAGGGCCCAACAGTAGTCGAAGCCATTAAAGGCCGACCAAAAAATACCAAGCGCAAGATGATTGCATTAGAGCATTGCATCAATACCGAAAAAGAAAAAATCACAAAAAAAATTAAAACAGAAAAAGAACAAAAAAAGTAAGATTTTAATATTGTTTAGATTTAATTTACTAAATCTTTGCTTTGTTTTCTAGGCAAAAAATATCCTCAGCTAAAGAGCAAAAAGCCATAAAAAATATTATCAACCTTGGGTCACCATGCGATTCCACATTACTAACAAATCTCACAATCGCACCAAAACATATATCAACAATCTTTTCTCCTGAAGCAGACGGAAATTGTGGGTACAGGGCGATAGCAATGGAAGTGTACCAGGACCAGGAGGAGTGGTCAAAAGTAAAAGACAAAATGCTAGAAACATTTTTAAAGCACCAAAACAACTACTACCACGGAAGAATGGAGCATGGCAATATGCCTGCATCCAATAACCCACTAATTTGCAGTCTCCAAGACAAGCGCTCACCTCTCCCCCAGCAACATTGGTTTGGTACAATCGACCATCCTCAACTTGTAGCCGATACATTTAGCAGAGCAGTGGCTGTATATTGGAATACTCCAATTGAAACAGGCGACTGTCTTTTTGTTCCGTTTGCTACCTTGCCAGAAAAAGTGGAACCGATAATTATTATCTTAGATGTAAACCACTTTCTTCTTGCCAAGCGCAAAAACAATCGAAATTTCTGCTGGCCAAAAATCAACCCCTTTCATAAAAGAATAATTCAAAAACATGGCCTTGAAGATTATTCTTTGATGTACTAACAATCAAGGTATGGCTTTTAAACTAGAATTATCTTGAATTATACTAACTTTTCGTATATATCTTTTTTAGATTTTTTTTTTACTTTTTAGATTCTATATTTATCTCTATTATCAATATTCCCTTCTGTTTCTATTCAATTTATTATTATCTTTCTATTTATCTATATTTCTATATTTATCTTCTTTACAATCTTCCATTTTTATCTTTATATCTATCTCATTATCATTTTTTATATTTTTACAATCAACATTAATTTTGAAACATTTAACAAATATCAAGGCTGACCCCCCAAAAAAATGCGTGTAACATGCAAAACTAATTATATGTGATGTCACGTCTAGTTCTTCAATTTGCTCGCTTTTGCATGTCTTATCAGTGTCCAATTTGTTGGTAACACTCCCAAAAGTCAATTATAGGTGACGTCACGTTTAATTCTTCAATTTGGTTGCTTTTGCATGTCTTATCAGTGCTCAATTTGTCAGTAACACTCCCAAAGGCCAATTACAAGTGACGTCACGTTTAATTCTCCCTTTTGGTCTTTTTTTGCATGTCCGACCCTAATTTTTCTTGCATGTCCATATAGATCCCCTTCTTCTTTTAGTTTTTTGATCATTTATATTCTTCGTCATTGAATCTTAAGCTAATACTGTTCACACAGTGTCTCTCATCGGTTGGGGTAGGGAAGCCCTCTCCTTGAAATACATGTCCGAGATGTCCATCACATTTGGCACAGCATATTTCTATGCGTCTCATCCCAGCCGAGTTATCTTCGTGGCGAATAATGGCACCTACAAAAATAAATAATCCCCCCATCACACATACGCACACAAACATTAATTACCTATCTCTTTCCCGCTTTAAATAAAACGTGTGGAAGTTTACATAGTATAGTATAATAATCTTTTTTGTTTTATTTTTTTTTAAAAATTGTTTCTTACCTGGTATAGCATCAAAGACTATATAACAAACATTGTAGACATATATTTATATAAAGTTTATTTTTTCATTATTTTCATTACTTTAATAGCAATGGTAGAAACGTGTGTACAAAAATCAAAACACTATTAAACTTACATGCTGGCCAGCCACAATTACTGTTGAATTTTGTATCGGATACATACAGAGGAGCATTACATGCCGCGCAATTGTAGATTCCTTTGAAATTATTTATATATAACATTTCAATTTTAATTAACTTTTATTCACAAGATACGATATAATAATAGTAATAATAATAGAAGATACCTTTCTTATTAAACTTGTTGTATTCTCCAGTGCCAGGTGGTTCAGTTCCTGTTGAATAGCAATCGAATTCACTTCATTCATAAGATTACTTTTATTTTTATACTAAAACTTAAATGTGTATATATATTGACCTTTCTGTCTTAAAACTCGGAATTGTTCTGGACTCAAGATCGTTTTCCATTCCAATTCCGATTTTCTTTGTGTGGTCATGATTGAGGTTGTAAATGAAGCACAAGGTAGAATTGACTTGAGCTTTGTGCTAGTCGCACTGACTGTGACGCGTGTTAGTAAACGGAACATGTGCGTATTCGTATATAATAAGTATCCGCTGTATATTTGCAATACTGTGAATACAGTGTTTTTACTTGAGATTGAGAGGATATTAGTTTTTTTTTGGACGAAAAGTTAATTTCTGGACATTTTGCTTACCTTTTTTAGACAAGCAAAAAAGAGAACTGAGACATAAAAGAATAAAATTTGGTGTAGAAAAGTTATTTAGTTGAGACAACGTAAAAAGAACTAGAATGTTCTTTACCTGTAAGCATCTTTAAGTTCGCTCACCGGAGTGAGGAATAACCACGTTCATTGTGGCGCTTTATGTTGCTGTTGTTCTTGGTATTGGTCGAGGAGTGAAGATTTCTGGCCTACCATTGCCACTCCAAATTTCCTCCACAATATAAAACATGTTTTTTACAGCCATGACATCCCTGTCCCAAAAAAAAACATCACGGTTTTTGCAAACTGATATTGGATGAATAAGTCTGTCGTTGGCATTTCGGGAATATCTTAGGTCTTTGGTCTTACAGGAGCTTCAAACCTACACAATCAGTATTGAATCTAAAGAATAAAACTTCAAAGAAAAAGTGCATACGTACCATTGGTGTGTTAATTTCATTGATGTCCAAAAGATAAAATTCTCCGATATTCTGCTTTACAAGAAGATGCTTGTAAATTTTCTCAGATACTCCATGCCATAAGCTGCGAAATCTGACACTTTATTTGTTTGTAGGCCCATCTCCAAATACAATTAAAGGCATTCCAGAGATCTATCCAGCTCGAAAGACACGTCGGTAAGAGTTTCTTTAATATTTTAAATTATTATAAGTGAAACGGGATACAAGCAATAAGTAATTGACTTATTACCTTGGTTGGACAGGTTGGTGTGCACTTCTAGGATTCTGTCTGTTTGCTTTGCAGACTTGTATTCATATGTTTATTTATTAAATATAATACTATATCTGCCAAAAACTTTGTTAATATCTGTTCAATCCATGCTCGTAAAAAGAATATTATCTTTGCGGTACAGTACGTATATTTGTATTTTTTATGATTACCAAAAGAAATATACACGTTTTAATTGATTGTAATTTTATAATCGACCAACCACTCTGTTAGTACCTCTTAGCAGAATCAAGGTTGCAATCTGTATATATATATATATGTATGGGTATACTCATACTGAATAGCAAGTTGTGCCTGCTTATCATTTACATTTTATCCTGTATGCTTTATTTTGCTATAAAGCTTCAACGATCTCTGATACAAGGTATAAGTTGTCGATTTCCGTATGGTTAATCGAGTATCTATCAACCTATTGTTGAATAAAAAAATATTCTCTAGCTGAAACACAAAAGGGTCTGTCTGTCTGTTGGCAGGGAGGGAAATTGAAGTTTGAATTTTACTTTTTAAAAAACGAATCACTCAAAAACTTTTATAAAGCGCATACAGAAAACTACCTTGGCATACTGCATTCACAAGCTCTCTCAATAAAATCATATACTATATTATCAGGTTTCTGGGTTACTTTCTGCTAGTATTTTGCTTAGTTTTAAGCACTGAGTGAGAGTGACCTAGAATAAGATTCTTATTGAGATAGGGTTTAGAAGGCTAAGATTTTCAATTTGCTTAATAAAGTCTTATACAGCTCTACGAAGTTTAACGCATCTACCCACACATTATTACTTTGACAATCCGCAACTGCCGACTTTTGAAGATTAACTACCAGAAAACAGCTAGATTAACGCCACCAGCCTATGTCCTACCCAGCATGCTTAACGGCATTCCTCGCGCATTTAAGTTGCGGTATCGTCTTTTTACCCTTTTCAGTTCCTGAGCCGAATAAACCCCTCTTACTCCTCTTACTTCTTCTCTTTCTTCTATTTGCCTCACTCTTTCTATCTCTTTCCCCCTTTAACTTTGGCTGATATCATATTAACTCTTTATATATATATAGTTCTTTGCTCACAAGCTCAGTAATTCTGATTCTACTTGCTGTGTTACATCAATGTCTATATCTAATCACTATCTATAATGCCTTGACAGTGTAAAACCCCACTATGTGGTCCTGAACACTCCAACCTTTTTATATATAGTATTGTGCTGTACAGCAAATACAACTCATCTGAACATTTCTTAACCGCTGTATATAATACCAATTGCACACTGAAATACAAGAAATGAGGAAAACAATTATCCTACATTTTTTTCTCCAATAATCAATTTCTCATTAGAGTCCGAGTTTTTCTCCTAGGCATAGACTTAGTTTCAAGACTTTTATATTTTTGATGTATATATGTATGTGTTACACAGGAGGTTACATCTACTCAAACCTACGAGTTTCCTTTATTTTATTATATATATCGAGAGTATCTGTGTGGCTGTATGCAGGAGATAAAAACTGTTACTGGTGTGATGGCTCGGCCCGCATCGGTCTGACGGCGAGAGAGAGGGGTGAACGGGCACGTAACCGAGAATTGGGATTAAGATATCGGAACCATTTTTGATAATTGACGGTAGAATAAATTAAACATCTAAAACATATTAAAGGTAGCTCAAATACGTATATATGGTTGCTTTTATCTATTTTTTTGGTAAGTACTTTGTGAATGGTTTTTATTTTAATGGTAATATCAATATATAGATATAGATAAAGCAAAGAAATATATATTGCGTACGCGGCTTTCCTTGCCTGTCTATCTGTATTTCAAAACTTTGATTTTATTCGATAATATAAAATAAGATTTAGTAGTATAATATAAAAAAAAAAGTCGGCTGCTTTCCTTATATTTGGCAAGTATTAATAAAATTTTTAACTTTTACTTACTCTTCTTGTTCTTGTTCTTGTTCTTGCTCTCCGTATTCAAGATTGAAAAGAAAAGTTTATCTCGTCGCTGTGGCTAGATATTTAAAAATAAATTATATAAAAACATAGTTTCTCAGTGTTAAATTGTATTGTATTATATTTTGTAGTATTATTATTATTTTATAAATATATTTGGTGGCAAAAAAGGAGAAAAGGAAATAGAAGGAGGAGGGATTTAGGGAAATACTATAATATATCATTAAGGAACTGCTCGAATAATATAAGTAAAGGGAGGTGTTTTATGATTATTTTTATTAATAGTTTATAGTGTAAAAGCGTAGTGAGTGAGAGTGGCAAAATATGAGCCTTTTTTGCTTTTTATTTTCTTATATGATTTTTGATAGTTATGCTTTTGCTTTTGCTTTTGCTTCTGCTTTTCGTTATAGTTACAAAGCACCAAGACCGTGCAAAATTGAAGAATAGCCGGGACCAATATATGAATGAGTCTATGAATCTATGTGTGTGTGATATATTATTTTAATTGAATAGATTTGTTAATCTTACCACTGTACTACTACTAATACACAGTATCAATAATATTATCCATATCTTTATTTTGCAAAAAAAAATTATACACCTTGTTGTCTTGACAACAAAAGCAGAGAAAATACACAATTGAATTTAACAATTATATAATAATACTTTAATAATTATTAATGATAAATTATTAGTAAGATATTATCAAGGAAATACAATTCAAAATAATTACAAAGCTAGTTTGCTGGTTAATACTTATGTAATTATATATATATAATATAAGTATGTAATAAAAAAAAATATTAAAGAAGTATAGAAATGAATTAATGAATAAATATATTGTATAATATAGGGTAGGGTAGTATAAAGATCGCAAGGAGATACATATATATAAGAGAGAGAGAGAGATATTAATCGACTGAGTCAGAACAACGACATCAAGGAGTTATTTTTTTTGCTTTATTCACTCACACACACAACCCACACATCTTCCTCCCTCTTAATACTTTCCCCTTGAATTTCTATGTTTTGAAGGTCATTGATAGACATAAATGACAAGATGATCTATTCCTTCTCCATGATATTCCTTATATTCTTTATATTCTTCTTGTGTTTTAAAAACATATATATACAATGTGTATTTATGGTATGATGTTCCATTTTCTTGATAAAGTAATTATATTATTTTTGTTTCTCTATTAAAAAAATAATTAAATAATTAAATAAATGGGAAATGGTATTATGAGATATTATATTATATTAATTTCGATTGATTTTGGATTGGGCTACTCGGTTGCTTGGTTACTCGGTTGCTTGGTTACTCGGTTTCTTGGTTGCTTGGCTACTCGGTGGCTCGGTTGAATAATAAAGTGTGAGATCTAGACATGTAGATAAATATAAATAAATTCATATAGTAAAATAACAGAAAGAACGGACCGCTATTTTTTATTATTGTTTTATTATTAGTTGTTGTCATGGATAACCAAATCCAATCAAAGCTGATAATAATAAAAACAAAACTTTAATGGTGGCGTGGCTTTTGAATACAAGAGAAAATAAGTAGAGAGAGAGAAAGCCAATTAGTTACCCATGTTGTTACAATGGTTGCTAGGAAGTAAATAGGTTTTTTTTTCCCGAAAACAGTTAATTAACCTTTCCTTTTTTTTCTTTTTTGGATGGGATTACAGATAAATATACATGGATAGACAAATATGTATAATTTACATTTTGCACCAAAAAGCAGCGTATTATATTAATTGGAGTTATCCACAATAGTATAATTGGTACCACAACTACACACACACATTACATATACTATACTCAATACCCACCCACACATTCACACATTCACTACCCACAAATAATGGTTAGATTTTTTTCTGGTTTTGGATTTCTTGGTTTTGTTGTGTAATCTCTGGTGTCAGATTTGATTGATAAGATCATTTTTCTTATATTATATTATATTATATTATATTATTTTTGAATTTTTTTTGACATGAAATTAATAATAAATATAAGAAAATATTAGTGAATAAAAGAGAGAAGAAGAGGAAAGAAAAGCATATATATATATACGTTGAAAATATTTGTAATTGCACTGGTAGGTAGAATTATTTATTTATATTTATATATATACGACAAAGTGAAAAGTATAGTGTTGTAATAGACTCTTTGTCTTTTGTTTCCACGTGTATATAACAGACAGGCGCTAATAGAGAGAAAATCCAAGGTGATCTAAACCATAAATATTAAATAATAAGATATGAAGATGCGCATACAGACTCGCATAGATCGGGTTTGGATCCACTCAATATTATTTGTTGTTTTTGTTTGAGTTGGACAAGACATCTGGACCGCTTTATCCCTTATATGTATATAGATTGGATATTACAGTCGCTGATTTAAAGAACTTTATATTGTATTATAGTCATATAGATGTATATATGTGCAGACTGGACACGCATTGTCCATCCTTTCTGTACATGCAGTGGCGGGTGTAACCCAATTAACCCAAAAGAAAGAAAGAAAGAAAGAAAGAAAAAATTGAAAGCGGCTGTTGTATATTTTATTCCATGACGGATCGGTTCACCGGGCGGAGAGATATATCAATAATATGAAAAGAAAAGAAAAAACGGTTCATAGTAAGAGTAAATGAATGAATTGTCTCAATTGAATTTTGATTCAATAGGAATTATAGCAGTAAGTGACAATGATAATGGTAGATAGAGATAAAGATGTTGGTTGTGTGAAAACACAATGGTAGAATCATTTCAAAGAATACCAAAAAATAATAATAATCAATAATTGAATTATTGAATCAATGAAAGAGAAAGGTGTTGCTTGTTTGCACAGAAAATAAAGCCTTATTGTTTTACTCCTTGTTAATTTATGAATTGAAATCAATTGAAATGAAATGAAATCAATTGAAATGAAAAATAAAAGGGTATTGTCATTACTACCATCATCATCTATAATACAATTTTCTTTAAACAATAAGGAGTCTTTCTTTCTGTCTTTCTCAAATAAGTATAATAATTACACACAGACATATGTATATGCAATGAATCAATGAATCAATGAATGAATCAATGAATAAAAGTAGAGTAAGGAAGTAGGGAAGATGCTGTGGGGATTGAAAGGGTAGCAAAGTCCGCGGGCGGGGGAGCACGCTGTCTCGACTCAAGGTACCCAGATCTCTTATTGGCCTCTTTCTATTTTCACTAGTCGAGGGTCCCCCTCTTTCATCCTCCCCTCTCCTTTTCTAGCTTACCCATATCCATATCCATTACCCATACCCTCTACCGTTACCCTTTATCCTTTTCTTTCTCCTCATTTTCATCCTCCTACCCCCTTATTTGTATATAATTTTGATAATTATCAATATTACTGCACACGCCACCTCCCTCCCACTCTGTCTTTTTTATTTATACGTATAATATTTTGAGGCGGCGACCCCTGACTACCTCACCACACTCGTCCAGAAATAATCCTTTAATTACAATTATACAATTATAATAGTTTGATATATATATATATTGGGATCAAATATGTGTATATATAAAGGCACATCTTCCATTCCTCTTCTTTCTTTCCTTCATTACTCATCATCTTCATTCAAACAAAACCAACAAACGCAGGCCGTTTATCTACATCTCTACATTCATATCTTTCTTTACATAACACAAACATGTCTGTCATCGCTCGCATTTTCCAACTCATCGTCCTCTCAATTGCTCTTGTCCACCTGGTTGTGGCTGCTCCCCTCGAAAAGCGTAGTTTCTCTGGTGACGGTACCTTTTACGCTGTTGGCCTTGGATCGTGCGGAACCGATGATGGCAACACCGATCTGGTTGCAGCATTGAATGCTCCTCAGATGCAAAACGGTGCCAACCCTAACAACAACCCCATCTGTGGTCGTCGTGCTGTAGTCAAGGGTCCCAAAGGATCTGTCACAGTCAGAATTGTAAGTTAAAGCTATTTGTCCTATAAAACAGTAACTAATTAAGCAACAATTATATCTATAGGTTGATACTTGCCCTCCTTGCCAAAAGGGTGATCTTGACTTGAGCCCTGCTGCTTTCGGAAAGATTGCTGACTTTGCCGCTGGACGTGTTCCCATCACCTGGAACTGGGCCTAAAACAACATAGCCGTGTATATTCCAAAAAACGAAAAACAAATCCCCCGCCATCAACATCTTCAACATCCTTTCATTGATAAAAAAAATCCAAAAAAAACAGAAAACAGAAAACAAGAGACATAGAATAAGAAGATAAAGAAGTCTTAAATGATACACACACCATTACCTCTTCATTTCATATTATACTTCTTTATAATCCTTTTTCATTTCATATATCTTTTCTTCTTCTCTTCTTTTAGATTTTTCACTCACTCACTCATTCATTCATTCACTTTTTTATATCTATATTTTTTTTATTTAATCCTCTTGATGAGGGAATATGAATTTATAGTATATTGTGATTCATATATTTTTTTATTGTCTCTTATTGAGCATGTACTTTCTCTATATTTTTTCTTCTCTTTTTCTTTTGAAAAAGAACAAATCAACACATACAATGTAAAATAAAGAATATTCGTAGAACTGGGTTCACAAACACATCATTTTAAATATCGATTTAGAAAATGCAATAAAAAAGTAAGAAAATTATTCCAGAATGATTCATTGTTAATAGGCTTGTGTGTGCGTTGCTAAGCTACCCTAAGCATTCCTATAGTTTATTGAATATTGAATATTGTGTATTTTGTATAATACAAGGAGTCTTTTTTACATATATAAATATATTTGGTTTAATAAACAAGACATAAAGAGAAAGATAGAGAATGATTGAATGAATTAAAAGAATTCTTTGGCATCATAGTCAATACTTCAAATCCAAGTATTTATTTTTTATCAATATATATATATATTATTTAAGCTATTTTATTTATATGTCTATTAAATACATTTACAAAAAGTACACAAAAGAAAAGGAGGAAGATAAAGATGAGGCTTTGGTAAGCTTAATCGTGGCTGATGACTGGCAATGTATTCTTGGTACTTTCAAGGGTGTAATGGGCCCCCTTGAGGATATCCAATCCAAATTTAGCACGATTCAAACTAGCCACACCATCATTATTATTATTGCTATCATCGTAAGCACCACCGATACCACCACCACCAGCATTATTGTAACCAGAACCAGAACCGATACTAGAAGCAGAGTCAGACGCAGACGCAGAGATAGTAGAAAGGGGAGATGATGATCCAATGCTGTCCTCCGAGAATATTATTGGTCTTGCCCAACTGCACCAGAATAAACCACTAACTGCTGTCATCCAATACAATTTCATCTTTCCTTGATTCGATTCAATTCGATTCGATTCGATTTGATTTGTAATAGAAAGATAATATTAATAATGAAGATGAAAACGATGTTGAAAATGAACAAACACTTATTTATATTGTACATTTGTCCTTACTGTGGAAATAAAGGAGAAACGATGTATGTACATATAAAACAAGTTAAATTAAACACTGTACAGACACCTCATCAAACATCAAGCAAGAAAAAAAAACCAAAAATCCTAGCAAAGTCAAATTTATCGCTGTCACAATCGCTCTCTCTCTCTGTGTGTGTCTCTAAAAATAAAAAAGACTGTATGTGGTTGTATGCATTCGTATAGTGTGGGTACATTTTCTCTTCCCTATTCTATTTTATTTTATTTTATTTAAATTTAATTTATTTAATTTATATTGTATTATATACATATTCTATATTTTGTACTTGTCAAGTAATCATTTTATTCTTTTATTATTATTTTTTACTACTACAATTTTAATTATACACAAGCACACACACACACAGATATATATATATATATATATATATATATTACTAAGAAAAAATAAGAAAAGAAAAGAAAAAAAAACCGACAATGACCTTGGCATCTTCATCCAATGACAACCAACTTGACTCCTACCAAGACCAGTTTGTAGAAATACTCCGGAATATATCCAGTCTACAATGGGTCCGCGAGTCATTGTCAACTCATTCACATCATTACCAAGCACTCCAACAGCGGCATAAAAAGGAGTCTCAGCAGCGCAATAGACTTAAGAACCAACTGCAAGTCATTATTTCACTTTCTCTCTCTTTATTATTATAATACTATATATATATATATACATCTATTCTAATTCCATTTTTTATTATAATAACTATTATTATTTATAGTGAGCGCCAAGCCAAGGAGAAACGATTACCAAATCAAGAACACCAAGAGCAAGAGCACCAACAGCATGAGAAAGAGAAAGAGAAAGAGAAAGAGAAAGAGAAAGAAAAAGATAGAGATAAAGAAGCGCTTGATAAAATTGATCGGACCTTGGCTGGATTGGAAGAACAATTGAGTAATGCTGATAGTATGGTGTGTGCAAAGTTATATATCGATAATTATTTTGTATCAATCAGTTAACAGTTAAAATCAACAAAATTATAGATGCATGAGTTGACCCAAGAAAAACAAAGACTCGACACGTTTTGTAGTAGATTGAACCAGTTGTATCAACAAGTAAATATCCTCTATTAATATGTATATATATATATATTTTTAATTGACAACAGTAAGAACAGCAATAGCGACCATTGGTAACCATTGGTAACCAACAGTAACCAACAGTAACCAATAGCAACCAGATCATTTTTTTTTCATAATCAATAATATATAAATATATTTAACTGTAATATGTCAATTGCATAGATTATGCCAGATACTCTTCAAGGACCTTACGATCAAATTGAACATCTTCTGAAAGAACAAGTCGAAAGCTTGTCAAGTAAAATTCCAAATGTAAGAAAGAGTACATACATATAGATAATATTGACCATGGGATTATGCTGTATGTGTGTATATATATTTGGTTTTTGGCTATGTAGATTGTGTCAGACATTAGGGATCATACAGCAGCCCAAACTCAATTATATGAAGCAAGAGAGTCTATGGAGACTGCAATGATCAATCTACCCGGGGCTTCTACTTTTCTTGACCGCCAAGGTGTCGTAGGTCGAGGAAACAATTCAAGACTATTCGGAACATCCAATTTTCTTCTTCTTCAAGGATCATCAGAAGCTGCAACCAAAGGTAAATCTAACATTATATTATATTATATTATATTATATTATATTATATTATATTAAATTAAACTAAACTAAACTAAATTAAATTAGATTAGATTAGATTAAACTGGATTAAATTAGACTCACTAACATCAAATAATGCTATACTCAATACTTATTTAATCACCTTTTGCAGAGGCGGAAAAACTTGCTCAAAAGGCGTATGAATGTGTCCGAAAGGCATCATTAGAATGTTCCCAAGTCAGTCTCATTCCAATCACTCCATTAAAAAAAGGTTAGTAAAAGACAAGAAAAGACAAAACAGCAGCGTATAATAATACATGTCCTAATTTATATAAAAATAACAATCGACTTTAAATATATATATATATATATATATGTGTGTGTGTGTACTGCTTGTAGATGAAAAGGTAATGGTCGTGCTCACTACCTATCGTGGTTATCGCCTAAAGATCGAAACCCTGTTGAGAACAAGAGTCAATCCTCGGCTACACAAACTCGAGAGCGAACTGACGATCAGCCGGTTCCATTACGAGCAAAGATCGATCGAGTGGGTCGATCGTCAGGTTGAGATGCTGGGATCTGTGTTTTGGTCCAACGGGTGTCTGGAAAACATCGATCTCAACCAAGAGATCTCTGCCCTGAGGATGGGATCAAGTGCAACAATTGCAGCCATAGCTTCCCAGACGGGTGGCCGAGTGACGGTGGATGATGTACTAGAGGTTGGAATTATCATTGGCAGTGGTGATGGAGATGTTAATAATAGCAATAGTAATAGTAATAGTAATAGTAATAGTAATAGTAATAGTAATAGTAATAGTAATAATAGTAGTGGTAGTGGTAGTGGTAGTGGTGGTAATGAACTTGCCGAGTCTTCAACACAACACCAACAGACACCAAACCTAAATCCAAATCCAAATCCAAGTCAAAGTCAAAGTCAAAGTCAGCAATTGCAAGAGCTACCGCAGTATAGTGCAACCACAATTAATGACTCTCCGTCCTCAAATATACTTCCTGCTTACACTTTGGAACGAGTACCTGATTATCAAGGAAGTGACCCACCACCCGCCTATTGTTAGAATAGAATAAACCCACTCACTCGCCTATTCTCCACCTCTCTCTCTCTCTCTTTCACACCAACAAATGCACATATAAAGACAATAGCAATAATAGCAATACTAATAATCATCATGGTTCACGTACACACACACACACACAACTTTCCCAATAAATACAATAAATGCAATTCGCATTTGTATTCGCTTACACAGAGTACAATCAACAGCTATTTTTATTGACTCTCACCAATATACTGACATAATACAATACAGTTTTTTTCTTTAATTTATTTTAATTTATAGGGTGTATATTAGATGTATAGGATACCAACCACAAAGGCTACCAGACCGCTGGCGGTTCTATATAATTGAACCTTGGACCATTTGTTGAGCAGAGCCAGGGCTTGTTCGGTTTTGTAGATAGAGGTGAGAGACGCGGGAGAGACTGCGGTTGAATGGTTGGTTTTGATGTCGTGTGAGACGGCGTCATCGAGAGCAAAGAGCCTGTTGTTGGTTGGCATGATAAAAAATTTTGTGTAAGGGGCGTTTGAGAGGATAAGTAGACCAAGGTAGAGTGACCGGGATTCACGCGTCTTGTAGTAGTGGTAGAAGTAGGCCCCACTTGAGATTATGATTGACGAGAGAGCAAGTTTGGCTCCTCCTTTATAGACTTGGCGAAACACACTGGTGGGGTTGGCTGCAACTTTGATAGATGGCACGCTGAGCATATCCACAGACATTCCAAGACCAGCATAAATACCACTGCCAATTAAAGCAATTGATCTAGCATACTGGATATCAGACATGATTATTGGTTATTGAATATAAAGTAGAGAAGATGGAGATATGTGAATTGAGTAGAAAAAAAAGAATGCCTGATGTAGTAGCACCTTTTATATTTATTTATGGTTTTTTTTCTGTCCAACTTATTTATAGCATACTGATCTATTTATTTTGTGTATATCAGTCTGTGTTTTCTGTATAAGCCATATTAAGTTTAATCGAGATCATAAAGCTTAAGTTTTACTCTATCACCGGCCTCGGTGAAATTACTTTCCGATCTGTATTATAGAATGAAATATAGAGTAGAAATGATATATGTGAATCTAAAAGATGTTTATATAAGCTAGAGAAAGAAAGGTTACGATAAAGTTGTACAAAGAATATTTGTGGCGAAGTAAAAGTCAATATAGAGCAATGGACTGGAAAGAGATCTTTTAAAAGAAAACGAAAATATGATATGAGTATTTAAATATTTTGTAATTGTGTTATTTCTTAAAGAAGCCTTTCTTTCTAGTAAGATATGTTGATTTTTCTAACATCTTTATTTGCGATTGTCTAAGCAAGATAGCTTACTTTGCCTATAGTGAAATCTTTATTAGATTTCTTTTTTTTACTGCATTGAACAATGGCAAGACTGAGAATCAATTCTCTATCTAGGTAACGTTTGTCTGATAAAACAAGTATTTACAATTGGCCCTAAAGAGATTCATAAACTCGAATGATTATAAGGCCATTGCTCCCAGATACATGTGTTGCCTAAATGCCCAAGTCCGCAAGGTTTTTTTGCTTATAGTGCATATATCTATATATCTATATATCTATATACAAGCTGATATCAAAAGGGTTATTATAGTTGCAGTGACTGTTGCTATTTGGTCCTATATTCTTTTTAACAACCAAGGTATATGGGCCGTCAGAATATAAATTACTGCTTTATACCCAGCAGCTATTTAGCCATAATGTAACAGAGACAGAAAGCTCATTGTGGGTGTTATGTGCTGTTCTTGAATATGACAAAAACCTCTTCTGGGTGTGCTCTTGCAAAAGGTCAATATGGGATCACATCACAACTCGGCTCCTGATATCTCCTACCACCCTCAAGTTTGACCACCTCATCCTTCCCTTTTCTCCGCAGTCGGTTAAAGTCCGTGATACATCTGTATCCTCATACATTGTTCTGGGATCCACTCTCAATGCTATATAGGAAGCTCACTTGGAGCATATATTCAACGACGATCCCATTGTCGCCAGTCGAATTGCTGTCATTGACATTTTTAAACTTTAGAAGACTATAACCAGAAGATTTCCTTAAAAGCACAGCCTAATTTCTTAACTTCCTAGCCTTTGGGTATACATTTCATTCAAGAAACAATAAAAAAAAGAGAAAATCCTGTCAACTTTTAACAAATAAGTTATTTTGAATTATAGCATTAAACCAAATCGAGAAAAATGCCAAAGTTTGAGTCGCAAAAACATCAAAATACTAAAACCTCCCCCTCTTTTTTTTCGTGTCTTTTTTTATAATACAATATATATATATATATATTAACAATGGCACAGACAGAGTGTCCCTAGTAAAAAGTCTTGTATTAAAAAAATAAAGAATTGATTATTATGCCGGCTTGTTCAATATGTAATATGCAGTGTACTGTGCTGTATGCTTACCCTATAGAAAAAAAATAGGCGATTTTAGTGAATTGTTGCAAGTTTTCCGGGGTTTAAAGTGTTTTGTACTTGAGTTTTAATTAAGCACCAATTTCTCTCTCGCTCTCTTTTATATTCTACTTTTTTTTTTTACCCCACCATGTTTTTTTGCAGTCAAAGCAAAACATCTTTTTCTTAGCTTTTTCAACCCATTACAAAACTAAATACCAAGTTGTTCAAATCTAATGGCTTACCAGTGGTAGCTTGGGTGGGTCCTAAGCGGTAACCAGGACGAATTTTTTTATCTTCTTTGAAGTCTAGTCAGTCTTTGTCTCAAACGACGACCCTCCTGGAGATCTTCTTCTGCTTGTCTTCTGATACGTCCAATCCGAATGACGCGGGTGAACCTTACAGGTATAGTCCCATCATATCTCATATTGTTAAGTATATGTCGGAAGTTCAGGACAGCAGCAAGGTCCCGATTCCACAAACGATGCATAACTTCTGACCTGTCCATGTTCTCCAAACAATTTAGATTGGTACATCTAAAAGGACTTGTTTCTATTTATTTTTTTCACAAGGTCTAGAATTATTAAATGTCTCTAAAAGGAACACACTTAATAACTATGAAGGCTAGTATTAATAAAATAAGAATCAGAAAAGTTGACAATAGAAAGTAACTTGAGAAGAATTGACAGAAAAATATCTGCATCAAGTACAATTTGGTTGTCAAGTTTGCTCGCATGCTCATTAGAAATCTCGGTAGATTTAGAGAATTGCAAGGAATCTGTCTTCTTGTTTTTCAAAAGTAGGAATCAGACATGACAATGTTAACACAAAGCAGGTTTATACTCTTTGATAAAAAGAATCAATTAAGCAATATACATGCCTTCCTCAATATTATAGTACTTAGAGAATAGCCTTTTTTTTTTAGATAAAAAATGTAAAAAGTATTACATAGAAATAGATATATGTATATTATTTAGTAACTTTATAGCTTAAACTGTTACTAAATATCATAAAAAATAGTACTTCTTCTTTCCATACTTCTTTATATTCAACTTGTATTATTTTGATCAATAAAAACTATAAAATTCCAATATAAAACCGTGTATTTGTTGAACCAATTATAAGAATAGAGATATCTAAAAAAAAAAAAGGTATAGATCTGCCATATTTAGAATATTTGATTGGATTATATGCAAAAATAATCTGAAATCCAACGAATTGTACTATCCAAATTTGTTAAAAAAAGGGAAATATGTACCTAAAAATGGTATAATTTTGCTACTTTAAACGATTTTATTGGATCAGATAAAAAGTAATTTTAACTCCAATAAATAGTATTCGCTGTAAATACTTTTAATTTACTAAAAGCCAAGATTCTATTGGCAGACATTTACTACAGTGATATTTTCTTTTATGGGTGTTGATGATTTTTGGTCCCTGAAGTTTTTCTACTTTTGTATCATTGGACACATTTTAAAATAATATAATAAAAAAATAAAAAATAAAAAAAAACAGGATGACGTACACTCTCTCACTTTGTCTCTATTTTATCTGTATTTGTATATAGTCTATTTCGGAGAAAATATACAGATTGAGCCTATAATTCTTTAGCGTAAAATATCATATATACAATATTATGGGAACACACACAATTTATTTATTCATTTAATAAAATTTCCTTTTTATTCGTATTCTCTTATCTCTCTCTTTCTTTTAATACCCTTGAGAAAAGTATACATAAGCAAGTGAACAAGCAAGCGAACAAGCAAGAAAGCAGATAGACAAAGACATTCTTCTTTCTCTTCTTTATCCACCTAGTGTCTTTGTTGTTGTATTATGATGATTACAGCAAGACTAGGAAGAATTGTTCTTCTTATTGTCTTGCCTCTCACGCTACTTGTCAGTTTCCTTTTACTGGCTCACCATAACGGTTCCATCTCTCGGTTTTCGTCTTCTTACTCTTCGTCATCACAAACCAGCTCGCATTCAAAACCAAAACCGAATCTGAATGGGACTCGTGAGAATGCCGCGTTTGTTGTCCTGGTCCGGAACTCTGAACTCAATGGTCTTCGCGAGACTCTCCAGAACGCAGAAGACCGGTTCAACAGAAAATACAATTACCCTTGGGTCTTTTTAAACGACGAACCATTCACCGATCAATTCAAGGAATGGACTGCCGGCCTGGTGTCGGGCGAGACGTTTTACGGCATACTCGACCAACAGTCCTGGGGATATCCAGACTGGGTTGATCAGGAAAAGGCACGCCTGGCAAGAGAGGACATGGCAAACCGGAACATCATCTATGGTGGAAGCGAGTCTTATCGCCACATGTGTCGCTTCCAGAGCGGTTTCTTTTTCCGTCATCCGTTGCTTGCAAAATATGATTACTACTGGTAAATACATACATACATACATACAGATATGCATATAAATATAAAGAAGAAAGAGAGACAGAGAATAAGAGGGAGATGAAAGGATAGGCCATAAAATGAATATGGACACATACATAATCTGTGGATTGCTTGCTTGACTGACTTATTTCAAGGCGAGTTGAACCAAATGTCAAGTTCTACTGTGATGTCGACTATGACCCGTTCCAAGTGATGAGAGAAAGAGACTTGAAATACGGTACGAATTCTTCCCATCCTCCCCAACAAGGAAGATAAAAAGAGAAATCAATTGATGAATTAAATCAAGTAAAAATAACTCGCTGCCTACTATATTATAGGATGGACTTTGTCAATCAAAGAGTACGCAGAAACGATTCCTACTCTTTGGTCAACCGTAAAGAGCTTTATGGCTGAGCACCCTGAACACATTGTTCCAAAGGGTAGCCCAGAGAGTCTGATGGATTGGATTACGGATGATGGCGGGGAGACATACAATCTGTGCCACTTTTGGAGCAATTTTGAGATCGGGTCTATCAAGTGGCTCAATTCAAAGGCGTACATTGATTACTTTGAGGCCCTGGACAAGTCGGGTGGGTTCTTTTATGAAAGGTGGGGAGATGCTCCGGTGCACAGTATTGCGGCGGCCTTGATGCTCAAGAAGTCAGAGGTCCACTGGTTTTATGACATTGGGTACTTTCACAATCCGTACAGCCAGTGTCCCCGTGAGCCTGCATGGTTGGCGGCCGAGAAGTGTTCTTGTGATCCTCAAGAAAGTTTCGGTAAGAAATAGAATACATATATTGGTAATATTGATAATGCTGTGATAATTAACATTTATATTTGTATTTTATTGGCTTAATTTAGACACTCATTGGTACAGCTGTACACCCCAGTTCCTCAAAGTGACTGGAAAGAAACCCACAGACTTTCTTATCACCGAACGTTGAGAGATTTTGCTTTGGCTTCATTCGACTCGATTAAAACAAAAATCCCAAATCCCATACAACACAGCACAAGTTATATTGCATTATATTATATTATATACGATACACTTGCTTGTGGAATGCATTTCTAATTTTTTCCTACTCGCCTTCATAATATCATTAGCTGTTTTCTATTTGTTCCTCTGTACATCTGTCTTTTCTCTATTTCCATGTGTAATATATAATGTGTATAGTGAGTAGAGATGCGTAGAATGTGTAATATGTATGCTCTTATTTTATTTATTCGTTTTTTATATATATATTTCTCCTCTTCTTCTGCTTGATACTCACAAGAACACCCCCCAAATTAAAAGTGAAATTGAAAGAAGATAAAAAAATATATATAAAAACCACATGCAAAGTTTAATATATGTACAAAGATGATCAGACGATATACCATGTTTATTTATTTCTTTGTTATTATCACCAATAACTGAACCCACGTATCTGTGAGTCATCCGATTGAATTGGCTTTACTTAAATAATTCACCCCCCAAAAAAGTAATAATAAGGCCAATGATGATAATAAAGATAAAGATAAAGATGTTGATGGTAGTAAAATAAATAATGTTTCAATATTAATTGAAACAACAGAAAAAAAGAAACAAAGAAACAAAGAAAAACGGTAACATTAGTATTTTGTGCACAATACTGTCCTTGTTCTTATCAATTTTTATTTTATTTTAATATTATAAATTTTTCAAGATGTAAAATAAAATAAGAAAAAAAAAGTTTATTTAATGATTTGTACAATATATATATATAACATTTGATCTTTTTTTTTCTTTCTTTCTTTCTTTTCTTTTCTTTTAGCTAAATATCATTATTCAGTAAACTAGCCTTTATTCAAACAAAGATTCCAATAAAAAGGATATATGGCGAGAATGACCTATATATCAAGCTATCCAAAATTCACCAAAGTTCTAGCATCCACTCGACTATCTTTTCAAAAGATCGAATACACTTTGCTGCTCCACTTCCCGTCTCCGTCGACCATTCAATCCTTTATAACCAAGGCTACCCTGTTCCTGGCAGCACTCTTGGTCCCAACCTTCGATCCTAATTCTAGTGCTAATAACAGCAATAGACGATTAGAAACCAGCAGTGGCCACACAGCCCCAAAGACCTTTTCGGCAGACAAACTCAAGCCTCTATTGTTGAATAAGGCCAGTGGGGTTGATAAGAATACTGGGTATGATGAGCCGTGTGAAATAAGCTATCAGAGAAGAGAACGCTGCAACTCTGCCAGTCTACGGATATTGTCGGCAGAGTACACAATGATCAGGGCATCAAAACTAACAAGACCACGCACCTATCGGTACAGCCTCGAACAACGCTCGGATCCATTTATAAAAGGACGCAAGAGCAGATTACACTAGATAGTATATAGATCCTGTCCTTTTTTTTTTAATTCTTTCTTAGCATCATCACTACCCTTACTACCCTTACTCTTCCTTTGTTTTCTGCCTGTCTTTTATACCTATATTTATGCTTGTTTTCATTTCATTTATGCTGTTCACCAGCGTACAAGGGAATCATCGAGGGAATTGCATCTCGTCATATAAGATTCCAATTGTTTATTCAGTATCTGTTTTTTTAATTATTTACTAAAACACCCTGCTCATTTTTTTTGTCAATTATTTGTTTCATTTTGGCTATAGGAAATGAGCTTTATAAAGTATAGTCGTTTAGTATATTCCTTTTTGTAACTAGAGTCCTTATTTTGGAAAGTTTGTCAACTCCCTCGACAGTTATGGTGTGTTCGGGGATAAATATCTAAGTTATTAGGTAATTTTCAAAGTTCCATGACTTTTGCTACAGACAAGTTATTGAGAATTGCTTAAACATGTTCTATAGGGAAGACTCTTCCGAATAACTCTTGTTTAAAAGATTCTAAAAACAAGGCTTGAATAAAAAGTCATGGACCTTCAAAGTCAAGAGGTATCAATAGAAAATAGCAGAGTTTCAGCTTTTTTCTTAATACAGGATTTTCGGACCCAAATGAGCTTTTTTTTTTTTTGCAAACTTTCGGTTTTTGGTGAAAATTAAATGGGTGCAGTTCAAGTATCGAAATGGTGATATTTGGACACTTACATGAAAATAAAAATTATGAGGTATGATTGCCCCCACTCGGCCTTACTTAACTCACCTCACAGGTGGAGACAATGAATTAACTACTGGGGTCTCCAATGTATATAGTCGATCTCTACGAGTGAGGTCAACTAAGGAAAGGGAGGGTGGGGGAAACCATATTTCATAATTTTTATTTTCATGTAAGTGTCCAAATATCACCATTTCGATACTTGAACTGCACCCATTTAATTTTCACCAAAAACCGAAAGTTTGCAAAAAAAAAAGCTCATTTGGGTCCGAAAATCCTGTACTATCTGGTATAGTCTTCTTCACTAGTAAAATTCATTATTGTTAAATATTTTTCTTTTATATTTAATATAAAAAATACAAGTTAAATGTTCTCAAGACTATCAGCTTTGTAGTGAGCATACTTTTTGTGAGTTTTTGTAAGTGTTATTATATACTATTATTTGATTTAAAGAAAAAAAATAACAAAGAAAAACGATTTAAATGCTCGGCAAGTTTCTAAATTGAGCATCTATTTCATTGCTCAAGGTCATAAAAATCACAGAACATGGAATTAGATGCTGTCGGAAATACTACTGCTGCAGGCAACTTTTTTGAAAAGCATTTTCAAAAAGCATTTAAATCGGGAAAAACCAAATTTAAATGCTACTGCTACGGATGCTCTGACTGTAAGAAATAATTTAATACTAATATACTGTCTCCACAGTTGTGCCAAAGTGAAGAAGATATATACGAGTGGAGGTTTCATAATGAAGAGGTTCATAAAATCCTGTCTTTTCAGACCTATTCGTCTTTGCATACTCAGGCCCGAGTGGCCAATTTTTTTATTATGTCTTATATAGAAAATAAAGAGAAGTTGTTAGAAAGAGAGAAAATGTGGGTGGAAAGTTTTTGTAAAACTGTCGATGAGAATAGCTCTTGTCATTTTAGAGGCTGAATTTAGTGTCTTTTACTCTTTGTATTGCTTTATTACCTCTCCTAAAATCGATCCAGCTCAGTAATTACTATGTTCGTGCTTAGATAGATGATCGACTTTCACCAGAACAACGGCTATTTATTAATGCTTATTTTTTCATTGATACTATAATAATTGCTGGTATTCCTATATTTGTTCATTGAACCGATCCTAATTTTTTTAGGCAATACATTGAGGACGCTGGAGAACATCTTAAAAAGGATCTATTATTGAGGTGTAGAATAACCGCTGCAATTTGTGGGACTAAATTTGGGGTGATATCAATAACCAAATCACCCGACAGTTATATTCTATCATTTAACCAGCCAAACAACCATTACTTTAATATTCTTTTCTATTTTCTTTCGGTTAATTCTTCAAATTAAAATACTTACATACATATTATCCAGTCATATATAACTTCTCCGAACCAAGGCATATTGATAAAGGCACATATTTCACCGCCCATTGAGACTTTTCAGAGGCTCCCCTTTTAATTAAATGCCCTCCCCCGGCTCATTGGCGTTGTGCTGGTTGTATATAGCAACTTTTACCAGTAGACGTCGCCCTGGTGACAAACCAGATGCCGCGTAGACCTTGGCATCTTTCTGGGACATATAAAGCGCACCAGACCTATTCGCCTAATATTTTCTTCTTTTACTACGATTACACCGGAACCTCCATCATAGTGAGTGTTCAGTTTTCGTACAAAGATGGAAAAGGGACAGTTGTTGATGAGCTTGGCAGATTCAAACCCATGGATTATATTGTTGACAGGGAGCAATATCGTCTTGAAGCATTGAGTTCTTCTACACAACATTTGCCTCAATTGTGTCAAGAATGAAACAATAAAACTGAAACCATACAAATAAAGAAGACAGCTTAAACGCTGAAACCAACGTAGCAATGACAGAAGCATCGACCAGGGGTAATTCTCCGCTATACACGGACCAGAACTATAAATCTTTTAATTTCTTGCTTGAGAAGTGTTTGAGCGCTTTTTGCTGCTGGGAAGCAGTTGGGAATCTACGTTCGTAAGGCACAAATATGGGTGAAACAGTACGAAAGAAAAGTTAATAGAATTTTTGAGAAGCATAAAAAAGACATTCATAATACCGTGATTTATGTTTGATTATTGAAAGCAATCTACGTTTAAATTCAGTCGATGTAGAATGATCTTTTTCCCTCGTACATACTCCTTTTTTTTTGTTAGATGCATTCTGATCGCCACTACATTATTTCATTGTGATTGGCACTACAATAATTGGTATATTCACTTTATTAAAAAAGAAAAAAAAAAGAGTGGCACTATCATTTATCATTCGAAATGGAGGGCACAAAAGCGATGTCGATCCTTGCTGGCATCAATCAAAGAGTAGATAGTAGGGTAGGTCGGACGACGCTTTGTTTTCCACAATTCTTCATCATTTACAGGCTGGCACAAACGCCAAAATGCTTCAGCTACCCTCAGCAACGTGCTAATGTTCTTCAAATTGACGAAGGATGCTAATTCTTCCAATTAGCGTGGAAACGCGAGCCGGCCAATTTCCTGCATAACATACATTCCATCATGACGTAGGCGTGACAAGTAAAAAGTGATATTAAACCCGTTAATTTGAAAAGTCAAAGCAGCCTGTAGTTTGTTCATATCAATAGTATCCTTGGCTAACGTTGCTAAACGCAGGAGATCGTGACATAAAGCATGGTTATCGGTGGTGTGGCTCGCCAACTTGACTTCGCCATATCCACGGCTTGGCCCAAAATCAAGTTGACATATCTCGGAAATAGTGGCATCAGGGCGTATTTCCCCACTTTCGTCACTTGTGACATTTGACCATCGCTACAAGACGTTTTTGTTTGGATCGGAAAACAAGGCAGACAAAATGGGATCATAATACATGGTGAAGAGTTCACATTCGCCAAATGATTTCCTAGTCTTGATGGGCTTCAGAGGCAGTTTGCGCATTCTATTAAAAAATTGCTAAGTTCTTAAAAAATTTCAAGGCGTTTTTTGTCACTATCGTACTCTCCGTAATGGCTTACCCAGCTTTAATGCCCAACACCAAAGATCGTTCAAAGGGGTTTAGGCTCTTACTGAGCATCAAAAGATCAATATCCGCATCGTCCTTTGAAAGTCTATTTGACTCCACATTGTTGATTATTCGGCATAGTTTCATACATGTATCATCATTCATATCCTGGTTGAAATCCACAGATTCAGTCAACAGTTCCAAGATCGGAAAGAACATCTTCAGTAAAAATATTGATGAGCAGTGTGCTGTATTGGTCAGGGCATAAAAGAAAGATGTTCGACAAGGCCAAAAGCTCGTGCATGGATGATTCGATGAAGAACAACCGGTCTGTCGATATTCGTTGAACGGCTTTCTTGAATTTTGTGAATAACTCTGCCACATCCACGCCCTTAAAAATCCATGGAATTAATTGGGCCGGGGTTTCAACGTCTTCTAATATGGTGGCAGTAGCCGCGACAGTTTCTGTAGCACTAGTATCCACTGTGGACTCGACCTTGGTTGTTTTCGTGGTATCGTTTGCTGCGGAAAAGGAGGAAAGTGCTCTCGTTGCTCGTTCAGCGGCGTCATGGACGTATTCCGTGCATTTGACATCAACGTCTAGCTGGGTCAGTTTTCGCGTCCTTTCCATCCAATACAACTTAAATTTTTCGGATTTCTTCGAAAGATCCAATTCTGATTGCAAACGTTTTTGATCCACTGCAAGATGGCGGCTGTTGATAATTGAAGTGTATCGACTAACTGTATATTGTTTGTCTAATAAGCCGAAATTTTCCGTGAAAGATTTCAGTGTAATAGTATCCTTGTTATTGATACACCACTGAATATCAGCAGCCAGAACACGCTGCTTTTTTCTTGACGGAGCTTTTGTAGAGGAATAGTTTGCAGTTCGTCTCATTTGACCAAGTATTAGCAAAGAAAGGGGCAAGTCAATAAAAATTTTCTGCAGTGCAAGCATCTTTTTTCTGATGAGAATGATATCGCCATTTCGTTGTCAGTTGATGGCTTTGCTCCACACAAGGTTCCTGGTTCGGTGACCATTTTACATGCCACCGTGCTCAACCTTCCTCCAATGGTCCGTTACGAGTGCAAGCGAATGATCCAGATCGCAATGATCCCTTCCGCAACTGTACCTGCCGACTTCTGGTCATTTCTTGAGCCGACCATCAAATCGCTCGAGATACTGCAAGCAGACGGAATGGTGATAAAAAAACCAACGAAAACAATGAGAGCAAAAGTCCATGTTCTCATGGCAACTGGTGACATTCCAGCATTGGCAAAGCTGGCATGCCATGCTGGCCATACAAGCAAAAATGGCTGTCGTATCTGCAACGTTGTTGGACAAACTCCAGGTCATGGCCAATATTTCAGAACCTTGCCAGGCACCACCATCCGCACCGTAGAGAGCTTCAGAAGCTTCAACCCGGATAGTGTGCTGTGCAAGGGCCTCAAAGGACAATCTCCATTCGCTTCATTGACGTCATTCACAGGCCCATTTTTCTTTGCCCTCGATGAGATGCATGGTCTTTGTCACGGAATCGGCAAGCAGGTCTGGGGGCTTGTTTGCGGGAAGTATGGATCTAAGCACCCCCTTTTCCTCTCTGCTGGAGCACAGAAGGAGATAGGCGCGGCAATGGAAGGAACAAGAGGATCGATCCCAACATCTTTCCATGGTGCTTGGAGGGACGTGGCAAGACACGCAGGATATTTCCGGGCTGTGGACTGGGCCGATTTCCTTCTGTTTGTGGTTCCCACTCTGGTGGCGGAGCGTGTCCACGATCAAGATGCACGGAAGGCATTGCTTGGCCTTGTGCAAGCATGCACTCTACTCATGAGTTGGGAGTTATCAGTAGAGGAACAAACCTCTATAAAAAGGTATGTTTAGTGTTATTCAGAGTTTTATTTTTGGAACTTATTCTGATCTTTCTCTTAGAAACCTCATTAAGCGGAATTCGTGCCTGGAAGGTCATTTCCAAAATGGTAAAGTTGGAATAGAGATATTCACTATCAACCAACACCTATTGCAGAATTACCCGGCGATGATGGGTGCATTTGGCACTCCCAGAGCGTACAGCGCCAGGTCGCTAGAGAGGGCCATTGGAGAATATTCTCGGTCGATAAAAAGCAATTCTGCTATTGGTGCAAACGCCGGGAACATCATGCTGAGACTTGCCCGTACAAGACGTGTGGATGTAAACGGAGCCTCGGTAGTTAAGGCGAGGACAACAGCAAGAATATTGCAATACGATGACAAGTCTGCTGGTTGGCCGATGACTGAGGAAGGTGAGCATGTTGGCGTTGACTCAGACATTGAGTTCTGGGGGCCTTTGGGATGTAGAACGATTCATGACAGCATTGAAGAAATTTCTTGTCTCCCAGTTCTTCTTGCGAAGTTCTATGAATCAAAGGGAGTGGAATGCAGCACGATTGATCCAGCCTTGACAACAAGCCGCAAGGCTTTTGTCAATGGCTGTGTGATAGACTCTGCGTTCGCCCACAAAGTACAAAGAGAGGCCCACCACGTTCGCCTTCAGTTGCAGGTAAACAAGGCAACAAACGCAAGACCAGGATCGTCTCCTGCTCTAAAAGACTTCTTTGTCAAAGTTGTTCTTTTCTTTGAGCATGTCAATGAGGGAAAAAGATGGCCACTTGCTTTGGTGTTGGTGTATAGCACGATGCTGTACAATGGTGTGCCGGTGGCGCGAAATGGGCAAATGAAGCCAAAGGTAGTTCACCTGGCGGATGTCAAGGAATTGGTTGGGCTGGTGGTGTCGGGCGCGACAGTAAATACAACAACAGCAACGACGACAGCATACATAGTGTGGCCAGAACTCAACCGTGGCCCTAAGTTGTCACTTGGTTCTTTTGCTGATACTAGAGACCTTCATGCATTTTGGAAAAGTGCAAATTATTGCTTTATAAGGGAAACTTTTAAAATTTTCCAAATCTAAAAATAAAACAAGTGTAACATGACAGACAAAAATTGGAAAAGTTCCTCTTACCCTGTTAATAGGGACCTTGGTGAGACGATAAGAGACATTTAGGCGCCGAGTTACCAAATATGAATTTCTATCAAACATTTTTTGTCGGAATATCATGTCTCATACATAGTATACATTTGGTAATCGTTGCCTGTCGGAAAAGGAGTAGTACTAAGCTCACGAATGCTGCTTCATATAATCAAGCTAATGAGAGATTCGTTAACTTTTATTAAATAATAGTCATTTTTTTCTTGGTATTATGTTAGAACAAAAATATTAATACTAGCTTTATTAAAAAAATAATGAAAAAAAATAAGTAGAGAAAAGTATACTGAAGGATGCTTATATTCTTACATGCATACGTTAAAATTACAACTATTAATATTTTCAAGCTTAATGTATTCGTGCATTTAGCAACAAAGAAATAATACAATATGATTGGTCTATTATGTTTTACAATGTTTGAAAAATTTCTTTCAAGTTTGACAAACTTTTGAGAAAATTTATCAAACATTCGCGTTTTTCACACCCAAATTTCCTTATACGGATGATTTAAACTCCTACAAATGTTTTAAAAGGTTTCACCAAGGTCTCTAATATTTGAAAAATTTGAGGTGAACTTTTCCAAATTTTTTGGTCAATAATTTTCTATATTTGTCTTCTACTAAACTGCCTTTACAAATCACTTTAAAAAAGGAGGAAAATATTTAATTTCTTTCCTTGTAATTTTAGTGATAATTATATGTCCGGTAATATACATAGAAAGTCTCATCTGATCAAAGTGACTCCACTTTAAAAAGTAATTTAGTGTAGTACCCGACAATTTGAAAAATTGTTGAAAAATTTGAATGCATGAAGGTCTCTATTGTCAATCTTTTCTCTAATATTATATGATACATACACTCTTTCCGGAAATTATTGGTGCAAAAATAAAAACAAACTTGGTGCAAAAATAAAAATAAATTTGGTGCAAAAATAAAAAATTATTTAGTGCAAAAACAAAGATAAAATTTGGTGCAATTTTTTTTACCATTTCTCTGCTTAATTCATCTTTTTGGTGCATTTGGTGCATTCCATTTTTGCACCAAATAATTTTGTATTTTTGCACCAAATTGATTTTTATTTTTGCACCAATAATTTCCGGAAAAAGTGTACACCAACGTCTGTGTGTTGGCTAATATAAAATATAGAAATACAACGCATATTAAATGGCCCGGTCCGAACAGTTCCGGATAATCTTCACAAATATATATCACACCCAAAGACTTTTGACCTGTTTATGGTAATTTTTTTGGCCAAATTTTGAGTTAAGGGTGCTTATTGGCTGTAATAAGGTTCAAGCTCAAAAATAAAAAAATACGTAGAAGTTTTGAGTTTCAGACAGTTACTCAAACGAAAATATCTATTTCAATTGGCTGATTACTTGTAAATAAATAAATAAAAATAAGAAAAGCAGAAGAAAAAAAGGGTCTTAGACTATTTTGGGTAGATTTTGCGCAAAAATATTTTATATGCTACTGAGCAAAAGAGAATAAACCCTTTTGCGACAGAAAAAAAATAAAAAAAGAAGTTTTGTGACAGAGAAAAAGAAAAAAATATATTTTGCGACAGAGCAAATGCAAAAAAAGAAAAATGAGAGATTTTATTGGCTTAGGATATTCAGAATTGACCAAAGACTTTCGTACTTGCGAAGGCCAGCAGCCAAGGTATTCATGGTGATAAGACTTTTCTTGGAATAAGCTTTCTAGTTTCTTATTTTATGGTTTTTTTCCCTCTCATCTGTTTGTAATATCAATTTCTTAGTACTTTGCACCGTATCAGACCAATACCTACAAAAATATTTGTAAAGACCGTGATTATTCCCACTCATTGTAAAATTTGTTGTATTGTAGAAAAAAATACTAAGTTAATAAAAACCAAGAAAAAAACTTTGTCCCCAAAAAAAATCCCAACCGACGTCACGCACTTGACATTTTAACTGAAGGATTAGTATATTTCTTTTATTTCTTTTTTCTTTCTTTTCATTTTTAGTTCAAGTAAGTACTAATAAATATAATATGTATCTACTTTTTTATTAGAAGCCCTTTTACTTTGAAACAAGGTATTGTTCTTAACAGAGTACATTTATAGGTTTATAAAGCCTTTACTAATACTTTTGTTTTCTAGATTACGGTCATTTTGAGTAGCTCCATTGTGTTCTTTAGCGAAGGTAAATATCTTTATCTTAATAGCTTGAGTTTGTTTTTCTATTATTAACTTTGTGCTTCTTTTTGCTTTAGGTAAGTCATAGTGGAATCTATTCTTTATTGCTTTCAAGAGGTAAGATTTCAATGTTTGAACATGTCCCATTTTATTATTAATATTAATTTTTGTCTTCATTTCTATAGTTTTTATATTCTCCATCTGTTACTGTTTCTTTACTGCCTCCGTTCCCATCGTAGTAAACAGTCGTTACTACTACAATTTTTGGGCTATTACATAGTTTTTTCTTATATTGTTTACATTATTATTTAGTATTGCAAGGGTATTTTTGCTCTAATTTTTAGTTCTGCACTTTTTTGCGCTTTTTTGTTTCTCAATTTATTTCTCAAATAAAAATTTCAAACCTTTTCAGACCAGATTTTACGTAATACAGATTTTACAAATGAGGAACATTTTTTGGCCATTTCACAAAATGGGGGGAGGGGGTTGGGGGGTCCTCACGACTGCTGTGTATTCTATATAAGGAAGGTTTGTTGGCCAACTTGACTACTGTTTATAGAATAGTGCGTTATTCCAAAAACAATCTTAAGGTTTACAAAAAAAATCTTTGGGTGTGATATATATATTAACCAATAGACTAAAAGTCCAGTGCACATAACTTTTAAAGATATAAAATAAAATAAAGCTATTCTATACAAGTAGTAGACAAATCTATAATCACAAGCTCAACAACACCAAAAAAAAAAAAAAAAGGTTTACATAGTCAGCCAATTATAGTGTAATATCTATTTATAGATCGGCTAAATATACGGTTTTCTTAGATACACGTATTCTATTGGATATAGAATGTACAGAAAAGGAAATTATCTTATCGGAGTCTACTTTACTGTACGAGTGTCTTTAGATTATATCTTTGGCTCTCTCTCTTTATAAATATTATTATATTATTAATTCAAGGGTGTTTCTTTAGTGACTTATTTTACTTGTTAAAAGTTCTGTCACTTTTTACAGCAAACAGTAAGAAAGAAAGAAAGAAAGAAAGAAAGAAAGAAAGAAAAAAAAAAGTGAAAATTTAAATTTTTGAAAAATAAAGAAATATAGTGTCAAGTTAATATGGTATTTGATGAGATGGAATACTAAGAGAGAAAGAGGGATTCCTATCTATTAGACGTACAAGAGATAACAGAACTGAGACACACATACACACGTATATTGTCTAAATAGATATATAGATAGAGAGAGTGATTTGAGTGAGGATGAGTTTGGAATTGAATGTTAAATCGATATTTTATACCACTGCGTTTCTATCTATATACTTTCTTTTAATCTAGGGTCCCCAGAACTTACCCCACCTCGTATGATAATCAAGAAACAAGAAGAAGAAAAGACTGTTTTTTTTTTTTTCTTTTTTTTCTTTATTATTATCAACTGTTGATGGTGATAGCTTCCTAGAGTGTAATAGAGGCGACTATAATGAATATAAATATGTATATATACAGTATATTTACAATATGTACTATTTTCATTTTATAATAGAAAATTAATAATGTTTTCAAATCGGATCCTAAAGATCAATATCCTTTGTCTTTTTGAGTGGGAGTGTGTTTTGGAAAGGCAGTCTGCTTGGAAAAAAAAAATCAAAAAGATAAAATCAACCGGCCTATATACAGCTTTTGTACACCCAAATATATATATATATACATATATATTTGTATTATAAATAAAGAAAAAGCCATTCTTCCCCCGCGTATGTGCAATCGATCAAATTTCCTAATATGTTTATATTATCATTATCCTCAAGAGTTGAACATTGCAACTGTCACTAATACACCGCCTTATATTCACATTGATTCTCTTTATTCATTTACCTTTTCCGTACGGACAGCTACTAGTTTTTGGCATAAATCGGCTATATGGACATGCAATTGATCTCAATGTGAAAGTGTACCCTTGAAATCACCAAATCCATGAAGAGATAATGATATTCTTTTTTTTTTTTTTTTTTTAAGATTCTTGGAAATCTTCTTTAAGGATTGTCTATCAATAATAAGTCTTTATTTGGTTCTTATCTTTTCTATTTCTTCCTTTCACACACATATAGATATTTTTGTATTTTTGTATGTGTGTGTGTGTATGTGCTTGTATACCTTTTTACTGTCTGGTTCTCGGACTATAAAATATATATATATATAAAAAAAAAAAAAGAAGAAAGCAAAACTACTGGTTCAATGACATTTAAATAAAAAAAGGACTTTTTTTTTTTGTTATTTTTTTTTTTTTTGGTTGGAAACTAGAAACAAGATCAACAATTTTTTTTTCGGATTTTCTTCTTTTTCTTTTTCTTTTTTCACTGTACAGTTTGAATTCCTTAATTTTATTATTTTAATAAGAACAAGAAAAAATATGGACAAGCAGACTTATTTGCCTTCTGTAGAGAATGACAAGATCAATACTACCGGACACCTGCAAGACAGTGGTCTTGGAACTGCTCCTGGACCCTTCTGGAAAACATATTTTCCGAGATACACAGTAAAGACGTCAGGTAAAATAAAATAAAGTTAAACAATTGTTGTTTATATTGTATGTATATTAAACCCCTTGATTTCTTCTATTATATCTATTTCTTGTATAGGCCCTGTATTTATTGAAGAACGTCCTACTGTATTTCATTGTCTATTGATGGGTGTTCAGCACGTCTTGGCAATGTTTGGTTCTACAGTTATTGGTAAATATTTTCTATTATTATTATTATTATTATTTTCATAGACTAAATCATAAATTCAATTCAATTTAATTTAATTTTTTTTTAGCACCAATGTTGATGGGCTTGGATACCAACAGTAAGTAACCATAGAAACCAAAAAATAAAATAAAATAGTAAAGGAATAGATTACTAACTCTTAATTACTTTCACTTATAGCTGCCCTATTCTTCTCCGGAATCGGAACCCTGATTTTCTTTTGCATCACAGGTGGAAGAGGCAAGTAATCTTTTCTCTTTAACTTATCAACTCAATATTTCATTTCATTTCATTGGATTTAATTCTTATACATCGCCCCCCCCCCCCCCCAAAAGGNNGGNTTTTTTTTTTTTGCTTTTTATCAACCAATTAGTTCCTTCTTACCTTGGTTCCTCTTTCGGTTTCATTGGCGTCGTTGCATCATCTACCGGATATACCTACACTCCAACTGCCGGCCCCAATCCCCACATCGATGTTGCTGCAGGTGGAATCCTAATTTGCGGTCTTGTTCTTGCTGCCATTGGTGTCATTGTTCTTATTGCAGGCCATCAATGGATTGAAGTCATCATGCCTCCTGGTATGTAAAGAAAAAAAATTAAAGTTATTCACACACTCACACACGATAATTTTTTTTCTTTTAAAAAAATAATAATGTTACAGTTGTCACCGGAACTGTCGTATTGACTATTGGTGTTCACTTGTCCACCTCTGCTTTCACAAGCGCAACCCAGACCTCTTTTGACGGCTGGATGGCCTTTACAACAATCATGATCATCTCATTGACAAGCGTTTACGCCCCTGGTGCATTCAGACGTCTCCCTATTTTGGTGGGCATGGTTATTGGCTACCTGATTCACTTTGCCTGCAGTCGCACCGGTGCCGCCCCCGAAATCGACTACACCCAAGTCTACAACGCAAAGTGGTTCGCAGCCCCTACATTCGTAAAGCCTGTATTCGAAGCCAAGGCCATCTCAACCATCGTACCTGTCTGTGTGGTCTTGCTGGCCGAAAACCTGGGCCACATCAAGGCTGTCGGTGCCATGGCCGAAACCTCGCTTGACAAATACTTTGGACGTGCTATTCTCGGTGACGCCATCTCGACCATCGTGTCTTCGGCCGGCGGTGGACCCGGTACCACAACCTATTCTGAGAACATTGGTGTCATGGCTGTCACAAAGGTCTTCTCGACTCTCATTTTCCTTATTGCTGCCCTCATTGCTGTCCTGTTGGGTTTCATTCAAAAGTTTGGTGCTGCAATCAACACGATCCCGAGCGGTGTGTTCGGCGGTCTGTCGATCATTCTGTTTGGCTTGATTACTGTGTCTGGAGCAAGAATTTGGGTCGAGAACGGCGTTGATTTCAAGGACTCGCGAAACATGCTTGTGGCCGGTATTCCGGTTGTCATCGGTGCCTCGATGCAGACGACTCTGAAGTGGGGTAACTTCCAGCTCGATGGCATTGGATTGCCCACCTTCTGCTGTATCCTTCTCTACCAGATCCTCCGTGGTACAGACAACCTCAAGGCTCTCTACCAAAAAGTCAAGGACCGCAAGAACCGTCGCAAACAGCAAGACAGTGTTTCTGAACTTGAAGAAAAGCAGATCGAGTAAAGAAAAAATATAATCCTAAAACAAACAGCACACATAAACACAAACATGCAAGCACTACACACACACATACACTCCAATTACAAACACGCACACATACGCGCGCGCGTACACACCAAAAGAAGAACCAGAAGAGGACAAATATAGAGGATAGTAAAGCACAAAAAATTACCCTACCTTTTCTTATATTATTATTAATATTAATATTTATTCATTCAATTGACGATTTGTATCTACATTTTTGTGTGCTATGTTTATGTTTATGTAATTTGTATGTATATGTAGGTTTTGCTGCAAAAAAGTAAAATTGACTTTACCCCCCCTCCCCTTCAAACAACATTTGCATTTTATCATTTTCTTTATTTCATTTGGTCAATAAAAATAAAAAATATTATTATTATTATTATTATTATATTTTACTACAAAATGTCCACTAATGTATCCAATTATGTTTGGCTTTGTAAATTTGTAAATGATTTGTACAAATCAAGGTTTTTTTTTGTTTTATATTAATATTTTGACATGGAATAAAAATAGACTGACAGAGTTGGATAAACTAATCAGTACAGAGGGCATTTCTCTCTATAGTTTATGATTCATTATTCCAAAAAATAGTAATAGACTATAAATACAACAAAGAAGGATAAAGGGAGTGTCAAGCTAGTGATCTTGTTATTTTTATGAGGAGATATCCACAGCCTAATATGTCTATTTTGAAGTTATTGCTACAGACTAAAAAAGGGAGAGTGGATTGGAGAAAATTCAAAAAAAGTCCGTGCTTGACCCTTGATTTATTTATTTTTATTTACTAACTTTCTTTAATGATGCCCAGACTCTTTTACAGGACCTTGACAACCAAATAACAACAGCAACAACAACAGCAAAAATATTGACAAAAAATAACACTACTTTGTCATTCCATCCCCCCCCCTCTTTCTTCTCCCATTTCCCCTTATTTCCTTGTTATTTATTTCTACATTCAATATATAATATACATATGATTTTATATTTTAGATTCTAGAGTCATGGACTTGAACTTGTAGAATTGATTATAATTATCTATAAAAAGAAGTAAAAATAAGCTATGGTATCCATAGTGAATTTGAATATTCATTTTATTATTTAATTATTTGTCATATGTTATTATTATTATTATTTCTTACTCTGTCATATTTACGCCTTAATTTTAATCATAAATATAGATATAAATATAAAAATGTAGTATAAAGAGGAGCATTAAAACAAGAAATAAATAACTAATATGTAAAAAGGGGAGAAATGGAAGGGGGATCATAGATGTTAACTGTAGTTGTGAGTCTATTTGTTTTTTTTTCTTTACTCTTAAAAATAATAATAATAATAATATTTATTGCGCAAAATAGTGTGCTTTGCAGATCTTATTTTCCTGAGAATAGATATAGATTTAAGTATCATGATAGAAAATTGGCCATTTCTTAACTACCATTAACAAAAACATAAATACAAGACAAAGGCAAGATATATGTAATATTTTTCTTTCTTTCAAAAGTCATCCGATAATTATAATGGTCAATAAAAGCGGGAGAATTGTGCAGAATATACTATACTATGCTATGATATAGTGTTAGTAATAATTTAATTACCAAAGTAGTATTGAGAATGTTAAAATGTCAACGTTTTATTTATTTATTTATTTATTTATTTATTTATATATGTTTGTTTTGAAATCATAAAAGAAATACATACAAGATCGTCCATTATAATATATCTATATATTTATATATTTATATTATCGAGAGAAAGAAAGAAAGAAAATGAAAAATGAAATAAAGAAATATCAGCTTGATCACCGGCCTGTAGAAAATAATAATAATAACAAAGAAAAGAAAAGAAACAAAGATATAGGAATAAAAACAAAAGGAAAAAGGAAAAACATATAGACAGTGTACAGCCAAAAATAACATGTGTTTTTTTTGAATTTTTTTTTAGTTGCTGTGTATATATATATACGGAGAGAGAGAGAGAGAGAGAGCGCGAGGAAGAGGACCATATAGTGTGTTGAAGCAGAGTGTCATTGAATTGAACCAAGTCGAATTGAATTGAATTGGAGCAGAGTTGAGTCAAAGTGAATTGAATCTAATCGCATTAAATTGAATTGAATTGAATCGAGTCGAGTCGAATTGAACTATAGAGAAATTTGTTGAAGGATTGGCATGATATCGAAATCAATTTGTTTTTGGTTTGTGCTTTACTTGAGCAGTGGACAGCTTCGTCTTTTGTGACCATATTTGCCACACCAGACACTACACAGTAAAACAAAACAAAAAGAAGAGAAGGATCGTTAATTCATTTGCCTTGTTCTTTATATATATATACACATTATAGAAATGCCATGAAGTATACGATGATTTACAAATGTATCTTGCATGCTTCTAATAGTATCAAGTATTTACCACTGGCCACCATCCAAGTTCAATGGCTTGATTTCCAAAGACACGGTTGTATCTGGTTTCTGAGGAGGAATGAGAGTAAGAGGTGGTAACATTTACAAAACCGAAAAAATTAAATTAGATTAAGTATCCAAAATACGCGTCAATTTTTTTTTTCTTTCTCTTTCTCTTTTGGTTTGGGTTGGGTTGGGTTGGGTTCTTAAAATATATATATGCTTTACACAAATTTCAAAAGGGATAGTCTGAGCAAGAAAAATCTTAAGTCTATGTATCTATTATGGATTTATAATAGTCGAAAGGGATCAACAAAAAAAAGGGGAATTGAAGAGACAGAAAAGAATATAGAGTAAGGAAGAAATAAAGAAAGAAAGAGAAAGAGAGAAAGAGAAAGAAGGGGCATGTCTTTATTTCTTCTTTGTCATGGTAAGATAATGTACTTCCTTGAACCAAATATGTTGAAATATAATGTATACATAGATACATACAAAGAGAGTAACAAGAAACCATGGGAATCAATCATCCTTTCGTATCATTTTGTTGTATCATAGTAACAAATTTTATATATCTATATCTATATTTATATTTATACACACATGTATATACATATTCCCAAATACATTTTATACTTCTTTGTACAAATATACAGTACAGTACAGTACAGTACAGTACCACGTAACATAATATACTATACAAAAAATACATAAATAAAATAGACACGCTCCTTCTTGCACTGATATTACAAGTACCATGACATTAGGTCTTTAAACCTTCAGTATAATCAAATACTAAAAAAAAATAAAAAAAATAAAGGAAAGTGTCATTTAAGCACCTCATCCTTCACCCCCAAACCCCTTTATATTTAACATTTACCTTTATACTATCCCTCTCTTTTCTCCCTTTCCCTCCCCCTTGAAAGGTCTGGCCCTTCTTAACAAATGGCGCAAGTGAATAGATACGTATAATTATGTATTATAATTATGATTGTAATTATAAAATTAAAATGCCAAAAAAAAAGTGGGGTTAGAGTTGAAGTTTTCTTATTTTCTTATTTTCTTTCTTCTTTTTGACATGTTCACGTAGCAACAAAATAAAAAGGTAAAAAAAAACAAAAAAACTTTATTTCAAATCAGTATAATAGAATTGAATGTTTATATATAAATTGTATACTATATATATACACATATATAAATAAAATAAAATAAAATAAAATAGAATAGAATAGAATAAAAAAATAAATAAAATTGATATATATTTATATATGTATATGTATATGTATATGTATATGTATATGTATATATAAATGAGTGAGCGAGAGTATGAGTGTGAGTGTGAGTGAAAGTCAAAGTCAAAGTGTGTGAGAGTGTGAGAAATAGAATGAGAAATAGAGTGAGCAAGTGAAGCAAGGTAAAGTGAATGAATGCAGAAATGATATACATGTATATATTATATTATATTATATTATACATTATATATTATATATTATAAATTTATATATTATAAATTTATAAATTTATTAAATTTATCAAGTGTACCCAGAAGATGCTTCATAAGGTCTGTGGTGCATACTAGGTGAAACTAGATCATGTCGACGATGTTTTGGGTAAGGAATTGGAATAACTGGCTCCTCATCTCGAGAGCGTTTATGGTGATGATGTGCTTGCGAATGGGTATTTGTACGTTGAGGGGGTGGAAACGCAAGCGCTTTTCCTGCCAGAAAAGAGGTCAGAAAATGAAGCTGATGGATCTGGGCATTTTCATCCTCTGCATGGTCTGTGCTCGAAACACGAAATTGCACGAGCCTCTCAAAGGGGGGGTCGTCCAGTTCCAGGGATGACAGCAGTGGAGTGAGATTGCGCCATGATTGCTGGCCAAGGTATCCCGTAGCCGCCAGTGCCGAACAATACTCCTCACTGTCGGCCGCATACTGCCTGAATGTGATCGGGATCCGATTGTCCTGCTGAAGCATTGCCAGATTTCCCGCAAAGATGGACAAATGGTAGATGAGGTCCGAAAGGCAAACCCCTGAAGTTACGAGGTCAATGTAGGCTATCGAGTGTGCAAACTGATCAAAGATCCGAAGATAACCCGACCAGGACAGCGGAAGACGCACCAGACGCAGGGCTTGGATGCCATAGAAACGTGTGATCCGGGGCACAAGACGGGCAACAAAGCGGTCGGTGATGGAGGGGTCGCCTTCCGGGAAGAGATGATCGGTTGTCCACACACTGGTGTTGTTGTACACCAGGTTCTGGAGTCGCTTATTTACACGGCTCAGTTGAATAACGTCGTGAAGGCATAGGTGAGAGGCTGTGAGAACAAGTTGTTTGTCGTTAAGGTCCAAGAAGAACATTCTTATTTTTTAATCTTATTATTTGCTTGCTGTTGTTATGGATTTTATGGCTGTTGTGTTTGTTGTGGCCGTCTTATGAATGCTAGTAGTAGCAGCAAATAGTAGTAGTAGTAGTATTATTATTATTTTTTGGCTGTTTTTCTTTGGCCTATTTTATTTTTGGGTCGAGTGAAAGAGAAAAGGAAAAAACAAAAAGGCAAAAAATAAAAGAGTTTTAAGCTGTGTAATAAGGTGGCACATTCAGCCCAAGAACGGACACAACGGCACACCATTTCACACCCATTGAACCCAGGTCATTCCACCCTCTCTTTCTCTCTTTCTCTCTCCTTTCTCCATACTACCAACTGCTATTCTAACGATTTAAATATTTGGATATTAAAACTCATATTGTTCCATCCCAAAAGCACTGGCCAAACAGCTTATATATTTATTATAATAGTTATTTTAAGTACTTGCAATGCTTATTTGCTTAATGATTTATATATATATATAAATAAGCTTAAATCTATATACCAACCAACTAAGCATCTATCTATCTAATCGGTCCTTCTTGTGTTTCAAATGTTTCAAACATGCTATTGAAATAAATAAAAAAACACGAAGCGAAACAAAAGAAGAGGAAGAAAAAAAAAGGTAGTTCATCACACATCTTGTACTCTCCGGAGAGCACGATGCTAACACAAGAGCGCGCGCACACGCACACATACACACTATATATACATATACACACAGACAGGCACATATATACACACACATATACACACACGTATGTATATATGTATGTACTATTTTCTCTTTATCATGTATACTCTTAATAACAACTCTATCCGGATCTCATTTCATCCTTTTTCTATTAGCTTATTCCAAAACTTCTAAAAAAGAATACCACAATTTAAACGTAAAACAAGACCTAAAAAAAGAAAATCGGAAAAGTGAAGTTTGTATTATATTATTTGATACTTTTACATGCTCATTTATAAATCAATAAATAAAAGTGCACAAGAAATTAAGACAGATAAAGAGAGAGAGAAAAAGAGAGATACCCAACTTTGCCTTTTACAACTGAAAAAGCGATGTGGAGAGGAAGGGGATCAAAATTCCAATTATTTTTTTATTCTTTTTTTTTTTGAGTGCCAATCATCTAGTAAAAGACACACGGCACGTGATCCATTCACAACTCCATAATTACAAACACACTACAGCCACATACAGACATACACACACACAATGTACGAACACACACATAATTGATCCTCCTTTACTAATCACCACAATCGTTTTTTACACACACACTCTCTTTTGAAGAACAGGAAGCATGGCTAGAGTGTGGTCATTATTATTCATTTGGATAGCAATATTAAGTTGCTATTCATCAACCGCAAATGCAGATCAGCAAAGCGAAGTCGAAGGTTTCTTTAGTCAGGGAGGACACACCAACAATTGGGCTGTACTTGTATGCACTTCTCGATTCTGGTTCAATTACAGACATGTAGCCAATACGCTTTCCATGTATCGCACAGTCAAAAGACTTGGCATCCCAGACTCCAACATCATCCTCATGCTTGCTGACGATGTTTCTTGCAATGCTCGCAATAAGTACCCCGCCACTGTGTACAACAATGCTGCTCGATTTTTAGATCTCTATGGAGATAATGTTGAGGTTGATTACAGAGGCTATGAGGTTACAGTAGAAAACTTTATTCGAATGTTGACAGGTAAGCTCTGATTCTGTCTCTTTATTTCTCTTTTTTTGTCTGTCCGTCTGTCTCTCTCTCTATATATTTTGCTATAATTCTTTATTTTATTTATTTTCATACAAAGTGTCCATGTATTATCCTACAAAATAAAATATAATATAATATAATAAAAACATGTATAGAGTAATATTTATTACAAACATTAAACAATATACACAATATCGTACTGTTATATTCTGTACTATATTATATTGTATTATATTTCATTGAATTTTATTGAGTTATATTGAGCTATATTGTATTTATTATCATTATCATCATACTGATATATTTGTATGTACACGAACACAAACACAAACATGCACGCACGCACGCACACGCACACACACGCACACACACGCACGAACGAATTTGTACATATAAAACCAATAAAACCAATAAATATATATATATAAAAATAAAGGGCGCGTGTCACCCGATACTCCTCGATCAAAACGGCTTCTCTCGGATGACCGGTCAAACATCCTTGTTTACATGACAGGCCACGGCGGTGATGAATTTCTGAAGTTCCAAGATGCAGAGGAAATCAGTGCGTATGATCTCGCTGACGCATTTAAGCAAATGTCAGAGAAAAAGAGGTATGTAGTACTACAAACACTAACACACACACACACATATATATACATATGCGTGTGTATGTATGTGTGTGAATGTATATGAGGGTGAGAGAGAGAGAGAGAAAAGTCTGTGCGCTACCTGTATACCAACATCATTAAATAGATACAACGAAATATTCTTTATGATTGATACATGCCAAGCCAATACAATGTACAGTAAATTCGATTCACCAAACATTCTTGCTACTGGAAGTAGTGAACTAGGTGAAAGCTCCTTTTCTGTGAGTCAATATATGTTTACAGGGCGTTTTTTTTAGTTGCTGTTGTTCGAGATTAAACTCTTACTGCTACTTAATTTACTTTACTCTACTTACTTACTAATACTATTATTATTATTATTGTAATAAAGCATCACACAGACTACGAAATTGGTGTGGCGGTGATTGACAGTTACACCTACTACAACCTTGAGTTTTTGGAGAATATTGACATGACTAGCAACAAGACGCTCCAAGATCTGGTAACCAAAACAAACCAAACCAAAAAAAAAAGTTTGATTTGTTAATTATTATTGGTTATTTGAAAACTCTAACAAGTTAACCATTTTTCTTCTACTACAAAGTTTGGTACCTATGATCCTGTTCAGATAAGCTCACACCCAGGAATTCGCTCAGATCTATTCCACAGGCCCTTAGATAAAGTAAAGTAGAGAAGAATGCATATATATTCATTCTTTGTTGTTTTGTACAAAGGGGTTAATGTTCTCGGGCACTAAACATGGACTTACACACAACATTTGATCTCCTTTGAAAGGTCAAGGTCACCGATTTCTTTGGAAATGTCCAAAATGTAGAATTAACAAGATACAGATATCCACTTGTAGAACATGATTCTTGGACAGAAGAGGTAAAAACAACAACAACAACAACAACAACAACAACTATATATTTTTAGCTTATAAAATACCCTCTTTTCCCCCCTTGTTCTTCTTCTCTTTAAAGTAAAAAAGAAACTTATAATATATTATATATATAATACTAATACTAATAGTAACTATAATAATGCGTGTTTGTGTGTAGGTACCACAAGAACCCGTCAATGGATCGGATGTGCCCCGTCCTTCTTTGAAAGAGAACCATCCTCAGATCTACCACTCATTTGATGTCAAACGATCCAATAACTCCCAAAATCTATTGACCTGGCTTAAATCTCTATCTCTTCCAACTCTATTTGGTGCTATGGCTACAACTGTCATTGGTTACAGTATTACTAAAGCAATGCAAGCGACACAATAACAATATCGATATCAATAACAGCTATATTTATTATTTATTTGGTTTATGTATTGATATAAGATAGAGTAAAATAAAGTAAAGTAGAGTAAAATACAAAAAAATAATAATAGTTTCACTTTATCACATGGCAACACAAAAAAATATTCTTGGATTGCGCCATGGCAACAAGAATATTATAAAGGGGATGGAAGAAGTTTATTTATTTATTATATTTCGTAGACCGGTATATATATATTTCAAGGTAGATAGATAGTCAAGCGCATATATGTATATCTTTTAATTGAAAGACCCCATATATACTAACAAAACACATTTCTCTTTGGTATCAATGAATATTCCCCCAAATAGCTGGTAATACAAAGAAGTAGAAACAAGAAAAAAAGGGAGATAAAGAGCCTTTTTTTTTTTTTTAAAAAAAAAAAACTTTTGTTTATTAAAGATATTTTGGCTGTATAAAAACCAATAGATATCTCTGATATCACTGTAGGAAATGACAGGATTTATAACTCCAGACTCATATATTTTCTACGATCCTGGAATTATAAATTCTGCCACTTCCTACAGTGTATATGTAAAAGAGAGAAAAATTGGTGCTTAATTAAAACGCAACTACAAGACACTTTAAACCCCAGAAAACTTGCAACATTCACTAAAATCGGCTTTTTTTTTCTATAGGGTACGCCTACACCAAATACTATCATACACGCATATATAGTTTTTATCTTGCTTTTCAATTCTATTATAATTAGCATCTTACCAAAATTTATACATTTTTCTGTATTGTTTATTGCATGAAATATATACATGTGTTGTGCGTGCAAGGACCACTTGTGACATTTTTAAACTAATGTTTCGGTACTCTAATGTTATGTCGGCTATATAATATACCAAAATGAATATTATCGCCGAATATAAAAATAATGTCTATGTACTATTTTTGCGTTTGTCATGACAAAACTTTAAATTGGGTGGGAAGGTTTTCTGTACACAATTCAACTTTTTTTTTTTCAATGGAGTAGGATGGTAGTCGCTAAAAAATGACTCTACAAATTCTATTGATATTTCCTAAAGTATAACAGAGACGCAAACTCTATAACATTTTTAATATACGTAAAATAAGTAGTCAAATATATATATACAATAGTAAAAAATTAAAAGCATTTTACATGTGGTTTAAATAATCAAAAGGTGTTTAGAAGAAAATATTTGTCATTGTTTCTCTTCTTCGGCTAGATTTTTGGTATTGTTACTAGTATCTTCTATTACAAATGAATTTGTCATCTTTGTGTTAAAGTGATTTATAATTTTTTACTTGTAAAGTATTTTAAAAGACCCAATCACCTGTTAATATATGCTTCTAAGTTATACAAAAAAGAATTGAATAAATGCTCTAGTTGTTAAAAATAACAGCAACAAAAGAAGAGAGAGGGAGAGAGATAAAGAGAAGGCGGCTGTACATTCTTATAGCTGTTTCGGGATGGATATAAAGTTATCTGCTGTTAACAGCCAACGATCCTAGTAAAACACATATATAATAAGCAGCTACCACTTTTTCTGGATCGATTCTAAAATATACAAAAATATTTGTAATTTGTCATTAAAGAGGTTTTTGTGTTAAAATATCACAAAAACTATGACTGACTTTATAATATCGATGTTTTAATAAGCCATTAAAATATAGTTTCGAGTGGCGATTCAAAGCTTTTGCTGGTGATCCACACTGCGTATTCATTTTCTTGGCTTGTAAATCTTATGAAAAATCGGTACACACACATATATATATGTAAAGATTCACATGCTGTATCATCCTAGACCAGCAAAATTATAAATCCACTGATATTTCTCTATTATGAGTTTGGTTTATCTATTTAAAGCATCATTATCTATCTGTATCAATGTATTTTAACTTGGTAATAGGCTTTAATAATTGATTCTAGATTAAATTGACAAGGAGGATTTCTTAAGCTTCAAAGATATATGTTTATTGGGATCAGTAATATCATTATTTTTCTCTTTCTTGTTCTCTTTACTTTTTACCAGCTATAATGTAAAGATTATACGAGTTCATTATGTTTTCTTTTGGGAGTATTTCATTTATTTATCTGTGACATTCCATTCTGTCTCTATCTTCGTCTTCTTCTTTTGTACTTGTTACCATTATTTAACACAATCTTATTTATCTATTTATTTGCGGAATATCCAAAAACTATCTAAAACCGTCAAACTAGAAACACAGGCATTATAAAAAAGAAAATATATGTTATCAATCAAGTTCCCAAAGCATATAGATAGTGTAGAAAAGTATCCAACTTCAAAACCAATAATAGCCGTCTTTTTATCAAGCCCATATCTTTTTTTCTACAGCCTACAGAGATAATTATATTGCATTATATTACTTTTATTCAATTGTTGGCAATGTTAAATAAAATTAAATAGAAAGTATAGCATGCCCAGTATAAGACAACAGTAGATGTAGCTGTACCAATGGTGCCGAACAGACAATAGTAGATTTCTCTATTAACGTATATTAATATTTTGGAGTTATTATTATTATTATTCGAAATAATTTATATACATATATATGGTGTTCTGTACGAGATAAACCAATTTAAACAGTTATCGTTTTCTTTTGTGGTCGGAAAACCTTGATAGAGAATTCAAGGCTTTCACAGGCAAAATAAAATAAAAAGATATAGACTCGCAGTGAACACATACAATATGGTTAGTGCTTCACCTCACGACCATTATTGGTTGATCGCCCGAGACATTATTTTAAGTAATAATAATAAAAATTCAGGGCACATTTGTGTTTTTCATGTGTAAGCTTGAGAGCATGTGTATGTATATTGAGTATGTGTACCTCAGACCTCAAACCTCTTTGAATATTATTATATTTTTGTATGAGTCTAATATGTAATTGAATTTGACTGAACATGCCGTGACCTTTGAACAATGAAAATTAAATTAAATTAAAATAAAATAGAATGGAATAAAAAGAATATGCCAGAAAATGGGTCATTTTTATTAATGAACTAGACAGATTCATTTCCAGAGCACCGACAGAAAGGAAGAGAAAAAAAAATAACCCGCTTGGCGATGACGTACCAATACTCGGTAATCGATCTTCTAGGGTTGGTTGGTCTCACCAAGAATGATGGATTTTTCAACTAAAGTGATGTTATTTAGTTACACCTTGGAGTTTCTATTTCAAGTAAAAATAAAATAAAATAAAACTCTGAACAAAGAGCTGGACTGTAGCAGAGCTTAATGAATGAATAGTCTTGTAGTGATGTATGCAAACAAGTAAAATATGCTTTACATTCACGAAGGGGTTTGTTCACTGTGACCGGAATAACTAAATTTTGCTGTACGTTAACCGTTGAGCAAATTCTTATTTTTACTCTTTAAAGTTCGTTATTTCGCTGTCTGTGCGAGTCTATTATTTTTCTTCTTATTCTTATTCCTGTTGTTGTAGTTACTGTTGTTACTATTGTTGTTCGTTTGTTTCATAAGGTGGGAGTAAGTGGGTCTCTTGCTATACGCACGAGAGACTTAAAGTAAAGTAAACCCCCTTTTTTTATTATTTATTTATTTATCCATTTGTTGGGACTCTTATAGGACAAAGGACAAATTGGAAATTCTCTTTTTTTAATATATATATATATACAAACAAGCAGTGCATGTTGTTCTTTACTTTACTTAAATAAACAGACAAATACAAAGAACCTGTTTATTAAGATGCCAGAAGTCAATAATCATGTACTCCCGTATATCATGCCTTTCTTACAGATATTTATATATATTCTTTTGTAAATAATAATGATATAATATAATATAATATAATATAATATAATATAATATAAAATATAATGGAAACCCTGCCTAGTTGATTTAAACAACCGAAAATAAAATAAAATATTGGTTTAAAGCTACTGGCAGTAATATAAAAATAAATGGCGACTAAGTAACCAGGCAACCATCTTTTTATTAAAAAAAAATAGACCAACCAGAAGATATATTAAATAATACCATTTTTAAACAAGAAAAGAATTTTAAACGCGTAGTTGTTTATTTTGTTGCTATGGAATTACAGACCAAACTCTATAAATTATAATATATATTTTATATTATAATATAAAAGGTGCTGAGAGAGATAGAGCAAAAAGAGAGAAAAAGAGAGAGAAAATATAAAGGCACGTCGAAGAGAGCGGAGACTCTACCCGAACTTTCCAAAATTTTCTTCCTCTTTCCAAACGGGTCACATTATTGGCCAATGGAGGTCGACAGGTTTGCTATCGAAGGTGCTGGTTCTTTTTGATTTGAGAGGCCGACCGAAAGAACTTGGGTATTTAAAAAGTAAAAGATGAAGATGCCAAACGTGTTTTTTCTTCTTGAATTCTATATTATTTCATTATGTCTGAAGGAAAAGCTGGTAAGTAGAGCGTAAACCAGGCACACAACAGAAAAAGGCCTATTTAGAGCCAAGACAACAAAATAAAGAAATCTATACGTATATTGCATAAAACTAATTCATGATTCGTTGTGTTTCTTATAGTTGGTATCGATTTGGGAACTACGTAAGTCATCTATAAAGCCTACAAGCAAACAAACAAACAAGAAATAATCCTTTCGGAAAGATGAGCACATTTATTAATTTATACATCTATCTAGCTACTCTTGCGTTGCTGTCTGGCAAAACGATCGTGTCGAGATCATCGCCAACGATCAGGGTAACCGCACTACCCCCTCTTATGTCGCCTTCACCGACAGCGAGCGTCTCATCGGTGATGCCGCCAAGAACCAGGTCGCCATGAACCCCTACAACACCGTCTTCGATGCCAAGCGTCTTATCGGTCGTCGTTTCGCTGACTCTGAGGTCCAGTCTGACATGAAGCACTGGCCCTTCAAGATCCTCGACAAGGAGGGCAAGCCCATCATCCAGGTCGAGTACAAGGGTGAGGCCAAGACCTTCACCCCTGAGGAGATCTCTTCCATGATCCTCATCAAGATGAAGGAGACTGCTGAGGCTTACCTCGGTACCACCGTCAAGAACGCTGTCATCACCGTTCCTGCCTACTTCAACGACAGTAAGTACAATATAATACAATACAATACGATACAAATAAAAAAATTATCTTGTATTTTAATATTAACAACAAATTTTTTTATTATTATTATTTTAGGCCAGCGTCAGGCTACCAAGGATGCCGGTTTGATTTCCGGTTTGAACGTCCAGCGTATCATCAACGAGCCCACTGCCGCTGCTATTGCTTACGGTTTGGATAAGAAGGTTGAGGGTGAGCGCAACGTCCTCATCTTCGATTTGGGAGGAGGAACCTTCGATGTGTCTCTTTTGACCATTGAGGATGGTATCTTTGAGGTCAAGGCCACTGCTGGTGACACCCACTTGGGTGGTGAGGATTTCGATAACCGTCTCGTCAACCACTTCATGCAGGAGTTCAAGCGCAAGTTCAAGAAGGACATCTCTGGCAACGCTCGTGCTGTCCGTCGTCTCCGTACCGCATGCGAGAGAGCAAAGCGCACTCTTTCTTCCTCTGCCCAGACCTCCATCGAGATCGACTCTCTCTTCGAGGGTGTTGATTTCTACACCTCCCTCACCCGTGCCCGTTTCGAGGAGCTCAACCAGGATCTCTTCCGCAACACCATGGAGCCCGTTGAGAAGGTCCTCCGCGACTCCAAGATCGACAAGGGTTCCGTCCACGACATCGTCCTCGTCGGTGGTTCCACCCGTATCCCCAAGGTCCAGAAGATGGTCTCTGACTTCTTCAACGGTAAGGAGCCCAACAGATCCATCAACCCCGATGAGGCTGTTGCCTACGGTGCCGCCGTCCAGGCCGCCATTCTCTCCGGTGACACCTCCGAGAAGACCCAGGATCTCCTCCTTCTCGATGTTGCTCCCCTCTCCCTCGGTATTGAGACCGCTGGTGGTGTCATGACTGCCCTCATCAAGCGTAACACTACCGTCCCCACCAAGAAGTCCGAGATCTTCTCCACCTACGCTGACAACCAGCCCGGTGTCCTCATCCAGGTCTTCGAGGGTGAGCGTGCTCGCACCAAGGACAACAACTTGCTCGGCAAGTTCGAGTTGACCGGTATCCCCCCCGCTCCCCGTGGTGTTCCCCAGGTCGAGGTCACCTTCGATGTTGATGCCAACGGTATCCTCAACGTCTCTGCTCTTGACAAGACCACCGGCAAGTCCAACAAGATTACCATCACCAACGACAAGGGTCGTCTCTCCAAGGAGGACATCGAGAAGATGGTCAACGATGCCGAGAAGTACAAGGCCGAGGATGAGGCTGCTACTGCCCGTATCTCCGCCAGAAACGGTCTTGAGTCCTACGCCTACAACCTCCGTAACACCCTCTCTGAGGAGAAGGTTGCCGCCAAGCTCGAGGCTGCTGACAAGGAGAAGCTCACCGCTGCCGTTGATGCCGCCATCAAGTGGCTCGATGAGTCCCAGGAGGCTTCCAAGGAGGAATACGAGAGCCACCTCAAGTCTCTTGAGGAGGTTTCCAACCCCATCATGACCAAGCTCTACGCCGATGCTCAGGGTGGTGCTCCCGGAGGTATGCCCGGTATGCCCGGAGGTGCTCCTGGTGGTTTCCCCGGAGGTGCCCCTGGTGGTTTCCCCGGTGCCGGTGGTGATGCTGGACCTACCGTTGAGGAGGTCGATTAAATCATTCGCTCCGAACGATAAGAAAGAAGACGAAGACGAAGAAATAATAAGTGAATCAGGCCTTTGACTTGTTCCTTTATTCTTTCTATCCTTTTCTTTTTCTTTTCTTATTTTTATTTTTTTTTGCTCTCTTTTTAAAGTTTATTTACTTAGACCTAGACCTAGACCAAAAAACCAAACCCAAAATCCATTCTCACAAAAACTCTACACAACCACCACAAACCCACAAACATTTGCGTTTTCTTTATATAATTTTTAACGCCCTTAAAATTCATCTGATGTAATTTGTATACATAATAAAAATCAAAAACCCTGAAAATAGATTTATATGTAAAAAATAAATAAATAAATATTATAATAATAAAAAAATGAACTTATTCATAAATTTATAATAATAATAGTAGTAGTAACGCAAATACTCTGAATTTTGTTTATTTGTCGAAATGTATGTGTATGGCCCTTTTTGAACCAAGCTTAGTGTAATGAAGTGTAGAGAAGGTTCTATTAGAATTAACAAGAATAGCTTGTTTCAATTGATGTTTCAATAGATATTACAAAATCAACTAAAAAAAAAAGACTTTTGAGTGGAACCATTTTAAACCATCTAATTTTTTTAGCCATGTTCAAAATTATCTGTAATTTAACATTTTTATTTTTACTTTTACTGTTCCTTTTGTGTATTTTATACAGCCTGTATTTGTAAGAATGCATTGGTTTTCTCTCGCTCTATTAATCAACTAATAAGCAAATTAATGAGTGAGTGGGTATTATATGTGTCGTGGTCTTTCTCAAATGAACAAACCCAAGACTTTGTATTCTTCACAGATTTGCAGAATACCCACAGATTATGTATAATTCACACTTGCTAAATCTTCAATATAATGTATGATATTCTTCTTTGCCTGGTTTAAAGATAGCACGGAATGGAACAGAGTAGAAAAGACACAAAAATAGATGTTTGTAATCTCAACTAGAATCCAAATAACAAATAAAAAATAGCAGCATGATTTATAAATATAGAGAAAGAAAGAAACAAGATATACACAAAATACTAGTACTAGTATCAGTAATAGTAGTTATTAGTAATAATGGTAATAAATACAATAAGTATAATAGTAGCAATGATAATGACAACGACAACGACAATGGCAATAAAGATAATAATATTCATATAAATCATAACTCATGAATTATGTCGTTCGTTAGTTAGTCATGAACAACCCAACCAAGAGAAGTACAGCCTTGTTGGTCTTGTATTTATTCCATTCCTCTAAATTTTGGCATATCCTCAAATAAACCATGACTATCCTAATAATGTTTTTTTTTCTTTTTTTTCGATATCTTATAAATACAGACCATTTTATCCGCTCATAGTACCAAAGACAGCATCTTTCAAGAAAATACATCCTTATCCTTGAAACGAGCAAACAGAAAATATGCGCTCCATCATCGCAATTTCCCTCACTCTCCTTGCTCTCGCTTCCTCGATCCACGCATCACCTAATGTAGCTGTTAACATTGGCTCAGGACACAACAGCGACAGTGACAGCGCCGTACTTGTAAAAGAAAAGGTCCGCAATGATGTCTGGAACGAGGCTCCTCGTATCAACAATGATTGGTCAGACAACAGACACCAGCGCAATGGTGAGTACAACCAAGGTGGACGTGACTACGACCGTGGATGGGGTAATGACTACGGTTACGGAGGTGGATCCCGCGGTCACGGAAGATATAAGCGTGAGGCTGATAAGCCCAAGAAAGTCTGGGATGGTGTCGTTCACGAAAATTACGAGGAATGGAAGAAGCAACAGCAGCAGCAAGAACAACAGGAGCAACAGGGACAGCAACAACAACAGAAGCGCGGCATTCACAAGCGTGGACAGAACAAGATGGCAGCCAAGGCTAGAAGGGCAGCCAAGAACTAAGTTTCTCAAATCGTTTAAATAGTTTTATATACACATACACACATATATATATCTATACCGATCTTAGAGATACTGTAGCCCTTCTTATTCCTCTTTATCGTTTCTTTTTTATTTTTTTCTTCTTTTTTCTTGATACCAAGGTATTATCGCTGATTTTTATATTTTTGTAAGAATCGATAATATTTAATACAAATGTTATTGATTTTTGTCTCTTAAACCTTTTCATATTTGTTAATTATTGACAGCTATATATTCATCAATAATGATAACGGTAATAATAAATTGTGTTGAAATAACCAAAGAAACAAAATTATACTAAATTTAAGCAAATTCGCTAACAATCCAATACCAGTGTGTATGTGTGTATTGGTTGATATAGAACGTTTTGTCTATAAATCCCCTTTTATTCTTCTTCTTTTCTTTAATCGGGTTCGAACATATTCCTTAACATGTACTTACCTATACACACACATACGCACACATATTTGCCCAGGGATAATATATATATATATATAGAAAATGACAAAGTATCAAAAACCTTTACTTCTTATGGTGTAATGATCAAGGGCTGTATATTCGCTCTATAGGCAAATGTACCTCCTCTAATCACATAGTCACATATACACAAGCATATGCTTTGTCCTTGAAATTAAGCCATATAATCACATTAATTAAACACACCCGTAAATATCATGTATAGTTGAATTAATTCTTTATATACACATAAAAGACTTGTATTACACTACTTCTAAAAGTCAAATGTCGCCAAAAAGAAATATATGAAACCAATTGAATACACTGGTATCGACAAAGGGTTAAAGAAAATGACTTGCTGGATCTATTTTGTGCTTCGCGTCTAGGTTTTTACTAGTGCAAAACTATTGAGTCATTGAACTTCGTATCCACCCCCTTTATTGATTTATTGATTTATGACCTCCTTGATTTATTTCGTGAGAAAATGAACCAAAACTTTCATAGAGAAAAAGAGAAAGCGAGAATTCGTGTCAACAACATTCCTAGTGCAAAATATTTTTGCTCTATTTCCTTTTCCTCTTCTTCTTGAGCTTCGGGACGAGGTCTAGCAAACAGTGTTGTAAGTCATTCCATCTAAAGTATAGTCTTCTTTTAAATGATCGTGTCTTGTATTTCTGAGACCCAGTTAAAAGAGAAAAATTGTAAATATAATACAAAAACGGGTAAATAGAAATTAGAATATCTAGCAAGTCTAACCACTGTAAAGTCCTTTGGGATTAACAAAATTCCAAGTCAACAAAGAAAAATTAGCTTCCATTGTACACATACACACACATAACTATACATATACATATACATATACATGTGTAAACGTGTACGTAAGTATGCAGCTCCTACGGACTGTGTACAGTAATAGAAAAGGTTTGAGGAGAACATGTACAATATCAACTATATCTTTTTTTGCTACAATTGCTTTTGCTATAAGATATTTGTTTGATCCGCCTTTCTCTTTGACATGTAAGATTAGTATCTATATTTATATATATCGACTCAGAGAGTATTGAACATATTAATACAAAATAGTATTATGCTTTTTTAATATTAAACGAAGAATGCTGTTGGTTTGAATCAATTAGATATAAAATTGTAAATAGCCTACAAAGATGGAACTACAGGAGTACGTAAATAAGCAAGGGAATCGAGGGAAAAGGGGATTAACAAACAAGAGCAGGAACTATTAAAGTAATTCCTGACAAACATGAAATATAATTTACATTATACCCGTATTGAATTAATGAATCTTATAGAGCTATAAAGGATATGTGATAATATCAATCCTTTGAATAGCTGAATCTCTGTTTAAACGACTCATTTTCTAGAGAATTCGCTCTATTTTAAAAAGAATAGTAATATTCTATTGAACACCTTTTTCACAAGTGACAATAGAGTATGCATACTGTCAATTACTTCCCCTTTATTATACTTCTCCCCCTTGCTTGATATCTGAACAAATTACTGGACACGACAGTCTTCTTTGTATCTTTTATATACTTTAGAATACTCTACAGACAAGACCTAAATGCATTCTGTCTTTATCTTGGCCCAATCTCCTTGATCCCGTGGAATTAACCTTTTTATTATGTCCCTTGTTTATTTTTAATCTTCTGTATTAACAAAACCGATCATTAGTCCGGTTACTACCCCCTCATATTTTTCTCTTCTTTTATTTTCTTTTCTCAAACACTATAAATACAGCCCACAATGATATGGTCGTATAATCATTCCACAATCACTTTAACTTTATCACCATGAGAACAATTCTTTTACTTTCAATCGCCTTACTTTCCCTCGCCTCGTCTGCCTTGGCATCTCCAAAAGCCGACCCAAATCCACAGCACGGCCGGGACTACTATGATCACGGAAGAGGTGGTTATTCACACGGTCCTCCTCCACGCAGACCCCCTCCTTACCGCGAGCCACCACACAGAGGTGGAGGAAGAGGAAGAGGATATGATGATCATTATTACGGAGGCAGAAACGAAGGCAGAAGAGGCAATTACCGTGGAGGCCACTACAGGCGCGAGAATTTACTAGACGAAGCCAAAAATAAGATTGAGATCGTCGCAGATAAATAACAATGATGTATATAAAATTTGCCAAAACATCCTAGCATAAATTTCTCAATTTTCTTTTTTGAATTTCTCTTCTTCATCCTCATCTTCCCTCTCTTATATTTGTTCCTTTTCAACATTAAATAAAGTCTTTTTTTTTTACTCAAGAATATTCGAATCAATTCTTGTAAAATCTGTTTATTTAGAAATTAAATGTGGTTGCAATAATAATTAAAGGTCTGTGGATAGACCAATGATATGATTTTTTGCTATAAAATTTTAATAAGAAACAATATTCTAGACTTTTTTTTCCTATTGTTATTATTGGTAATGAATAGCTTAACTGCTTATATTTACTTATATATTACAAATGAGCTGAAGTTAAGATTTGCTTAGGGGCTTAAAATAAATCTTGTTATATGTATGTATTATATTAACCCAATGATTCCTTGGCTGTTTTTAGACATAAAAGTCTGTGTGATCTGTGGTTTATACCTCATGTGTCTGAGCAGTCAATTTTTAAATAAAAGAAATTAATATAGTTTCCACTCCCAAGCTGTCTAATTTTTGAAAATTTTTGGACACTTGGGAAATAGAATACCCCAGGAAAATTATACTAGTTTGACCAGATATTTGAAGTTAATTTGTCCAGCTTTTTGAAAATAAAGTTGCCATTTATCTATTTTTTTTTGTACCAGCTCTGGTCAAGACAATTATTTTCCAGGTTCATCTACAATACCTTTTTTACCATCTTTATGTAATAGATCTATTCCTTAAAAGCAACAGTTATGATAATATAAAGCTTTAAAAGTTGATCAAAATACATTTTCAAACATAATTCAACTTGTACTTTTTCTTTTTTTCTTTGGTGAGCTCATAACAGAGAGTCTTCCATTGAAACCGACTACCTGGATTATCAGTATATTTATAAGGGGACCGTATTGGGAACGGATATACTGTATTTCCTTAATAAAAGTGTTAAGATGACACTTGGTAAATCTTTCTTTTTTTTTTTTTTTTTTACAATTGCTTTCATGGTCATTTTTCTAGTTCAGCTATCGACTATATGTTTGTCATCTTCTATTATTACCAACCGCAAATCCAACTTGAACTTGTGGCCAGCTTTTCTTTTACAGCTGTCACTTATGGTGTTATTTCTAAAAATAATTCAAAGATGTGGCTCTAGAATTTGTATTGGTAATCTGCTTCCGAATAAATTTTAATGGACTACTCTGAGACGGCCCACGGACGGTCAGCATGTCTATCAAGACTCGATAGTCCTAGGGAGATTAAATTTTCTGGTGGGGAATGTTACCTTGATTCTCCCGGACAACTTGTGTCAATTATGAAATGGCCTTTGCTTGGAACGATATGACATGACTCTATATCTTTGGAGGAAAGGGTAAGTAGCTTTGCTTTTAATTTTTTTTTCAATGACAAACCTTGGGCCACTTTCTGGTAGTATAAGTAAGTAAAAGAAAAAGAAAGCCATCATACGTGTAAAGGCCAATAATCAGTAAAAAAGAAATATCCAAAAAAGATTGCTTCACAAAGTGTATAATGACAGCAACTCCTTATAATCTTCTGCGTAGATGGCTATTGTTGATATAGTGTATTTTTGACTAATTATTATTTTTTATGACCAAGTAAGTCTAAATTTAGGGCTACTAATTGAATATATTGAATTATATTTTCATTTTCCTAGCCACGTTTATTGGTAGCACAACCCTGTCAGTCTATCTTTATATCGTAATTTATAGAGATGAAGCACCTTTTAAATAAAAATAGTATCCCCGAGGTTGATGCCCTAAATACTCGGTTTATTTTAAGCTACCAAAAATTTACTAATTCGTCCTAAAGACTGGTTGTCGAATGACATTTCAAATTGTAATGTGTGAGTTTGTTGTTTAATTTGATGAATGAAGCGAGTAATTGATGTGTTGATTGTGTGCTTGAGTGAGTAAGTGGCAAGAAACAAAAGAAGAAGAAAAAAAAACAGAAGAAGCAGCTTGAGTATGAATGGACAAGCAATAAAAATAAAGAAATAAAGAAAAAAAAAATGTTCTAGTTAATGATATGATGAGCATTGGCCCACGAAGCCCAGAATGCTTCACGGCAGTACAGAATTCCTAACAGAGGGGGCCCAAAAAGCATGCACAGCCAGAAGAAGAGGTTACCGATCACACGGTGAGACCGGATCAAAGGATGTCGACCAAGAACGATAAGTGGGAGCTGTAACATCTGGAGGACAAAAAGATACATGCGTACCCGACGCGTGCAAATGACCAAAACCAGCTCGTGGAGGATTGATGATAGTAAAAATGTAACGAATGTTGCGTTTTGCTTGGTGAGCTTGAGGGATTCGATCGATTGAGCATATACATGGCGCAGCAACCAGTGATGAACGGGTTTGTTCCATTTACGAGCAAATTCATCGTAAGTGATGCTATTCCACCAGTCATCGTAGAAGTTTCTATCAGCAAACCTGAAGATAAAAGAAAGATGAAGAACAGTAACAGCTATCAGTAATCCTGGTCTATCTGTGCCCGTGCCTGCCTGTAGAAGATCATAATTATTTATATTACCTGCTGAGCTCTGCAAATGCATTGAGGATACACTCAAAAATGATGTAAAAGATAAAGAGATAGTTGATCATAAATGGGCACATCAACTCGATGATAACTCTGGCTTCTGACATGTTTGGATCATAGAGCTTTGGAAGGATATATCGCTCTGTAGTAATGTATAGTAACAAAAAGGTTCCAAGTGTTGCGACAGTCTTTTCGAACACATACCAGGGACGAATTCTACAATAGAATTAGATAAGCAACCTATCTTGACCTTTTCATTTTCTTTTGGCACTAAGCTCCCCATATCTAATTAATGATTCTTTAATGTCTTTGTATTCTACCTTTCGGTACGAGGATACTCCATCCAATAAACCAGACTGGGTACGATCAAATAATCAAGATAATTAGCGAGAGTGACATTATTCGGGTAAGTGGTTTTGCCATGAGTCAATTCCTCCTCCAGAAACTCGACTTCTTCTTCCATGTGTTTTAAAGTTGCTTCATCTTCGGGAGTCGGGTTTTGATGGCTGGCAATCCATTCGGGCAATTGAGCCTTGAGTTGTTTAAGACGGCGGTACTTGACGGATAGGTCTCCGTTTAAAGAAGTGTAGGAATGCATTTTCATCATCATAACTACAGTATGCATTGTAAAGAAGCCTGATTGCACCCATGGCCAATCCCTTTTTTATATACATATAATTTATCCAATTAATTGACCTTTCTTCTTCTTTTATGTACTTGTATCAATCATCATGTTCCTACATTACCTCCAGAAGATCCAATTGATGTTGAGAAATAGAAAAAGGGCTTGGCAAGCATGTTGTATAATCCAGCCTGTACGCTCATACTCGATAACTCGCCATATAAGGAGTTTAGAGAACAATACACTAAAAAAGGTCATGCTGACCATGGTAAGATCAGATACCAATAAGGCCAAGCCATCCTTGGAAAGGAGTCGGAAGAAACCAAGACTGAGCGGGATGCCTTCTTGTTCATAGCAACGAATGACGGTCTGGATGACATAGATTCCCATTCCGATCCAAAAAAGAGTGTAGAACCCTCGGAATGTGTCATTAGAGGTTTCTGGATTAGACATGTCGAATGCTGACATGCGAGCTTTGAATAGCAATCGCCTTTGTTTGCTAAACGGCACATTGGTTGTTGTAGGCAGGGAGGAAGGCGGGGAAGATTCAGATTTGATGATGGTTGGCCGGGTTGGATTTGATTTATCTGGGGAAGCCAATACTTCGTCACCAAGCGACCTTTGTAAAGAGTCGTCTGTAGTCATGGATCTCTCCAATGCTACCTTTAATAAGGGGTAGCTCATCGATAAGGATAGTTGAAGAGTAAGAACAAGAAGAATGAATAAAAGCAAATAAAAAGAAAAGGCAGTTTATTTAAATACACATGTATAGACTACAAGCTAGTCAGACTGGCCACGTAATTAGAACTTAGCATATACATAGAAATCAACCCCAGATATCAAATTTTATATATGATATGAATATTTAATATACAAATAATAGGGGGGGTTTGTATGGTTTACAGAGATTTACAGTGGGACAAAAAGTAACAAAAAAGAAAAAGAATAGAAAGGCAAACTGCGGACCTTGACAAGGCTCAGTTTGTGGTTTTCTTTTTTTGGGGGAATTAATATCGGCATGACGCACTAAAGTATTTTTTTATTGTATTGTATTTTATTTATATAAAGAGAACAGAAAAGAAAAAAAAGGAAATTGTTTACAAGACTGTCCGAAAATAGTAGTTTTTTTTTACTTCTGTTCTTTAGATATATCTAATGTTTAAAGACGAGCGTGCTTGGGGAATTGTTTCATGGCCATCTTGATACCCAAATCAGCCATAATTTCCTCTGAACCACCGAGAATAGCCTAAGAAGCACCAAAGGTTATTATCAACTCAACATAAATTATAGGCCACCTATACTTACACCAAACTTGTAGGTTCTCTGGAAACTCTCGACCAATCTACCCATACCAGTCTTTGTAATACCACGACCACTAAATTTGTTTTGGTCAATAGAGTTAGTATCATAAGAAGCACAAGACACATCACTTATTTACCCAAAGATCTGACAGGCATCATCGGAAATATTGTGGGCTACACGAGTGCACTGGTACTTGAGAAGAGCAATAGGACCAGCAAGCTTAATGGCTTGTTCATCATAAGACATGCTGCACATCTGATAGGTAATGTTCTCAAGCCAGTTATCAACAGCTTCCAATTGGGAAATCTAATACACGCAAATATTTTGTTTAGTTTAGTTTCTGTTTTAAGACACAAACACACACAAAGAATTGATCAACATAATGTTATATGCTTACCATGCCAGCCAACTTGTTACGGATTACGGGTTGATCGATCAAACGCTTTCCAAAGACCTTACGCTGATTGGCCCACTTGAAGCATTCCTCGATAACAGCACGGCTTGCACCAGTCATGGCACCGCAGATGTACCATCTCTCGTGGTTGAAGTTGAACATGATAACCTGGAAACCCTGACCTTCTTTGCCAAGGATGTTCTCAACTGGAACCTTGACATTCTCATAGGTGATGTAGGCAGTACCAGCAGCAGGGGAAGTAGAGGTCTTGATAGCCTTGGTTTCAAGGTTTTCGTTACGCTCAATAAAAAGCATGGTAATACCCTTTTCAGTTACTACAGCTGTAGTAAAGTAGTCGCAAGCGGTACCATTTGTAATCCACTTCTTGACACCATTAACTATACAGTAGAATTATTAAATACTTAGAGCCAAATTTTATATGTATGTGTATGTGTATGTGTATGTGTAGAATATAATATAATCATTACCAATAAAATGCTTGCCGTCGGCTGTTCTTTTGGCGGTAGTACGAATACGGGCCACATCAGAGCCAGCGTAGGGCTCAGTAATAGCCAAACAGATACGCTTCTTGCCCAAAAGAACTTCTGGAACAACCTAACAAAATAATTATGTATGGATAATGTACAGTACATGTGAGTATATCTGATATTCAGTTTTATAAAATCAGGTTTGGTCATACCTTGGCCTTCAAAGCAGGAGAGCCAAAGTAAAGGACAGGGGGAAGACCGATACTGTAGCCAGAAGAGATACCATCGGAGTAACCAGGAGTACCCATGCGAGCGGTTTCCTGGTGAGCAATCAACTCGTGGAAGTAGTTGAATTCCTCGGGCTTGACTCCACCGGGCAGCTTGAGACCCTTCAACCAAGGACCGGGACCAATCTGAGAAGCCAGGATACCTTCCTGACCTAACAAGTTGTAAACCTCAGCAGAGGGAGCTTTACCCTGGTCTTCAAAAAGAATAGATTCGTCCTTGATACTTTCATATGTCTGGCGAATGGAAGTAAGGAAACGGGTATGGCTCTCACTAGAACAGTTTCAGAGTTAGTCAATCATAAACTTCTAGATAATGTGCACCTACTTGTAGTAAGGGCTCTTGAGACCCATCAAGTAGCTAGACTCTGCGTAAGGGACCTTGGAAATGTATGAAGCGTTGGCCTCAGCAATAGCAGACTTTTCGTCGACAATAGAGCCAATTTTGAGTCTAGGGGTATACTTGGTAATGACTTCGTGCTTGTGAAGACCATAGAATTCGTCTAGTTTGTGCTCTGTCTTAGGCTGGTTGTTTCAAAGCATTTTATCAAGCTTTATGGTCGTTCAACCGTCTTACCTGTCACGTCCTTGCCGCCAAACTCAATCAAGAGCTGGCCACCTCCAGGATGCATGGGAGCAAATCGAGTGACATCAAACACTGAGCCATCGATAATGATCCAGCAATCCTTTTCGGTGTTGTGCTTGGCAACCTCTTCGCGGGTGAAAGTCTTGAGTTGGGCCATGAGTAATGTAGGAGGTAAAGAGAGAAAGTGAAGAAGAAAGAGAGGAAATGGATATTGCATGTGATTCTTATATACTCCCCACATCTTGCCCTTGTCACGTCAACGCGTTTAAGTTCGTGGGGGAAACGCACATGTTAGACTTAATCATTAACCTTTACACAACCAAAACTTAATCATAATCGCCTCCAAAGCCAATTACTTCTATACACTTTCTTTTCTTTGTATATATAGTGTGCTGGTATATACTGGCTTTATTTACACAGTAATCTAGGGATTAAAAGCGTACGCGTCCCTTGAACGGTCTTTATGATAAAAATGGAGCCACTTTTAAGGTGTGGTTGAACCAGTTAAATGCGGGGAAAAGTAGTATAAACGAATACAAGAAAAAAAGGAGGGGGGGGGGTGTTACATTCAGTACAACCTAAACAGTAAATCAGTCACAGGTCCACAGTACACCTTCTTTTGTGTAATATCTTGAATGCATAAAGAAAACAGATCCTTAAAAAAAGATGGTCCAGATGTGGTGTAAATAGGATCGATATTTCATCTCTGTAAATCGTAAAATTGATGATTCGGACTTTCATCTTATATACATATATATGTGTTAATTTTCCAAAAAAAAAAGTCTTTCACAACTTCTCTAATGTCTTCTAACCAAGAGTCCGTGGCTGTCAACAAACTCAATTATGGCTATGGAGGTCCTCTTATCCTCAAAGACCTTTCCCTTCATTTAACAGCCGGAAGTAGGTGCATTCTTGTCGGTGCTAATGGAACCGGAAAGACGACATTACTACGCATCCTGGCTGGAAAGCGAATGGTCGAAGGCGATGTCAGAGTATTAGGAAAGAGTGCATTCATTGATGGTCCTGCTGTAAGTGACTCCTACACCTTTTTTATAGTATGTTTTTATAGTCACTTATTCTTTATATGTATCATTTTATTGGAGATAAGAACGTCACTTATCTTGGTACTGAGTGGGCCAACAATCCTGTAGTTCGCGCCGATCTTACTGTCGAGTATCTGTTGAAGAGTATGGGAAGCAACCGCTGGCCTGAAAGAACCAAGACTCTTTTGGATGTTCTTGAGGTAGATACTACCTGGCGCCTTCACCAAGTCTCAGATGGTAATGCATTGTGGTGTGCATCAATTGGTGTATGAACTGCATTAAATTTATTGTGATCTTAATTAAACAAATGCGTTTGTAGGTCAGCGTAGACGCGTGCAATTGGTAATGGGATTGTTGCATCCCTGGAAACTGCTGTTGCTCGATGAAGTGACCGTTGATCTGGATGTGTGGATTCGTGCAGAGTTTCTATCTTTTTTGAAGAGGGAGACTGAAGAAAGAGGTGCCACCATTATCTATGCCACTCACATCTTTGATGGTAAGCTTTAACCTATAATATATACATATATATTGCGCAATTGGATGATAAATGTCTTTTATATTATCTCTTGGACTTAATCTATAGGACTTGGTGAGTGGCCTACTCATCTGGCTCACGTAAATGAAGGAACTATTCTGTCTTTGAATCAAATGAATGACTTTAAAGAATTGGAGGAGATCAAGGCATATTACAGAGAGCACCAATTGTTGGACTCCCCTCTTATGGGACTTTGCTATAGATGGTTGCGTCAAGACAAGATGGTCAGAAAATCAGAACTGCCTATTGACCCTGCTACTGGGTTACCTCACACACGATGGGATGATCTTAGCGAGGAGATGAAGAAGTATGGAGACAAGTACTACAATTACTGGAAATAATCCATGTAGATAGAAAAGTTCATTTGGTGCATTAAGATTCGAGAGTAAAACTTTTGTATAATTTTTTTATTTTTATTAAATTAGCACACGTATAAATTTTTGTAATCTTTTGTGCTTGTGCCTTTGTTTCTTTTTAATAAGAAGGGTTAATGAAGAACCTAGTCATCAATTACATGAATATACATGCCCATAATTTTGCTAATTTTCCCTTTCCAAGTTGGCTTTATACGTATTGGATTGAGAGGAAATTGTGGCTTTTTGTAGGCTAAGCGCTCAGTCTCTAGATATTGTACCTCTCCTTCAATCTCTATTTCAGCATTCTAGTATTACGGCTGATATTTCTATACAGACGCTTTAAGTTTTTCTGATTATTTGACTGTAAAAAAAAGGCGTCTTTAGGGGTGTATTTGTGAAATGTTGAAATTGAAACATACAAAAAAAAGAGAGAAAAAACAGTATTTAATCAAAATTCGACTTCAAAGCAGCCCTTAAATACCCGAAAAAGCTTGTAAAATTTCCTACTAAAATCGCTCTTCTTGTTATTAGTATAAATGTGCTATGTATTATATCTTCCAGTTCATATTTACTGCTCGGATTTACGGTTTGTGCCCAGATTTATGCCTCTAGCGCCCAGCCCTTTAAGAAGAGTGCGGCATGCTTGAGCCAACACTGGTATGATCAGCAAGTTGCACATGCCGATCGTTGCCCTGATTTTTTAAAAGTATGATATACTTTCTTTCTCTATCGCCTTTCGTCATTATCGTTTATATAAAGAACACAAGCCAAGAACTTGGATATATCTACTTGAATTCATTTTTTTAGCATTTTACACGCCTTAAAAGAATGTAATCTGTTATATTGCAATTTTCAGTAATAGAAAACACTGCAACAGTCGATGTTCAAAGAGTAATATAAGCCTTTTTTCTACTTGGTACATTTAAAAATGAGCCGCTTAATTGATACCAATTAGATTATGTACGCTGAAGGATATATATGACCCACTATAGGAGATGAGTGGTGATATTTTATATAACACGCATGTTTTATAGCTTATTAATACAACCTGAATTTGGTTTATTCGATAGCTGGTGAAATTTCTATAAAAAATATGCTGATACTCTGTGGATCCAAAACAAGTTGTCCAAATTTAGTTGATATTTTTTTTTCTCTTCTATTATTTGTTTATGATGTCACCTTCGCATACGCGAAACAACTTAAAGGGGTTTATATATTTGTTTTCTTGTTTGAGACTTTTCTTTACGTCTTTCATCACTTGTACCAGATATGTATTAATTCTAATGACTAATCTTTCACAAAAGTCAAATCATTATGCCTCTCAAGTGTTCCAATGTGGCCTGTGCTTATTTTCTTTTTCCTTTTTAAAGAGGAGCCTAATATTCTCAGCCTTTAGTAGATCCAAACTAAAGTTGGCTTCGTTGCCCAAAGCTCACGGTTAACCGCTTCAACGGAAACTAATATAATTTATTTTAACAGACGCCCAAAATTATGACAATTATGCAAATCTGCCATTCTAGTACTGCTCTTGCCTACCAAATCTGCCTATTTTGCTTTTCAATCCTACTAACATATATTCAATACTTTTACAAATAACATCCAGCCAACAAGTTCATTAAAGACCGTGCGGTAATTTTTGCTATTTGCTATGAACGCTGGTACAAAATTTTGATTACTGTGTTTAGCCTGTAGTGGCTCTCAAATGACTTGAGAGGCCAATGGTCTTTTTTGAGCTATTCTACTTGGTAAGGAGCCGCCCAATACACACCAAGAAATCAAATATTTCAGCAAGTTCTTTTTTTATTATAGGCACAAGATCCAAGCCAGCACAAATTTCCGTAGCCAGCTACCCCAGATTTACAATAGAGCAATAGTAGTTGCCGGTTGTTATTTAGGAAGACGTTTCTTTTAGATATCTACGGTTTGTCTACGCAGGCTGATAAAGGGCAATATAATTGGTAAAAGAAACTGCGTAGATTCCTGATTCGAGATCCGACGCCGACCAGGTCCTGGGCAACAGTGAGGATTGTACAGTGTTATGTTTTAAGTTTATCAAGGCATCGTGTCCTACTTCTTTTACGGTTACAAATAACCCTTCACTTGGGTGAGCTAATCCACCTGAGTGTCGTATGAGTGAGAGCTTAATAAATAAAGATAAAAAACTTCATTATTTTTGCTGGGGAGATATTTTCTTTGGCTGAGCTAATCCGTTGTTTCAGGTACGTATATTTCTGAATTTCATTTTTCATTTCATTATCACAGGTTTTGGTAAGCAAGAGCAATAGGTGAAGCATCGAAATAATTTGCTGGTTGGATAAAAAGGATTAGTATATATACATGTATGAATAAGATATATGACCAAGTTATACTCACCACTTTCAGCTTGAAGTTATAAACAGCTAAAGTTCCTTGTTTTTTATTTAAAGGGAAAACGTTATGGGCTGACTAACTGACCGAAAAAAGAAATACTAGATAATGTATTACTTATGTGAAAAAGAAGAATAGATGTAGAATATACATATTTATTAGCTATCTGTTAGATATATAGAGTAAGCCATATTAAGTCAGACTTTATTCTTATAAAGGTTAAAATCATAATTGAAAAAAAGAAAACTGAGATCTTCGTAATGGGGGTTTTTGGATATATATATGAATTTGATAAAGTATTACCAGCTTTTACATATATGTAACAAGCATATGCTTGATTGGTATATTTATTGTGAGGGTATTTTCTGATAATATATACTACGGCAAATGAAATAAAACTCACAAGAGAGCGATAGAGATCAATTTATAGTTGAAGTTATACGCCTTTGAAGCCAATTGAATTAGGTATATTACATTCTTCTGTCTATAGACATTTATATGTTGCAGTTTTGTCTTTTTCTTCTTCTTTTCGTTTTGAGTTTGGCTCTTTGATTCAATATTTCTATGTGTTTAATTTTTATTGCTGCCAGTTAATAATCATAAAATGCTCTTTAAAATGGTTGTTGTATGTTAAAAGGTTGAAGAGTGAAATATCAACTGGTTAAGCCTAATTGCAATGCGTTTCATGTTGGAGTTGGACCCTGCCTTAATTTTGTATAAATGTTATCCTAATACATTCATATTTTGATTTGTCTGTTAGAACTTGTGAATATTGAATACTGGGTAGAAATACAGTACCGGTTATTTCAAAATACATATATAAAGGCTACAAGCACATCATAATAACTTATATTTCAAAGTAAAAAATAAAATAAAATAACGAAGCTTTATTGAAAAGCACGTAATTTTATTCTTTTGGATTCCCGTCACCAAAAATATATTCTTTTTTTTGGCTTTATTATTTACGTGTCTTTATTTTTCCCTTATCATCAACAATGAGATCCACCCGTGTCAGCGCTGAAGCCTTTGATGAGACCCTCAAGAAAGAACTTAATGGCACCAACAAGGTCTTCGTTCTGTTTTTTGGCACTGAATTACCCGAGACCGATGAATCTTGGTGTCCTGATTGCGTGATTGCTGATCCTTTGGTTCGTAAGGCACTCTTGCCTGTAGAAAACTCTGTTCTCATTGAGGCTGCTGTTGGCTCTCGTGCTGAATGGAGAAACGCTTCCAGCAACCCTTACCGTTCTCGCACTGATTTCACTATCCCTGCTATCCCCACACTCTACAAGTGGACTACCGTATGTATATACGCATTAATTTTAAATATACTGTTTGATATTAAACCGAAGAAAGAAAGAATAAACTAACGAGATCTCTTGGGAATTTTCTCTTTTAGTCTGGTGCCGGAGAACGTTTGGTTGAAGAAGAGTGTGCTGACATCGAGAAGCTCAATGCATTCGTTAACTCTGCCTAATGTATTAGAGGACGATGGGTTATATTTCTATACCTAATACTTTATTAGCTCAAGCACTTTTACATATTTTACTGGTGCAGTTTGTATCTAATCTATATATCAAGGGAAAAGGTGGCTACTAGCTTTATTGCGGCCATGTTTCTTGTAATAAGCTTATATTTTGCGTGGAAATACATTTTCTAAACCTCTTTATTTTTGTCCAAAAATAATTTAAATAAAATAAAAAAGTAACAAATAAATAAATAAAATAAAATAAAAACTCTGATTGTGCCAAAGTATAAGGGTCCTTATCCTACAATGATCAAGCCCTTATAAACGTATTCGGAAACAGTCTTGGGAAGTGAAGCGACTATGCGTACAAGCTTTCACATCCTAGTACAAAATACATAGAATTAATCAACTACCCAGCTAGACTTCATATCAGTGTATTATAAAGATATTAAAACTTCTTTGACAGGTGAAAATAAGCTCATTACAAGGTTTTCTAGGACGTGCATACTGTGGCATATAGTCAACCCAATGAGAACCGAGGAATAATTGACGCTAAATAAAAGAAAAGAACCCTCCTTAAATATAAGAGGAGAGAAAAAAATCAAAAGAAATGACAAGGGAACAAGAGGTATTCGGCAAGGCATGACAAAAGAGTAGTCAGTGAAAAAGTAAGAGAGCACAGAAAAAAAATCCCTGATGTGGGAAAACGGCCTTAGACTTCTTTGACAGGTGTAACCTATTGGGATTTTTTTTTTTTGGAAAATGAGCCAAGGAGTCACCGTAAAACTCCGCGTTTTCTCAATAGGTTTCTTTTTTTGTGCGGCGAGGGTGGTGTTTGTCTTTTACTTATTTCTGAATGTTCATCTTGTCATCAGGTAAATACATCGTGTGTGTGTGTGCTTTTTTCTTTTGAGAGAGCTATGTTTTAATCCGACCTGCCAAAAGTATTTTTCTGGATTGGCTTCCTGGCAGTGATTCCTTACCTTGCCCTTGTTCTATACGCTGCCTATGCATGCAAAGAGCAGAATTTGAAGAAGAAGTATAATGCTTCCTGGTGAGTAGAAAATAATCAGGAAATGTACTTAATAACTACACGCACAACTCACAAAAAAACTTTATCTTAAATATACTAGGGCTCTTGTTACCGGTGGATCATCTGGTATTGGAGCTGCCATTGTCCGTAAGTTTGCTTCCCAGGGTTTGAATGTGGTTGTTGCTGCCCTGGAAAACCCTTTGATGGATAGCTTCAAAGTCGCCATCCAAGAGGAGTTTCCCGAACGCAAGTTCCGCTTTGTTGGATGCGATTTATCTGATTCAGAGGGACAGAGCTACTTGAGCGCCATCGAAAAGGCCACCGACGACATTCCTATTCAAATCCTGTGCAACAATGCTGGTTTCATTACTACGGGTGCCTTCGCAGACACTGCTTTCAAGCGCAACATGGCCAACTACCACACCAATGTTACTGCCCCCCTTGTATTGACACATCATTTTGTTAACCGTATGCTTGACAAGGGGCAGCGTGGTTTGGTAACCTTTACTTCCAGCAGTGCTGGCTTCATCCCTAACCCCATGAGCGCTCTCTACTGTAAGCTCTCATCTCTTCTAAAAAAACTGTTTCAACTATTGTTTACACCGAATGAATAGCTTCTACAAAGATCTTCTTGACTACATTTGCTGCATCCTTGGCTGCTGAGAACGCAGAAGATGGTATTGATGTACTTGTGGTGGTAAGTCATTAAAGTTATGTGTTATGACATGATTTATTAACTGTCTTTTATAATTTTTTTAGCACCCCTCACCTATTAATTCCAACTTTTATGATAACGCTGGAAAGATGTCTACACTTTTGTCCGCTCAAAAGATGTCTTCTCCTCCTTCTGTCATTGCTGATACTATTTGCTGTAATGCCGGAAAGGTGGTTGTGTCTGACCAGGGTCCCACAACTGTCATTATGAAGATTATTATGACTAAAGTTCTCGACTGGAATGTGCTGACCGAGGTTATGAAGTTGGGTCTTCGTTACAGTGGCGATTACAAGGCCATGAAGGTCAGACGTGAGGGCAAGGCTGCTTAATTTAAATTCTTTAATATAATTTAATTTGGTAGTAAAGACATGAAGAAGAAGAAAAAAGTACTTTAATATAAATGATTTTAATTTATTTTTTTTACAAAGCTAAAGCTTGGAAGTTTTGCGTTTCTGGTTCCTTAATAATGTGGAGAGGATAGACATGATTTTTATTAAACGATTTTTCTCTTGAGATTGAGTGTAGCTTTATGATGTACAAAAACTAACAATTCTAATTTAGCTCAAAATCACAATAGTATATAGCGTGGATAGAATAACTACTAAAGATAGTGCGCGCACCACTAAACGCAACGAGTAGGCAATAAAAAAAAATATGATGTTTCCTCTATCTATAATATCGATACCATAACCAGTGAGATTAGAGCTTTTGTTCTTAAAGTCATTTTCTCAAGTTCTTTTTAACAGCAATATAACAAAATTTCAAATAATAATAATACTAATACTAATAAAGCACTCATAGTTTTTTTTCACAGTGAAATAATCTTCGTTATACAGGTTTTATTGAACAAGTCTTAATGACATTTGATATATATATGTATATATATAATTGAGAGAAAATATAAAGGCAAGAAGTGTGCATGTACATTGGAATAATCCACAAAAAATGGTTTACTCATAAAAATGACTATACATCGTCTGCTCATATACAGTGAACTCAAACGGAAGTCCTGGTCTATAGAAAAATAATATAAAGAATTGAAAGGGAAATAGGAATAGAATACATATGAATAAAACAGCAAAAATAAAGAAGGAAATGTCAAAAACGATCCTACTTGGGCCATATACAAACAATCACCAACTGACTGCTGAGTCTCATAGATTCTCAGAAGATTCAAGCTTTTCTTGAACCTCACTGACAGTTGGCTCTCCATCTTCCAAACCCGAAGATTCCGTGTTAATCAACGGCAACAATCTCTCCACCTCTGTGAGATTAACAAAGATATCAGTAAAGAGTTGCTTTGAAAAAAATCATTAATATTCGAGCATCAAACTTACTCTGAATAAGGTGTTTTCCATAGGTATACTTTTTCAAAGACTGGAGATGGGGTTTGATCTTGTTGACTAGCAATTCGCGCTGATCTTTATCTACAACATCCAACATTTTTTGGACAACGTAATTGGCGTACTGATCTTTCATCATAGCCACCAATGGGTATGTTCTACAGTTTGTGACCCAAATAAGTTACACGGTTTTATTGTTAAATAAAATACCCATAAAATATTCTTACCCATCTGGTTTATTTTGCAGGACTTCTTCGATCAAAAGCTGCCTGTCACGTTTGGTGCCATAATCGACGCACTTTTCAACAACATTACTGGCAAACTTGTGCTTGCTCAATTGCAGAATTTGGCCGCGAATCTTCTCAATCACTACTTTTTTGTCTTCGGGACGACCACGTTCCAAAATATGCTGTATCACATAATTTCCGTACTGATCCTGTACAAGCTGTCCAGTGCAGCGATGAAGTTCTTCCAACAATGGTCCCTGCTCAAACCACAGAGAATCAATATAAGTACCGAAGCGTATAATAACAATCTTGATTTGTTTTATATAAATACTCACCGTTTGCATTGATGTACAGTGCTCAAACATACGTTGGATCACTCTACATCCGTAAGGATGAGTAGCAAGGTTATATACTTGTCCGTGAAATGCGTCCATAATAAATTGAATATGCTGTGCAGGAACACGCTCAATAGCCTAAAATAATATGTACACACATCCAAAAAGAGTTAGTATTGTTAATAGTCTTCTCTCTTTATCACCTCAAAAAAGCAAATATTGTAAATATTATTAGTAGATGCAGTTTACCTTTTGAATGACATGGTTGCCATTTTGATCTTTGATACATTTCAATACACATCCGTTCAATTCTCCCACAATTTTAGCTTGTTGTTCTGTCAAGACATGTTCCAATGCTTTTTGAACAACTCGGCAACCATACATTTGGAGAGACAAAGAAAGCACATGGCCTTCCATTTGTTTAGCAAGAATTGTCTTTTGCATTTGATTTCCTAGATTTAAATAGATTTATTAGATTCATTTTATATATATATATATATTACTAGCCAAACCCTTGAGAATCTAATATATTTACCATGCTCAAAAAACTTTTGCAAAACATAATTTCCAAAAACATCTGTCATGAGCTGCAAAGCGTTTGGCAGAACTTCCTCAAACACCATCTGTTTCTCTTCACTGTTGGCAATTTCCAATTTCTGTTGGATAAATCGAGAGCCATATTGATCACCACTGAATTCGACAACATGACCAGCAATATCCTTTGTGTAATATAATTTTTTTCCATTGCTTTTTAGAAATCTTGACTTTTCTTTCTTCATATATATATATATATCTATGTACACTATCCTGTCTTATTGTCCCTTTGTTGTTTACCTTTAGTTCATACTTCTTGCTTTTTGAGTTTCTGAATTCCTCCAAAAGCTGACTTCGCATACTGAGAGTTGCGTCTTGTGGTGTTCTGGCTCTTACAGGATCAGGGTTTCTGGTCTGAGGATGGCCCAAGTTAGATCCGAGAGCCTGCATCTTGTGTTGAAGTAAAAATTGTTGTTGCGCCATCAAAATCTGTTGTTGCTGTTGTTGAATCAAAATATGTTGTTGCTGAAGTTGAAGGGCACGTAGTTTCTTTTCGTTTGCATCAGAATAGTTTAGGTCTCCAAATGCAGAATGATCCAAGCCAGTGGGCGTAAACAAGGAACCATTAGAGCTCAAGCCCATAGTGGGTGTAGCTATAGATACATATACAAAACATCAATAAACATATAAAATAAAATAAAACAAAGCATAATTATGATTATGATTATAAAACACATCAATAAAAGACACAATATTGTTATTATCTGGTAATCTTATTACTATAATACTAACCCTGTCTGCGACTGTTTTCATCACTTGCTCCCCATCGACTGGGATGAAGGTCATTCAATAGATCACCCATGTTATCATGAGTATCCAGGCCATGTTCACTCATACTTTTGTGAGAGTTTATTCTGGAAGACAGTTGAACATCTTGATAGTGCTGCATTGGGCTCGACTGATTGTGAGTTTGACTGCCAAGGTAAGAAGGGCTAGTGTATCCATTCTGAGAAAGTTGTAGGCCAGCAGACGTAAGTTGTTGTTTCTGAGGTTGATGTACAGGCTTGAATGCACCATAAACATCCTGTAATATATAGCAGTAGAAATACAACATCATCACCCCCGTAATATTATTCAGTCAGCTATTTCCAAGGGGATAATACAATATATTAAACATACGTCGTCATTCAAGCTTGTAAATCCAAGCTGTTTCATCATCATCTCTGTATGATGGTCCATGTCGCCTGCATCTCTGTACACACTCGTACTCTGTCCTGGCGGTGTCGAGTTAGAGCGAAGTGGGCTAGAGAATTGTGCCTGTGAAGGCAACAGGGGTCTGAAAGCCTGTGTATTAGAGGTATTGGATCCTTGTGAGAAACTTCTGGTATCCTCCAAAGGCATTTTCCAGACAGATGCTAAATGGTCTTCGTCGTCATTTGTTGAGTGTTGCAATGATAAGCTTGAACTCTGCCGATTGTTTTGCAGGATATTTTTGTCGTAGTAGTTCATTGCATTCAGTTGCTCACAGTACTCCTGCATGGAACTCGAAATTACTTTTTGAACTTTGGTTATGTCACGTCTTGACCAAGTATAGTGGCTTAAAAGGCAAGAACAGCCCTTTTTAGGCGTTCTGTATCGGAGATAGAAAGCCTTTTTTGGATTCGTTTTCTTGTTCTTGCGTGGGATGAAGAAATTCATTGTTGAGACAGTAAAAGTATCCAATTAACAAAGAAAAATAGTTTAAGGATATCATTGTTTTGCAATTCCTTTAAGAAAGCTCGTCAGAACAGTTTATTCAAAGGTAAAGTTGTCTAGACCCACAAAGACAGAAGAAGAAAAAAGTGTCTGCTATTTGGAAATGGGTTGTAATTAACATAGAATTTAGGCTCATTTATCTAGTGATATATATTATTTATCATAGCAATTCACAGTGAGCAATGGTAATCATAAAGCTCAATTGACAAATACTTTTTGCTTAGTGTAAGTGAGTTGGTCAGTATTATTCCTTGTAAAATAAATAAATAAAAGGTACCATTTAAATGAGTGCGTACATAATATTAAAATTAAAATAAAAGATGTTGTTGATTCGAATAATTGCTTATGTGGTGTACAGAATGTATATACTGGAAAGATTGGCAAAGTACACAGAGTCTTGTATTTGTAGATGAAGATCAGCTAAAATATGTTAGCAGTGTAGAGAATGCATCAAAAGTAGATCATAATTGAAAGCAATTTACTACCTCAATTAGAAAACAAAAGACGAAATCAATTATTACACATGTGTAGAAGTGGTTTAAAAATAAAATGGTTAATATTTCACTCTAATTTCCACAAATATCACCACACACACACACACACACACACATACATACATACATACATACATACATGTGTATGGTGAGTTTAAAAAATAGTCTGTGTATACGTCCTATTATACTCCTTGGTCAAATGTGGCAACTAATTTTATCTAATATATATGTTTCCACAGAAAAGTTTACATATGCAATGAGATTTATTTTTTGGTTTCGAATGTATGCGTGTTTTCTCGTCTTCTTTAAATTCTTGTGTAAGTATATATATATGGTTTCAAATATTGGTGTTTGTCTACATAAAATCCAAATTTATGTCAAATGAGGATCCCGGTAAAATGTTGATGTTGATGAGTTTGTTCTTTATAAAAAGAAACAGGAACAATATGAGAATACCGTTTTGGTGTCCTCCCCTTTTTCTTAAATAAGATAGGCATCACCTAGGCTCCGATGAGATACTGCCCGATAATGTTTCAGGAGACGAGTTAATTCAACAATATGATAATTGGTGTCGCGAGGCATGACTGCATAAAGAAGACCCCAAAAGAGACAGCATCTGAATGCGATTTGAAATGACTTTTGTATTGCCTGGCTCTGACATGATAGTCCCCAGGGCAAGAGAATCAGAAAGATTGTTTGAAGAAACAAAAAGCTATAACCAACGTAGTAAAGTGTATGAGATAACGATTATTTAAATGTGTAATTTTTGACCTTGATGATCTTTTTCTTTTCTTTTTAAAAAAAGAAAAAAAAAGGTAAAATTGCATTATTATTTACCCGTCTCGTAATGTATCATATTGGTTCGTATTTGCCCAAATCAAAAGAGAGCATATAGCATAACCTATATTATGTGTATATGTTAACAAAAGCTTGGGCTAGATAAAGAAGAATATAATAAAGAAAGTGGTCTAACCTGGAAATAGACGCGTCAATTCTTTTTGAGCCAAGGACAGCCGAGTAGTAAACCCAACAGGTCCAAGGGTGCGAGAGGCATTGACGCGCGGACTACCAAAGGGGGAAAACGAACAGGTACTTTCGAACAGATCAATGATAAAACCCAGGATGCAATATATGTAGGCTGTTGCAAATCCGACACAGATTACTGTTGAATTTGCAGTCAAATGGTATATAGGGACCTTGTATAGGATCTTTGGAATCAAACATGTACGAATGCATGTGCTACTGGCCACCAATGGCACAGAGACCAGGAACAACCCATAGGTTGCCATTGTAATGAAAAGTGACATCATGATGTAATAGTAACAAATGAAGATCTCTTCCTTATTCGTTTCTGTTTTCACGTGTGACTTTTGGAAATCTTGTTCTCCTCGGACTTTGCTTTTTTAAATATAATCTTGTCAAGCTCTTGTGAATTGAACTAAACAAGACTTGATATGGTGAGTGCGGATAGAGGGGTTGTTGAAAAGCTGTTATATTTTATTTATTTGTTTGTTTATTTACAAGCCCTTTTAATCTACAGTGTCACTATTTACGATTCTGGGCTGCTTGGATGTGCGAAAATGTAATCTGATTTTAAGAAAGAAAGGGAAAAATACACACAGGCACAATAGTAAGTACTGCGGTACATTAAGATAAACGTGGGCTTAGATAATTGATTACCTTTTCATTATTCACATTCTCTCTCAGACACACCATTGCTGACTCTCTCAAAAGATTATCAATCTCAGCACAGGAAAATCCCTCGGTTGATTGGGCAAGGTACAAGAGCTCTTGACCATTTAGTACGATTGGCATCTTATTGCTAATACCACGTATAATATCACAACGTTGCTATTAAATATAAAAGCAAAAAACACACAAAGGTGTAAGACAAATGGATATAAAAGCATACTTGTATTTATTCATGTATTTGTGCTTGTGTGGTTACCTTTTGATTTGGCATTGGAATGGCAATACATTCATCAAATCTACCAGGTCGAAGCACAGCTGGATCGATTGTTTCAATTCGGTTTGTTGCTATTAAACTCTCTTTTTTAGGCCAAATGTACCACATAATTTGATTAATATATTGTATGTGTGAATGTTACCTGCAACCACAAGTACATCAATGTGAGCATTCGGCCCATTGCTCTTGGTCAGTAAACCGTCCATTTCTAAACTTGAAGGATTAGTATACCTAGCCATTATCAGAGAAAAACACCAAGTATTTTACCTGTCAAAAACCCAGTTACAATACGATCGCTTGTATTCTCAGATGATTGACTGGTCCCTCTCTTGGGAAGTAGCATATCGATCTAAGATAATATGCGTTAATTTATAAATTCATAAACCTTATTTTATCTCATTTTGTTTTTATTTTTGGGATTGTCCACAAAAGAAATGAAAATAATAACTTACTTGATCTATGAACAAAATACAAGGTGCATTGGATCGAGCATGTGCAAACAGCTTTGCCAGGTTCTTTTCAGATTCACCCACCACTTTAGATCGAACTTGAGAGCTCTACAAATTATTATTTATTATTTAGTTTAGAGTAGATTTCTTATTGTGTTAATTATGTAATGATAGGTTGCCGAATTGAACTTACTTCTACCAGCATAAAATTGACACCTGCTTCAGATGCAAGTGCAGAGCATAACATTGTCTTGCCTACGCCAGGTGGACCGTGAAGTAAGATGCCTCGCGGAGGTGTAATTCCTAATTTGATGTACTCCTCGGGGTGATAAAAAGGGTGGATGACAGAGACCTGTGTGTAAGGAAAGTCAGAATGAGTATCCTTATGGAATTATATCCTGGTAAAGAGAAAGAGAGAAACAATTCTTACCTTAATTTCTTCAATAATCGAGTCGATACCATACATGTCAGCAAAAGTAACTTTAGGGATCTACCGCAAAGTATATTCAAAAATAAGTATATATATTATTATTATTCATTACAACTTCTATAATTTACCTTTGTAGTGTATTCATTAAAATTTGAAGGGTGAATAAAACTAAGCACGTTGTCAAAATGATGTGTAGTAACGCAAGCTGGCTCCTATACATAGTTAATTTTGGTTGGTTTGTTTTTTGGTTGGTTGGTTAATTCGTTTTGTAGTTTAATAAGGCGTCGTTTATTGGGTTTACCTGTCCAGTAGATTGCTCTTTTACAGCTTGAAGAACCACCTGCATACACAAGCTCTGGAGATCACTGGGTACAAATCCGTGTGTTGCGCGAGAAACACGTGTGAGGATATTTGTTTTGTCTTGTTGTGATTCAAATGGAAGACCTGAGGGGATTTATGAAAGAAGAAGAAGAAAAAAAGGATGAGAAGACTCGTACAAAAGGAGGTTTCTGTGTAATTACGTTGTGTAAGAACAAGTAGGATCTCGTAGCGTTGTTTAGCGTCCTTGATGACAATCTCCTCCACCTTGTCCAAGCGACCTGAGCGTAAAAAGCAAGGATCTACAGCATGCAGTCTACTAGTAATCCCTAACAACCTTTGTAGATGAGATCAAGCTAGTTCTTTATGGGTTTATATATAAAGGAAGATTTTTTGGTGTACCAATAATATAGACAAGATGATCGTCATTCGGCTGGTTGATCTTGTCAATTAAAGATAGTAAAAGGGAACCAAGACGAGAATCTAGGCCAGTCTTCTTGTGATCCAGTGTACCAGCAAGCATATCGATCTCATCCAGAATAAGAATGGATAGTCTGTGCTGCAGGGCAGTATCGAACAGACCCTTTAACTTTGCTTCACTTGCTCCTTCCTCTACACCGACAATTAGCTATATTGGTCTGCCACGATATGGTTTATATGATCTTACCTGTCATAAACATATCTGGACTATTGACAATATAATATGGAAGCTGAGACTCCTCTATTGTTTTTTATCGAATTTATTCATTATGAATATTACTTTATATTATTGTTATTATTTTTAAAACCATGTACAGATTTATATAATGTATGATTATAAAGAAAATTATAAAGAGTGTTTGCTTGTCTATTTGTTTTTTTGTTTGTTTGTTTTCATTTATTTATTTACTAGCTTACTTGCTATGGTTATTGCCAGGGCAGTCTTTCCAGTTCCAGGCTTTCCACACAGCACTACGCCCTTGGACTGTGGCAGGTGTATTTTTCCGGAAACTGATTGTAGTTGGTCGATTGAATCAACTACTTGCTGAATTGTATTTGTACATCCACCAATTGACTTTTGGACATTGTCGATCCACTTTTGACGATGATTCATTAGATGTTGATCTATACTTACACACACATACACTCACGCACACACACTCATACACATACACACACAAATTGACTTCAAAATAAAATTAGATGAGTAATGGCTGTCCTGTGACCACTGCGGAGAAAGATAGAGAGAGAGAAAGATAGAATAAAGTTAGGGAAATGGTATATTCTTTTAGTATGCTTATTGACTAGTAATTGATTTTATAAACAACAATTGTATTTAAGAAATGCATTATTGAAATGACTATAGTTTGTATAGCATAACTTAGTATAGGATATCATAGTAACGTAGAAATATCGCATTTTATTGCTCAATAAAGACAAAAATAAAAGCTGTGTAAGAATTCAGAACTTTAATTCTTACTATTATTATAATTTGGTGGAATGTAGCAGCACAAATCAATTCAATAACTAACAAAATAAAATAACATAAAATGAAAGAAAAGAAGGTTTCCCGACAGGAACTATGGTATTTCCAATGGAACGAATTTGAACAGATTTAAAGGATTCGCAATAATTGGGATGGTACGAGACGTGGTTTAAGTAACAGCTGGATCTTTTGAGAAAATGTAAATAAGAATAGTTTATTATCTGGTTATGTTTCTTGGCAAATAATTAATTTTTATCCAAATGTGCCCTTTCAATACAAAAGTCTTGTGTATGTATTATATTTGGTTAATGGTGAGACAGCTTAGAGATGCTACACTTATTGGTGATACGTGTGGCTGTATAATATATCAACTGGTGTAATTGTAGTCTGTATTTGGAGTACGCCTTCTTTGGGAGATGATAAACTTAAAAGATGTATATTATATGTTATTGGTGAAGCTCAGTTTAATAGTAAAAAAAAATTAATTAGTAATTTTTTCTTTAAGAAAAAAAAGGCCGTCCAAAGCTCATCAATTAGCTGATAAAATTTTTTCTTCTTCGTTTATTTATTTTTGATAAAACGATAGTAGTAATAAAAAAATAAATAATATCTAACGGTGTTAAAAATTAATAACCACACCTACAGCATGTTTAATGTTGAATTCACCAGATTCGCCACACAACTCATCTATTGGAAGTGAGTGTATCTCAATATTTGAAAATACGAGCCTCTTGAGACCACAAGCGATCAAGTTTGGTCTGTGGGTCATACAAATGCCCACATTAGAAGCACAGTTGAAATCACCGACCTTGAGTCAACTACAGACCTTAAATAAAAATATTACTCTTTTTTTTTGTACATAGTTTTCTAACAGAATTATTATTAATTTCTTGTACATTTTTATATAAATAAAGGAATAAATATATTTTTTTCAGTACCAGCGATTAAAGAAGTGATAGAATACAATATACATTTATATCAATTAAGGAATATACAAGTAACAATAATTTCAGTTATTTTAAGAATAATGATAGTAACGATAATAAAAATAGATAAAATAGACAGATCTCTTATATAATGATATAGAGATAAAACGGCCTTTGATGATGTCTTGGACCGTTTGCTATCTTTTTTCTTCTTTAAAAAGAGAAACAGAAGTTTATCAAAAAATGAAACCGTCCAACACAGTCCAAAGGCAGACATGAATAGAAGAGGGGTTTCGGAAGGAGGAAAGGTGCTTTAACTGACCAAAGTCACACGACTATTTATCTACCCTTCTCTCCAGTTTCTGTTTGAAGAACTCTTTTTTCTTCTTCTTCTTCTGTTGTTGTTGTGCTCCTGTCTCTTTCCTTTTGCTTCTTTTCTATTTTATTTTTCTCTTTGTAGAAAGAAAAGGAAACATTTTCTTGTCGCCACTACCTTCCTTTTGATCGACCAATGGACTCCCCCGATCGCACTAAAGGCAGAACCCAGACACCTTGGGATGTACAACGAAAAGAAACAGAACGAAAGCCAGACTCCTTTTTACGCACACCTCAGATATCACGACCGGTGACCAAGCAATCGTCTTCTTTGTCTAAATCCAAGGGAACAAAGAATCCACAAAATGACCCAAAACAACAAAGCATGCTGAACCTCTTGCAAGCTAAGAAGAAAACCAGCACATCCTCTACACCGAGTATCTCGAGTACCTCTTTTAGATCAAAGGAATCATCTACCCGAACCAACGCGTCATCACTCAAACGCGCCCCATCAGCATCACTTCTCAATACTCATCGTCCAAATGGAACTTTAAAACGTACACTATCAGCATCCTCTCAATTGAACACATACGGCAAAGAATGGCTAGAATCAACCTTGACCTCTAAAACAAGAAAGATAGACAATGACCACCAAAACGTGAGATTATAATCCAAAATACAATACAATACAAAAACAAACAACCAAACAAATAGAGAGAGAGAGAGAAAAACCTTCAAACATTTTATTATCTTTGTTGTTATTTTTATTATTATAGCTGTTAACAAACTTTTCTTCTTCTTCTTCTTATTCTTTTTATTGATTCTTTATATCATCAAGTCGGATCGATGCATGGCTACCTTGTCCTCGGGCGACATAGCTTCAACACAATTCCATATCGAACGCAAAGACAACCCAATCTCGTTTGGCACAAGTTCTATACTAAGCCATAACGAGAGCATTGCTGCTGCGTGTGGAATCGTGTCCACGTCCAGTATTCTGCAGTACCAGAACGTTCCACCAAAGAACAAAAACAATAATCCCGTGTTTGAAACTGCCAGAGGATACTTGAAAGTAAAACCACGAAGAAATATTCCAGAAGCTCCAGTCAAGATTTTGGATTCGCCTTATATGGTCGACGATTACTATCTTAACCTGCTTGGATGGTCGTGCCACAATGTAGTCGCCGTTGCTCTCGAGCGCAGTGTCTACCTCTGGAATGCTGAGACAGGAACAGCCAATGTTCTCGACGAAGACCCCAAACACATGGTCACATCTGTATCTTGGTCTGCCGATGGCACTCTTTTGGCCGTCGGTGACGAGACCGGCGAAACCCAGATCTGGGATGTCTACAGAAGCGAACTTCTTCGCTCAATGGGTGGTCCGACATGTCGTGTGGGTGTTTTGGCATGGAACAAATGCACTGTGTCCAGCGGTGCGTATAACGGAGTGATTTACAACCATGACGTCCGTATTGAAAAACATAACATATCGGAATTCAAAGGCCATGATGAAGAGGTCTGTGGTCTCGAGTGGCGTTCGGACGGCGAATATATAGCCAGCGGTGGCAATGACAATATCTTAAATGTTTGGGATCCTAGACAACATCGCAACTCGATCATGTCACGACAAGAACACAAGAGTGCAGTCAAGGTAATTTTTTTTAAAAAAAATCACACACATTTTCAGTAGTTTATCCCAAGACAGCCATATGAAATCTTTTGTTTGGTATTTATTTATTTATTTAAATGTCTATTTGTTTTAGGCAATCGCATGGTGTCCTTGGAACCTTCCCTTACTGGCGACTGGCGGTGGACGAGATGACAAGAAAATACATTTCTGGGACGCTACAAAGAACACAAAGTTGAATACCATTAATGCAGGATCTCAGATCACCTCCTTGCGTTGGTCTCACCACTACAAAGAAATCGTCTCTACCCACGGCTTGCCCAACAATAACCTGACGATCTGGGAATATCCAACATGCAATAAGATCGCAGACATCCATGCACATGAATCCCGCATCTTGCACTCTGCCTTGAGTCCAGACGGAGAACTTTTGGCCACTTCTTCGGCTGATGAGAATCTAAAATTCTGGAATGTATTCAAGCACAACGGATCTGAACCTCTCATCACAAGAACCACAAAACCCAGCAGCCAGTTGAGGAGAACAAACAGTCTTCGCTAACAGACATCAATATGTGTATTGCACATCTTGAAACAAGCATAAGAAACAAAGCAAAAAGCAAAAACCCAAAAAAAATACAAACACACACACATACACACACATACAGACAGGAATCTTTACAAAGTTGCGGCACATATATATGTAAATATGATAAAACGAAATGAGTTCAAATAAATATGATAAAAGAAGCCCCACATCTACTTGCGTTTCCTACACAAAATATACCTCTTTGTTGATGTTTCAGCTTTGCTTCTTCCTTCTTTTTTTTGGTTTTTTTTCTTTTAGTTTGTTTACTAGAGTATTTGGATCAAACCTTTATAATAAACATATTTTATTTGGCTGCAGTTGGACGAGCATTTTGGCAGACCAATTGTAATCAGCCTTTATGTCTTTCTACATCAACCCCTTGTTTCCTTTCTTTTTCTTTTTAAGTAGTTCAAGACAGTATTAATATGAGATCGACGCCTATTCCTTGTCGTGTGGAATGTTACGCATGTTATTGTAATTTATATTGGTTTTTTATTTCTTTTTTACGTGACAGAATAGGATACACTTGGCAATTACAGCAATTACAGCAATATGAGTATTATATTTGTATTTATATATTTTATAGAGAAAAGCGAATTAACTAATTAAAGCCGAAATCATATACATTAAGTAATCTTATTAATTGTGATGTGTGCTGTGTACTGTGTACTGTGCGCATGTGTGTATCATACACATCCTTTGTTTTGTCAACAGCAAAATATAAATGTGCACATTTATTTGCTTACCAATTAATTCACACTCTATCCTTCTCTGGATTTCCTCCCTCCCTTCCTCTCCCCCCTCAAAAATAATAATAATATACCCCTCTCCTTCTACACATTTCCTTATCTCACAAACAAAGCTATTATATTTATATATAAAATCTAAGTTTTCCATAGACTTTAAATCCTATCCCATCATCCTATTCAAATTCAAGTTCAAGTTCAAAGCAACCAATATTTACACTCTTATTTTTTTTTTTAAAAAAAAGTATCATTAAGCCTCAAACCCTCATCCTCTTCTCCCCTTCCCCTTCCCCTTCCCTCTCATGTCTCTGTATATATTTTTTGATCTGTTTGTTTTGTTCGCGTCAAGTTGAAGGAGAAAGAGAGAAAAGCAAGAAATATATATATATATATATGTTTGTATAAAAATATATATGAAAAAGAATGTATCTCTTCCTTTTTCACTTTTTTTCGTGTTTGTACTTGAGTTGTGGTAATGGTGATAGTGATGGTTGTTGTCTTTAATTTTCCTCGTTCGCTCTTTACTTCTGCAATTCCTGGATGCTATATAATCTTGCAAGGCTGGGTCCGGCAAACTGGTTCAACTGCTTGGTGAAGTTGTGCATTTGTGCGCTGAGGATCATAGATTCCAAGCGACTGGGCTCGGCAGGAAGCTTGAATAATGTGTTGACTTCGTCTTCGGGCAAAAGGGGCTTGCCCTGCTGTGCGCGATGGACATTTTCCTGCTTCTGTAATTACCAAAAAAAAATTCACAAAAAGAAAAGGAAAAAAAAATTGAAAGATATTTATATTAGAAAACACCCACATATTTTTTTTCATATTTAACAGTTCTAGATAATAAATAATAATAGTAATTCAAGCATTGTCTTACTCTCTTGGTCAACCATGTCTGCATCTTGGTCTGCTCGCGGGCCATGCTTCTCTGCCAGTACTGGTAGTTGTTTTGTTCCTGCTGCTGCAAGTCGGAGCAATCCAACAGGTACTCGAGGTTCTTCTGCATGAAAGGATCCAATTCGAGATCAAGAACGTCAAAGTTAGGAGCAAGAGGTCTGGCTTCATCAGCGACAGACTGTTCTTTCTGGGAAGAAGCAAAGGTCGAAAGGGTACGGAGACGGCTAGAATCGAGAGTGGGCATCTCGAGATTGTGGAGCATCAAAGTAACAAGATGAGAGTTGTGAACCTTGACAGGAAGTTCCTCAAAGATGTTTGAGAAAGAAAGCTTGGCCTGAGCAAGACTATATTGTAAAAAGAAAAAGAAATTAAGAAAATCAAATTGTAAGTTCTCCATTATTCCATTCCTCCCCTCTTCTTTAAATATATATATTAATAGCTGTAAAATTGTACCTTTCAGTTGTGAATTTCTTGGCTTCGTATGCTTTCATAAAGGCATCTTGCAATCTAAAGGCTCTCAAGCTCAAGTTGCTCTGAGCTGCACTCTTGGAAACGTCGTGAATAATGACAACAGAGTTGGCGCTGAGGGAGTTCTGATAGCTATATTGGGTCTCGATCAAGTTGGCATCAACAAAGTTGCCGAGGTGAGCAGAACGGTACCAGCCGACAGTGTTGTTGTCGACATTGACAGCACGGAGGCATCTCATCATGTCGAGCTGGTACTGGGCTTTAAAGAAAATATATATAGAAATGCGTAGTGAGTACGTGAATTACCAAGAAAAAAATGTAATAATAAAAATAAAAGGCTTAATTCTCGGTGGGATCTTACCACTGGTGTCATCATCACCATCCAAAGGGAAGGGGAAGCAGTTGGTGACTTCGAGCAAGCCCTTGTCATCAAGACCGAGCAACTGGCCAGTGACATCGGTGGGATAAGACTCGCGACAGTGCTTGATGATCTTGAGGACAACCTTTTGTAGGAATTGCGTGAGAAATTGTAGAAATAATTATGTGCATATTTTTTTCAAGTTAGATGTTCTTACCAAGCCATCGATCTGGACAACCTTGAGAGGTTCGGGTGTAGGAAGGCTGGTGGCCATGGTGATGAAGTTAATCTACAGGAGAGAGGAGCGAAGGCTGGTAAACACGCAATTTTTTCAAGTGTGACTATGGACGGTGTTTTAAACTAATAGTGAAGATGTTCATGCGTTTAGAGATCATGTCTAGACAACTAGAAGGCAGCTACTAGACAATACCCACAGCAAGAATATAGATATATATATATATATGTTAATTTAATTTGATAGTCAATTTTTGAAGGAAGCAAATTTAATTATTGGATAACCTTTTTGTTTTAGGTAGTAATTATGATGTATGCTGTGTTAATTATATATGTATACACATATGGCTATGGCTATATACATACATACATTACTCATTTTGTCATGGTTAAATTAAAATGGACATATTTTATATTGTTAGCTCTACATTCCAGAGATATGCAGTGTAAGATCATTAAATGTCAATATAGTTTTTGTTTAAATAACAAGACAAGCAAGGAAATAAAAAGACAAGTAAGTTTCTGTGTTTAACTATACGTCAAGGATCTTTTGAATACCTTCAAAACACAATAGATAAATATTGTGGAGGCTCTATTTTTAGCCGTTTTCTATACATTATGTTAGTTGCATGCTATTTAGGCTAAAAAAGGATGAGTCGTAGATAAGCCCTTTAGATAAAAATGATCAAACTGACAAGAACCCTTAACCAAAGCCAGCGACTTGTGTGGTACGTTGCTCACATAATCTGAACCGCCATAAGCTCTATTCAACAAAGTGTCATTTGTAACCAAGTCTATACAAACGTATATGGTCACCGGATGTAGGGGACCCAGGATAGCCTTGAATTGATGTCCACGCAGTTATGGATCCTGGTCCATGCTGTCCCATTCAAGCCTCGTACAAAAAAAAAGTATCTACGTGATGTCGTGGATGATTCTTTATCCGCAGGCACAGTTAATCTTGATAGAAGTGATAGGGATAAAGGAGTTGTAAAGATAAACTAAGTGGCAGAAATCTGACAGATTCTCTTTTGGGTATTTTTTTTTTCAGTTTGGATTCACACGCCCTCTGAAAGGGTTATCTCTAACAATACAGGATCGCATCTTTCCTTTTGTGGAATATAGCACAACTTAAAATCAAAACGGCCACCCTTCTTTGGCTTAAGAGGTTTGTCGGAGCAGTAATCAATAGCGCACACGCTTGACGCGGGTCTAAGGTGTGATTGGCTCTAGCTGACAAATGATGGGTGTTTTTTATAGTGAAAACTGCAAACACATTGCGTCTCACACATCCTGATTGGCTTGCAAAACAGTTTTGGTATGTGAGCCGGATACTGTAGCCAGATATAAAAGGCTGTTCTCAGCCGCGCATCTTTGCAGGGTTAGACGAACTCTTTTCTCATTTATAATGTCTATCGCAGCAAAGCTCGCTCAATTCGGTAAACAGCACATCGCCAGAGGTATCGGACGCAGTACCGAACTCGTTATTTCCAAAGGAAAGGGTACCTATGTCTGGTGTGTCGAAGGCAAGAAGTACCTTGATCTTACCACTGGTATTGGAGTCACCAACACAGGTAAAACATCTTTTCAAATATACGCTTAAACTATTCGTTGCATCAAGCAAAGCTATAAAATAAGAAGAGAAAAACTAATATGAACTCTTATTATTTCAGGCCACTGCCACCCTACCGTTGTCAAGGCTGTTCAGGAACAGGCTGCAAACCTGTCCCATGGACAGGTCAACATCTTTTTCCAAAAGCCAATGCTTGACCTCATCGAAGGTCTCAAGAACAGAATGCCCTCCCCCAAGCTTGACACCTTCTTCTTCTGGAACTCTGGTTCCGAGGCTGTAGAGGCTGCAATCAAGTTGGCCAGACAGGCCACTAAGAAACAGAACATCATTGTGTTCCAGGGTTCGTACCACGGTCGTACCTTTGGTACCATGGCCCTCACCACCTCCAAGACCACTTACTCTGCCGGTTTTGGTCCCCTGATGCCTGGTGTTCATGTGGCACCTTACCCATACTTCCAGCAGTGGGCTGCACACAAGGCTGACCCCACAAAGTTCACTCCTGAGTGGTGCGGTGAAGAGGCTCTCCGTCAGTTGGAAATCCTCCTCAAGCAGCGTACTTCTCCTGAGGACACCGCCGCCATTCTTATTGAGCCCATCCAGGGAGAAGGTGGCTATGTTGTTCCTCCCAAGGGTAAGTTTTTTTTAGTTGATTCGGCCATATATATATAAGAAATAATTGATTGACTAATGCTTAAAAACATTAATAGGCTACATGAAGGGTCTTCGCGCTTTGTGCGATAAGCATAACATTTTGTTGATTTGTGATGAAGTACAGTCCGGTTTCGGACGTACCGGCAAGATGTTTGCTGTTGAGCACACTGGTGTGGTTCCTGATATTTTGGTTATGGCCAAGGGTATTGCTTCTGGCTACCCTCTTTCCGGTATTGTTGCCAACAAAGCTTTGATGGATCTCCAGCCCCCAGGATCTATGGGTGGAACCTACTCCGGTAACGCAATTTCTTGTGCCGCCGCCAATGCCACTCTTCGCGTATTCGATGATGAGAAGCTTTTGGAGAACTGCAATGCTAGGTAAGAATAAATAATTAAAGATAAGAGGCATTAATGGGAAAAGATGATAAAAAGTTTAAAGCCTAATGTGTGAATGTGTATTGTAGATCTGAGCAATTTTTCTCGGCTTTGCGCGCAAAGATTCCCGCTGCCCTTCCCAAGGGCGTCACTGTTGACGTTCGCGGTGAGGGTTTGATGATTGGTATCGAGTTTATGGGTGTTCCTTATGGATTTGCCAACTCAGTCGCCCAGGAGGCCCTAAAGCTTGACACAATTGTCTTGACCACCTCAATCTACGAGACTCTCCGCCTTATTCCCCCACTCAACATCACCAAGGAAGAGACTGACTTGGCCATTGACCGTGTCGTTAACTCTATTGCCGCTGCTTCCAAGGCTGTCAAGGCTTAAGAAAAAACAAGCACACAAATAATTCTCATCTTTATCTCTCAAAGTGATTCTTTTTGCCCTATATATCTACCTATAGTTATCTATTACTCTATCCTGTACATTGTGTTTTCTCAACATCTTTATAAAAAACGCTTTCTTTAGAATATCTTGATTTGCAGCAAGGGTCTTTATAAAAAAAAGTATAGATATTAAACATGAAAATAAACACCCAATACCATTGCCAGCCAACCAAAATCAAATCAAATTAAATTAAATGAAAGAAAAAGCTTGAACTTAAACATGTCGTGACTCCTTGTCTCAGCAAAATAATAATAATGCATTATCTCTGAATTCTTACTTTCCTTTTTGAATTAATTACAGTCAACCTTTCTGCTTATAATTTCTTCTATTCTTCCGATTACTTGGAATGCGAAAGATCCTCTCTGTAATTGGCACGACTGGTGTTGGCAAGAGTAATCTTGCTGTGGATTTGTGTAGGACCTTGCGTGGTCAGGCAATCAATTCCGATGCCATGCAGGCAAGTGTTGACATGTCGCGATGATCTCGATTAGCAATATTGACAGTACAGCAGGTGTACAAAGGGCTTGACATTATTACCAACAAGATGCCCTTGGAAGAAAGACATGGTGTTACACACCACCTCATGGATTTTTTAGACCCTGAAGACGAATACAAAGTAACAGAATTCAAGCGGGATGCGACTCAATGTGTTCGTACAAAATAGCAGAAAGCAAGAAACAGAAAGAAACATAAATTGTATTTTTCTTTTTCTTCTTGTGTAAATTGTTCTTTTGTGTTCTTACGACATTTATTACTATTGTTACTGTTATTTATATTCAGATAGAGAAACTATCAAATGAAAATCAATTGCCAGTATTAGTAGGAGGGACAAACTATTATATGCAGAGTTTACTATGGCGCAACACGCTGATTAAAGAAACAAATGGAGAGAGTGACGAGGAGGAGGACCGTTCTAGAAGTCGTAGTCCGTCTCCTGAAATAGTTCCAGAGTTGGAGGTATTAGAAACTCCAGAACTATACGATCGTCTGAAGCAAGTGGATCCTATAATGGCTACAAAATGGCATGTCTCCGATCGAAGAAAAATCATGCGCAGCTTACAAGTATGGGATTAAGCCTACAATAAAAAATATTTAAAACTTACTAATGTATTCATATATTAAAATCAAATATTTAGATTTTTCACGCGACCGGAAAGCCTCAGAGTGAAATCATTAAAGAGCAAAAGGCACAAAAAGAAACACATGGTGCACAACCAAGGTAAATCCTCTACAAGGTTTGAGACAGAGGCTGGTATGCTTACATTCAAGCAATGGGCTATAGATTCAAGGCACTTGTATTTTGGCTTTATGCAGACCCGGTTGCACTATATCCCCGTCTGGATGAACGAGTGGATAAAATGATAGAGGTCAGTCTACATAAGCATTTCTTGACTAATTACCTAAAGACTGAAATTTAAGTACCTAGACTGGCTTGTTTGAAGAGATCAAAGATTTGCGGAGGCGTGTCGTAGCCGGATCAATTACGCTGCCTGGTCAGGAATTAGAAAAGTACCAGCGTGGCTTGTGGCAAGCTATAGGTAAATTTGTTCGCCTGTTATTTGGTAAATTCTTCGATTATCGCATTATTAACTGGGTGGGTAGGCTACAAAGAGTTTGATCCTTATTTTACAGCCGTTGAAGAAAATACATTGGAAGAGCCAGGTAATAATAATGATTTAAACAGGTGAATTTTTGTTTTGGAAGATACATCGCCTAAGTTTAAGCTTTCAGAACTAAAGAAGATCAAGGACGAATGTACTGAACGTATGAAGGCTGCTACAAGGCGATATGCAAGACGACAAGTCCAGTGGATCCGTAATAAGTTTTTACCCTCTGTGTTTGACTCAAAGGGTGACGTATTGGTTTATTTACTTGATGCAGGAGGTATGTTATATAAACTTTTATAATGGTAAATACTGTCAGTATGGTTAGTTAATGCCTCATAGACCTTGATGCATGGAATACAAATGTACAACAAAAGGCAATTGACGTTGCTAGAGGTAAGACTTTTTCAACATTTTCGAGAAAATAGCAAAATAAAAGATAAAAAGAAAACACCTGCATTTTATATTAATAATATTATTTCTGTAGCCTTTTTAGAAGATAGGCCAATGCCAGATCCAGCTAGCTTTGGAGATGTGGCAGCTAAAATGCTGTCTAAATCAGACGCAGAAGAGTATGTATAACTAACTACGTATATACATATATAGTGATATATTGCTTATATTCCCAATTTATTAGCACCCATGCGCGTGTACTCAACTGGAAGAAGCATGTGTGTCCAGTCTGTATTACTAACAAAGGAGAGGTTGCAATTATGAATGGTGATCTTGAATGGGAACAGCACAAAAAGAGCCGTTGGCACAGGAAGTCATCTAAGCGAAAGCGAATGGAAGAACTCACAGCAAACAAACCACCCCTTTAAACGAAACCTCTCTCTCTCTCTCTTTCTCTGCTAAATTAACATTTCAGAATGCATTTTGTACACATACACTTTGAATCTCTCTTCTTCTTTTTCATTATTCATAAACTTCCTTTATCCAAGGTTGTTAGCTTCTATCTTCATAATATATATATTTACAGAGAAAAAAAAAGATACAGAATATTCTCTTCTTTTTTAAAAGAAAATTATTTCAACAATTCAGTCCATTCGGCATCATCTAGGCCAAGATATTCTGCTCCAAATTTGGTTCGTGCAGCCTCGATGTGCTTCTTGATATCGGTAGTAGGTGAAGTCTTGGAGTGGGTCAGAAGGGTGTGAAGAGTACGGAGTGTCTGAAAGATAATAACAGAATTTAGTAAGGACAAAATAACTTTAGTTATTTGCATCTATCTTATGTTTATATATGTTTGTCGATATTTACCTTTTCTACCATATCCTCATCTCCTTCTTCGGTGTACTTGACCAGTACACCATCAAGCACCTCCGGAATATTGTGAGCCAGTAAGATATTAGGCAACTGAGGGTTTTCAAGCATCAAGCTGTTAAAAGAAAAGACAACCTTGCGCAAAATAGAAGGATCTAAACCCATGCATAAACAAACGACTTTTATAAGAACATCTTCTTTTGTGAACAATCCCAAAAAATAACATTACCTTGCTCATTCTTCAAAATACCCGCCAGAGCACTAAATCCATCCAATGATTCAAATCCCTCGACACCTTCCTTGAAGTGCTTGAGGAAGCAAGAAATGGCATAGATGGCTTTCGAACGGACTTCTTTGTCTTCGTCCTTCTTCTTCAAAATCGCAACAAGAGGCTCCAAACCGTTATTTTTTAAGAGCTACACCACAAAAACAGTACAATTTTTTTAAAATTAATAAATTAAATATACTGCATATATATATGCGTGTGTGTATAAAACTTACGGCTTTTTGTGCTGCTGGGTTGTTTTGAACAGCTGTACCAGCTACCCAGATAGCTCCCTTGCGCAATGAGGGTTCCTCGGCCGAAAACTGGGCAATGATACTAGGCCACAACTTCATGTTTTCAATGTTCATAGCATTATCAATGCCTTCAATCAATAATTCGAGGTTGTCCAAAGCGATTTCCTTGTTCTTCAAAGTATCTTCCTTGTCATTGATACAAGCCACAGCCTCTAATTAAAGGCATTAGGAATCACCTCTAGTTTTATATAAATATAAACATCGTTCTAGTTATTCTTTTGTTTACCCTTCATGCGGGTTGCATCATCCTTTCCGAGAATAGCTTCGATAATTGCGGGATCATAACGCTTGGGATCAACTTTGAGCTCACCGCGACGGACAGCCTCGGCCTTACGCTGAAGATCCTCTTGATCAGTATTGTTAACAGCCCACTGAAGTAATTTTTCCATTATAGTAGTTTAAGAATGTATATGTTTTGGTCTTTGTTGGGAAAATAAGTTTAACAAAAACGAAAACGTGGCTGGGCTTTATCTGTCAAAGAATTAAGTCCAAATTGTTCGAGTAGGTTCTTGCCTTTTCGGCTGGGACAGGTTCTAAATGTGGATTGCATTACCTGTGACTGCACCTATAATCGATGACGTTTATTCCACGGTAAGACAAGACTGATACTCAACTAAAGGTTCCTTGTAGGTAACTAAATTCCCAAGTAATGGTAGCATGAATATTTCATTATTTTTCTAAGAGCTTCATACCCGGTCATTATATATATAATCCTCTCTATTTTCTTTTCTTTTCTCTAAAATCGAATACTTATTTCTATATAAGAAAAGTTCAAATTTAATTAAGCGGAATTATACTTGTGCTTTCAAAGGAGGAACGATGACCACGTCAACAAGTGGAGCTCAGTTATTTTCTTTTCTAATATGAACAATTTCAAAATTTAATAAACCTTACTCATGGCTTCAATGGTAAAGAGAGAATGAGAGAGAAGTATTACAAAAAAAAGATATTAAGCAATAGTATATTGGCATATTTGGCGTACAAACACTTTCAGGGGAAGTGTGTAATAAATCAAGAGCAAATTCAATATTAATCATGTATATTAAAGCCACGAAGGTTTTCACATAATTTTGAAATCTCGAAAAGCCTATTCTACTTCACAATAAATAAATTAAAAGATGTATCAATTAGAATCCCAGTTTCAATAGCTGGACTTGTATATACGTAGCATTACTGCTTCGGTAAACTCACACCGGAGTGTGTATTCTATATAGAGCATGGTCGAAACTCTGTGTTGTTTAAAGTGGCACGCCAAGATCTCAATGCTTCCATTACTGCGACCTCTTCCCGATCGGGTGGAATAAAGACAGGGCAAGATTCTGGAGGAAGATTGATATTAGGCCGTTGATCGGGTCGTACGATTGTGCGACGTGTGGTTCCACTGGTCGAACAATAGGTGGCGCTAGGCTGATCGATCGTTGATTTAACTTGATCTGCGAACAAATGAGAGACGTTGTAAGAGATATGATTTTGATCATTTATTTATTTTTACGCCCTTACCAATAAACACTACATCAGGATCGTCCATGCCTAACCGATGCCATGTCTCTTCAGAGCCTTGTATTAGATCAGCTCTTCTTTTAAAGAATGACTAGAAGGAATGGACGAGGTAAGACGACGAAAGACCAAGGAGGGTTTAATGTACTTGATAATGAATGCTCCACTTTGCAGGCCTGTGAATAACTCCATACTTTGGCTGGACACAGAAAGGGCATGCAATAGGAAGCAAAGGTGATATCTGACGCTGGGAAAGTTGTAGGAAGCATTCGGTACAGATTGGCTTACTACAACAGCGAGAGGTGTTGATACTCATGGGATAATACTACAATGGGATAAATATGTTGTTTAACTTCCAATTGATATTTTACCAAGAGACAAATAGGACATTCAACATTATCTTCATAAAGCCGACGAACTAGAGCTGATGAGCTGGCCGGTAAGGAAGGCAATTCACTAAGACCTGCGTTGTTAAGAATGGAATTGCATGGCATTAGATTACCTTTGTAGAATGGAGCAAGTCGACCTTGAAGGATTAGTTTTTTGACTGACTTGACATCCCATATGTCACAATGTGCATTATGGGACACAAGTGAACCATGATCTATTGTCAATTGGTTTTTGTCTTTTGAATTAACAATACCCATGTCTTAGCATTTAACATCATCATCCCCACTTTTATACTTGAGGTCTCATTTGATCACCAGTCACACAATCTAACATTTAACCCTTGTGTAAACCATCCTTAAGAGATCTACACTACAATTAATACAGCCTAAATAATTAAAATAATGTCAACTTAGATAGTTCAATACAAAAGCTTTGCTTGATAAACTCTTGGTACTTATAATGGCTATCAACAATTCTTGTAGAACAAAAACTATTATTTTGAAGTTCAAATAAAGAAGATGGGGTATATAACCAGTTGATTCTTTTTTTTATTAAAAAAATCATATATATATATTGTTTGTTTCAAATTTTTTGGTGTTTGATTGATCGCTACATAATCCGTGCCCACGGTGGGCGACTTGGAGATATCTAAGGGTAAAGAGGTAAGGAGAAAAAAATATTGCTTATATTATCCGAATATAAAGCGTGACTCAGAGAGCATATACCACTTCAGAATCCGAAGCGGAAGCAACAAGTATTGTATTGTGAACAACATACAATAAAGTATTTCGAATAATTTTGGATTCTACCTTTTGATAGTTAATTAAAGTATGCTACCTCTAAAAAAGTTACGGTGCTCTTTCTTTACTGTAACTTTTACTCGAATCAGCAATCTTACGGGGACGACGTCTCTCTACAGCCAGATCAATTCATTGTGCCTGCATGTTCAGGCCCGGTGTCTTCCTCTAATCCTTTATGGCGAAATGATGTGTCCTGAACAAATATAATATATTCATTGTACGCATTAACTTACTACTTTGTCTTCACACTTTCTGTGCTCATCAATCTCTCCATAGAAGCCTACCTCTCCTTCTTTTGGAAAATGTGGCCTGTTTTTGGGCGATTTAATAACGAAATGTTGTCATAAAAAAACCAAATCCTGTATATTCGATTAATAGATGTTTGCGTCCTAAATTTAAACTTACTTGGCCTTAAAAGATCATAATAATTAATCATAAATACACTCTATATCAAGAGCCAGTTATGCAGAAGATCGTAAAAAGTTGTTGTCATTAAAATGTGACGCAATTTTGTGAATACTTTACTATTTATTGGCCTTCTTACACTTATGATATCTTTTTCTTTCTTCCACCTATTGTATCTATATTACCAGAAATTGACCTAAGGTTTATCATTGAAAAAAGCCAGAACCAGTGTGAAAGCACCGACTGGTAAGTAATTCCCATCAACCCCTTTGCTTTTCTCAAAACAAAAGAAAATCTTGAGAAGAATATTATGTATCCTGGCTTTTCATTAACTATTATAATAAGAATGGGTCCTTAGGGACCAGATTGGGTTATTCTATGATGCCAAAAAGTCACAATTTGTGGTCCAGTAGAATCAAAATGTTTTCCACCAGAAAATGTCGTCCCCATAGAGTTATCGATTAATCTATGTACCTGTAGTCATGTACCACAAGCCCACGCTCCTCTGCTGGCTCATAAACATCCGTAATATCGAACACATATATTGCAGATGAAAAGACAGAAACATCCACAACCAGCAGCGGAGAAGACATATTAAGCTGTAATATAAGTCCCATATGTTACGCTTAAAAAAGGTAAGGAACAAGATCTGCAATTTATTTATGTCTCTTATATATATATATATATATATGTATCATTTGATTTATCGTACTATTCTGTAGCTAAAATGGTCTTAACGTGTTAGATCTTGACAACATTGATACCTTGAAATGTATGCCTGGGACTTTGTTAGAAGAATCCGACACTCGCATCAAACCATCGACTGATCCTCCAACAAATTAATCAAGTGAACCGTGCAAGGATATTTTGAATCTGATTGCCAAATCTTTTGCTATAGCAACATGTATAGAGACTCAAATAAAGGCTTTAATTGGAACTAATAATTCTCTGGATGAATCCGAATATTCCGACTATTATTTTGCGGAATATATACTTCATCATTTGTAAGTATCTATATCTCACCATTAAAAATATATTATTATTATTATTATTTTGATAGTTAGGTAGTTAACTAATCAAGCATATTTATCTCAATAGCTTGCAAATGATGACCAGCCCAAGAAACCCAATTCTATCCCCAATGAAAAAGAGGACAGTTGCCCCAATTACAACAATATACTTATTACACGCACTGTTCTTAAGCTGTAATGGACTAGTGTTTTTCTACTGGTAAACTAGTTCGAAACAAATGAAAAGGTTGCCTTCTAAATATATTAGGATTGAGCGTACAGCTGAGATAACAGGAGCTGTGAATCGGGACGGAATATGCTTTTCAATCAAAGATAAACGCTTCACACCTGAATTGATTGTATTTTCTGGAGGGGTTTATTTTTAATAATACCATATAAAAAGAGCAAGAAGATGAAAGCAAAATGATAAGAAATACGGCCAAGATATTGGAATATGGCATATATGTCCAAAAGAACAATTCTTTTGTCCCGCAGTTCTACTGTCGTTTCTTCAGTAAGTTGATTATGAATATATATGAATATTCAAGCCACAGATAATATTACTTTTAGTTAACCAGACCTTCCTTGAAGCCATATTTCTAGCTGACGAAGAAAAAAGGCTTGTGAAAAGAGCTTTTTGAATGATTTCCTGTCCGGTAACCCCACACGAGCTAAAAATCTTTACTGAAAACATTCCTATTATGTTAAAGTAGAAGCAGCCAACAATAAAATATGTGATAGGATCATAAAAGTGAAGAATAAAAACCATAAAAATAAAAACTAAGGTGGTCATGTTCTTTTACTTTTACTGACTATAAACAAACCAGGAATTATTGCTTTTGTTTATTGTTTCAATATGTGTTCCAATTAGCTTGCATAAGTGTATATATATAAATCTTTTGATTGCACTTTCTTCCACGATCAAGGCTCCTTTGATAGATATTAAAGTTTTGCTTATATCAGAGGTTCGTTTATTTTTACCTTCTTATTAATAAAAGGGATCAATTATTACAGACATAGGTGCTTCTTATTGATCAATTTAATTACAGTTGAGAATATTAAACAGGTGGTGATGATTGATTGTTTACACACGCGTAAAAACAATCAATCATAAGAAAAAATTTAAAAGTATATGGGTGTAAATTAGTCAGTAAAAGTTGATTAATGAAACAAATTTACTAGATACAAATTACCTTTCTCAGAAATACAGACTGCAAAAGATCCCCTGCATTTATGTAAAGAAGTTTTATTTTGATACGCAACGTTCGCATCTGGGTGCCTTTCACAAAAAAAAAGCAAAATTTTATAGCCCAGAGCGTTAGCAAGGGGGACAATACACCTTTCTGCTACTAGATGTTAAAGTAATAGCTAAGTAGACACCGTTGTTTGATAGTATAGTCTAAAGGAATTCCAGAACGGTGATAGGGAATAAGTACTATATTTTCATCAATTATTCGCCAACTTTAAATAATCTTTCACACAAAATTGTTTCTAAAATACTTGAAAAAGTATTTATTTATCGTAGCAGTGAGGAAATAAAACCATAGAATGGCAGATCTAGTCTTGACAATTGGATCTCTTGACTTTTTTTTTCACCAATTCTTTGATATATTCAGTGAGATTATCCTTATAATTTTGAGTGAAAATGTATTTACCGTTGTGCGAATAGTTTATTCAAAGTTGGCGAGTAATTAGTGAAAATATAGTAAGTATATACGTTATGACCGCAGCGCCATTAAGTCAGGTTCGGTTCGGTGCGACAATGTCTGGGCTGACACATTTTTTAGCTCGAAATGATCACTGTAGGGAATCGTAGGATTGAACGCCCCTGGTGCGCAACTTTGTTGTTCATGAACAGCTTTCTTCTAGGCAAAATAAGAATTAATGTTTTATAACCCCCGGATTGACAGCTTTTTTTCTACAGAGGGTATTTTCTAATAGACAGCTGTATATTGTCCTATCAAGAGCCACAAGCCCAAGTAATGTACACATTGAAATTAACAATGATAGTAACTTTATAAATTAAATGTTTCTATAGATTCCTTATTGAAGTATGACTCTCTTAATATTTGCACTTAATGTTTTATGAGCATATATATAAAATTATTAAAATTTAGACCAATTATATAGGTTTTGGACAATTGGTTATTCATTTCAACGGAAGACCCTCGAAGAGCAAACACAGGTTTTATGTATTTAAAGTAAGATGTTTTACCAGAGATGTATGTATGTATGTATATGTATATGTATATGTATATGCGTATGTATGTATGTAATAAGCTAGAATGATTTTTATAAATGTAATATGTAGTAAATTATGCTGATATTATTTTTTAAGATTTATTGTTTCTTGCGTCCCGTGGCTTTATAGATTCCTAAAGGAAGACCCAAGCGTTTCCTCTTCAGATGTTCAGTTCGAACCTTATCCTTGAGTTGCGTGGGGTTTCGATTGAGTAAAGCTTCTGGAAACTCGGCCTTTATCTCCACCCAATTTCCTGCCCCATGTATTTTCAAGCCCTCTTCCAAGGCAATTTCCTCCTCAGGGGTCCAAAAGGCTCGATATCCTGAAGAATCCATAGAACGCCGAGATAGAACTTTGCAAGCATCTGAAGGTGTGGATCTCATTGGAAATAAATCTATTTCTTTAAGTTCAACATCTTCATCATCGCTATAAAAGGAATGCTTTGAGGGAACTTTGATTGTTTTCTTTGCACCAGATAAAAAAGAGGCTGGCAGAGAACGAGAATTAGACGATAGGTTTGATGATGTAGGATGATTTGATGTTATATTAGAATCTGAGGATTCACCTATAGATGTTTGGGATAAAAGTTTTGTTGACAACTTAGAGCTATCATTAGACGTGTTCTCAGAAATTTCTGGATTATAAGGCACTGGTATTGGTAATTGATTATCCTCTCGTATTCTTTTTTTTGGGTCTTGAGCATCGAGGTACATAAGGTTTCCAGTTGGAGTGGTTGAGCGCCGTCTCTTGGACTCAGAAGAGAGTGGTTTGTTCTTGATAGATTTTTCAACATCATTATCGCTTTCTTCAAGTTCGTATTCTTCGTCTTTCTCTTGTTTGTGTTCTTCTTTTTGTTCCTGTTTAATATTGAAAATGATGCTTTTGTGTTTGTCTGGTTTAGTTGTTGAAGAATTGGTTGGATAATCATATGACTCTTCTGAATCTGAGAAGCCAACGTCGCTGGCCGAGAGTATGGTTCCGCCCGTTTTTTCGGAAAAGAACGAGAACTTGAGAGGTTCTGATTCTTCTAGGGGTTCTACTCTAGTGATAGGCTTTGGAATACTAGGCTGTATACGTTCTCTAATTTTGAGTTGTGAATTAGATTTCTCAAGAATAATGGCCATAAATTATTACCTATTCGACATTCCAACTCTGAATGGGCGTCCTCTTCTTGCTTTTGCTTTTGGCTTCTCATTTTTCTCAGATCTCTTTTTTAGTTGGACATTTGAATTCACATTATCCAAGACATCTTCTACCGCAGATTCATAGACACTATCTTCATCAGAATCTGATGAATCAAGTGTCAAGTTTTTATAGAGATGGGACATAATAACTGCCAGATACAAAATGGAATTGCAAGTCTACACAAAATGTCCTTGTTATCAACTACTTTTTTAAAACGCCGCTTGTTTGTTTTTGACTGTGTCTATGAAGGTTCTCTTTCTATCTTGTACGGTGAAGTGCTTCTATTGATTAAGTTATATCAAAAAGATTAAAAAAGGAAACATTTCAATATTACGCACAGATCTTGAAAGTTAAATTATACTATAAGCAAAAATAAAAACAAACAAATCTGTAATATCTAGACATTTAACATACACTATTGAGTAAATGATATTTTATCTGCGCCAACTTTATGCTCAATTTTGACAGGTTCACGTTCCTACAAAACAATACAAGAACAACCATCAAATGATTCCTATGTTGATCAATTCCTAATTTGAAGAACAATTTGGCTTCCAAAAATTAGGAATTGTCCTAGAAAGAGAAACCAAAACAAATTAAAAAAAAAAGAAATATTTTAGTAAGTACTTTTGGTTTTAATGAGCTAAAGTCTTGAATTTCAATTATATTCAGTTTTTTTTTTTAAAAAATTAAACTAAATAAGCACCCAATTTGATCAATTGTTTTTTTTTTGAAAATATATATATTGGTCAAATGTAGATTTATACCAGGATATTCTTTATTTCTATTTCTTTCTTAGGTACAGTAATTCAGGGCGGAGAAGTTGTCTCGTTTGTCTTCATTTGGATCAAAATATATTCTTTGTTTGCACCATCGTTACCATACAAATAAAAATTTCTTTAATGGCATTTCATTGACACCATTTAATTTTAAGATTCTCGATAATTTCTTTCTTTTTTTTTTGATAAATTATACGAATTCTTCTATTATAAGTATTTGAAAAATAGCGTTCAATATCTTCCTACTCATTTAAGAGTTACACTGAGAATATGAGCTAAAAGTACATAATACAAACAAGTAAAATGGATATTGTGATTTTTTAAAGTCAATTTTTAGAGCTGCGTTGTTCTTTTGCTCCAAAGTTAAATGTACAAGTAGCATTTTTTTTTGATCTTTAAAAAGAAAAGAAATAAGCGGGTGGAAAATCCAAGTCACAAGGTTCTTATGATTCTGCAAAATGGCATGAATTTGCCAATAGGGAGAGAGAAAAAGAAAGATAGAAAGATAGATAGATAGACACACATAAAAGTGTAGGGGAAGCAAAAAAAAAAAGGGAAAAAAAAAAGATAACTGGGAACCGAGTATTTTTTTTTCTCCTTCCTTTCTTCTTTATATAATTCCATTTTCTTTTTCTATCGTTTGATTCTGATGCGGCCAGCTTCAATTCATTCTCGGTCTTCGTCTTCGTCGTCTTCTTCAGCATTTTCATTTGGAAATGAAGAAAAACCTATAAGCCCGTCAGGCAGCTCAGGGAGCTCAGCATTTTTTTCTAAGCTAACCAGTACAGTCAGAGATACTCGATCAAAAGTAGAAGCTAAAAAAACAGAGCTCAATGCAACGATGCAGGAAAAGCTTCCCGAGTGGAAATCTCGCAGCGTAATGTACGGAAACATCGCACGAGAGACTGGCATTGAGTGGGGAAGGCGAGGAAAAGTAGCTGTAGAGCGATGGAAGAAAGAACGTAAGTAAAAATCTGGAAAAAAACAGTGTTTAAATAGTCTGGATCCTGACTTTACCATTCAGCTCTTACTTCGCCATCTACACCTCATCTTGAACATTCCGTGTTTGGTTTATCCCTATCTCTGGCGGTATCACGAACTCGGATAGATCCAGAAGACCCTGTGCCAGCTGTGTTTCGGCGGTGTGTGGAATATGTTGATAAACACGGTAAATCTCACCACAATAAAATATATTATCATATAATTCATAACTCACCCTTTTTCCCTTGTTGGTATAGGTATTATGGAAGTTGGGATTTATAGGTAAAGAGCAAGAAATACCAGAAATTTGTTTTTGCAAACCTTACAATGTATTCTATATTTTCACAGAATATCCGGAAGTACAAGTACTGTGAATGGTCTGCGGACTCTATTTGAGGATGGTAAGAAAAACTCGGTCTTGTGCTGATTTGTGATGAATATTTATTCTAAAATACTTTATTACAACACAGGTTCTGATGTTGATTTGGAAGTAACACAGCCAGACCCCCATGCAGTAGGAGCATTGTTAAAGATGTACTTGAGAGAATGTAGGTTGATAAAGACAAGACTCTATAATCTTCACAATGGAATCTAGTGGTTTGTTAATGATACTCATCAAATATTATATATATATAGTGCCTGATCCTATTATACCGACTGACTTGGCACACGAATACAGTCAGGTTATCTCAGAAGCCATCCGGACACAAGAGGATGTTGGAAAAGATACATTGTCTCTTACTCCTGCGCTCTTAAAGACAATGCGAAATATGACGGCATCACTTCCCCGAGATAGTTTTCATCTCTTGCGGCTTTTGTGTGCACACTTGAGACGGATCTCGGCGCAGGCAGCCACGAACCGAATGACGACGTCCAATCTGGCTCTCATTTTCATTCCCACCCTGGGTATTGGGCGTCATTTATTTTATTGCATGGTTGAAAACCCTAGCCTTTGGGATACATCATCCTCAGAAATACCACCAACTCCATCAACTCCACCAACTCCATCTTCTCCATCAACACCGGCTGGTCCGGTTCTTACCCCTCCTCCACTCCCTCAAAAACCCCTTCACATCAAACTCCACTGCTCTCCCTCCGCTACCACTAAACCGTTGCCGATTTCCACAAATCCACCACCCAAGCCAAGTCGCTCTCCTCACCACACTAAGAAGGGATCACCTCCAATCTCATGCTCACCCCCCGATCGCGTCTGGAAACGTACACATGGTACCAAGGTGAACGCAATAGGTCGTCAATTTGAAACGTTGATGCACAATTAATTACTTAATAAAAGAGAGATAAATATGTATGCTTTTCTTTATATATATATATATAAAAATGAGTTTATTTTTGTGTCTAATTTTTGTATACATACATGAATATAAAAAAAATGGTGTGAGTGAAAAAAAAGAAGTATGTTTTTTTTGGGGAGGGATTGTGAATTATGAACAAAAATATAATATAAGAAAATGACTACAAATAGATAAATAATAAGGGAAAGAATAAGAAAAAGATAGAGTTTTACTTTTTAGCCTTTCACTCTTCTTCTTCCTTTTTTTATATCAATTCCTGAACACGCTTTATCAGCTTAACTGGTAGCTGACGAGCACGCATCTGTTCTACAACCTCCTGCGCTTTGTCGCGGGCGTTGTTTGCCTGGTAAGCGTTCACCATAGCAATATATGTGCTTGGTTCACGGACTACACTTTTAGAACCGGCTGCATGATCTACCATTTTTCCGAACACAGCTTCGGCCTTATCAAGCTGCTTTTGTTCGCCATAGCATGTGATAAACAGGTTTTCAATGTAAGGTGACGAGGATTTCCCACTGGCCAACATGTTTTGGTAATATTCCTCAGCTCGAGAAACTTCATTATTCTCGATAAAGGTACTCAAAAGAACTTGGTGGACGGTATTATCAGCCGGTACGCCAGCCTTCTTCATCTCGTTGTAAACAGCCATGGCCGAGGAAACATCCCGGTGCAGACAGCCATAAGATTGAATAAGAGTGGCGTAGTGGCTGGCATTAGGTTGAACACCATGCTTCTGCATCTCAGCAATAAAACCATGGGCAGTAATCATATCATAGGCAGGAATGTTGGCGTATGCTTCAATCAGCAAGCGGTAAGTGTGGGCAGTAGGCTTGAGCATGTTCTGGTTGAGGAGGCGCATATACTCGAGGGCCTTTTCACGATTTGGGTGCTGTTGGACGTAGAACTGGATCATGCTATTGAACACACCAATACGGGGCTGGTAGTTGGGAGAACGTAACATCTCGTTAAAGTACTTGACAGCACTTGTTTCAAAACTGCAGCGAACACAGGCAGATACAACACTTGCATAAGTAATAGAATTGGGAGTAATTCCAAAGTTCTTCATTTCATCAAACAGGCTCAGGGCGGTGTCTCCCTTGCGGCACTTGGCCAGCTTGGAAATAATGACATTGTAAAAATAGACAGTTGGGCGGACACCGTTTAGCTTGGCTTCCTCATAGATATTCATGGACTCGGCAAATTCATCAGCGGTATTTTCACAGACACACACAAGGTAAGCACCATAAGCATCGGCATTAGGGAACGTGGTTTGTTGACGGATCTTGTTGTAAAACTGCTTAGCCATAGGGAAGTTCTTTGAGCGAGAATAGGCAATCATCATGGCATTGTCAATAGTCTGGGTTGATCTGAAATAGCTGTGTTTGTCGAGTCGCTTGAATGGAACCTGAGTGGAATCATAAATCTTCTTAACCAGTTCAATATCTCCTTTCTTTGTAGCATACTGGATCATATCGCGTACAGCCTCCGGGGTTGGGATCTGTCCAGTTTTAATGATATCTTCTTCAAGAATACGCAATGCATCGGCTGAGCGGTTTTCGATGGCTGCCTCTAATGCCTTTCCAGAGAGAATATCTGCTGTGAGAGTCACACGGGATTCTGGGACTATGATGGAGCCATCGACTGTGTCAATTGTTTCAGATTTGGTTTTGTTGGAGATTTCTTCCTCAAATGAATCCTTGTATGGTGCCACGGCTTCTTGCCAGCGAGCAAGTCCTTCACTGTCGTTGTTTTTTTTAAAGCGCATGATCACGCGCATATTGAGACTAACGTCGGGCTTGATACCGAACTGACGCATATCCTCCAAAAGTGTCATCACCTGGTCTGAGAAATCACGGCTGGTCTTTTCAGTGCAAAACGTAATATTAAACAGACGGGAATAGACAGAGGAGTCGATATCTTTGGAAAAGGCAGCCCAGATATCACTGTCAGTCTTAGCCTTTGCATAAAGATCAAGATAATGGTTGGCATCGGGACCGACCGGGTGAACATGGTACTTTTCTCCAATCTTCATTACTGAGCTGGCAGTAATAATATCAGAACATGAACGAAGAGTATTCCAGAGTATTCCAAAGTATGGGGAGCTGCTGTTTACAAAATGTGTGCTGGAGTACATGTCCAATAGCTCTTTAAAAACACTAACAGTCTTGGAAGGGTCTCCCTTGGCGATAAATCCGTCAACAACAGCACGGGTCATGTTGGCATCCAAAATAATTCCACGCCCACAGATCTCCTTGAGAACAGATAAAGCCCTCTCAGGCTCCTCTTTCTTGATACACAAATGGATATAGTCAGCCAAGTGTCCAAATTGGCGGGAAATGTCGGTTTTCATGAGCTGCGAGTATGTCTCATTTGCGTGCTCGATGTCCAGGGCTTCACAGTAGCCACTCAATAAGTTACCGTATGTGTCGGTGTTTGGATCAGGAAGTGTGGGGGTAGTGGCGAGTTTGTCGACAAGGGCTACGGCAGTCTCAAGCTGTCCCTGACGACACATGGAACGAATGATCTTGTTGTAGCTTACAATGCTCGCTCCAAGTCCATCTTTCACCATCAGATTCTCTAGTACATCAAGAGCCTTGGGAATATCGTCGGCACGAACATATGCACAGCACAGAGAGTTGTAAACTTGAGCAGGATCATGTTTTGGTAAATTATCTTGGACCATTTTGTATTCCGCAAAACATTCTTGAACGGCAGGGAGTCTCTTGGCTCCGCCAAACAATAGCATCAATGCCTCAAATGTACTGCTGTCAGGTCGGATACGATGGTTCTGCTCGAGCTGCTCGTAGATGTACATACCGTCAGTAATATTGTTGTGGAGAGCCAGGACATACAAGAGTCGGTTGTAAGTCTCAATCTTAAAGGCTCCTGTAGCACGTTCTGCAACTGCTCGGTCAAAGAGAGCCAAAGCTTGCTCGATATTTTTTTCACTTTCGAGCTCTTTGATACCAGAAACAGGTGCTCCATTGCGTACACTCTGACGATGGAGCATGCTTAAGATTTTCTTAACTTGTGAATCTCTCATACAAAGTGAATTGATTAAGAGAGTGTAGGATTTCGAGGAGAGTTTGATATCCTTTGCGATCATTTCTGAATAGACGTTCATCATGGGAACCAAAGGAAGGTTTGGTACCTGAATTCGACTGTAGGCATTTAGGACGGCTTCGTAGGTCTGTGCTGGGATCTCTGCATCGGACTTCTTACTGGCAACAAATGCATCGATTACTTCTCTGGGGTTAGGCTCGCGATTAAGAGCAGCTCCCTCGATCGCTGTACGTTTGTCATTTGGTGAAATGTTCTGTCGGAAGCGATTCTGAGGTTTTGCACGTTTTGTGATCCAGGGCTTCGTAGGTTGGAAAGTGTTGGTATTGTTGTCATTTGTGTCTGAAGAAGTTTGTTTGTACTGGGCAGAAGCACGAGTGGTGTAGGGTAGTTTGGCAGTTGTGACATTGCGGGAGGAGATTGAAGAGAGGAATGTGGAAGCTTTAGGAGCAGCATTGGCACCTGAGAGCTGCTTTGCGATCACTCCCTGACGGGTGACGGTATTTAATATAGTGGAGGTTCCTTTAGCTCCGTACATGAAGAGTTTGGAGAATAATAACAAAGAAGTGTTATTTTTGAGGTACGCTGTTCTTTATTGACTGCTAGGTTTATAATTCCCTTTTTTTCTTCTTCCTAACAGTTCCACATCGGCCCTTTATTTTGAGTCAAAAATAAATAAAATGCGACGGGCTTCTCATTATTCTGACGTCCATGGATTTGGGTGTTATGATTGGCTAGTTTTACGGAAGAGGTTGGAAATTGTGGTTTACCCGAGAGAATCCAAAGGAAATGAATACTAAACCGACCAGTTAAAATCTAACTTTCAAACCTTGAAACATATTGACAAGTAAAACAAAACCAAAACCCAAAAACAATAATAACAACGAACAGAAAAAAATGACCAACTGGCGAAGTCAGATAGGCAGGATAATTGTCCCAAGAATAGATTGAAAATCCAGTAACAGTGAAAAAAAAATAGTAGCGCCCAAAGAACCCCTTTTCCCCCTCAAACCCCTTGATTTACAAAGCCAAGCACTTTGACGAAATGTACCCACACATACATACATATATACATATATACATATATAAAAATAATAGAAGATCAAGGAGGTAGCATTTGTGTTTTGGCTAGTTTTCTCTTTTGAATTCACCTTTTGCTTCCTCTTTTTTCTTTCTCTCTTTCTCTCTTTCTTTCTTCTCTTCTTTTCAAGATATTTCCAATGTCTGTGTCTAGCCAAACAAGACGCTTTATCAGAACAAGCTGTTCCCAAAATACCGAAACCGAGTCAAACTTGCCGGTTCCTAGCCGGCAGCGGCAGTCACGAAAAGATGAGGTAAGACAAAGGTGATGGCAAACCAGGGTCCTTATAGTGTACACAGGCCATTCGGAAGAAGATTGAGCAGGAACTATCGCGCAAGAAGTCAGGACTACCTAGGGCTCGCCAGACCAAAAAGGTTGCTGGGACTGTATCTTGTCTTCAGCCATCTCAGGCTCTGACAGTAAAAGAGACCATGACAGTAATAGAGGCTGCACAATTGATGGCTGCAAAAAGATGCGACTGTGTATTGGTGGTTGATGAAGAAGAGAGATTGAGTGGTCTATTTACAGTAAGTTGAACTACTAAGCATGAAAGCCAAGAAGATAAAAGCAACAATGGTGTCTTTATTCATGTCGATTACTATTACTATTATATATATATAAAGGCAAAGGACATCACATATCGAGTTGTTGGAGAAGACAAAGATCCAAGGTAAATAAAAAAAAACAGAAATGTAAAGCAAAGCAAGACAAAGCGTAAGAGCACCAGAACAGAAAAAAAGATGAACACTTTACGCTAGGGCCATCTTGGTTTCTGAGATAACTACAAGAAACCCCATGTGTGTCACCTCAGATACGTCTGCACAGGATGCACTCCAGCTGATGGTGTCTCGGGGCTTTCGTCACTTGGTAGGACTACTTTTGTACTCTGTGACTATTTTTCGGCTGACAGGATTTGTTTATTAGCCTGTATGCAATGATGAAGGAGACGTGTTTGGTTTGCTCGATATCACGCAATGTCTTAATGAATCCCTAGATAAACTAGAGCGCTCGTTTAGTCCTCCTTGCAAGCCGATTGATACCTTGAGTCAGGAAGCTGCGGATGGTAACGGATCCCCAAGTCCGCTTTCACCTCAGCCAACGAACGCTTTGGCCGAGTCGGGGAGGCCCAAGCGAATCTGCTCGGATCTGGCTAGTGTTATGACACCCTCTGTTCCGGTGCAGGTCTCAGCCAAGACTCATGTAGATACCGTTGCTAAACTTATGAAAGAGTATCAAACAACTGCCTGTGTGGTTGTTGATTCTAGAGGACTAGCCGGGATTATTACTGCAAGTATCACATTTTTGTTTATCTTATTTTATTTGTTTGGCTCTCATATATGTTTTAACCATTCCGGATAGTCAAAGGATATTGTTTTAAGAGTAATTGCAGCCGGTTTAATTCCTGCAGATTGTTCAGTTGTGCGAGTTATGACACCACGCCCGGACATTGCTTCCTCTTCATTAAGTTTAATTGAGGGACTAAAGAAGATGAAATGTAAAGAAAAAAAACAAAACTCAAATAAAGACACCATTATGGTGTGCTATTTTTGGATCGTTAAACCAATAAAAATCTAATTATTTAACATGTATGTATGTATTTGCTGTATAGATGGAAACTATCTTCATTTACCAGTCATTGACGGAGAGAATACCACAGTTGGTTTAGTGGATGTTCTGGGTCTGACGGGGGCTGTGCTTGAACAGGTAACATATTTTAGGTTTATTAAAGACCTATAAAAGAAAGAAGTTAATTTTTTTTTTAATTATGGCTTGGTTTGGAATAGATCCACACAGCTGTAGAAGGTACCGAAGTACCCAAATTCTGGAGAGATAGGGTCTCACCATTAGCAGCATTATCAACAAGAACAAGAATTGAAGGACCAACCGAGACTTCGGCTGTATCCGACGGAATACCTCAGTCTGGTAGGTCACCTATGTCACCCATGCCAACAGCAATTGTCCCACTTGAGCCTAGTCGGTCATACCAGTCTGCCTATGCTTCAGTATTTCAAGTCTCGGACCTCAACTATGACCTCCATTCAGACCTCCATTCAGACCTTCACTCTACCGTGTCTTCGAATACTCAGGGCACTTTTTTGTTCAAATTTGAATGGGATTCAAATGTTTATCGGTTCAGATCCGGCGGAGCTAATCTGTCTGCAATTTACGATAATGTATTCCGCAAAATATCTGATGGAGTTCCGGTTGAAGGGCTTACACTTGCCTATCTGGACGATGAAAATGACAAGGTTCTGATGACTCATGACAGCGACCTTGTAGAGGCCATTGTGCTAGGTCAAAAACTAGGTCTTGACAGAGTACGCCTGTTTGTCAACTACCCACGCGCCACGAACACGAACATGAACACGAACACGGATGAAGTAAAAAGTAACGATAGTGTGGACTGCGGTGCTTTAGGCTTGGATAAGACTGAGTTGGCCACCCACGGACGACCATCCCAACCGCACGACATTAAACTTAACGGAGTTTCTTCGCAACAACAACAACAACAACAACAACAACAACAACAACAACAACAACAGCAGCAGGAACAACAACAGGATAAAGAGCACGTAACACATAAAAATTGTACAACTACCGGATTTGTGACACAGGAGTTATTTTTACCTACCGCAATAATGTTCTTGGGTTTTGTGATTTTAGGTGTATTTTCCATGGTCAAGGTGTCGACCGTACATGGTAGACTTCGTTAACCAGAGAAAAAAAATAAGAGGGATTTATTTGTTTGTGCTATGTTGTGCTATGGTGCTGTGGTGTGCTGTGGTGTGCTTGCTATTTTGTTTTGTTGTTTATGTATCTGCCTTTTTTTTAATAATATCATATATTATTATTACTACTACTACTACTACTATTATTATTATTATTATTATTATTATTATTATTATTAATATTATAAGCTATTAGCTGAATGAGTACTGGATCGAATTTAAATATGTTTAAATTTGTTTTGAAAGCAAGGTATTAAGCACAGAAGGATGTAATGAGCGTATGTTACTCAAACCAAGTTATTGAATACACGCGCTATTGAATAGCGAGGGAGAAAAGATGAAGGGAAAAAGTATGTGCGCTAAAATAAAGCATGATTTTTCATGTGGAGAGCGTGTGGGTTTCTGTTGATAGATGAATGCACTGACCCTGCTGCGATCTAATTTTTTTTTAGTTAAAAATAATAATAATACAAGGTGGTCTACAAAGAATCATGTGAAAGAATATATTTAAAAAATAACTGTTCAACAAGAAGGCTGCAAAGAAAATAAGAACAGAGAATACAAGAGACAAGCCTGTTCTACGCTTTGTGTTTCCTTCCCTAAAGGTACAATATTGCTTAAATATACCCAACGAATGTTAGACAAGAAAAAGAAAAGAAATAAAGAAATAAACTCATCCAAAACCTACTGTTATGCTCAGCCAAAATACTGCCCACTTCATAATATGTATATACGCAATATAGATTGTGATTAAAGAATAACTTCTAATATATATATGTGTATAGAAAAGGAACAATATAATATATTAAACATGTTGAATTGAATTGAATTGAATTGAATTGAATTGAATTGAATTGAATTGAATTGAATTGAGTTGAGTCGAGTCAAGCCGAATTGAAACGAGTTGAATCGAATTACATTAAACTGAATCGAATCGAATCGAATTGAATTGGATTGAATCGAATCGAATTGAAGTTAAGGAAGTATACACAATATTCTAAAAGAACATTTTTTTTAAAAAAAAAAATTGAGTTTATTTTTTATTTTTTTAAAAAAAGAAAGAAAGGTGAGGTGGAAGGACAAAAATATGAACGGACTGACGGGGGAATATAATAGACATATAGTTATTACTTAATATACATGCGGGAAGACAATGCAGTTGTGTTTCGGTGTACCGTCAAAATAACATGCAAACCAGTCTGTTTGTGTTCAGTTGATACAACGCGCTTGGAAATCTAGACAAAATACTTCTTCTTTGCTTTTTTTGTTGATTTATATTATCTAAATTCAAAGGCTCGCGTGGAATATGCAGTAGCTCAGGGGAGTGGTATCTAGGCTACTTTGTCGAGCATTTTTGGTCGGAGATTTGTAAATGCAGGCTGCTTTTATTGACTTGCACGTTTGGATCAAATGTCTATAACATGTCTAGGTTTGACAGCGTTGAACGGAGGTTAATTCCGAGGCTGTGACATATAAAATATATACAGTTTTTATATAAATTATTGAGTTTATTCAATATCACAATGTCTACATCCATTGCTGTCACAGTGTAAAGGTTAAATAGTAAAAAAATAAATAATAGAAATCTTCCTAGTTTGGCTCTTGTATTGACCAAGACATGATACCAAGTGAATTAAAGCTGCTGTAATCGAATTCCAAGAGTAACTTGGTTTACTAACCATATAATCTATAATATTTTTTTTAAAAAAAAAAACTAGTATATAAACAACACTTTCGCATAAAATGTCCTTTTGTATTCAATCACATCTTCCTTCCTTACAACTCTCCTTCTCTCTCAACCTCAACCAAAAAACCAGAAAAAAAAACCATGTTCACTCCCAGAAATAACCAAAAGTCCCTTCCGTCGATTGAGCACATCCTCACTCCCGCCACCAGTCCTCTCACCAATAGTCCCTTGTCGCCACCAGCCACTTTCCCTTCCCCTCAGAAAGCCATTCACTCCGTTCGCAAGGCCTCTATTGCCTCTCTGCTCAACTCGGACCCTGAGCTACGCCGTCTTGATGAGGAAGAGAATTTGTCCAACTACCAGTCTCATTTTAGCAACCCTGTTCTCCTGTCTATAAAGAGAGGAAGACCCTGCAATTCGGTAGACCAACCACTCAAGAAGCGTAAATCCCCCCCTTCTTCACTTGACCTTCCACGCGCAACAAAGGGCCTCCGTCACTTTAGCAAACAGGTGTGTGACAAGGTTGAAGCTAAAGGCGTCACGACTTATAATGAGGCAAGTAAATCAAAGAATTTGGAAACTTTTTTTTTTACAAAAAAAAATAGTCTAACATTTTGTGATTTGTGATTTACAGGTAGCTGATCAATTGGCCAAAGATATCCAAGCCTTGAACCCTGGAGACGAGGTAAATATATATTTAAAGAAAGCAAAGGCGAATGTTTTGTAGACATGATCTTCTTACTCTTGTATTTTTATTAGCATGTCTACGATCAGAAGAATATTCGCCGTAGAGTCTACGATGCCCTGAACGTTCTCATGGCAATGAATATCATCACCAAAAATAAAAAAGAAATCAAATGGCTCGGAATCCCATCCTCCCTCAAATCGTCTTCTGAGGCTGGTGATCGTGCAAAGCAACTTCAACAGCAAATTGAACAAGAAGAATTACTTCAGGCCGAGCTCATTTCTCGCAAACAGCAGACCACCCGCCAACTTACCAATAAGGTTGGCCAATATGTCAAGATTAGACAGCTCATTCATCGCAACCAAAAATCACCTCCTCCCGACCAGTCCATCATTTCAGAATTGCCTATCAATCTGACAACTGGATACAACAACGAGATCAGCTGCGAAGGCAAAATGTCCAAGTACCCTATCTATGACATCCTTGACTCCATCGATCTTCCCTTTTCTTCTCACCCAGCCATCTGGCTCCCTGACCAGTCCTGGTATAAGTATCTGCCTGAGCCCACCCCTTCCGTTCTTTCTCCTGTTAGCCTTGTCTCCTAAGCCAAAGAAAAAAAATCAATCAAAAAAACAAAACAAAAACCACTAAAAAAATCACCAAAAAAAAAAGCCAAATCGAATTCACAATGAATTCGCAACTCATCACATTCATATTCACTAAGATTTATTACACAACCCATTTCTCTCTTTTTTGAACCCTTCTCATCTATTTATTTATTTTTCGTATATAGTTCCTTTTCTACCCCCCAAACCCTTCACTTATCTTTTATTCATGCAAAACCAACCTATCTATTATCAACCCAAAAGCACTCTTTTTTTTCATTATTATTTATTATTCATTTTCCTTTCATTTTTATTTATTTATTGAAAATTCGGTAATTTGTTTTCCTTTCTTTTTTTTCTTTTTACAAAAAATTCACCTTGTTATATATTATGCTTTCTTTAACACATTCATATTCCATTTGCCATATATACTTCACGCGCATGCACACAATTATTAGCTTATAAATCACACACAAACACTCATACGTACATATACACACACACAAATTCATATACCAATTCATATTCTATATCAAATAAAGCACACACAAACGATCAAAGCGTATAATTCATATAAAGATATATAAAACACGGTCTCAAATTATCTCTTTTGTTTGTTTGTTTGTTTATTAATTAATTAATTATTAATTTATTAATTTCTTGTTAATATTAATAAGTAGATTTTGTTAAGTTTTTTGATTTCTTTTTTTTTTTTTTTTAAAAAAAAAAAGAAAGGGTTTTTAATTTTTGTCTTCCAAATTAAATGTACTCATATCAGGCTCAATTGGACTGTTCAACAAAGAAGATTTGGCTCCTTTTGGCTGTGGGAACAATTTGGGGCTAATGGGAATCAATGGGCTCATGGGTTCTTTGATAATCTCACCGCTTGCACCAACAGGCGGGAGTTTAAGCTTAAGACCACCCTTCTTTCCCTCTATGGAACTCGTGTCACCCGCAGGCTTCTTACGGATAGAGTTGGCCCGAGCTGTAGGTTTGGCTCGATGGGTATCTACAGCCTCAATATCCACTAAAATAGAAATGGCGTGTTATTTTTAACATTCTTTTTTTTTATTTGACATATTTCATATATGTATTATGCATTTATTTATAATCTTACCTTTGAAGCGTTTCTCTTCACATCCATAGGCCTTTGGAGTGAGTTCAATTAATGTGTGTAATGGAATCTTGAGATAGGGAAGGTCTTCATGGCTGTGGTTCATAAAATATGCGTATATACATCTTAGAATGGCTTGGTGTCCAATAATCAAAATGTTCTCTTGGCGTTCAAGGTCCATAATGACAGGTTCTAGACGAAGCACGACATCGCGATAAGACTTTGTTGTTGTTATTGTTGTTGATTTGTATTAGTAATTTAAACATATAGTAAATTCTTTTAATATACCTCTCCGCCCCTGTATCGGTAGTTGAATTTGTCTTCGTCTCGATTGGCATAGTCTTCGGGATATTTTTCCTATATTGATATCATTAGCTTTAGACCTCATCAAGCATCAAGCATCCTAAATCTTACCTCAATCTCTTCATAGGTCATACCATCGCACACACCCGCATCAAGCTCGTCAAGAGCCTTCCACTGCAGCTTGGGGTACATCAGACCCTCAGCAGTCTGGATAGTACGCTTCATGGTAGAGGTCCAGACTGTCAAGGGTTTGTTTCCAAGATGCTCATTGATCAGGTCCGGTAATTTGATTGCATACATTTCGCCTCTTGGGGAAAGGTAAGAGTCACCTCCGAGTTTTCCACTCAAGTTGTAAGCAGACTCACCGTGCTAATAATTCCCGCAAAAACATGAGTACAGTGGCACGTGTATTTTTTGTATTTTTTTTTGTATTAAAAATCAACTTACTCGGCTCATGTAGATTTTTCGAGGCACAATGTGGAGATTCATAAGATAGTACACAATTCGAGACTCAAGATAGCCCTTCACAAGGTTAATAACAACCTGACTGCCGACGTTGATAAGCTTGATGTATGTAAAGTCTTTCTCAGTGATTGTTTCATATTGCTCTTTGTAATGCTCAATTCGGGCTTTAAAGTCATCGGCAGCCAGGGCAGGATCCACATTGGCATAATCGGGTGAAGAAAGCTTGACGTCCTTGATATTTGCCACAATCAACTCTTCATCCTGGCAGATACTTTCAATGAAAAACACCTGAGTATCTTCCTTGGCCAATTTGTCGTGGATCCACTGTCGACGTTCGTGGGTGCTGTTTGTGGCATCATAGATAGCTACAATACCCTGGTCCTCATTGAACCACCGGATCATGTCATGCAGTGCAGCGTCGGCTGCTTCTCTACGTTGTTGCTGGCCAACCTCATTATGGGGGTCAAAGAATGTATGGCAGAGGTTGGCTCCGTGAAGTTGACGACGATAGTTTCCGACATTAAATACTTTGGTGTTGATTCCTAGCCATGTCAGGTAGCGACAGACTATTGTTATGTAAGAAAAATAATAAAAAGGTGCACAATATACTTTGTTTTTAGACAATTTGATTCTTTCAGTGTCACAGTAACCTACCCTTTTGAGCAATGTAAGTCTTTCCTCTGGCAGGCAGTCCTACCATCTAAGATGGAGGGTTGGCATGTCAGAAAAATAATTACACATTCCTATTTTACTAAACAGAAAAAAAAACGATGGTATTTCTAATTATTTTCTATATAGATAAAAGAGACTTTTGTTCATACCACACAAGCGATACGAAGATCTAAGCCAAGGTATTAGAGGGGTAATCTTTTTGAGTTTTGTTGATGACTTACTTGTTGTCATTGTAAATGAATATTGTTTTTTTTTTGAAAGATAAAAAAAAATGAGAGAAAGAAGTATTTCTAAAATAAGTACTAAAAGATAAAAGTGATAGAAAGAGAGCGGTTGTCTAAACTGGGTCTCCTTTTTTTTTGTTCACGCCACCCTCACATCATACTAAAGAGCTCAAGTCCAATCAAAAAGGAACATGAAGATAACTCGTTTCTGTCTGACTCCGGCCAAATTCAATATGGTTCCTTTATTTTATATATTACGATTATAAAACTCCTCTTCTCTTAAAGATGGGAAAAAAAATGACTGAAGAATATATTTTAGTGTATAAAATGAGTGCTGTAATTGTTTACACAATTTCTTACTAATTAATAATAATTATTTAATTAATTAATTAATTTTATCATTTTTTTTTATTTCAATAAAACAAATGATCTGCCCTCCTCTCCCTTTTTTTAAAAAAAATGGTTCAACAATCTCTTGTAATTTTTTGAATAGTGACTGTTTTGGTGATGTCTTCAATCACAAAAGAAATTACCCATTCAGAATTAATAGAAAGAAAGGTCTTTAAACCTATTTTAACATCTAGTTATCTTATTTTTTTTTCTATCACCATTTCTTGAAAGAAGAGCATGGACCATTATTACGGTAACAATATACATAAAGATAAATATGTATATAAAGTGTATACATAAATGCAATGTATCTTTATATATACATTTATAAAGCATTTTTTATTTGATTTTCGTGAGTTGAACAATATATTCATACCAAAACGAAATAAGCCTTTGCGGGTCCACGCCCACCTCACAGGCAATTTGTGCCTGGAATGATGCCTCCAATGCCTCATGAACAGGTCATGGTTGCCGAGAAACATGAAGCATTACGTAGCACATTGGCAGATCTAGGCAATGACAAGATGATAAAAGCACTAGATGACCTGAGAATGATACTCCAGATGATTATGCAGGATTGCTCAAGGGCAAACATTGAAGTAAACCATTATTTTCTCTACTATATACATTTACACATGTATATGCATATAAAACACAAGCATAGAAGATTGGAAATGCAATAGACTTTTCTGATCGTCATTTCGATAGGCAGGAAAGACATGGTCATTTGAGTATTGCTGCCATCCTGCTAGAGCAGAAGCCCTGATAGATTTTATTTTGGCTTTATCTTTATCTAAACCAACATTTGAAGAACGTTTGCATTTGCTGTATCTGATAAATGATGTCTTGTTTCACTGGTAAGATTGTCTAATAAACATACATATGTATATATGTATACATTCATAGAAAGACTTATTTATTTTGTCTGTCTGTCGGTGTTTATTTGGACCTACCAAATTTTAACAGTATTCGCCGTCAGTTACCTTGGATGAAAGAGTTGATCTTGCATCGACTGGTACCTTTGTTGAGAACAGTCTATCATTGTCCAGGTGCAAATGAAATGACAAAAGCCAAAGTCAACAAGGTAATTTCAATTGAAATTGCAATAAGATTACCATTTTTATTTTTGAAAATAAAAACAAAAACAAAACATATGCATATGCATATACATATACATATACATATTGTATTTAATAAAATGTTTTCTTGGGTTTACTGCAGGTTATGACAATTTGGGGAGATAAAAACTTCTTTGCACCAAACATAATTCATTCGATCCGTGAAAATGTGTATATACCTCCTCCACCTCATATGCCTGTGCTTGGACCACCACCTGGAATGCCAGGAATGATGCCAGGATTTAGACCTCCTTTTGTACCACCTGGAGCAATTGGACCTATGGGCATGCCCCCAATGGAAGGTTCAAATCCTGCAAAAATGCCCACACAAATGCCGCCTCATCTTGGTGTACCCCCAAGACCTCATCCTAGTAGAGGAATGGGAGTAGGAGTAGGAGGAGGCTCATACCTCCCACCTACATCTGCTATATCCACACCCATACCTACACCTGGACTTGGCCCTGGCCCTGGACTTGGACTTGGACTTGGATCAATCCCAACATCTGGAAAGAGTTCTAACCCTACCACAGCTCCAGCACCACCTCCAATCCCTGCATCTCCGCCAAAACGGTATTACGAACTACCAGCCGGTTGGATGGTGACAGCCCATAAGGTAAATCAAAATTCCCTTGTTGAAAAAGAAGAAGGAAAGGCACCAAAAATAGAATAATAAGATTAAGAGTCGAAGGACGGCATAAGAATAATAATAATAAGATTAAGAGTCGAAGGACGGCATAAGAATAATAATAATAAAAAAAAAGAACAAGCTTTTAAATACAAAGCGCTATTTATATTTATGTATATGAATTATCTCGACAGAATACAGCCGAACCATACACACCGATTGATCCAGTCGCTATACAGCAACATCATCAACAAAGTCAAAAGAACCCATCCATAGCAAACTATTTAAAAGCACCACTAGAAGATTTTTATGATGGCTTGGATCTGAACGACCACTCAGATACCTTTGAAGAAAATACTGACGGACGTGTGGATCGTAATGGATGGGAGCCTGACTATCTCAAAGGATTTTACGAGCGAATTAAAGCATGGTCTTCATCAAGACATGGGCGCGATGGGGAAAAAACGGAAGGCAAGCGAAAAAGAAGAGGTAGTTCAAGGCATTCGGATAGCTACCGCAGACGCTCAAGAAGATATCCAGACGAACGAAGTCCAAGTAGAGGAAGAAGTCCGAATAAATACAAAGGAAATCTTGAAAAGAGGTAAAAAAAAATAGAAGACGAAGAAGAAACTTAATTATTATGTACATAAAAAGAAAGAAATAATAGAGATCTGACATATCATGCAATTATGCAATTATGCAATTTTTTATTTTTATTTTATTTTTATTCAGAAGGCACCAATATCGGTCATCGAGTCGTAGTCACAGTCGTGGTAGATCTTCTAGCGGAAGTCGTGGCCGAGGTCGTAGCCATAGTAACAGTCGTAGCCGAAGCCGTAGCCACAGCAGATCTTCCAGGGGAAGTCGCAGCCGAAGCCACAGCCGTAGCCGCAGTAACAGCAGCCGTAGCCGTAGCCGTAGCCGTAGCAGTCGTAGTCGCAGTCGTAGTCTTAGTCGCAGTCGAAGCCATAGTCGCAGTCGTAGCCGTAGCCGTAGTCAGAGCCGTAGCAGAAGTCATAGCCGTAGTCGAGCGGGCAGGTCCTACTCAAGTAGACGCTCAGTGTCTCCAGTGGGATTCAGGAAACTTCAACCACATTCGGATTCTAAAAGATTCAATCGTCATTCACCCCCACCGTTCCACGGTTCGATGGAAAAGAAAGCAAGTGAGGGGTGGGGGGTACCACATCGATTCCAACCTGCAGAAGAAAAGCCAGTTTGGAAAAATCACGGATCTGATCGGGATGGGCGACACAAGCAAACTATCTGCCAAAATTGCTTCCAGGTAAGGAATATTCAAAACAATGGGCATTTTAGCATCATTTGTGCATTATTTCTCGTATTTATAAATTTCTTAGGCTGGTCACTCGGCAAGAGAATGTAAAGGCGGTGGGTCTTCTTTCTATCCTGCCCGTTAAAGAGCAATCAACTATCGTGCTCAGTCATACTTTATTTCAAAGGACCAAAGGTCTCTAGCACAATAAACATCATTATCCTTCCCTCCAAACTCTTTGATTGCCAAAGATCGAATTTCTTCCATAACCTCTAGACTCTCTGGACTCTCATCTCCCTTGTAGCGCACACTAAAATGAGTCAGGATCATCTTTTTGGCGCCCATCTGCTGTGCTAATTTTCCAGCCATTTGTGGAGTAGAGTGTCCATGAGACAATGCCTTTTCCTCAACTTCTTCATGAGTAGGCGGCTCAGTCCCTGGTTTGAGGCCTATTACATCTAAACTGGTCAGAGCATTGGTTGCTTCATGGACCAATAAATGGGGTTTGTTCTGACATAGACTGATGATAGGAGAGGCGTCCGAAGTGTCGCCCAAAATAATAATTTGTCGTCCTGGGCGCGCCACAGGTGGCATAAGAATAGCCCCATCGGGTAATGTTACTGGTTTTAGCGTTCGCTGAAGCTGACCTAAAATAGCCAAAGGATTTTTGTATCCCTGAGCCTTGAGTGCCTCAGAATTTCGTTGCAGAATTGGTGTGAGTGTCTTGATATCCAGCTGGCCGGGAAATTCGGGTTCCTGAACAAGGAATCCGAGAGAAGGGATAGAGTGCTTAATTGGTACCCCCACAACTGTGTATGCTACATCACCCTCTGTACAGTTCATCACATAGTGCGGGGTCTTGTTCGGATTTTTAGTATCCCTCACAAGCCGTAAGTTCTCTCCAGGAAGCTCGCTGTCGTGATAATCAGTACTCGTGTCAGGTGTATCACTGTCCAGCAGGAGTTCGTGAACACGGTAAGGGCGACCTAGATGAGAATACGTGGATTTCAAACTTGTTCTCAGCCAATGTCGTAATGGACGTGGTCCGTAAATCTCAATTGGTGGGTCGTTGGCACGAGGCAACCCGGAATTTAGATTCTCGGTCATGCTACATAACAATGGTGCCAAACCAAAGCAATGATCACCATGCATGTGTGTAATGAATATGCGTGTAATTCGGCCCATCTTTAATTTACTCTTCTGTAGCTGATGCTGAGTTGCCTCTCCACAATCAAACATCCAAATGTCGCCATTCAAGCGGAGAGCCATGGCTTGGTGATTTCGTGTTGCACTTGGCTGAGCACTACCAGTGCCAAGAAAGGTGATGTCCATAAAGTTGACCATGTAGCACTTTTTAGATGATTATAGAAATATATGTATGTATTTTTAGTAGGCTTTGAAGAAAATAGTTAAAAATTAAAACAAGAAAAAAAAGAAAGAGAGAAATATTAGCGGTGGCTCAACTTATTGAATGTAAATATGGTTTGGTTTATTTATTTATTATGGAAAGAAGAAGAAGAAGAAAAAAGATAATATTTGATGAGGAGGATGGATACGGCAGTGTGCGTGATTATGTGCGCATCCCATGGTGATGTGGGGCTGCGGCGGGTGGCACAGACAAGGGGAAATTGTTTTCTAAGCTGAGACGAACAAAGCCATCTTCACCGTCCTTTTGAATTGAATCTTTACGCGGTGTTGTCATCACAGGCTTGCGGGCTGTGAGGCTTGAGGAGGGTGAAAGTTTTGGCTGGTAGATGCAAAGAAGATCCAATTTTTGTACAAAGAAACACATCAGCAAAATACCAAATAATGGTAAATATATTAGCAAGCCCTCCAGTATGAACCAAACTGTAGACGTAATTGGGAGAAGAGCCGGAGTATCGGACGTAACGTTTACAAATGCTGCAAAATATATAACCCATGAAAGGGTAGCCGTCGTAGTTAAGGTGACTGAAAAAAGGATTGGAGACAGAAGGAGATAACTCAAGTTTCGATGATTTTGTCGAAGAACTCTGATATGACGAGCAGACCTGAACTGGTTGCTTCCCCACACAACAAGAGCATTGGTTACTGCCAAAACGGCCATGCCTGTGATGCAAATTGGAACTACTAACGCATAGGAAATATCGGCTGTGCGTTCGAGGATTTCAAAGCCAAGGTATACGACTGTAATTACGACATATAAGAATACGATCACCAAGTTGAGCCAATAGACCCAGGGTCGAACGGGTGATGGTGTTAGATCGTCTTTGGTTATGACGCTCATATTAGGTTCTATCAAGGACTTTTCGGATGGCTCAAAATATCGAAGACTGGCCCATCGTGTGCGTTGAGAAAAGGCGATTGCGAGGTGATTTATAAATACCAGTTGCGATATTATTATGCCGTCGAATAGTAAGACGGAAAGTATTGGTAGTCGGTGGATTGTTGAGCTTCTTGTGGCCGTGTCGAGTGCATTATCTTCATCTGGGTGACCTTGAACAAGTTTAAGGATAAGTTCTGTATCTGCAAGAATGGCAAATAATATGAATGGAACTAATAACCAACTGGAACGAATACGACCAAGGAGTATAACTGCAAGGACAAAGAAAATGACGGTATACACCACCCAGATACTTTCTTGTAAGTTCAACATTAGTAAGATAGAGAGAGTAAGAAGAACTTTTCTTGGCAAGAGCGTAACAGAAACAAAAATAAGCAAGGGCTTATGAGTTTGGACTCATGGTATCAAAACATAGTATTGATTTAAAAGCCACAGTTGTTAGAAGTAGACCGATGATACGCTAGCCTTGATGGCATATCCGAAATAGAATGACTATACCTGCAAAGCCACCAACTATAAATACATTTTTATGACAGCACCTGTATTATTTGTTTTAATATAACCATTAATAATATGTCCTAAATCTTGGTGTTTTAGAACTGTGATATTGACTCTTACAATTTTTTTTACCTACTAGTCTAAAGGAAAGAAAGCTTGTAGGTTTAAGTCACTAATTAGCCCATCAGTTCAGCATTAAGATATTTAAAATACAGGTTAAAAATGGCTGGTAAGCTATTTTTGGCCCAAGAAGTTGTCTTGCTTCTAAAAACAAACAGCTTACCTGCTTACTTACCGACCTGCCGATCTTGTACTCTGTACTTTATGCTGGACCTGAATCTATAAACGAGTTATATATTGTATTATTAGCTTTTTCGTAATAGGACTTTGCTTTATAATAAAGTATACGCATTAACCTTAGCTTTCTAAAACTCAAGAATTCGAATATAACACACACAAATTGAAAGGCAAAAAAAAAAAAAAAACTTTGTATACACAAACTTGGGATGGATTTTCAGTTAAAGAGAGAAAAATAAAGTGCTCTAAAAAATTGCAGATCAGAGTAGATCAGGTGTGACAAAGAGTGTCTCTCTTTGTACATTCCATTATCTTCTAAACTTTGGTAACCAACCGTGTTGTTCCATATTGTGCTTCCAAAAAAAATAGCAGCAAAGTGATCTCCGCCAATAGAAGCTCTAAAGACCACGCATGCGTCGGTAAAGAACAATGAAAAGAGTCAAAATATGAACAAAGAAATTGATCTGGTGTACAGAGTTATATGTAAGCCCTTTTTGAATACTGGATAAAATAAAATAATTTTTCTTTTGATATATAAGCTTGGCTCTGTGAGCTTATAATGCAAATATAGCCAAAACAAAACAAAACATGAAAGCCTTATTATCCAAAGATTAATACAAAAATGGCTATCCAAAGTAGTCTTCCTACTTGACAAATACTAAAAACTGAGTGAATGTAAGTTTTTATTTTTAATTTATTATATCAAAGTTACTCAGTAACTTTATATTCTCTTTCCATTGGTGGATCAGACTTATCTGAAATACCAAACTGATAAAACGCTGGTAGATCTAACCCTTATTTATCTAGTGTAATGGACCCTTTTTAAATTAAAGACCTTGCTGATAAAACTTCTTTTTCTAGTAACAAAAGGATACTTTTTATTTTACTGAATTTATTAATTTTAAGCTTTGTGTCTGGTTCTAGCACCATACCTAGTAGACGCGACGTATTATTGGGCATACTATAGATATGTCTTTTATTGGTGGATTTTATCCACGAATAAAGACACTCTTAAATATTTTTTAAGGAGCAATAAAAAAGAAATGGCACTTTTATATGAGTTTAGAAATCAAATGTCAGTATTCCTACTAGCTTTAATTATATTCTATGATATCCATTACATGTATAAAATGTCGACTGTTTCTAATAAATAATGATAGTAATAAGGTCTTAACTACCTAACTATAGATCGACGAAAGTTTTTCCGTTTTATCTTCCTTTTTAGCTAAATAGAGTCTTTTAATAGTAAATTAGGATAAATCACAAAACCGGTATATAAATGGTCTGACAATAATATAAGAAGATAGCCTAGTTTGTAGTTTTTTCTTCTTTTATTACGATTTAGAAAATTCATCGCACAGTGCGACACAACTTAAGATGAGTACAGATATCACATACAAAATAAAGCTATAATTTATAGATTTTAGAAGAAGAATTGAATTATTTATATATATACATATATTATTCACATTCAATTTACGGACAGAGGGAATGTCAAGATACCGCACTTGCCCCAAGTATATTATATGTGTATACTCTTTCTACTATTAAAATAACATGGCTGCACAAATAGATAGACCACCAGTAAGAATTTTCTAGTACTTAATATACTTTAATATATACAAGTTATAATAAAATAGTGCTCATTGCAAAATAAATTAAAATACCTTTATCTTTACCAAGCCAGCATTTGGTGAAATGCATGCAGAATATCACGACGTTGTCTAAAAAAATACATTGAGTTAATGGTTTATCTGGGATGTTACTCTTTCGGCTATCCGGAAGACTTTATCAACAATACACAGTAAATCAAGCGCAAATTCTGTAGAACCACATGATTATATACCTTGCTTGCGGCTCTGTATTCTCGAGACATGGTGGCTGTAGGTGTTCTTCAAAACGTTTCGTCTTTTAAAGAAACTCAGCGTGAAAACCCTTCGCCGATCTGCCCGATATTCACCCGCCAATCATGGTAAGTCATATACCATAAAAGGTATCTTTCTTCATTTTACTCTCCGCGTGTTGGAACGGATCTGATCTGTGGACCTATTCAAGATGCTCAGATGAAATTACCAAGGTGGAATTTATATTTGTAAGAGATGTATTCAAAGATTGGTGGAGTATGTTGTGCTTAAATAAGTCAAATTTAGCTTAAGTACAAGGAAAAGACGGGATTACAGAAATAGTTATCCTGGAAGACGTACAAAGTCTTGTGCGAATGAGGTAGTTAGTTTTTTCCATAAGATATCAAAATTGTAAAGTACTTTAACCGAGCCATACGTTTCTATTTCTCCAAAAATGTGTATTTTATGGGGTAAGAAGCCCTTTTAAGGGTAATAAGGTCTCCCAAGATATTCATAAATGACCATCTTCCAATAAAAACTGCTGATAATGAAGCCATAAAAGTAAGATACTCCCTCTATTACTCACAAGTGCGCAAAGCGGTAAAATATACTTTCACACACGTGTAACTGGTTATAAATAAGGTCCCACACAAATAATTCGAAAATATATATATATATATATACTTGTACATATTTTTATTCTTGAAATCTTGTAAATCCGCTTGTTCATCTACCTTTCTACCACTTCCACATTTCATATATGGATACTCGTGAAAAAACCGAGTATACTTCAACAGAAGTGTATTCATCACATTCAGAAGAACAAATCATTCAAAATACCGAAATATCAAGTTTACGAGATGTCCAAGACGCTGCCTCAACAAAAACTGGCTCTACTCTTCAGAATAACACCCCAGAAGATACCAAGAAAACTCTTAGTGTCGGCTGGACTCTTGTCCTCTTTGCTGGCCTAGCAATTGCCATGTTTATGGTCTCACTCAACTCGACCATTGTGGCTCCTGCCATGAATATCATTGCTGCTGATCTCGATGGTCTGTCCTCTCAGACATGGATTGCTACTGCTTACATGGTTGCATTCAACGCTTCTCAACCTCTTGCTGCCAAAGTAAATATTTCAACCTTACCAGCTACCAAATATATATACATATGCATATACTAATACATCTACACTTTACTTTGTAGTTCTCTGATATTTTTGGAAGGTGAGTTTTGCTAAAAAAAAAGAAGCTTTGAATATTCTGTAATTTTTTTTTATTAATTATCGTTTATCTATTTTTCAGAAAACCTGTCATTTTGTTTGGCGGTGTTCTCTTCTTTATCGGATCTATTGTCAACGCACTTGCAAAAAATATGAATACCCTTATCCCTGGCCGTACTGTACAAGGTTTCGGTGGTGGGTGTGTCATGGCCATGGCTTACATTATTGTTACCGATATGGGACCTGTCGAAATGAGACCTCGTCTACAAGCAAGTCTTGCTGTCATTTACGGTCTCGCTAGTGTCGTCGGTCCTTTGATTGGTAAATATTTCATCCTTGAGATTAAATTATTATTATTATTATAATATATATATATCTTACTATTATTCTTTTTCATAATTAGGTGGTGCATTTGTTGACAAGTTAAACTGGCATTGGGATTTCTGGCTGAACGTTATCTTGTCTGCCATCTCTATGATCATCATCTTTTTCTTGCTATCTGAATCCACAAAGGTTGAAAACTCTAGCTTTATCCAAAAGATGAAGCGAATCGATTGGTTTGGATCTCTATTCACCACCTCTTTCATTTGCTGTCTTTTATTGGCCTTGAATTGGGGTCCTGTCTACGGGTAAATTAACACTTTGTTTTCTTTTTGAAGAAAAATATACTGATTATCTAATATCCATAATTGATTTTATATAATTAGCTGGGGAGATGCTCATTCCATAGGACCATTTGTTGCTGCAGGTGTTTCACTTATACTTTTAGTCGGTGTCGAAGGTTTCTATGCAGCTGAACCAGTAAGTGCTCTATCTATATCCATATTACATATAGGTACATCTCTATGATCAAGAAATTAACATCATCTGTAGATTATGCCAGGTCGAGTTGTATTGAATCCCGCAGTAGCAATATTGTACCTTTGCGTCGCTTGTCTCGGTGTCGGATTTATTGGAACTCTTTATTTCGGTCCTGTTTTGTTCCAAGCAGTCTTTGGCGCCTCCAGCACAGCCTCTGGAATTAGATTGATTCCATACATGGCTCTTCTCATTGTAGCCTCTGTAGGAGGAAGTATTGCTATTGCCAAGTTCCCATATCCAAAATTCTACATCGTATTGGGTGCTGCCTTTAATGTTCTTGGTTACGGATTGTTTTATACTATTAAAGAACATGACTCATGGGGTAAACAAGCCGGATACCTCACACTTTGTGGTAAGTAAATCTTAAAAGTTTTTTTTTAATATTTTAGAGAATCAAAATACTAATTTGTTCTGTTATAATTTAAAGGTTTCGCCTTTGGTCTCTCTCAACAGAACATCATTATTTCCGTTCAAGCACTCGTCGAAAAGAGAGACATGGCTGTGGCCACAAGTTTGGTAAGGTTCAAGCAAATGATATCTGCTTATAGTTAATAGACTCAACGTGTTAATTATGATTCTTTTTCTTTTTTCTTCCAAAAAAAAATAGAACAATTTCTTCCTTATGTTGGCTTCTTCTGTGGTAAGCATACAGTACAAATTAATTTCATTCTTTGGAATCGAAAAGCTCACATACTCTCATAATATATTAGGGTGTTGCTGTTTATCAGACTTTGTTAAAAAGATTCCTCACAAGCGAGTTCGCTAAAGTTGCTCCCGAAATTTTGGTAAGTTATATTTTACTAAAACATCTAATATGCTTCCCCACCCAAAAATGGCTTTAGCTGACGAATACTTCTTTTAATAGGGTATTGCTGTTAAATTTGATGCACTTGCCAATTACCTTGCTATTCGTGATATGCCAGTTGAAGCACAAGCTCCTATCATCCATGCTTATTGGGCAGCTCTCAACAAAGTCTTCATCTTACCAATGGGAGCAGGTGCTGTTGGTTTTATCTGTTCTTTACTTGTCAGAAATTACCGATTTGGTGCCCCCACTAGTCAGGCCGATAATGAGAACTTTGCTGAACTAGCTTCAGCAAAAAATCGTGATTCTATTACAGAAAGTGGCCCCAGTGAAAAAATTTAAAGCATACATATACATATATATATAACCCTTTCATCAAGTAAACTGAATAATTTATTTCAATAGTCAAAACAAAACAAAAACACCAAATTCAATCAAGCGCGTTAATTAGCACACCTTGGTCAATACATACATAGTTTATATTTTAGGTTCATAATTACACTATATACATCAATTTAGATGCCTTAAACCTTTTCATTCTCATATTACCCTTTTATACACATAAGAATAAAGCATTGTACTATCTGTTCTCATTTATATACCAATATGCATATTTAACTGTGCGACGTTTATGTACCTCTTCTTAAATTAATTTTGCAAGACAAAAAGTACAAGTAATATATATTGAGATAGCGTTCTTATTATTAATTACAATTATATAGCCTATCAGTTTACTTTAGCAATGCCCTTTATTGTTATTACTTAAAATATAATAAATTTTAATGGTGTACATTTGAATATATTTTCTACTAAAAAACCAAGTAGTATGTGGCAATCATTTTCATTTATATTTTTATATATGAATATAAATGTGTGTGTGTGTGTGTGTGTGTGTATGTGCGTGTATTTTTTGAAATTTAGGAATTTCTTTAATATACAGCCTGTATTGGTATGTAGTGTGTATTAAGCGCCAAAATTGCAGATAACTTGAAAGGATATGTCTCTGATTGAAGCCTCGACTTTCAATTCGACATCTCCAAAATACATCTGCAGAAACATAAAATAGAGAAAAGTGTTTTCAAAGTGTTATTTTTAGCTATATTATATTTATCCTGACTTGCCTTGATGTTCAAATCAATAATGTCACCATCTCTTGCACCAGGCAGCTCTGGCATTGGAATCTGGAAATCAAAGATTTTTTTAACACCAGCTTCTTTTGTGTATCGAGGCTCGTTTTCATTGCTGGAGGCAAACATGGTGCAAACAGTATGGCGTGGGTATAGTGTAGTATAATTGCGGCTAACGGGTTCATCAGTGTCTAATAGAATTGGGTAAGTAAAAGAAAAGGAAAAATATTTGGTATTAAAACTACATTATATATACATAACTTACTTATTGGCTCTCCTCTGCGTACATAAGTGGAGAATCGATGGTCGCATCGGTAAGTTCCATCCGACTTGCGAATTCTGTATTCTTCTGGATCAACACCATCCACAAATGTGTTGGTGATATCAATACCATACCAGAAACGAGATACGCGGGTGGTCACCTTATTAGGATTCAATCCAAAATAAACTGCACCACGACACACGGCCATCTCTAGAAAAAGGCAGAAAGAAAGAAAATTATGGTTAGCATTTAAAGCTAATCCCTTCTAATTGCACTTCTTTTCTTTTTGCTAATAAATACCTGGTCTGTTGGGCTTGATAACCAAAATTTCTTCCGGTCTAAATTCTTGATCAATTCGGTGATAAAGATAATTGGAAGCACCAAATCCACCAACTGTAAAGATTGCCCTCAGATTTTTAGTTTGGCTCTTTTGTTGGTGAATAAGCCCAATAACGTCTCTAACAACAGGTTCAAACACCAATTGCTTCAACTCGTCCACGGTAAATATAAGCTGTCCTTCACTTAAGCCAATTGAATCGTTTGAACTTTGTACCAGACCAAGGTTCATAGGCACCTGCAAACTGTGATCCTCGCTTCCATCAAAGGATGGTTTTATAATATCTATTATTTTAATGATACAGTTATTTATTTACTTACTCACAATTAACCAATCCATCAAAAGGCTGTGTCTTGAGATATATGGAGTGTCTTAATACACTTACCTATAAAATGCTCCATCATAGTGTCCATTGCCTTTGCTGGAATAGTGGTGACAACCTTTTTGAGTTTCATCTTCAAAAGCTTCTTCATGTTTTTATCAATAAACATGGATCCGCACGACTTTCCAGTTCCTTTTGTACTCTCTTTGAATCTACGGTTTCCGTTTGCATCCATCTTCACGGTGAATACAATGAGATCAACAGTTCCACCTTTAAAGCATCGTCAGTATCGCTTGTCATCATGTGGTCCACAAAGAGAAAATTGACGTTTATACCTCCAGCATCGCAAATCATAAACTCGTCGCCATCTCTCATATCAAATTGCTCGCATGTATTCTCACAGTAGATCGCTGCAGCTTCGGGTTCAGAAATAAGCATAAGTCTATCGTGGTCGTCATCTTGGTTGATAATTCCGGAAAGTATGGCAGCCTCACGCATCTTCTTTTTAGCCCCATCGGTCCACATAGCTGGTACCTAGTAGAAGAAGCACACCCAAATAATTAAAGATATATGAAGAAGTATAATGTGTATTATCAGACCTACAGTTAAGCAATAGCGGTATCGACTTCCTAGTGTTTGAGCATAACCTCTTCCCATTTCAGACTGAACATGTTCATGAAATTTTCTCAAGTAGTCTTTTAAATTTTTGTTATAAAAAAAACCTCCCCGGATTAGGATCCCAATACTTGATTAACATTGCTTCCATAAAACTTACCTGCAATTACTACAACTGGGTCCAGATTACCAGGTGGCTTTTTAAGAACTCCTTCTAATCCTTCATCGAGATAAAGCTTAAATTGTTGCAACAATAAGTATTTCTTTGTAAGGTTGCTCTTTGAACGTTCTTGGCGAGCAGCATTTCCCCAGAAAGTAAGTTCCTTGATTGTATGTATGTTAATAGCTGTATTTGATTATCTATTTATCCAAGCTATGACTAACCTTGGTTTCAATATCATACAACTTTAAAAGAATAAAGGCACACAGTAATAAATTGGTTAATCAGAGTAGTGCATCTTTACTAGTCCTTTTATACATACGCTCATAGTTGGTGCCTAGACAGAAATAAATGATAATAAGTATATATACATATATGTGTGTGTATGAGTAAGCAGATATATGTACAAACCTTTGGATAACGGTGAGCAGACTGTTTGGGCCTATATTAATTAAAGGTATTAGTCAGCTCATTTTAGTTATATAAACCATATCGTGAGCGCTTTCGAATATACCATGCTACAATATCACAGACTTCGTTATCTGAAGATATAATACTGTAAGCTGCACCCGAATAAGTTGTTCCTAAATAAGTAGCAGTAAAATAGCAACACGTTAGCTAATGTCGCCGATGTTGTTCTGATTGTCAGTCTTCATGTACCAAAGTCGATTCCAACAACGACTCGGTAATCGCTAAAAGTTGAGTCAAAATTCATGATGAGGAAAAAGAACACTGGTATATCTCAGCAAGCTTTTTTTTTCTATTTTATTTTATTTATTTTATTTTATCTATTTTATTTTTTACTTTGTATTTTATTTGCGAAAACCCTTGTTTGGACTGCAGTGTAACTGATGGGTTTGGATCAAGCCTTGTTAGACGCTTACACAGTAAAGTCTAAATCTGGCCAGAAACATAAGAAATTTCAGCTCGGAATCCAAAATGAAACACATAGTAATTAATGACTTTACTAGTAGCCTTTTAATCAGCTTGTTTATGCAGTATAGCAATATATATATATATATATATATATATTCAGGAAAAGTTATGTGAGGTCAATTACGACTTTAATTTATATCTAATGATGTATCATGTAGATAAACGAAAAATTCGGATGTTTCCTAGGTTACTGTGGTAGGCCTTTATTTGTGTGTGTATATCATATAATATTAATTAAACAATGTTGATTTCCAGGCACTCTAACCCATTGTGCTAGAAGGTGTCAAAAAAGCAAAAATAAATAAATTATACTTACCATATATATTATACAGAGGCTATTTAGATAGATAAAATCATTTTACGTAGCATAGGCACCATAAATAACAAAATAGATATCAGATCTAATCAAATATAGGCTATGGAAAGAAGCATATTTAAAGAAGTACGTTCGACGATTATTGCCTTTTATGGTTATAGATAGTGTAACTTCCGTATTTAAATCTATTCGAATCACTAGACTTCTATACGTATCTTTGTATACCGTGCTTCCACTAAAAACTTTCAAATTGTTCGTTTATTTCCCATACGTCGGTAAATATTTTTCACATACACACAAATACGAATCTGTAAAGTTAATTAGAGAAACTGTCTAAAAATATGGGCGAAATAAGAAAACATCATGTGTATAATATTTTGTTTATTCTAAAGCAGCTCAACATTGGCTTGATATTGTTTGGCTCTTTACGGGTAAGTATTCAGAGACTTGTCATCTTGGTTAGATATTTTTTATTACCCGCTATGTCAAATGTTTTTTTTTCAGTTTTTTTTTGTGGCATCTTAAACGGTTTTTTAAAGTTTGAATAAACTGATATAGCATGCAAAGGTACTTGAACAGAGTTGGGTATGTTATACTTGACTTATAACACACAAGAGGCATCGATAATTTGTGAGTTTTCTTCTTCTTCTCAACTGCGTAAAAAGTCTTGGGATTAACTTTTCAGTGACATTCTATCTTCTGGAAATATACGGTTATTTATTCTGGTGAGCATTGTACCATTGTCCCCTGTTGGTGCTGTGGGCTTTGAAGTATATTATTACTATTACTAAAATTACTGCATTATCGAATTTTGATGCTTTTGGTCAAAGTTTTTTAATTTTGCTTGCAATGTCAGAAGACAAGCCCAATTATTTATCTTCATCTTTGTCATATTCCCCGTATTAGTGGTCATTCTGAAGTCTAAACTCCTGGATTTAAATTCATGTGCCCATTTTCCACAGGAAAATGAGCAAACAGATATATATCCAATACTTTTCTATGAGGCGTACACATAACATCTTGGATTCCTCTTCTATTAAAAAAGAATCTGGCATTCTCGTTAATATTGGTAGTACTTCTTCCAGTCTTGCGTAACATAAAATTATTGAAATAATTTTACTTTTATGCCACTGGTTGGTTTTTTTTAGATAACTGGCCTGCCATCTAACATTAATTCCTGTCATAATTGATTTGCACAATATTCTTGCTTGCAAAAGTTATGAGATATTGTGGCAAAGGGATGTCAATGTTACCAATAGCGTCTATAGAGTTGAGAAAAAAAAAACAATTGGCAGTGAACTTTGCCCTAATTTATTTTAAAGATCTACACAGTGCCCTACAAACACATATAACTTATCTGTTATTTCATATATCCTTTTAGGACTTGGGCGCTTGTGTGGTTAATGGAAATAGCCACGCCTTTTGATATTATTTACAAATCCTGTACACCCCTATATAGTACTGTGTAGAGAGACCCACAAATGGAAAATTCATTGCGTGATATACTTCCATAAGATAATTTAGATTTATTTTTCTCGAGTGAGAAGAATAGATATAAAAAAATACTTCTGGTTATATTAAATTTATACATTTCAATTATTCAGTTGAATATGATATCCAATTGAGAGAAGTTAGGTACAAGTAGTGCTCCAGCAATGACTTATATCTTATATTTTAATTTTAAGGCCGTATTACTTATTCAGTCAATGCTAGATTAATGAATAGAAGAAGAAAAGTAGAAATGTTAACAGTCTCAACTCCTTCATCGTGATGTTAAGTATCTATATACTGTATGAAGCAATATATCTTGAAATATTGCTCTAGTTTATTGAGATACAATAAGAGATACTAACCTAGAATAAAATAATTGCAATTATAAATTACAGTATGTATATGTCTATTGAGAGAAGGAGATATTTGGGTAAATCAGTCAATGATCATTGCTACTTATGCCATGGATTTGTATAGAAGTATAATACATCATTTAGAGTGCCATTATAGAATACGATAACTTTGATAATCATTAACAGGCTGATCCTTAAACTGGTTTGCTATTTTGCTTTGTATGTGTACATGGTGTGCTGAACAGTAAGATTTCCAAAGACGCGGATCTTTAATTGTAGGCTGATTTGTGGTGACAGGACCTGAAAATTTCCATTTAAAAAAAAAGATTAATGTACCATGCTGTACAACAATATCTTTTTCTTACTCTCTTAAAACTACCCTCACGCACCTATTGTCTCTGAATAAAAATATATAAAAATAAAATAACTCCAGAATGGTCACTCCAAACAGAGCGTCTCTCTTGAGAAAGGGTTTATATACACCAACGACACCTACCAGTCTTCCTTTAGGGAAGACGTATAATGAAGATTCTCCATTTTATCATGATCATGCAATGTCATTCACACCATTGAGTCAAAATCGAGATCACACTCAAGCGATAAGACATACGAGAATGAGGAACAAGGTATGTTTTAGATAGACTACTATCGAACGCAACTAACATATATATGTTGGGTACACCAGACTCAAATGCCTTTCACTAAAGATTGTCTACCAGTTCAGGGTACAACAACCAATGAGAGTAGGATATTATATTTTAATATATGCTGTCATGGAATATTATCTATCTAAAGCTTAACTTGTAGGTCTCTTTGAATCCCCAAAACATCGCAATAATTCACATGGATATAGCAGAAATCAAATAATATTTTCACCAGCCTACAGCCATATATCAACCCCAGATGCGCTTCATTCTGACCGTACTTATGACACCAGTCTACTTTCACCAAATAGAACCCCTACAAATGCAGAGCAGTTAGAGGAATGTACGACACCTCGATTAAATTATCGATATAACCGTACCGACCTTATCAGTCGATTGATAGACGAAGACATTCGACTAGAAAGAATAGAAAAAAATATACAAGCAATTGGAGAAATGGTATTTACAAGATTTTTTTTTTGGAAAAAAAAGACTTTATTTAATACTAAATACAATTATATATTGTCTTCCTTAGGCATCAAGTATCTCCAGAGAATCACATAAAGCAATATCAGTCTTCAAGTGTATCCGGTCTTCACCAATCGACAAAGACATTTTGGAAAACCATAGAGATATTTCATTACCTGACCCTTTCCTGTCTCGACCATTCTTGAATAATCAAACTCCAATTTTAGAAAATACTCCTGAAATACGGACAATGAGAAGTATTACAATCAAAGACTCGACGAACAAAGCATCAAGCTCATATGAACATGTGAATATTTCTTTGTAGTCATGTTTGGCTCATTCATATACAACCCATTAATAATGGCATTTACCTTTATATATATAGATAAATAATCAAAACAAAGAGGAAACATCTGCGGAATCCGTAGCTCTACAAAGGTAAGTTTGCGTAGATACATGTTTTGCACTGTTATAATTATTGTTTGTATAATTAATCAATGCTGCTTTGATAAACATGTTTATTTATTAGAACAAAAGTAAATAATATCTATATCAATGATTTATTGTCTCAGCAATTAGCAAATCGAGGGTCTATTAACCACACACCTCTCATAAATCATTTGTACGCCAAAATTACATCCCAGAAGAATTATGTCCATCAGCCATCATCTGAGGAATATAACCTATCAGCACAGAACGAGAATCAACACCACCGCAAGTATGCGTTAAAAAGGAATTCCAGAGCAAGACACAATAGGCCTACTCCATATGCACGACAGACCAGAAAAGAAAATTATGAAGAATCAGGTCATATACGCACACTGAAAGAAGAGTTGGATTTGGCTCAAGAAAAAGATAATAAGATCAGGCTAGAAAAACAGTATCGAGACATCAAGAACAAATGTTTCTCTTTGGAAGAAAAAGAATTTGGTCAATATAAACTTGACGAAGAAGACCCTATACTAGTTGACTTATTAAGCACAGATATAATTTGGAAAGATAATATTGGCCATATTTCGGGCGATGAATGGACATTCGCTGGAAAACATTATCTACTCCATGAAAAATAATACATGGACTCGAGTTCTACCTTCTACACTTATTAAGCCTAAATAACAATAACAGAAACAATAATAATCTGTGGGAAACGATGTATATCACTTAATCTTCTAATACTACTAATAAATAACCTACCTCTTTCTCAAAGTTGGTAACACTATTGATATAGAATATGCTTACCATCTAACTATATTGTGACCAGACATTTATTGTTATTATCACAAGTCATTTAAGTGTTCTTTAAACCAGGCCAAAAAAAGAGCTGTGTTGTGTGGCTATTTGAATTAGATATTGGCAATAACTGGCCATTTCAATGTTAGCTTATATATGTATACATAAATGTTTTTATTTCATTTTCTTGAGGAATAATTTAGCATTTTTCTATCGGAGTGTGGTAATGCATTAAGCCTACTTGAGTTTTCTTTCGTTACAATTTTTTGAGCACCATGAAAAGAGTATGTAATCTCAGCCATGGTTTTTAGATCCCTATGTAATCCTTGGTCCAAATGTTAAGTATTTTCCTCAAGCAAATGAGAGCTGTTTTGAGAGGCATTTATAGAAAATGACCCATGATCAAGTTGTATTTATCAAATGAGAATACATTATGCTCATTGAAAATAACTTTCTATTATGTACACCTTTTTTTAAAACGCAATATAGCGTAAAACGCATAATATTCGCACCAAGAAGATTCAGCATATTGCTAAATAAACTATTAAAAAATATTTTCATTGATTTTCTCTTTTTTCTCCTTTCTTTCTTACATTTAAATCCTTAGATTTGAAACACCTAAAAAGCTGTATCTTCTCTACAAAATGAGACGCACCTTTCAGTGTTATCTTGTAACCTTTGAGGTGTATTGTGGCTAAGTCAAACTTTGAAACAATTTGGATATTTAATATCCGCATAATCTTATTGTCTAATTTAACACAAGAATCTTTATAGACACCAAGTTTTTTTATTTTTATTTTACAGTTAAAAAAAAAACATACAAAGCAATAAGCTAATACTTAGAATTATTAATATTTTTGCTGCCTATATATTAGAGTATATTTAGTACAAGACTATTAATGTCTGGTATTAAACATCTCAGTCTTTTATGACCTTAACCTCGAGAGTTTGAGGTTTTTTTATCTGTGTGTGTGCGTGTATATGTTTGCCTCCAGATAAGCGTGACCGTCAATTACGGGGATTAAAATATCGACATACCTGCCTAAAGCGTAACAGAGAAAGAAAAAAGTTTTTTTTTGACAAGCGAACTTTGAGTTACAGGTTGCATCCATACCACATTTTAATTCAACATGGTAGAGCATCGTCATCGCCCCGGATCGATGCACCAATCGAACAAGCCGTTCAAGTCACGGCACTCGACCAAGAGCGCTCTCCGCGAGGTGAGCAAGGGAAAGGTGAACCGGACACCTGTCAAGCAAGCGGCTTCCAAGATCGTCTCAAAAGTCGATCGTCGCAATGCTGCTCGAACAATCCAACAGACCAAGCGAGAGGAGATCACCCGAGTCAATCGTCTGTTCGAAGGCCGTCATGGTGCTCCCAAGATTGTCCCTGTTCTTCCTCTTTGCCCCGACAGCGACATTGAAGGAGCCATTAGTGCTTTGTACAAGTCGCTCGGTCAGACTGCCTCTCCTATGGTGGGAAAGGAGCCTTCAGTATTGGATGTTGAGCGTTTCAAGCAAAAGATTCAGTTTGTTCCTCTCCGCCGCAACTTTATTGATGTTTTGGATGCCTTTAAGGTCGCTGATTTCGCCATTATTCTTATGTCTGCTGAAGTAGAGGTTGACAAGTTTGGTATCAACTGTCTTTTGGGTATCCTCAATCAAGGATTGGTTAACATTGTTCCTGTTGTCCAGGTAGGCTAACCTTATTTCTCCGTGTATAAATATATTAAGATAAATGAAGAAAGAGATTTTTTTACTCATTAATTTATTTTGTATGATATTTGTTCTTTAAAAAGCATATTGAAGCCTCAGCACCTAAGCTTCGTACCAACATCAAAAAATCTCTTTTGACCTTCACACGCCAATTTTTCCCTGAGGAAGAACACCTATACACCCTCGATACCGACAATGATTCTTTGAACGTCATTCGTTATCTTACTTCTCAACGCCCCAAGCCATTGACTTGGCGTGATCTTCACCCTTATATGCTTGCTGATGATGTTCAGTTCGAACCTACTTCAGAGGTAAAAATAATAACAATAATAATAACAAAAGCAACATAAAAAGATGAAGTTTTTTTTTGGTTTCCATTGTTATTATTACCATATTTTCTGTCGTACAATCGAACTATTGGCTAATTTTTGTAATTATTGTGGCAGGACAAGGGTATGCTCAAGGTTACTGGCTTTGCCCGTGGAAACCCCTTTAACGCCAACCGTCTTGTCCATCTCCAAAACTTTGGCGACTTCCAATTGCAGCAAGTGAGTATCAAGTAAAACCATTTACATATGAGAAAGGAAGAAGAAAGGAGGGTCATGTATTTATTAATAAATGGTCGTGTGTGTATTTTAGATTACCACCTCACCTTTAGCTGCAAGAGAACATGAGATGCAGGCTGACCCTAAGGTTGTCGATACCCCCAACCCTGCCGAACAAGACGATTTGGTAGCCGAGAATGAACCTGATTTCATGGATAACGAACAGACATGGCCCACTGAAGAGGAATTGGCAGAGGCTGATGGTAATTTATTACTATTATTGTTATTAATATTATTTGACAGTAGAAACTCCAAACCCAAAGTAAACTTATCGTTCTTTACCTTTTTTTTTTGCAGAACGTGTTCGCGCTTTGGGTCGTGGTATTGATGGTGAAAAGACTAAGAAGAGAGTTCCCAAGGGTACCTCTGCTTACCAGGCTGCCTGGATCCCTGACGATGAGAACGAAGACTACTCTGACTATGATGATGAAGAAGAAGGCCAAGATATGGAGATGGATGACGGAGACGACGTTGAATCTGTCGGTGGTGGTGCCTTTGACGAAAACGAAGATTACGAAGATATCGAATTGGAGGAGAAGAAGGCCGAGGATGATGAACTTGATATGGAAGAAGAAGAAAGACAGTACGCAGAGTACTTGAAAAACCGCCAGGAAGAGTTCAAGGATCACTCTGAATTCCCTGACGAGATCGATACTCCTGCTCACCTCCCCGCACGTGAGAGATTTGCCCGTTACCGCGGCCTCCAGTCTTTCCGTACTTCTCCCTGGGATCCTTATGAGAACCTTCCCATGGATTATGCTCGTATTTTCCAATTCGAGAACTACGCCAGAACCAAGTCTAGAGTTGTTAGCCAGGCTATTGTCGGTAATGTCAAGCCCGGAACCCGCATCACACTCTGGATCAAGGATGTTCCCAGAGGTGCTTTCGGTAAGAATTTTAGTATATCCATATTGCTGGCTGATTATTGTTGGTGTGCATACTAATATATATCATATGCCTTGTATGGCATATATTTATCTTTCTTTCTTATAGAGGCCTTTGATAAGTCTCGCCCTTATATTGTATTCGGTCTTCTCCAATACGAGCACAAGACTTCTTTGCTCAACATCCAAATCCAGCGTGACAACGCCTATGAGGAGCCCGTGCGATCAAAGGTAATACATAATTTGAAAAAAGGAAGAAAGTGATTTGGACTGATGTGCATACACAAACACACATGCAGGCACACGGTACTTGGTAAAACTAAGCTCTAACCCATATATATATTTAAAATAGGATCCTATGGTTATGCATTTGGGCTTCCGGAGGTATTTGGTTCGCCCCATCTACTCACAGAACAGCAACAAGGGTACCAACCATGTTCACAAATACGAGCGTTTCTTGCGTATGGGCAAGCCTTCTGTAGCCACTGTATATGGCCCTGTTGTATTTGGCAAGGTTCCTTGTATGTTTTACAAGGAGACTGAAGATGTCAATGAGCCTATTCTTGTGTCTACTGGCATGTTCATGAATACCGATGTCAAGCGTATTGTTGCCAAGCGTATTGTTTTGAGTGGACATCCTTTCAAGGTCAACAAGAAGTCTGCCGTCGTGCGTTACATGTTCTTTAACCCAGGTAAATACATACACATACCTATACACTTGATCAAAGATGGAAATGTATTAATGACTTGAATATTTAAAAAAAATATTACAGAGGATGTTCATTGGTTCAAGCCCGTACAGCTGCAGACCAAGTATGGTCGTGTTGGTCACATTCGCGAATCCCTCGGTACCCACGGTTATATGAAGTGTATCTTTGATGGACCACTCACACAGCAGGATACTGTGATGATGCCCCTTTACAAACGTATTTATCCCAAATGGAACACAGCCATCTGGACAGGCGGACTGGATAAGACTATCAAGGAGGCAGGCGAATCAAAGGCTATGGTCATTGATATGGATTAAAACAAAAAACAAAAGGCAAAACAACCAATCAACCAACCAAAATATATTAACCAAAAAAAAAGAAGGGAGGGAGAAAGGGAGAAAAGGGACATTTTTTACTCATCGCATAATTTACACCATAAAATCTTGTAAAAATAAAAAAAATATAAAAAACAAATTAAGAAAAAAAAAAGCTCTTTTTGTCTGCCTTTAATTACTACTACAATAAAGGATTGTATAGATAAGAGTGCAGGCATATATATCAAAGAATTGAGCATGCAATTCTCAAAAATGAAAGCAATTTTATTCGGTTTTTTGATGTACCATTGTTTTTAATGAAAACAAATTTGTAATTCTAATATACTCTTCAGGGGGCCAGATATTCAACGTTTGCTTTGGATACATATATATGATATTTTACAATAAAAAGAAAGTACCTAAAGACAAAAAAAGGTATACAAAATATCTTTCATTTTTTTTTTAATAGTATTAAGAATAATGAGTGGGTAAATCTATTTAACTGTCAATGGTTTCTTTATTACTGCGCGGTTAATTTCAATCTCATAATAGGTGGAATTTAATTCGCTGTCTGATGTTTATATTCTAATATGGTAATTTCTTTGTGAAAACAACAAACTTTAAATTCTCTGAGCGATTCTTTAATTTGTTTTTTTAGGGCTTCGTCATTCCATTTTGAAATGATTTTATAATTGTGAAGGTAAAATTTTAATTTTATAAAATGACATTTCTAAACTGACTACTGTCTGCGTCTCAATCAAATAGGATAGCCGACGCTGTTAAATTTGGCGGTAAATAAAGACTAGACAATTGCATTTGTCATTTTTATAATTGATTTCATTTTGCAAGAAAGAAAAACATGACAAGGGATTAAACAAGTTCGGATCCCAGTGAATTACTCCAAAATTTAATAAGATATACCAATCGCTCTGTCTACAGCATCATCAGGTAAAGCATAAAAAAAGAAGAAGGAAATCAAGGGCAATAACAAATAGTAATATTATGAGAAATTCAGGGCAAATTCAGGGCATTTTACCCTGTCAAAATATTCTATATAGTTTCGACAACATTACATTATTTAACACGTCTAAATTAGAGTAATTGCATGTCAATAGCTAAAAGAAGAAAAACAAATGATTATCTGCAAAATATATATGTATATATAAAAGTATTATCTTCTTTGATAGCTTCTTAAGCAATAAACGTTGGTTTACACTATAGGAAATGAGTTACGATTCTGATGGACATTTTTTTTTTTTTAAAAAAAATACCTATCATATTTTTCAAAATCGCCGTTTGGAATCGCTACTTTTATATATATTTCTCAGTAATGTAACACAACCAGTTTTTGACAAGCAAAGATTAATGAGTTTTTTAAGTAGTGAGCCCCAGCAAAGTGTGTGCGTGTGCGTGTGCGTGTGCGTGTGTGTACGTGTGCGTGTGTGTGACGGCTGGTTAAGACATGTTTTTATACCTTTAGCTTCTAATCATACTTCTTCCTCCTTATTATATATATATATAACCCTATCAAATGGCTGCCCTTTTCCGCTCTTCAGTTACTGCTACCAAGTTTGCTAGAGTGAGTAATGAATAATAGACTAAGATGAATGTACATACACGTACACGTAAACGTATACACAGACGACCAGAAAACTTATTTTTTTTTGTGGTGATTACAACAACAACAACAAAAGTCATTCTCTGTTTCTGCCGCTAGATCTGATCGTGAGTTCATTAAACTATGAGAATTGTATATACACATATATATTTATTTGGAAATTTATTTGTGAATAGTCAACAAGATCCAGTTGATTGGTAGAATTGGCGCTGACCCTACTGTCCATGAGATCAGCGAGAACAGCAAGGTTGTTAACTACACTGTTGCCACCTCAGAGACTCGACCTGACAAGGAGGGTGAGTTGATTTATTATCAGTATTATCACAACTATTATTAGTTTGGATTTTGTTAAATAATGAGGCTTTACACGTCATATTTATACACCGAGAGTATATATATATATTATATTATATTGCGTGTGTGATGGTTGCTGGCTGTAGATAATAATTGGTATTTATATGTTCAATAGGTAACTTGATCAAGCGCACCCAATGGCACCGTGTCAGCGCATGGAAGGGCTCTGACTGGATTGTCGAGAAGGTTAAGAAGGGGTGAGTAAAAGATATAAATATAAATATATAAAGTAAATGAAAGAATAGAGGAAAGATCGAAAATAATGGAGAAAGGATAATAATAAACTAATGTTTCTTATTGTAAACTTTAGCGATCTTGTCTACGTTGAGGGTAAATTGCGTTACAGCGATTACACTGACCGTGAAGGTATCCAGAGAACCAAGGCCGAAATTAACCAAAGTAAGGATAATACAATTGCTTGTATACAAAGATTAAAGAAGCATTGAGCTCTAATTATATGTGTATTTGTCTATAGCCACACTCAAGGTTCTCACCCAGGGTCGTGGTCATGGAGAAGAGGAGATCGAAGAGTAAAGGAAGAGAGAAAGAAACTCTTTGTTTTTTATAGCTCTATATACATACATAAATACATACATATGTAAGTATGTATGTATTCTTTTTCTATATAGCAATCTTACTCCCACCAATAATCAAAGAAGGCTATGTAAACAATGTTATTTTTTTTTTACATATTATTATTATCACCTATTTTTTTTTACAAACGACAGAAAGCTTGCATTGCTTGAATTTTATTTATCTTTGTATTTTGAAGTGTACAAAATCAATTGGCTTGTTTTGATAAAGCATTTTTGTGTATAGGTTTACTGACATTCTTAATACTAATAAGGTATATATGAGAAAGATTTTGATAGACTATTTGGTAGTAAGATTATATTCTTTGTAATTGAACAGCACAAATATCTCTCTATACATCTTTTTGTAAATACACTATTTTGTTTTCTTTTAAGCTTTTCATTCAAATAGATTTACAATTTAATTAATACATGTATATATTGTACAAGCCTTTTCTTTCTTTCTTCTTTCCTTTTACTTTTACTTTTACTGGATTTTGCCGCTTTGTGTTGTGAAAGGCTATATGTAAATGTATACATTGTATTATACAAATAAAATTCGTAGCGCAAATCATTTGGAAGCGTCAAACATTTACTTGGATACTTAATATAAACCCAAGTATGTATATTATGTATTATAAAACTCCAAAAATGTTTCTGCATGATTGAGACGATGTTATTTTTTTAGACGAATGAATTAAGGCGTTCACCTAGTTGTGGTCGACCGGTTTTTATTCGTCAGTCGACCGGTTTTTATTCCCATTTTTAGATATAATTTTATTCCAAAAATGGGCATCAAATTCAAGTGCATCCCCTGCAAAAGCCAGTGGATTTGCTAAATCACGCTCCTTTTATAAAAATTTCAACCGACGAGGTATTTGTAAGCTGACGAGTCTGTCTACTTTTTTTTTTGTTGAAGTCTTCAACTGCTTGATTATATACATCGTCTGCATCTTTCTCTTATAATTTTTTTTTAGAATTTTCTAATAAATTAAAGGCTATTTGTACAAAGCTCTACATTCTTTTTGAAGTTGTTGAGTTGATTGATATTGTTGTTATTCATGTTTGTAAACAGATAGAAAGTTAAAGGCTTACTTTGGGGAAATTTTAGTAGATTGCAAGTACTCTGCGCAACTAACTTCAAATGACTGTCTTTTTCAATTTCAGAAGTTACTATAAACAGTAAAACAAAATTAGGGCGGTCGACCGGTTAAAGCCGGTCGACCACAACTATGTGAACGTCTACTGTAATTAAAAAAAAAAGTAGTCCACCAAGAGAAGAAAAAAAAATTATTGTGACTCTTTTATTTTTTATCTCCGCTCATCAGGATACAAGTATAAAATGGACCAGGTATTGAATTACAGATATTTTTACAAATCTACTTTTTCTAAAAACCTGGAATATTATCCGTTTATTCATCTTTTGGCTGTAATACGTAAGTTGAACCAAAAAAACAATTCTTTATTATCATATCATATACAACACTCTTTGTACATATATATACCTTTCTATTCCTTTCATATAATCATTCCACATAAGAATAAGAAATAAGCAAAGCAATGATGATAATACCAATTATCCTTGAGCAATTATTTTGGTCATCTGTTTTGGATGCCGGTTGCGATGTAGCTTTTATAAATGTCATAGTTACACTGAGTTTTGCTTTTCTTTACCTATTTGTGTTATGAATAATGAAAGAATAGTCAGAAAAATATTATAAAGAGAATTATGATTTTGTGTTTTTTATGATACACCTTATACTTATACTTTTTATTTTTACAGTTAACGACAAAACCAAACATTTTGTGTGCGTGCATTTCAAGTCATTAGATGGATGGATATTTACAGAGTTTTACAGTTTTAAGTAGATTTTTCTAAAAATAAAAATAAAATAAAAAAACATTTAAAAAAAATATTGCCCGTTATAAAATTGTGCGTTTTTTTTTCCGTTAATTTTTGTTTTTAAAATTATCTACAATATTGCTGGTTGTGATTTTTGACTGCAATTTATGAATTTTTTGCATTCAATTCCATGGTTATTCCGTAATTTTTTTTTGTTGCGTGGTGAAAAAAAAAGCAATTCGAACGTATTTTGCAGAAATCCCTGTTGAGGCTGAAAGTAAAAAAATAATAATACAATGCTAAATAAATCGTTTTTTGTTGTTTGTATTCTTGATTTTAAACTTTGGTTTTTTGGCTTAAGCTTGAGAACATAACCAAAACATCGCAACAAAAAGTAAAGATTTCTGTGCAGTTAGGCTAGGGCATCTGCAGCGGGTTACCTTACTGATATATATATATAATGCAGTTTAGCTACACCGGGGGATTGAATACCGGTTAAAAACAGATTGCCAAAGTGTGGTTATATTATAAAAACAATTTGAGCTTTTTGACTATTTAAAGGTGTCTGTTCTTCACTGGTGGCTTTAATCATATTCTTCTTTTTTTAAAATTTATTTTATTGGACATTTGTCCTCTATTAGATGCCTTAAAAATATGAATTTAATAATTTCAATATTGTCTGATTAATAGTGAGCATAATTTGTGAGGATTTATTTGCTCATTTCTATAGACCATTGTTCATTCTAACAAAGGACGTGAGAGAGAAGAAAACAATTCAAAAATATAATATCGACTTATAATGTATCACTAGATGTAATGTTCCAGGCCTTAAAAATAGCCTACATTATCTATAATGTTTCCTCATGGGTTTGCCCAACCAAAAAAAAATAAAAAAAAATAAAAAAAATCTATAATATTGTCTAAAATATAACCGCTGCAGACGATTTTTTGACAACATTTCAGAATTCACGTTAAAATAATCGTAAAAATTCATTTTAATGTAACCGCTACAGATGCTCTAAGCTATTACCAAGATGTTGAGATAAACTATGCTTCTTTGGATAATTAGTAATAAGTAAGAGAGAGAAGTAGAAATAGCTAATTATTTCTGTGGTTGATTGTTACAATGCTTGTGTCTTTTAATTGATTTCTTCACCAGCTATAAGAATTATATTCTTCTTGCGGCCACGACTTGAGCAATTTTTTTACATAATTGATACAAAGAGAGGTTTAGAAAGATAGGATATGTCTGGGTCATATGGAAGTTTAAAGACACACGCAATTAACTAATGAACTAATGAAGAATCTTCTATTTATGTAAGCTCTCAATAAAGATAAAGATAGCGAATATATCTACTAAGAAGATAATGCTCCCTGTCACAAGTTTAATATTGGATAAGAGTGGAAGAGATGACATAATTTTATAGTAATAGTAAGGCTGCCAAGTAGTTTAGATTTTAGCTCTATGGAGATCTCATAAGAATATTCCACCAGAAGAGTGAAAAAGAAAAAAGAGGTTAATCTTCAAAAACTTTTAATGAGGTTGTGGTTATTACCTATATGGAATAAAACAGTACTCGGGTTGGTGTTTGTAATGTTAAGTGCATGTCAATGCCTAATTGCATGTCAATGCCTAGTTGCGTGGCAATGCCTAATTGAATGTCAATGCTTAATTGCATACATGAGATGAAGAAAGTTAATGAAACATCATCAAACTATTGATTTTCTTAAAAGAAAAACTATACCTTTGTATTTATATGTTTTCAGACATGAGTTGTCAAGTGAAAGAAGATCGGCTAAACCAAGATTGCTAAAGAAGTTGTATTATTGATATATTAGAACTTAATAAGTATGATGCCCATTGTTGATACGTGTCTATACATATACATACCTTGCTTGTAAAAGAAAATTTAACCTGATTTTAATACTGAATATTGTATTAAAATATTCATTTATATACTTTTAAAGTATATCCGATAAATCCCAAAAGTAAAAATAAAGATTTTTTTGTCAAGACCTGCGCTTGAAGGCCGATCCACTCAAGTTTACACCCAAGCTTCTCAACAACCCTCATTCCTGCCTACTCGGCATGGCATCAAATTTACCATGACGGCAAAGTATCGGTGAAATGCTTTAATGCCAAACTGCTCGGGACAGGTGTCTGAGACACCCAAGTGAACAGCATAGCATTTACTTAGGCACCTTAACTTTGCTTCGGGTTCGTCCCTCATGTCCAGTTCTGTTTACCAGAGCGTGGGTTACAAGTATCAAAGTCTAAGCAATGAGGGACTTGAAAAGCACAGGGATCATTTCAACAGGAAGCAGTAAAATACAGGCGATTGTACTGGGTAATCTGTCGATTCTGCTGGAATCTACCTGTATTACCTCACGTCCAGGTGCTCAACGAATTTAAAAAACTCTACGCATCCAGGTGATACACCCTTATACTTGCACCTTTCTGTGACAATCTTGACATGCCCCAAAGGACAAAATCTGGAGAGCCAATATCCAACGTCCTAAGAAAATAGCATAAAGCTACCTCTGCGTTCCTCAGTCTTCTCCATGTTATGTGCCGCACAACACAGAAAAAACTGACGTGGATTTCATCCGGCTTTCGCCTTCATGTGAGTGGCTCAGGAAGGTCTTTAACGTCCAGTATGCTCTACACTAAGAGCTACTTTCCCTTACGGTACTTGTGTTCAGTTGGTTTTTTATAAGTATATTTAGCCTTCGATGAAACTTTTCACCAGGATTAGGGAGTTTGTAAAACAACCCGACTCATCGGAAGCTACTTAACACAAAGACAAGAACTCAAGACAAGGTGAGGGGATTGCACCCTCCAGTAACCTTTTCCAGGGAGTGAAGGCTACTGACTTGTTGGTATGCCTGGAAAAGCAGTTCACTAGTTCACAATCCAGAGCAGTCAAAAGACTACTCCGGTTCAAACATTGGAGCTTCTCCATCTCAAACAATAAAGTCCAAGACGGAATCCCTTTTGGTTTCTTTTCCACTGCAGTAAATGCAGGTAGAATCGCTCAAAGTACGGACCAATTTTAGGCCATGGTACCTTGAGCGAACTCAATGACTAGACGCCAAAGAGTGCAGTGCGTTCAATAAAAAAACCAGAATCTCATATTAAGACAAGCCTTATAAATAAGGCGTCTACAATGAGCGAGTTGGAAAAGAGCCCGGAGACTCACTGTTAAAGACCATGATATACACATTTTGCATGAAAATGTTTACGTATATTCCTTTTGATATATCGTGACCGATAGAATACGAGGTACTCAGTGACCACTCCAAGAGTAGAGATATAAATAAAAATCGAGTATAAGGTTAATATACTTATTGTGTCAAAGTGTGTGCGCGTGTGCGCGTTTACTTACCTAGCTGTTAACTGGGAAGGGTGTAAAATACTGAGCTGGTTCTCGGTACACCTCTCCATAAGCATACTTTGAACACTATCAAGAGAATAAAGTAATATAAAAGTATAAAGTGAGTATGTTAATTGAGTCAAAGTATGTATATATTGACTTACCACTCAGTGGACCATACATGGTATGAAGGCACCATCAAAAGAATGGTGGTTAACAGCTAAACAGAACTAGAAACTGCAATAGAAAAAAAAGAAAACATCAAATCATAGTTAGCGTGTTGATCGTGTCAAAGTATGTGTGTATGTACGCGTTTACTTACCTAGTAAACAGCAGCGGAAGGCTTGAAAAGTACTTGTGCTAAAAAGCAAGACGGGACGGGACACTGGACACTGTGATAAAATAAAAGAAATATCGAATCATAGTTAGTGTATTGATCGTGTCAAAGCGTGTGTGTGTTTGCTTACCTAGCAGATAACTGCGTAGGGTTTAAAAAAGTACTTGTGCTTAAAAGCAAAACGGCACTGGACACTGGACACTGTGATGAAAGAAAGAAAACATCAAATCATAGTTAGTGTGGTGATCGTGTCAAATCATCTGTGTGTGTGTATTTACTTACCTGGTACATGAACTTGACGTGAAGGACCTCTCCGTGGCTACAGTGGAATGGACGCTGGGCATAGAAGACAGAAAAAAAAACATGCACAAGAAAACACTGTGCTGTAGTTAGTATATTGACCGTGTCAAAGTGTGCATATGTCTGTATAATACTTTACCTGCTATTAGACTGGACATCATTTTTGGAACTTAGCTAGAAACCGCGTCTGGGGTGCGTTTTCATAATAAATATCAGTATGCACCTTATACGGATAGAAGGATATAGGCATTTAAAGACAATTTTCTTACCGTGTCGGAAACCAAGGACCACCGAAAGGAAACCAGGAGGAAGAGGAGGGATAACAGGAAATTGAGAATTGTATCGATTCTTATATGAAAAAAAATGGGGATGGCGCAGCACGGAAGGCGTAAAAGCCTATTTTGGATAAATCAAAACAAATTCATATGAAAATTAAATAGTTTCATGTTTTCAGTAAAAGCTCCATGTTTTTTATCGCATATTTTTATTGCGTATTTTTTATCGCATATTTCTATCAAGGACCTATTGGTATTATCTAATAGATACATTGAATAGTACCAACACTGAATACATTTGAGTATTACCTTGTTTTAGATAACATTTATATTTCTTTGGGGAATATATTTCTATATCTTTATGTTCACACTACTGATAATTATTATTATTATTATTATTATTATTATTTTAAAAAAAAATACCAAGTAAATAAAGAAATTCTCCTTAACATTATAATCACACTTTGTTTTCTTTCGCTTCACAAAGTATCCTGAAAGTCATATAAGTATATAAGAACTACTATTAAGAAAATAATAGCATGTTTTTATTAAGCTATTTTTTTTATTTAGGCTATTCAGTTTTACATACATATGCAATATCTCTTGTGAGCTACAAACATAATACTCTTTCTTACTCTTGATCAATAAAAATATTGTTATTATAATGTATATTCACATATCTTCGCTAGCATGACTTATTCTTTACATAATTATGTCTAGAGCCAAAATTTTAATTATATAAATGTATTAGTAAAGTTATAGATAAATAATAAAGCTGTTAAACCTTTCTTTCGGACACTGTAGTATGTATATACTGTTACAGTTTATATTGCTTTGAAATCATATTAAAATCATTAAAAAAATTATTTAAAGGATTATTGTAGATATTTTACAGCTACTGTAGATCTCTAATAGTATGCATTCATACTCTTTCTTTTCTCTTTCTCTCTGATAAAGACATTACTCTTTGATACAGAGTCTAGTTGGCGAGTTCTTTTTTTTTCTTTACTCGACCCTTCTGCTTTTACATTATTTTCAATATACAATATCTATAACTATTTTAACAAAAAAAATGTAATGATGCTTATACCCTATCAAACTAGCTACATATTTTGAATTATATTTAATGCTGATATAGCCCATCTAATAAAATCAGAACAATAATATGTTTTCTAAGATCAAAGCACAGAATACAACAGGTAAGAATCCCTCCATATCTCCATATGTATATACTTTTATTATTCTTCTCTTGTCTTTTACTTGCTGTTTTACTTTTGTGCACTTTTCTTGATAAATCATCAAGACTGATCATATCATATTAATAGAAACAGCAGCAGCAGCAACAACTAAAGCACCAATATCAACAAGTCTTCTGATTAGTTTCCAATATTTTTCTTAATATTTTTTTTTCTGAAATGCATATATTCAATTAAACGAGTTTAAGTTAAACGAGAACGAAAGAGAAAAAAAAATAGTAGACAATTGGAACTTTGATTTAAATCTTTGACTCATGATAAACAATAAATGAGAAGAATCAAAATAAAAATGTAAAATAGAGTGAGTGACACGTTGCGTGTATATTCACATTTTCGGCTGGCCCAAACATATCCCATATCTCTAAATCTTTTCGTATCAATTATGTAAACCAATTGATTAAGTAATGATCTTGGGAAGAGCATGATTGTTACAACTGGCGCAGCAATCAATTGAAAATCATAAGGATTGTAACAATGAACCCCAACAATGACTATCTACCTCTATTTCTCTCTCTTATTTTTTTATGAAGTATAGTTTATCCCAATCTCTTAGTAATAGCTTACTAATTATACTATTTTATTTATTATCGAAATATCTATATAAACATTGAAAGATGAAAGCAATAAAGAACATCCTTACACATCACTTCTATTTTCTTTTGATTTTTCTCAAGAGAACAAGCTGCCAATTGCCAATATTAGGGCTAAGGAGTTGTTAGAGGAGATTGATACATATTCCTTTTTTCTATTAATTGTTTGGGTCACTTCTTTACACAAACCAACACAGCCCGTCTCATGAGAAAGAGAAATATAATTTCTAGCCAAAATTTTACATGGATTCAATATATTAAGTACTCCTGCGAAATAAAGACAGAACTGTATATCTTTTAACTACTATCTTATCTTTTCTTATAGTCTGTACTTCTTGTATATAAATAGTATCTTTGTTGCTGTAAATATATTGAATATTGCAGATGCACTTAATACTATTGCCCTATTTATATGCTATTCTTAATATATTTTACATATTGTCAAGAACAAACAAAAAATTGCTGGAAATTGTTCTCCAGTAAGACTTTTGAGCAGAAAAAAGAACGCCATTAAAAACATGATAGTAGTCAATATTTGGCGAGAAACGGAGGTCACAGAAATATAATGTCGAATGATTCCAGATAAATTAGTAGGAGAGTAGTGGGACGTGCTATGTATGTTGGTGTGGCGTAAGAAGTTTGTAAAAAAAACATTTAGAAAAGGAAAAAGGGGATTATCAGATAAACATTCATAGTCTTTGTAGCAAATAAAAGTGTTTTTTAGATGAATACCCAGAGAAAAGAAAGAAAAAGAAAATATAGGTGTGTAAAAGTTGTTTTTTATTGAGTTGATTTATTTGGGAATATATAGTTTTTCTGAGTTATGCTAATAGCAGGTTATTGAGAAAATTTAATAGTTTCGATTATAATAATTGTATTGGTAATTGAATACAGGTACTTGTCTATAAATACTTAGGCTCTATCAGTATAAGATATTAAATTGATTTAAAGTACATAATCTATACAAGCCTTGAAATATTGTTAAGATGTAAATACTATACTCCAAGTCTTAATATCTTAAGATAACTTTAAATGTAAATATTTCAGTAAACTGCTGAAGTTGATCTTACTTACTGTATTATTATATTATATGTTAATGTATATATATTTAACCATTAAAAAAATAAAAGTAATATAGACTATCCTAACACATCTCTCTATTTATTTTCTTATTATTTTCAAGAGAATAGACTGATATCCACAATATATAGGCTAACATGATATTATAGTAGATCAGTATATATTATCTTTTCTTACGCATTTGAGCAATCTATCACACAAACCACTCAAGTCTCAATTGCCATGAAATTTATATAATTAAAATTTTGGCTCTAGACATAATTATGTAAAGAATAAGTCATGCTAGCGAAGATATGTGAATATACATTATAATAACAATATTTTTATTGATCAAGAGTAAGAAAGAGTATTATGTTTGTAGCTCACAAGAGATATTGCATATGTATGTAAAACTGAATAGCCTAAATAAAAAAAATAGCTTAATAAAAACATGCTATTATTTTCTTAATAGTAGTTCTTATATACTTATATGACTTTCAGGATACTTTGTGAAGCGAAAGAAAACAAAGTGTGATTATAATGTTAAGGAGAATTTCTTTATTTACTTGGTATTTTTTTTTAAAATAATAATAATAATAATAATAATAATAATTATCAGTAGTGTGAACATAAAGATATAGAAATATATTCCCCAAAGAAATATAAATGTTATCTAAAACAAGGTAATACTCAAATGTATTCAGTGTTGGTACTATTCAATGTATCTATTAGATAATACCAATAGGTCCTTGATAGAAATATGCGATAAAAAATACGCAATAAAAATATGCGATAAAAAACATGGAGCTTTTACTGAAAACATGAAACTATTTAATTTTCATATGAATTTGTTTTGATTTATCCAAAATAGGCTTTTACGCCTTCCGTGCTGCGCCATCCCCATTTTTTTTCATATAAGAATCGATACAATTCTCAATTTCCTGTTATCCCTCCTCTTCCTCCTGGTTTCCTTTCGGTGGTCCTTGGTTTCCGACACGGTAAGAAAATTGTCTTTAAATGCCTATATCCTTCTATCCGTATAAGGTGCATACTGATATTTATTATGAAAACGCACCCCAGACGCGGTTTCTAGCTAAGTTCCAAAAATGATGTCCAGTCTAATAGCAGGTAAAGTATTATACAGACATATGCACACTTTGACACGGTCAATATACTAACTACAGCACAGTGTTTTCTTGTGCATGTTTTTTTTTCTGTCTTCTATGCCCAGCGTCCATTCCACTGTAGCCACGGAGAGGTCCTTCACGTCAAGTTCATGTACCAGGTAAGTAAATACACACACACAGATGATTTGACACGATCACCACACTAACTATGATTTGATGTTTTCTTTCTTTCATCACAGTGTCCAGTGTCCAGTGCCGTTTTGCTTTTAAGCACAAGTACTTTTTTAAACCCTACGCAGTTATCTGCTAGGTAAGCAAACACACACACGCTTTGACACGATCAATACACTAACTATGATTCGATATTTCTTTTATTTTATCACAGTGTCCAGTGTCCCGTCCCGTCTTGCTTTTTAGCACAAGTACTTTTCAAGCCTTCCGCTGCTGTTTACTAGGTAAGTAAACGCGTACATACACACATACTTTGACACGATCAACACGCTAACTATGATTTGATGTTTTCTTTTTTTTCTATTGCAGTTTCTAGTTCTGTTTAGCTGTTAACCACCATTCTTTTGATGGTGCCTTCATACCATGTATGGTCCACTGAGTGGTAAGTCAATATATACATACTTTGACTCAATTAACATACTCACTTTATACTTTTATATTACTTTATTCTCTTGATAGTGTTCAAAGTATGCTTATGGAGAGGTGTACCGAGAACCAGCTCAGTATTTTACACCCTTCCCAGTTAACAGCTAGGTAAGTAAACGCGCACACGCGCACACACTTTGACACAATAAGTATATTAACCTTATACTCGATTTTTATTTATATCTCTACTCTTG